TCCCCCACCTGACTGCCGTTTCCTAAGATCTCTCCTCGTGTATGCTGGTAGACATCAGTCTCATCAGTGTAATTTGAATTCTTGTGGGAGAAAATGTGTGGCAGGTTGGCAGGTGTATCCAAGTCCCACGCAGACATTCACACATTCACACACCGACAATAAATTTCACACACCCGAAAAACTTGACCTAATCTAGCAGCTTCTTATATCTGTCTGTCTGTGTGTTAATGTGTTCCTCTATATTAACGTGTTACCATGTGTGTTGTTAAGTCACGTGTTTTTGGAGAGGCTTGTCTGTTTATGTGCTCATGGTTTGCTTGATACTAACTGTTACCGCGTGTGTTGTTTAATTACGTGTTTGTGAAGGTGGCTTGTTGGTTCATGTTTTCGTGTATGACATATACTTTTACACGTGTTTGTGGGGCAAGGCTTGTGTGTTCATGTGTTGCAAATAATCACCTCTGGTAAAATATTTCACAAACAAGTACTAAGGTGTTCAGTGGCATGATGGTAGTTTTAATTACCTGTCTCATTTTTTCTCCTTACTAAACCCCCCTCAATCCACTTCCTTAAAATATTCAAGTCTTGGAGTACAATGATTTCAACAAACTTTTCGACTCCATTTTTTTGAGAGTCAAGTGTAGGACATGGTCTTTTAAAAAAACCTTTCTCTTTTATCAATAATTTCTTCACACCAAATACTAGCCAACCAAAGAATTTTGAGTCTTTTGCTGTTTTTGTCAGTAAGCCTAGAATTATAAAAAGCCAGTTCCTAAAAAGTTGTCAAGTATTTGATGTGTCGCGTATTTTTGTATCAAAAGATGTCGCGTTTAGTGTGTCGAAAAGTGTTTTAAAGTTATTTTAGTGTTGCAGCAAGCAAAAAGTCACCCCCAAATCAACAAAGAAAGAGATCTAGATGGAAGGATCTAAAATATATAATACAAAACTAAAATGCTTAAAAAAGCTTTGTCTGATTTTTTAGTTTTGTAAATACAAAAAATACAAAAAGTAAAAAAATTGCCAAGAAATAGATAGCTAAAAGTGATGATCGTAAAAAGTTGTGAAATATGGGCAAATCTTTTGGTGTTTGTGATGAAGCGTATGTGCATATACGATCAAAGTGTTTGTGTGTCTACAGTTAAGCTGAGAGGGTGAATCACCAGAACGAAAAAGAAAAGGAATACCGCAGCCTAAATTGTCCACAACCAAAATAAGGGTTGTTAGATGATGCGTTTTAACGAGATAGAGAGAGAAAAAATCGCCGATACTTTCTTTTGGGTGGCAAGAAATCAAATGTTTAGATACGAAATCACATCTAAGTGATGAAATGCTCCATATAAAACGGCCGACTAGCACCTTGATCTTTTTTGTTGTAATTAACAATCCTATTCTAAATATGGTCCATCACATTTGTTTTTCAAATGGTTATCTCTGATTTGTATAACATTTGAAAGCCACAGTTTGGTCAATGTATGACAAAAATGAAACGCTACCAAACACAATAGAAGTAGGTTAAGACTAAGAATAGAATCGGTACCTCGTGCGTGTGTAAGTGTCCACGACTGTGTATAAGTAGATAAGTGTGTACCTAAGTAACGTTGTACAATAGGAACGGTAAGAATTACAAAATAAATCAAAGACCAGTATCTGAGAAAGAAACAGAAGACAATAAAAAAATTAAATATGTGGCTTGCAGAGAACAAAAATCCGGAATTCTTTTTGTTGTAAATTAATTTTTCCGAAATTTAACTAAGGCGTTTTGTTATCAGAAACAGCAACCAATACAAAAAATCTTGCTGTTTGTCTGTGTTGTTGATTGAGAGTAGTCAAATTATGCTGTTTCATTTCGTATTCACCAGTTTTTAAAGACCCGTATAATGATAAAAGGCAATCTCTGACAAAACCGCTTCAAAGTAAAAGGAATTGGTCGTGCACATTTATTCAACGTACACTAAAACTGATAATTGAGTTACAAAACTAACCAAAATCCATTACAATGCGGGAGGATGAGATTGTCCATAATTGAATAGAAATGTACATCGTTTTGTGTAACATCAGACTATTTTAAGGATTATATTTAATAGGGAGATAAAAAAAGAGCCCTGTGTAAATGCCGTGAAAACTAGACCCCAGTAAAGTTGAAGAGAATAAGGTTTGCTATTGCTAGAATCATAACCTTAAAATGGAATCCAATGTTTGGGATTGAAAAGAGATATTAATTTCAATAGACACGATAAAGTACAATCCCGAAGGGAGGCTTTAAATGCAAAGAAAGATGAGCTGGTTAGCCTGCCACCTTCGTAAGTTGAGCCATATTCACCAACCCCTGGAGTAAAATGGCCTTGCAACCAAAACGTAATCAAGTGGTCACCAAGGAACAGCCAAGGGATCGCCTAGGAGTAATCAAGGAGCAATCAAGGGGTAACTCACAATCGCAGGGAATGAACTCCTCCCACCCTCTCATTATGATTCCTCTTCTTTGTTTTCATAGCATGCCTGACTGAATGTGACCTCACTAACATTCTTTGTTTTGTTTTTCCCCCTCCAGTTTAACAAACGTTAGCAAATTTTGCGAGATAAAGATCTCTCTCCCTCTCCACTAAGAAAGAGGAGACAAAAGTTGACATGAAGCTGTATGAATACGTTTCTAAAATGTAACAGTTGTTTTATGTTACAGCCAAGACTTAATTTTGAACTGGAATTGGGATTGGGAATAGAGTGAAATGATTCTAAACATTTAGCCAACATTATAGGAGGTAAAGTTTAGGTCAGGCAGAGTGCGTGTACTTTTATCTAATTTGATGCAGCCGCACTGCAGGCACAATGTTACACAAAACTACAAAAATAAATAACAACGTAAACATAAACAAGTGTGGATTGTTTTGGTCTTCCTTTATTAGGGAGATAGGTTTGTAGTTGTAAAGATTTTGCAAATATTAAGAGGAACTTGCTGAATAGCTGATGGGTTAACCCTGGAGAATAAGCCAGCAATCATTTTTGTTCTGATAAGAGAGAGAAAGACTTACTGTGAATTGATACAAGGAGATAACAAAATAGCAACAAAATGTAAAGTAAACAAATAATACAATATATACTGCATACAAGAAATAATAATAGAAAAAAATAAATAAACAATGCAAGTGGTCATTGTGTAACATTAAACAGCTTTTCTTTTGTTTGTTTTTGTCTCTCTCAACAAAATTTTCTTTTTACTCTTCAGATGTACGTGCATTAATGGATATATAAATACGCCTGTAGTCAGTATATATTAACTGTTTGAAATTCTATTTCAAATATTTCCAAGTTTTCGACTTGTTCGTCTTCATCGCCACTACAGACTACAACATTTCGCTTAATAATCACTACTACGTCGTATTAAACACCAACAACGATCTGTAACATCATTTGCCTACGTTTATTTTAAGCAGCAAAGCCCAATATTCACAAATTGATATCTAACAAAAAAGAAATATTTGTTTTATTTATTTATTTATTGTCTTTTCGCCCTTACAGACAGTTACACAGACAGTTCGACAAACAGACAGACAAAAAGACAGAGGCAAACAGTTCTAGATATAAAATCTTTAATATATCACTGCCAAACCCACGTTGCATAATTTTTTCTTTCTCCTTAAGTTGACCTTCAACTGTCCTGATCCAAACGATTTGGTATATTCTGTTACCTTATACCCGCCAACAACACACTCGCTTTAATAAACAACACTACCACGGTTCTATTTTTTCCTAGTTGAAAACAATCGCTATTCTTTTTTTGTTTTACATTCTCCTTTGATTCATCGCAATATTCAATTTTGCCTTTTCACCTTAATATTTTTTTTTCCTTCGATTTCGTTCAGGCACCAAATCTTTTTTTACAACCAACATATTATACTTTGATCCAGACCACCACCACCACCAACAGCTATAGCTTTCCACAATGATTGAAAAGTTTACAGGCCACAGATCCAAGCAACGTACATATATATATACAGGAGTAGTAGTATGGCTACTTGTCATCAACATATGGCTATTTCACACCTATTACTCCCGTAATAGTGATCTGCGATATTTGACAAAATCATCCATTTATGATGCATATGATCCATCAAATCAACAGGTACAACAACAGCAACAGAAATTGCTAGAAAATCCATCGTCCAAATCATTCAAAGAGGATATCACTATCAAGTTGTTGCAAAAACAACAACTGAAAGAAAAGGATATTCGTAACATTGATGCTCATGCTAGTATATACAACAAGATTTTTGAAAACCATGAAATAGATTCGATATTTGGTAATCTCAATTTCCAACAAAGATGTGATTTATTTTTCCAAAACTTGTTTATTAATGACAAGAACTGGATTTTCAAAGTTAATGAAAAAATTGAGCTTGAAAATAAGCATGAATTTAAATTTAACGACTGGAGAAATAATCATTTGGAAGATTACAAGAAGAATTTTGCTGAGAAAAACAACAAGAATAAAGACGAAGTTGAACATACTGCCGAGTTTGAAACGTTTATTAGAAAGGGATATGAAGATTTTTGGAATAGAACCATGACTTATGAACAAAACATTGTCGACCATATTTCAATTTTACGTGTGTTTAACAAGTGCTATCTTACTAGTGATAACACTACTCAGATTAAACGCACCCAAGAGTTTATCAATAAGCAACAGAAACTAATTCATGGAGTCAATATAGCTTCAAAAAGCGGCAAGGGCGTACCACCATTCTCTTACACCAAACAAGAAAACCTTATTAACTTCAAATCTATCAAGCATAGCGCATTTGAACATCGAGTGTACCCTTGGTTGTCATTTGAATATCCAATCTACGAACGATTCACGGGTGAATTATTTTATAAACCACCACAAATGTCGAAATTTGTCAAGGGAGACTCACAAAAGACGTCAAAATCATATAAGGAATCCGAACAAATGGATTTCTTTTTGAATCGATTCAAAAATAAATGTAATGGTAAAGGTATTGTTTTATCCATTGGTAATGATCATGTTGATGATACGGTTCGTCTAATTCATTTACTTCGTGCATTGAACAACAAATTGCCTATACAAATTGTATATTATGATGATATTCTGGATGAAACAAAAAAGAAGATTGTCACTGCTGGCCGTGAAGTTATAGTCACTTTACCCAAATCATTTGACAAGATAGCTCATTATTTCCCTGAAGATTATCGTCATAACGAAAAGGGGTTGCCCGAACAAGAAATTTGGTTTGTCAATACCTACAATGTCATTCATAGTGATTACAAGGATAAATTTAAGAAATTCGCCAACAAGTTTCTTGCTACTTTTTTCAATTCATTTGAAGAGATTATGTTGATTGATGCTGACACAGTGATGATGCAAACACCAGAATATTTTTTCAATTTGTTGGGTTACAAAGAATCAGGCACTTATTTTTATAAAGATCGAACGACATTCGAAACAAGGCCAATGTCGGATTCCGTTTTCTTCAAAAAGATTGGGCCCTCAATTGTTGACTCGGTAATGTTTGATATCCCTATCATGACAAAATATACAATAGATACCGATTTTTTCAAAGGGTTGTTTCATTATCAAGAATCAGGATTGGTTATGCTTAACCGTAAGATCCATTTCAATGCCTTGCTCATGATGTTTCAATTGAACTTTTATGAACCAGTGACTAAACGGAGTCATGGAGACAAGGAACTTTTCTGGTTAGCTATGGCCATTGCTGGTGAAGAAAACTATGTATTTGATGAAAACCATGCTGCGGCAATCGGAATCAAGACTACGCCACAAGACCGTCCCAGACCCGATGGCCACACACCTCATGAATCAATTGAGTTGTGCTCGCCTCATCCTGGACATGTATCCAGTTCTGACAATGCGTTAGTTTGGATCAATTCAGGGTTTTTCTATTGTTCGAAATCGCCCGAACTTGATTTCGCAAAAGAAGCGGAACAAAAAGATCGGTTAAAGGACTTGCATACTGCTGATCAATTTCGTGCATTTTACACTAGTCCCTTGCGTATCAAGTCAGCCATCATTCCTCCAAAGGATTTGAATCATTGGGGAGTAAATAATGAAGATGAACCTAGCAGAGGATGGTTTATGGATAGTCGATACTGTAAAGGGTACATGTGGTGTGCTTATTCTTCGACTGGAGGCAAGACTAAAACAGGGGAGAATAATAAACGAGAAGGAAGAGTGATTGATTTTAGTTTACGTGAACAGGAGATGTTTGAGTATTATGGAGATGTATGGGTAGGATTGGAGTAAGTAGAATTAGAGGAGACTGTGGATTAGAGAGCAGTGTTGGGTAATTTTATAGACTTTTGACAATAAATAAGTTGGCAAATAGATGAAGAAGTTTTATTTAGACATCACATTTGTAAGCCTTGTAGTTGTTCACTTCTAGTAGAGACATCAATGAGATCATCAACAACAATAGCAGTACTCTCTACATCTCACCCAACAAAAGCCATAAAAACATAATAAAACAAGAATCTAAAACAAACAACATACATGATAAAGATATATATATAAAGAGAATCTAATTCTTGTTGTAACAACAAAGAAGGGAAGCAACCAGCAAATCACAACATAACATATCTCAGAACTAAAAATAAGAGCCAACACACAGTAAACAAAATCAATCAAACAAATCAGATCAATTAACTAGTCATTCCCTCTTTCTCTTGTTTGTTATTGTAGTTCTACTTTTTCCACTTTGGTGATCTTAAGGTAGGCACCACACCTGACGACTGAGTCGATCTAATGGGAGGCTGTCCTCGTTTTCCACTCAACCCAGCAGTACCAGCACCAGCGCCAGAATTGGATGGGAATGGGCTATTGGACCACGACTCATCACTGATTAACTCAGCATACGAACAACAGTTCATTTGCGATTGGGTGTGTCTCAATTTTGGTGGACTATTGGGAGACAATGGGAATCCCGAGGAAGCTAAATTGGTGTTGGCACTTACATTCGAGTGGGCTGACGATGAGTCAAAGGATGTGATTAATGAGTTGAGGGGAGTGAATGAATCTTCAAGACGATTGAATGAGTTGGTGGTTGATGATCTGGGTCTTTTGATAATCAGTTTTCTTCTGCTGGAACCACCACCAATGGCGGCTGTGCTGCTGTTGCTGTGTAAGTTTGTGATACTGGTGGTACTGTTGTTATTGTTAAGGGAGTTGGAAATTCCGCCGGCTGAATTAGACGAGGAAGTAGGGGTATAGTTGTTTAAAGTGTTGGTGAGTGATATGATGGAGTTGGTGCGGTGGGGTGAACAACAATCTTGCACCGATCGTTCGAAAATTGCTGGTGCTTCAGTATCATATTGATCATAAGGTTGGCCTTCCTGATCTTGTTGCTCATCTGTAACTACTTCATCCCCATCAAAAGTAAACATTGGTGGTTTGAGGCCCTGGTTATCGTTGTCTAACGATGCTGGGCTTGTTGGTAAGGTAGTAGTGTTTTGTTGTTGTTGAGAATGTTTACCATGTAGGTCTCTTTTAGGGTCTTTACCTTTAAATTGTTTTACAGCAACACCTTTATCGGTCAATGCGACCCCAGTATCGAGTGAAGATGGTTTAGCTTGTGTTTGTGGTATCATGTTGTGTCTCTACCTATAAATCTGGCAAAAAATAGAATGGCTGTTAACGTTTGTTTAAGTTATTGTTATCGGAGCTGTAGTTGCTGTTGATGTACTTTGTCTTTTGGTGAAGATTTAGAAAAGTTTAAAAGTATTTAAAGCTTTTAAGATAGTTGATGATGATGAATAGTCCTTCGTTCAGTCTGGTTCTTTTCCGTCGACATCCAATTTTTCTTCACTTTGTTTATTATATTATATACTAATATTCATTGTTGTTGAAAAAAAGTACTGATAAATATTACACAAAATCCCTAATTAATAAATTTTTTTTATTTTTATTTTCATTTTTAAAACACTAGGTCACCCGTGCACACCCCCTCTGTGTCTCTCTTCTGCATATACATATTTACACCCCCTCTCTTCCTACTCCAATAACACATTTGATTAAGGTCCTGTACCAAGATCAAATTCACTTCCTCCCCCCCCAGATAATGCAGGAGACATCTAGTATATATACGTATTAATTAAACTGTACATAAAGTAATGGTTTTTATCCACAACGCCTTGGTTTTTTTATATTATTGTCTATAACTTTGACCAATCAAATTGTGTTTATTGATAACGGAAAAAAGGATAAAATGCAAAAAAATAAAAATTAGACACTTACACACATACATTACATACCTTCACACACACAAAAGCCGAGATAAAAATGGAATGATCCCCCAGCCAGTAATATGACCGAAGGAAATCTGTAATCCTTTCCCGATCGACAAGAGATCTCTAGCAGATCTCCAATCAACTGAAAGTGTAACAAAACAGTCTTGAAAACAATCTCAAGGTCATGGTGCAGAGCTCAACCTATTTAAAGATACATCCATAACACCCCCAACCATCCCCTGAGCTACCGCCACTGATAATCCACATAATGTAATACACAATCCAGAGTTTTATTTTTGGAGATGTTTCAAATTTGCCGAAGAGCATTTGTATACATCGTACAGCACAAAAGTAAACAAGAATTATTGTCTTGCATCTATATGCAGTCCTGTCATTCTGCTGAGACAACAGTAGCTGCTATTAGTATAAAGAAGAGGCGATGTACCCCAAGCAGAGATGCAGAGTTTATACATAGCATTACAAACAAACAGCACAGAAACATAAATTGATAAACTACAACTACGTCATTGCACCGTTTGTTTGTGGTACTGAGTGAAATTGTCGATCATGCTTGCATTAATACCCACACAGTACCTGTGAATGCAACGTTACACAAATCAATGGGGAAGCATGTCACGCGTTTACGGATAAATCTTAACGAAATGACGTATAATTTCTAGTGAGGCATCTTGTACGCGTCTATTAGTAACCCAAAGAGTTTTTTTGTTTCCATTTTGGGTGGCAAACAAATGAACCAGTTACGGAAAATGGGTAATATGTTTGATCTTTCTAGACATTCTACAGGGAAATAAGTACAACAATTATTGATGATAATTCTTTTTCCTGCTTCAGCGTAATATTATAGAAGTTGCTCTTCTGACTGGTACGTCCCTTAGCAGCACTCCGCAATTCCTATTTTTCCTTCTCTTCATCGCATATCCACAGTATAGGCTTAGTTATATGCAAAGAAGCCGGTAGAAGGGAAAGAAACATACTATTAATAAATCATACCTCTTTATCAACTGTTAAACTGCTAAACTTCAATTGGTTAATGGGAAATTGCTTACACCTCATCGGCGAGTAGATGTGTTGCAAAATTTTGTAAAAATTTTTGCACAAATTTGGAAAGAAAGTATCCAATGTAGCACTTCATTATTCTGAAGAGTAGTTGGGCCCCACTTAATCTACTTTTATTGACTCTACTCTAGTTACAACTAAGTTATTAAGCCATGGTATATATATTTATATTACAATTAGTTCTACCTATTCCACTCTACGGTCGTTTAATCTTACATAACGTTGAATCACCACTTTCAACCGAGACTCAAACTTCAAATGCAAAACCAGTGTCAGCTCATCAACACCCTCTTTTAAAAAACCAATCTTCTGTTTACATGTCCTATCTCCAGAACGTCCCATTCCACCTCAGCAACCCTTTTGCAGCCAAATAATTTAGATCCTGTCAACCTTTGTCGTGCCAAATTTCAAAATTTGGGGAAATTGAAGAGAGAGAAAAAACAGACGTGAAAAATAAACAGAAGGTATCAAAGTGACACATATATTACAACTACACTCAATGGTTCAACACATATAATGAACAACTCATCCACACCAACCCTAGATAGTCATGCACCGAAAAAGACCACTTCGATAAAATCCCTCCCTTCATTACAACCAAGACAATCAAACCAAAACCAAAACCTAAATCAAAACATAAACTCGCATTTGCAGCAGAGCCCACAAAGACAACGACAGCATTCACTATCGGGACCCCAAAGACAATCATCTACAGAAAGCAAATCTGCTCGTAACGACATGGAAAGAGAACGGCTACGCGAGCGAGAACGAGGTACAACATTGTCATCAATGAACATACCAATTCAATCTGTCGAGAGAAATCAGAAACAACCGAAGGCAAAGCCGGATCTTGAAATCGATACCAGAATACGACCAGAGCACTTGAGGATACGAAGTGCTACGTTGCCCAATCATCCAACACTACGACCTTCTCCTTCATTTGCATCGAATGACTCAAATGCCGAGAGCCCGACTTGGCTCTTGAGTGATTTACTTTCAAATTTGAGTTCCCTCAAGGATAAAGATGAATATTCCATAGTTCAAAAATCAAATGATTTGGTATCACTATTTCAATCTTACCCCAATTTGAAAGAGGAGGTTCAAATAAAGACAGTGTTGCCAAGAATACAATTTATGTTGTATCATCCAGTACCAGAAGTACGCTCATCATGCTATCGAATATTGCGGCATTTAATTGTAAATTACAACAGTCTTATCCTATTAGGACAACTGAAGTTGCTCATCTTTATCATTACGAGTCTAGCTAATGATCAATACAAGTCCTCATTAGTTGAAATGACACAAGCATTAAAGTTGATAAGGCAATACTTGACTATAGATAAAGGGGCCGACTTGTTATCTGTTGGTGTCATAAAAGCATTGATTGCTATTATCGAAAGCGAACTGCATGATCATAGTCATACCATATCGGCATATGGATTACACGTGGTGCTGATTCCCGACGGCTTCAAAAACGCTTGTTTGGAGACGATTTGCGAAATTGCGCTATTGAAACCAGAACTAGTTTTCCATTCAGGAGGATTCAAGTTGATGGTTAATTCAATTATTGAAGGCTCGTTTGAAGTGGCGTCAACGTGCTTGATGATTATCCTACGATTATTGAGTTTCCAAAATTCACGCAAGTTTCTACGTAATGGATTCGATTTGGATTCTTTGATTGCTGTGTTTTCCACTGATGAAGATTCAGGTGATTCCAAGTTTAAGCATGTTTCCAATTTCAAATTGCAGAAAATATCGGTGCTAATATCGATATTGTTGCGTGATTTCAACGGATTGGTTGCATTTTCCATCAACAACTTCACCAGTATAAACAATCTTTTAATCAATTTGAGCAAGAAAAACCACCGGGTTCAGGATCTTATTCTTGATATACTTCTTGATGCATTAAGAATCAGAGTGTTTCCGTGGTTGGAGCATTCGCCGATTGGCGATTTTATAGCAAAGTTTAATCAACAGTATCAGCAGCATTTTGCCGGTAAACGAAAATTCACCTTTGAGTACAAGGATATTAAGGAGCCGTTTCCGCGCGATGTTGTCCATCATTATCAGGGGTTACTTACTTATATATTGGTGGGAAATGACTTGTTTGAGAAGTTGTTGCCCATTATTGAAGACACTCAAGATGGTGGTGACAAAGGTTTGCAAAAAAAGGCAACTTTTCTTCTTCTGAAACTTTATTTTATTGCCAACAACTATTTACCCCATGAATTGGTGAAATCTAAGTTGCAAATACCAGGTATATTGGAGCATATATCGTTGACATCCACTAAACAGACCCATGGGGCAATCGAGACAAACCAATACATTAAATCTAAAGTCAAGAGCGTCATGGCACAAACTAACTTCAATGTCGACGACGATGAATTTAAAGCCATGATTACCAATAGCAAAGTGTTGACGGTTAAAGAGTTTGAGCATTGGAATTGGCCGATACTTACGGCTCTAGTACAGGGCCCATTAACCGACCCTAAACGATTTGAAGAAGTTTTGGAAAAGACGCCCAAATTTTTCAAACGATTGATTTCATTTTATCGCCCCTTCAAATATCGGTTTTCGTCGGTACACAATACCAAAAATGCATCAAAGTACATTGAATTTGGATGCTTGCTATTGGAAATGTATCTTAGTACTGATGTGGGACTCAAGTATTTATCATCGAGCAAGATTTTGCCACAAATTGCCGAAATCGTGGCTCAAATCGACCCTTATAGTGGTATATCATCAAAGGATGCGATATTGAGTAAGAAACGACTTGAAAGTACAGCATCGGAGGGGTACTTGCGTTTTATTGGTGTCTTGAGTAGCAGTAATGAAGGGTTAACCATTTTAACCAATTGGCAATTATTCACCATGTTTACCAACATTATTTCTGCGTCGGCCGGACAGAATGAAGCGACGAATTTATTCATATTGACATTGTTTAAATACGTTGACTTTACCGTGGACAATAGTCCATTCGAGATTTTACTCAAGATGGCGTTAACTGTATCCAATTTGAAAGTTCGCATTTATTTGTTGAAACATATGGTGCCGCAATTGTTAACTACCTTGGAATGTCAAGAGTTTTGCATTGGTGTCCTTATTGATAATCTATACGATACTAATCCCGATGTTGTCATTCGATCAATTGATTTATTGTTTAGTTTTTACCAGGGTAACAATTTCGAGAATTTACAATCAATAATCAAGTATCAACCCCCTGTTCATATTTTGCACAAGTTTGAATTAGGCCGACGTTTCCTTGTTAATTTCTTAAATGATCTGGTGGGGTTTAAATACTTGGAAATGTATGGGTATCTAGAGCAAGAATTCAACAATTGGTTTCAAATTGTTGATTTCGAGTATTTGCGGAAATTGGAACAATTGATTCGATATCAATTTTACCCCTATGTCAACATTGGTGCTTTACAAGGACACGGCAAAGTGAATATAGCTTTGAATGCTGGTGAAGTCGAATTATCGTCGTTATATTTTTTCAAATGTTTGTTATCTACTGAAGAAGGATTGGCGTATTTCCAACAAGGCATGGCACGCGATTTCTTTGAGCAAATATTATCATCAGTTGAAAGTATATTCAATCAAATCAATAATGATGATGAGTTTCTTGATATTGATAACCAGGATGAAATTCATTGCGATTTGCTCAGTTTGTTAAAGCAGAATTTATGGATCATTGGTCAAATTGGATCGGGCAAATATGGTATTCAATTGTTGGATCCGTTGTATAATATCAATTTGAAATCATCGATTGTTGAATTGATCTTGGATCAGTTTCATCATTGTCCTATTTGGGAAATTAGAGGATTGTGTTTTTATGTACTTGGGATGATATCAACTACGATTGAGGGTATTGAGATTCTTGACGAGTATGGTTGGAGTTCGGTATTGGACCAATACGGCAACAGCATGAAATTGGCCTATCCTAAACCAATAACTACCCCAGGTTCAACTGACGATGCTACATCCAATCTAGATGATGCAAATTTATTCAATGTGGCAGTGGTGAACCCCTACCGAGACGCCCAATATTTCAATATTTTCAACAGTATGATTGAAGAAACATCAATTGAAGTCCAATCGCCCCCAACTACTCGCATAATTTTCCACAATTTACACAATTTGAATTCAATCTTATCGAAAATCGAACTAAAAGCTGTACGTGAATTGAAGAATTTGAAATTGCAATCGAGTAGTCAAGTGTTTGATGATGGTGATTTATTTCTTGATGTCATTCGGTTAATTGATAAGGGCAATTTCGCCTTTCATAAACGTATATTCATTTTTAAATTATTTACGGAAAACACTCGTGTATTGGAGTCGATATTGAAACGAGAACGACGAGGCTCGTTTAAGATGGCGATAGCAACGAGCACCTAGATTTGAATGCACAATCGGGTTTAAAATATAAACAATAGACATATTCCATGCACTTGGTCCCTGTTACTCTCTAGATATATATACAACCCTGGAGAAAGTTCCTCTCCTCTACTTCCTCCGCCTCTTCTTACTCGACGAACTAGCAGCTTGTGGCGTAACAATCAATTTCCCATCGATTCCCAAATCAAATTCAACCCCGTTATATTCATTCAACCGATTCAACATCTGGATCGTGATTGGTTTCGCAGTAGTACCCAGGACCAAGCTGGTATTCAGGGAATTGTGATTACGATTACTGTTATTGTAATTGCGTCGACACCAGCTTTCAATTGATTGTGGGTTGATTTCTATCGAGCTTAAATCATCATCAATCAAATCGGGTATATGCTCCATCAAGTAGGCATTGAGCAACGTGTTTGATGAAATTGGGATATTACTACTTGATGATGATGTCGTTGATGATGATGAAAGATTGTGGTGTTGATGGGTTAACGGGGATAATAGTCTAGCCAAGCGAGGTACTTTATCCACAATCCGCTTTATTCGTTGGGCAACAGCTGAAGCTGTATCGTCAATGGGCATATTATTATTAATAGTGTTGTTGTCTTCCAAGTGCTCCAATATGTTCAAAATAGCTTGGTTTCGACGTTGGTAATACGCCAATGTCTTGCGTTGATTCTGTTCTTCTTCATATGTCGTGGCCAACTCAGTCGATACGGTTTTGAATCGGTCCTGTAAAGTATGATACAATTGCTGTAATTCATCAAATGGCATAGAATTAATTTCATCATTAGCCTCATCTTCATTACCATGATGCTGGGCATTGTTATTTTTGTTGGATAAAGCAGCTGATGATTGGGCATCGTGATCTACTTCTTGTTTGATGTGTGATGGGTCTTGTTGAGAGACAAGTGAACTTGGATGTAGCAGCTTCGATTCTTCAGACTTCATAGTGGCTCTTTCTCTAGCGGTTGATCCCTATAGTCTGTTTGTTATATAGAAAGTACACAGTATTTCATAAGATTTATGGTTGATTGAAAAAAGAAAAAAAAAGATTGAGTCAAATGCTACCAGTAGATATCTTATGTGCAATTTCTCATCATATGCTCAACAAGTATTCACACCCACTTCAGATGTAAAATGGAGATACTTCTTTGATACGCTGTCTTCAAGGTCATTCCTTTGTTTGTGGGGATGTGAAAAAGCGGAACGTGCTTGTTCACGTTCAATGAATCCCATTTTTTTGGTGGTTGTGGGTCAATAATTCAGACAAAGCAACACACCACACATGTGATTTAAATCTACGTATGAAGTGGTTGAAAAGGGAATGATATACATGAACACATTAACACACAGACAGACAGATATAAGAAGCCGCTAGATTAGGTCAAGTTTTTCGGGTGTGTGAAATTTATTGTCGGTGTGTGAATGTGTGAATGTCTGCGTGGGACTTGGATACACCTGTCAACCTGCCACACATTTTCTCCCACAAGAATTCAAATTACACTGGTGAGACTGATGTCTACCAGCATACACGAGGAGAGATCTTAGGAAACGGCAGTCAGGTGGGGGAAGCGGGAAGAGCGGGCTTGGCAATGTGCTTGCTTTTTAAGAGTATTTGAGTGTCGGGCCCACTCCAAACTGCCACATTCAAACGTTTTGGTGTCTCATGGGGTGTTTGATTTCATGATATAGACAGCCATGACCGCTGTCCGGCAGTGGATGATAATGTCCGATGTGGTGTGTTTTGTTAGAGAAAGGCGGCGGTTTGAGTGCCGAACAGATTAGGGAAAGCCGATGGTTGGGCCAAACAAAACGAACACCAATAGTCCATCCAGATCACTATAAATACCCATCGTTTTTTCATATCTTCCAATTCAAATCCATTCCTAGTCATTACCAATCAATCAAGCCAATCAATCACTATGCAATACTCCACGATTTTATCAGTTGCTTTAGCTTTAGTTTCCACTGCTCAAGCCGGTTATGTCAGACCAAGACCAATTACCGAACCAGACTGCGAGCCAACGACAACCACCACACCATGTGAACCAACCACCACCACTTCATGCTGTCAAGACAGTGATGTCACTTTTTTCAGTGGAGAATTTGCTTTAGGCGTTAAGGAATTATGTGATGATGACGATGTTATCTATTTGGTGTTTGAGTTGCCAGATGGCCAATTGGAACATAATGGCGTTACTGTTGATTGTGGATGCCATACTACTACCACCACTCCATGTGAGCCAACTACCACTCCATGTGCTGAACCGGAGCCAATTACTGATGACTGTGGTAATAATGACAAGAAGAAGCGTTGGTACAAGCCAAAGCCAGTTCCAACCCCAACCCCATACGGATTGTCAGACTTGTGTCACCCATACTGCTCCATTGATGATTCAGACTGCACCGACTTCTTTACTTTATGTGACTCAATTTTGAAAGATGGCAAATACAGAATTGGAGAAATTGTCGCCAACCATCAATTCCAATTCGATTCACCCGTTCAACCAGATGCATTGTACAACAAAGGATGGTCAATTGAATACAAGGATGATTATTACTTGTTGGCATTGAATGGATGCACCAACTTCTGGGAATGTCCTGTTGATGACTGTGGTCTTTGGAAGTTGTACGATGCTTCAATCGATTCCAAATGTAAAGAGATTGAAATTGTCATTATTTTCAAAGATGATTCATGTGATTAGGCTAGGGGGTAGTAGTAGTAGTAGTTGTTGTTGTTGTTGTTGTTGTTGTTGTTGATTTTTGGCTATAGAGATTAAAAGATGTGCAATGTGGGGAGGAAGAGAGGGGTTGTTGGTTTGTTTCGTTTTGACTAGAGCTGGTTCTCTAGTCGGCTTCATTTTGCGTTTTACAGGTTGAGGTATATTCATTTCATTTGATTTCATTTCAATTCGGTTACTGGTCCACTTTGTTTGGATCATGATTAGTTTTTTTTTCTATATCTATAGTCAATAAGAAGTCGCATCTTACAATATCACCATGTAGGAGTTTCAATTGTGGATATACTGTTCAAGATCGTAATATGGTGTCCTAATTTTGGGTGATTGAAATGGTATCCACAACTGATTCAAATCAAAACCTATCCGATGTCAGGCAAGTCAGAGAGTAACAACAACAACAACAGCAACAGCAACAACAATAAAGCTCTACAACGGAGGATAAGTCCAAGTAAATAAAGTTATGTATTAAGTGTAGAAGAAAAGAAAATAAAGATCATTTGTCTATCTCTTGCTCCAAGTCTATCTGTTTGTTTAGTTGTTTTAATAAATATACACCTTGTCCAATCTATTTAAATCCCTTTTGATATAACTCAGATGTAGATACAAGGTAATGTCAACGAGTAATAAGAATATACCCAAGGATATAAGCAGCATTACTACTCCTGTGGATATCATAGTGACGCTTTTCTCAATCTTGATTAATGTGGTTAATACTGACATTGTTTATCTAGTGTGTGTATATGTGTATGTATATATATATATATATGTCTATGTTGTGGAGATGAATTGCAGAATTGAAAGATGTGATGTGTATGTGTATGGGGTGTGGAAGTGTATTATTATATGCTATTTGTTGTTGTTTAACCAGACCAGCTGTTTAATTGATGACTTTAGAGAGATGTCCTTTTTGAAGCGAAGTGAAAACCAGTGAAAGGTGGTGTTGATGAAAGTGATTGATAAATGAAGGGTAGTAGCGGTAATGAATAGTGGGAATTTCAATGGTTATTTATAATCTTTTGTCGTTTATTAGGACTAAAACAGTATATATTATGTATAACCTTTTCCCTTTAAGCTCCGTCTCTCCTTTCTTATTTTTTTTTGCTTTTTTTGCTTTTTTTAGTTTTTTAAATTATTCTTATTTTTTATTTTTTATTTTTTATTTTTTTTTATTTTTCACAAGAGAGCGAAATATTAAAACAAGACACAGACATTTCTTACTCTATTTTATTTTATTTTCCTTAAAGCAAACGTTTGCTCTTCTTCTAAGAGGTGTATCTATTATAAAATATTAAAATATTAAAATAACTCTACATACATCACCTGTTTTATAATCCTTTTAATTTATTATCTTAGCTATATGGAGTACAGTATTAAATTACTAACTAAGCTAATGTCCCAAACATGTGTATATATTCACTATACAACACACACACATACACACACACATACACACACAATTCCTTTTTTTTCTTGTGATAATAAACCTACGCGCAAAAACCCATTACTCTTCATCATCTGCTTTTTACAATACTATCTCTCTCTATTGTCTTTGTGTAAAAAGACAATAAGGAAAGGAGAACAATAGAGTAAGATCTCTCTGTCTTTGTTTTCGGGTCTTTAAGGATTTACTTTCATAGACTATTTGTGTATTGTCTATTTATCTATTTGTCTATTTAGTTAGTTGTGTGTTTCACATCCACCAGGAAGAAAGGATATCATATTTACACAATGATGTCAGATTTGTGCATTGTGTAACGAAACCTCAAGTGGGGCAGATGCGAGGGGGGGAGGGGGAGGAAGGATATTTGCATTAAACGAGGAATAAAGCCAAAGTAATGTACACAAGGGTGGTGGGGGGGGGTGTAAAAAATAAGATTTCCAACCAACCTACTGCTGAAAGGCGGTATTTGATAGTTTATAATAACAAAAACAAATAGAGGCATTGAAGTTTTGTACTTTTTGAGTGTATTGGGCAAAGTAAATTACCAAATTAAGTAATTACAAGCCGCACGTTGTTTGATTTTTACGACATGATGAGAAGAGACAAACAGACAAAAACAGAGGAAGGAAAAAAAATTTTTCTCGTACTACTGTCTCCTTCTTCTTCTTCTTCTTCTTCTTCTTCTAAGACACCTCCAAACCCCCTTTCAAAATTGGGGGTGACTTGCGACCCACAATTGATATATATTTTAACCTGTATGTTACAATTACAGCCATAGTTTATTACCCACACATTGAACAAAAGGAATATAAGAATAGCAAGTTTAAAAAAAAATAGAAGTTATAGATAACGAATTATTTTTTTTTTAAAAAACAAATGATGATTAACAATCAAAAATAAAACTTATCTACATTATTTGAATTAACAACAAATGTAAAGAAAATTGAATTATATATCTGATTTTTTGTTTCAACAAGGAGATACATGGAATAACTTGCAAATATGTGTGTGATGGGAGGGCTTTTGATCTTAAAAGAAATCTTAATACTAACTAAGTAACTAAACTAGCTAACTTTCATACACGTGTGAGTGTAGATACAGCCTTGTGTGTCTTATTTTCAACCGAGCCTTGTTGTAAAGGTTTAGACGTATTAGATTTTTTAAATGAAGCATTTCAATATTGTATGTTGTTGTTTTTAGTCCCTTTGCTTGTTGTTACTGATATGTTTATCCATTGTAATTGTTAATGGAAGATATCGGAATACAGCAAGCCTAAGAGATAACAAACATAGAAAAAATAAAACCATACAAAGAATGAAAGTAACCACCATCAGCAACCACCACCGCCACCACCAGCACCACTAACAACAACAACAACTACTACACCAATGGTTATTGTGTCTTATCTTTCTCTCTCTCATTCGATAGCAAGTTTAAGCTATTTTGAATTGTGTGGCGTCTTCGCTATTGTTTTTCTTGTTTTACCTTTTGAATGCGCCACGTTCTTCTTTTTAATATCCTTTGTTTTTTTTTTTTACTTTTTTTACTGTCCCCTGTTTTGATTGTAATGAATTGAATCAAACGTACATCTAGTGTTCCTTGTTTACCTTTCATCACCATCACCCTCCTTTATTTTTGGTTTCTGGTTCTAGCTTTCAAAAAAGAAAGGGGACAAAGGCTAATTACATATATTTTGTTTTACTCTATTTACCACCTAGTGCATATACGTCAGAACCAGGTTATATGTTTTAAGCAAATGAACGTATTGACTCCTTTTCAACTTAATGGTGAGTACATTTCAATTTCAGGTTCTTTTCAGTTACAATCTGAAAATTTAGACCATTTTAAAAACATCGAGTAAAGGTTATGAGTTTTCATCTCTGCATATGATAAACTTTATAAACTGTCTTTAGATGCTATAATTCCATAGTTACTTCTGCTTTTGCCATTAGCATTGAACACTTTCTTATTTGCGATAGTCAACAACATCATACCGTGAACAAGAAATGAGGTGATTAAACTTATATACATATTAAGGTTGATATATAGGTTTTTGATTTTCTTGGCCAGAAGTTGTGCTTTAGTACTATTGTCTTATGCCGTATCACAAAATACTCCATTATACTGAATCTTTACAAACACAAGCACAAGCACAAACACAAACACAAACAAGAAAAGCCGAGGAAAAGAAGGCTTGCAATACAAAAGTATAATGTCCAGTTTTGTCTTTTCCCATAACCCGAACCCGAACCCGAACTCGAACCCGAACTCGAAGCCAAAATATCCCTATTGTTTCCCACTTTCGTACTTTTTGCAGCTTGTTTGGTATTGAGACAAACCTTATTTACACCCCCTAGTAATAACCCGCACACAAAGCTTACTTCTTGCTCTTGTAATAATTGATCTCCTGAATAAACTTTTATACTTTATAATTTTACGAACTTCGACTCTTTTGAAAAGCTACTACAACTAGTTTCAATCATTGTGGTGTATGTTGTGTTTGTGGATAGATGCAGAGGAAGAAACGAATGACTTGAACTAGCAGTATTTTAGCCCAATTAAATGAACTTCAATACATAATAATCAGATGTTCATATTCTTGTGCACAAGCCTTCTAGCAGGGAAACCAAACATTCATTTATTGAAGTTTGTGTTGTAAAATTTTACAATGTATTCTAATTCGCTTCATAGATGTATAAACATTTGTCCCTGAAAAAAGTCTAGATTTGTCAAGAGTTACTCTTTAAATAATCCTCCACTACCCCCACTTATAGCCCCACGATACCCCCAAACGAGCAGGGTTTTCTTTCTTTTTTTATTTCATTTTCGTTTGGTAAAACGTTTGAAAAATGTCTCCCGCCTTAGTTTCATTTGTTTCTTGTCTCCTTTTTCTCTCTCTATCTTTCTCTCTTGTTTAAGTTGAAACCAAAATATTTACCAAAACAGAGTCAAACGTTTGTGTTTTTCTTCTTTTTTTACTCCTTTTGGAGTTTGTTTTGTCTTAGTTAAGAGATCTAGACTCCATTTCGGAGTAGCCAATTGCAAGTTGGTTATCACTCTATGCTAATAGTCATGAGGTTTGTAAAACATGCTTCCTATATTAGTACTATGTACGCGCAAAACACTGCCGAGTAATTCGATTTACTTTCATTCAAACTACCAACACCGATTAAGTCCCTTGTTCCCGTTCTTAGCTCTATAGGCGATTGTAACAGTCCCACCAGCAGAACCAGAAACAAATTTAGTTTCATCATACTTATCTTTCTGGTCATTACCATCAATAGCCAATGGTGAAAATTCATTTCTTCTTCTTTCAGTATAATGCGGTCAAACGTTACCAAGTTAAAACTTAGCAAAAGCTTCAATGCAATTGAATCAACCTTATTGAATGTGCTATTTGTATATGTTAGCAGAGTGTGAGCAGATGAAACTAGTGGATCTATAATATGCCAAAGGCGCATCGACCTGCATTGATTAAGGTTGCATTGCGTCTTCTTCTATTAAACACACCTAATTGCAGACGTATGAAACACACTTTTGTACCTTTTTGCAACAAGAACCAAACAGAATCAATTTCGAGCCGATTGCAGCTCCTACTTTCGACCTCATACCATCTGCTTGAGATTATGATTTCGAGAAATTCATCAACGTGCGGCTGTGGCTTGGGACATTTGAAGCGACAAGAAAGAGAAAGAAAACAAAAAAAATTTTGACGGCCGCAAAAGCGCATAAAAAGTTGCGTCCAATTTCTGTGGTGTGATTCACACTTTACTTCATTACAAGTCAAATGGGCTTTAGCTTTACCAGGGTCAAGATTTATACATTATAAGCTACTAGCACTCCATATTAGCACGCCACTTTTTCAGACTTGAACCAATTTACAGTCTTTAATCTTCTCCTTTCCAAAATAACACAAAAAAAGTGCATTCATAAATTATGCGCATACGCAACCGCTAGTCAATGGAGAACAGTGTAGGGAAAGATTGGAAAAATTTATCGAAATCATCAGATGTTGCAACTACACATAAAAGAAGATAATTTTACAGACATATACACTCCATTCTTTCTATACACAGCAACCATGTCCAAGAGTAATACAGTCAAGACCAGGGAAATGGACTATGACATAGCCAAGATTCAAACTGACATCCCCGCAAATGATTTGACTACAACCACATCCTTATCATCCTCATCGGTCAAATCACTGCACTCTCGAACCACGCCTAAGCAGAACTCAATTTTCTATTACCTCAATCTAATCTCGACCAAGCTTGATTCATTAGGGGTAGAAACTAGAGGCATAGAACGTATCCTACCGCATGAACGATCAGCCAACAAGACAAGCCAATTCATTAGTGTCCTCGGTCTATGGTGTTCAGCATGTGGTGGACTAACATCAATGTCTTCATTTTTCCTCGGTCCTTTAACATATGAACTCGGATTGCGTAATACGTTGATTGCCGGGATAATAGGCCAAGGGTTAGGATGTGTACTTGCTGCCTATTGTTCAATGATGGGGCCACGTTCTGGGTGTCGACAAATTGTGAGTGCTAGGTTTCTTTTTGGATGGTGGTTTGTCAAAATCGTGGCATTGGTGTGCATTATTGGAGTATTGGGGTGGTCCGTCGTCAATTGTGTTGTTGGTGGACAAATTTTGGCCAGTTTGAGCAATGACAAGGTTCCGCTTTGGGCTGGCATTGTTATCATTGCTGGGGTCACGTTATTGGTTGCCGTTGGTGGAATCAAACAATTGTTGAGGGTAGAGACTTTTCTAAGTATACCGGTAAATCTTTCATTCTTGTTGTTGTATATTGTTGCCTCGCAAAAGTTTCAGTACTTGACCTTGGATGACGCGATACTGGATCCAGCTACAATCAAGGGGAACTGGTTAAGCTACTTTTCGTTGTGTTATTCGATTACAGCCACATGGGGTGGTATTGCTTCTGACTATTATATCTTGTTTCCTGAAGATACCCCCGATGTGCAAGTGTTTAGCGTTACTTTTTTGGGAACGTTTGTGCCCACCACATTTGTCGGTGTGATTGGATTGCTCGTTGGTAATGTGGCTTTAACCTATAAGCCGTGGGGTGATGCATATGCGAAATGGGGTATGGGTGGATTATTGAATGAAGCATTTAAACCGTGGGGTGGCGGGGGCAAATTCCTCCTTGTTGTCATGTTTCTTTCTTTAATTTCAAACAATATTCTCAACACCTACTCGGCAGCTTTTGATATACAAATGGCAGGAGCTTGGTTGGCGAGAGTTCCACGTTGGTTCTGGGCAATTGTGGTCACTGCTATTTACTTGGTGGCGGCATTAGTCGGTCGCGATGAGTTTTCAACAATTTTGGGCAATTTCTTACCCATGATTGGATACTGGATCTCCATGTATTTCATATTGTTGTTAGAAGAGAACACAATTTTTAGAACTGATAGGTTTAAACATTTATACGAATTGGAGTTTGCTGAAGAAGGGTCGTATGACGCACCATCATTGACTTATGAGTTCTACAATATTGATGATGGGTACAACACAAACAATGGACAAACTCAAAAACACCATTATAATTTCAAAATATGGAACGATTATCACAAGTTGACACATGGATGGGCCGCTGCTGCATCGTTCTTAATTGGTGCCACTGGTGCTGCTGTTGGAATGGCGCAAACTTATTGGATTGGACCCGTTGCACGTCGAATCGGAGGCGAGTATGGTGGCGATATTGCCATGTGGTTGTGTATGGGATTTAGTGGGCTTGTTTATCCCGTATTGCGGTACATTGAGTTGAAGTATTGTAAGCGGTGATTTCTAGTGGTTGATACGTTTTGTTTGATAGAGTAATAGAGGATGTACAAGAGTAGCATGGATGTAGAATGGCATAAAGAGGCTCAATTCTTTGATACAGCTCAATCGCATATAAGCGTTGACTTTGTTTGCAGCCAGATTTTCACTACTCTCGAATTTAGGCAAAACATCTACCTAATATTCAAACAGCCTCGAGTTTTCCAATACTATTCCCTTCTACATCTTCTCCAAGAGAAAACACAATCACTTCTTTGCATTCAATGCACCCTTTTTGAAGAAACTGCAAAATTAACACAACATACACGACCATCATATAATTTTTCATTTTGGTGATTCAAAACCAACTAAGTCCTACTCCAACAGAAGATCATTCTACGTCACCCTCACCCTCCCACTCTTCCCCACGATGATGTTCCCCAGGTCATTTACTACCAGAATGCTGCTCCGCAGTACATTCATACGACAAAACTCAACCACGGCGCAATCATACATCCGTCCCAAACCAAAACTTTATTCACTTTTAAAAACACCAACAACAAAATCACTAATCTTGTCACTTATATGTACTTCAGTAATGATTGATTTATTAAAAATCCGTCGTGATTTAGATTCGTTACAGAAATCATATACGATGAAATTTGCATTATTGGGCGAAATTATAACCAAATTGACTAATGGTGATTTAATTGATTTGAATAAGGAGTTGAAATTAGCTAATGCGTTTACTAGTGGCAGCAAGTACGCATCGGTTAATGATGTTGAATTGGATCAGGAATTAGAGGAGTTTTTGCGGTTGGCTGAGTTGGATGGCGATGTGCAAGAGAGTAAAGAGCAAGGTGGCACTTATTTATAGAAATTCAAAAACACTTTATTAATACACATTGAAAATAGGGGTTAAAAAAGGGACCCGATACACACATACACCCTGTTTCACTTTCACTCTCCTTAGATTATGGCGATCTTTTTGATGGTTCTCCTATGATTCTCACCAGTTTCAATAATCTTACCCTCTTGTTGCAACCTCTTCAATCCATCATTAATATCCAGATTCTCGATTCTAAATGAACTTCGCTCATTAAGCTTCATGGTCAAATCATTGAATCTTATCAAGTTGTTATTCTCATCAAGAATCTTTAAAATTTCATTGACCAAATCTTCACGAATACGCCTTTGTTGAGATGTTGTTCCAGTTTGAACCATATCCATATCTATTCTACCAGTTACAGGGTCAGTGGCGTAATCTTTGATTGCTGATTTAATCAAACGAACTGCTTCTTTAACATCAATTAGTTGCACCCTATCGGAAAATCTCATCTTGGCATGCGCCTCACTCAACCTAATCATCGATTCCAACTGTCTTGTAGTTGCTGTGATTCTCTTTTCCGATAATCGAGCATCTTCCCCTAATTTCCTCATTTCCACGTATGCTCGAACCAATTCATTTTTGGCTTCGTCGGTTATAGTTGGATTGAAGTTCTCCTTGGCATATTGAATATATAATGCCAATTGCTCCACTGGCAACACATAATTGTTGGTAACTGTATCTGGCGCATCTTCCAAATACATTTGTGTCAAATGTCTAGCCAATTGTCTATCAAGCCTTTCATCAACTTTATCCAAAATCAAATAAACCAAATCGAAACGCGACAATAATGGTGGTGGCAAGTCAATGTTTGCCGTGACGGGTAAATTTGGATCATAACGAGAATTGATTGGATTTGCTGAAGCCAAAATAGAGGTTCTAGCATTCAACGTGGTGATAATACCGGCTTTGGCAATAGATATAGTCTGTTGCTCCATAACTTCATGCAAAACCGATCTTGTTGAATCACTCATTTTGTCAAACTCATCAATACAACAAACACCACCATCAGACAACACTAATGCACCACTCTCCAAAACCAATTGTTTAGTGTCAACATCTCTTGTAATATATGCCGTTAACCCAACAGCTGATGAACCTTTACCGGAAGTATAGACCCCTCTTGGAGCGATTTTATGCACATATTGCAAAATCTGCGATTTCGATGTCGATGGATCTCCACAAAGCAAGATGTTGACATCGCCTCTATACCTACCACCTTTCTTAAAAGTTTTATTGGTTCCTCCAAATAATTGCAAAAGAATACCCTTCTTCACATCGTCCATTTCATAGATGGAAGGTGCTAATGATCTTGCCAACACTTCGTATAAATCATCCCTTTGTGAAATTTCCTTCAACTGAACTTCCTCCTCCGGCGTGATCTTTCTCGTCTCTTCAACATCTTGATCCTTTTCGGCCAACTCGTTTTCCAAAGTTGTGATATCAGCACCAAGACGTTTCTTGTCAATTTTTTTAATGTGGACAATATCCAAATAAGTCTTGTACAAACTCTTTAACGCACGTTGTCTTGAGTTGGCTCTGACTGGCAACGAACGGAAAATTCCACAAACTTCAATACGATCACCAGCACGACAAGTATCAACCAACTCATCGTAAACACATAAATTGATCGAATGGGGTGTTTGTCCATCAGGAACCAAGTCTGGAGTCTCTTGCAACCTGACAACTTGTTTATCAGCAAATGACGAACGATTATGGATTAAAACCATTGAGTTTGACTGACCGCAAACTTCTCTTGGACATTTGGTAGGTTCAGAAATGACTCCTCGATCAATTTCAACCCCAACTGTGTGTCCACAAACATTACATTTGAAAAAGGCAACCTTCATGTCAGGAATGATTGGAGTTGAACGTAAAGTAAGACCCTTGACACTAACTAGCTTATCAATGTCATTTGGATTCAATTCACGCATACCTTTTTCAACCAAGTTGATATTGTATGGACGAATGGTGTACACCTTAGTCTCAACTTCGTCAAGTTTAGCCGGAATGTCGTCCTCATCACTATCCTGAATAATTTGAACCAAACAATCTTTGATTGTGTGATCCATAATTGGGATGATTTCTTGAGGGTAATTGATCAATTGGTGATACAATTTTCTTGTAGGGGGATAACACAATAAATTCTTTGCATCCAAGTTAAGATTATTCAATCCTAATTCCCTAATGGTATTCAACTTGTGTACATAGTACAACTCATGATCCTCCGGTTCAACATCTTGGTGGTCAGCTTCCTTTCTGTACCTGTACTTGAAACTCAACAAGAATTCCCTAAAGATCAATGAACATTCCTGAATAGACACATTAGTACCCCAAATAACTCTTGTAGGTTCATCGGGTTCAACGAGATCAGAGTTAAACGCAGACGAAGTTGATCTCAACTGAGAGTCTTGTCTGTTACCACGTGGTTGTGTAAATGTTCTCCTCAGCGGTGATGAAGCAGCATCGTTGATATCACTTCTCTGGTGTCTTCTCATTATTCTATCGACATCATGCACTCTATTGGCCCTTTGAGAACTAAAGTTACCAATTTCCGAAGTGTTATGAGCCGATGATGTGTAATGTAAAGGCGAGGACATGTCATTTCCTCTAGTTTGTGAATTGGCGATATCTGAACCAGGGTTTGATGAATTGAAAAACAACGGTGATGAAGGAACTACCGACTGTTGTTGACTTTGGGATATGGATTCGGAGTTTCGATCAAGCGAGTCACCTGGGTAGGTATTTGTATTGTTACTGCTATGAGGTGGTGATGAAGACATTGTTTATTTAGTAATGGCAATAACTGGTGGAAAGGAGAAGAATTAATGGGTTCTTTCTCTGATGAAAATGTACTTTGGTTAGGAGGTAAAGAAAAGAAAAGTTTAAAAAAAAAAAAGATAAAAAAGTGTTGTTACGCGTCGCATCATATAACATTTCCTAATTGGGATTAATTACTAAAAACAAAACTTTACTACTCACTATCCTTAATTCCACCTTCGCCAATAACATAAACACATTCACTTTCAGGCATATTTGGACTATCCAATAATTTTCCCACTCTCTCATCACCACGCCCTTTTCTCAACAAGATCCTAGTAGCAGAAGCATGCGCAAGAACGTGACCCCCTACCGGCTTCCTTCCATCGGCAGCAGCAAATAATGAACTGGCCCCAGGATCACTTTGAACCTGGTTCGTTAAAAAGACAGCAACATTGTAATCTTCAGCCACCCTCGTCAAGTAAGCCAAGTGCTGATTCAATTTTTGTTGTCTCTCATTCAATTCGCCTCGACCGGAGTAGTCGACGCGAAAACAAGCCAAGATAGAATCGACTATTAATAGCCGATAACAACCCGTTGCCAATTCATCGCCCAACTGCTCCACCAATTCAATTTGATGCTCACTATTTAATGCACGGGCGTAGGATATATTTTCTAGACAAGCCAATGGATCGACGCCAAATCTCCGGGCAATGGCCTTGATTCTTTCTGGCCGAAAAGTGCCCTCGGTGTCAATAAATGCAACTTTACCCTCTGCCCCTCCAAGACTTTTACTCAACTGTGCAGCAACGCATAATGTATGACATAATTGAGTTTTACCACACCTGTACTCGCCAAAGACTTCAGTAATGCTCATAGACGTTAATCCTCCTCCTAACATTTCGTCAAACTGACTTGAGCCTGTGGTAATTTTGAACACGTTTTCACGAAGTTCGGCTACAACACTGGCAGTGACAAATCCTGTGGTCTACGTGCATTGTTAGTCTAACGAACACACAACGGAGCAGTCTTTTACTTACTTTAATCTTTGCAGCTGCATCTTTAATCTTTTCTACTTTAACTTCACTTAATCCTTTGATCTTAGTGAGGTTTCTCCTTGTTGAAGATAAAACAGACTGGGCATGGGTTAGTCTCAGCCACACTTGCAACAGATCCAATGGGTTAGCACTACTTACCGCAATTGAACATATACCTGCAGATCTGAGCTTAGATATATCCCCAGCATTGATTCCTTGATCCTGAAGGAGGTCGATTGATTGCACTTGCTCTGTAAGACTCATCAATGTGGTATAGTGTGTGTTGTATAGTTTTTGCAACCAAATTCAAAGAAAAAAATTGTTTTGTTGAGAATAGTGTTAATATAAATAGTAAAGAAACAAGATAGATTTACTGCATGATCAATTATTGTTTGAGAATTACATGAAAAGTTGATAGGTACTACTAAAGTCTATAGACACAAACCACATTCAATGAAAAGCTTTCCGATATTGATTAACCCCATAACCAATGACACTAGCCTAAAAAATATTTCAAAAGTCAATGTTTTTAGCAGTTTTTCCTCCCTCTGGTGTTTCATTTTCCTCCTTTGAATCATCTTCCACTGGAATACCCCACTCTTCAATCTCAAACTTCTTTCGTCCGTTCTTAAAGGCAAACTCCCCATCATGTATCATCATCAACCCTCTCTCTGATAGCACAGGAAGTTTTATGATATTAACCAATCCCTGTTGTATCTTTGATGGTTCGTTCTTGTACGCCTTCTCAATCAATTGACTCATTTCCTGATTAAATGGTTGAAGATGAATAACTGAATCAAACAAAATTTCCAATACTGCCGTCAAGCTGGTATCCCTTGGATATAAATCAAGTGGCAACGAGCCAATAAGTACAAGATTGTTTTCAAACTGGCGGAGCAAGGATCGAAGTGAATGCACTAACGGAAACACAAAAGTTGAGGCCGCGTATGAGGGTGGATAAATTGATGGGTTTAAAAATCCGGGGATGATGAGCCTAATCACTTTTGAAGGGTTACTCTTGAGCTGTGTCTTTATAACGCTTGTGAGCTGGTTAATTATACCCGCAACAGTATTCGACAATGCCACATAGGTAATGTCTTGTGGGTTAGGTCCAGGCTGTAACTTTTGCGTGATATCGAATTGGTTATTGTAATGTTCATAAGCTCCACCGCTCTCACTCTCTTTGGCATCCTCTTTCTTATTCAAACCATATCTCCAAGCAATCTTCATCTTCAGGTCATTTCGTGCAACATTGGAGCCGTGAGCAATGTTTGACACACTCACCTTAGACTCATTTTCAGCGATCTTGGCCTTTTTTTGATCCTTGGAGGAGCCTTTGTAGAGTCCTGGCAAATCGTTTGACCAAAGCGGACTCAATCCTAGCACAATGACATGCGAGTTGAGTTGGTTAGGTGCAATCCGGTTGTGGATGATACCTTGCGAGACAAATGTTCGTAGTAATACTGACGCAAAATCAGTTGTACCAGACTCTTCCACTAGCAATGAGTGACCCAACGGTAAACCTTGATGTAGTAAAATCTTATCCAAATCTGAGCTTCCAGTGGAAATAGTTGGCTGGGAAGTAATCAATGAGGGTCTCACTGCAGGGCTGTCTAATATAGATACTTCTGGTGTAGTAGTCGGAGTTTGTTTTACAGTTGGACCCCTTCTAGAAATCGATGACGTTGGTGTAACAGGTGGTCCCCTGTTCGGAACACTGCCTTGTCTGTTCGGGATAGGGCCTTGTGGACCACGCACTGGAACCGGTCCGCCTCCCAACACCTCTCCTCTTTTCCGAAATGACATTGGCAATGAAGATTGTATGTGAAGACGATCTAATGAGTAAAGATGCAATGTGCAAAGAAGCAAAAAAGGGAATGAAAGAAAAATAAAAATACTCGCAAATGACTTTACATTACTATCACCGTACACCAATATCCATTATGGGAGCTGCGATATCCTTACCTCTAATTCCAATATCGTCGCTTGCGTCATGTTTTGGTGCAGCGGCTTGTTCAGCTCTATGCACATCAATAGGTGGTACTTTCAAATCTTCGATTATGACTAGAATAACATACGCAATACTATTGTTGGTCAATTCATTAATATCTTGGATCGCCTTATCTCCCTTCATCATTCGGAAACTCGAAAAAGCAACATTTGGATTCATAAACATTAGCTGTGGCCCCGACGGCAGTCAGTGCATTAGTTTCACTTCCGTACATAGAATTAATTTTGCCTTGGGAATGTTGCATTTGATTTTAGCGGCGTTGTTGGTGAATGTTAAATCGACGGCAAACCCAAGGGCCGTAATTCAAAACGGGTGCTGGAAAATGAAGATATTCGCTTGGATGACGTTCATTTTCATCAATTTTGTCTTGATCCCCGATGGCTTTTTTGTTTTTTACGGCAACCATATTGCAATCATCTTTTCAACAATCTTTTTAGGTATTGGGTTGATTCTTTTGGTTGATTTTGCCCATGCATGGGCTGAAAAGTGTTTGGAAAAGATAGAAATGGAAGATTTGACGGGAGAAGGTGATGCCGGGTTTTGGAAAAAGCTATTGGTTGGTGGCACGTTAACAATGTACATTGCCAGCATCATCTTAACTGTCGTTATGTATTGGTTTTTTGCAGGCAAAGGATGTTCAATGAATAAGACGGCAATAAGTTTAAACTTGGTTTTTGCTATTATAATATCAGCATTGTCTATACACAATACAGTTCAGGAGTATAACCCACACGCCGGTTTGGCTCAATCTTCAATGGTTGTATTCTACTGTACCTACTTGGTTATGAGTGCAGTTGCCTCAGAACCGGACGACAAATACTGCAACCCATTGGTAAGGTCAAAGGGAACCAGGACAGCAAGTGTGGTGTTAGGTGCCTTTTTCACTTTTATAGCAGTGGCATACACAACAACAAGAGCAGCCGCAAATTCGGCCTTCAGTTCTGAATCGACTGAGGATTTTGTTACTCCAGGTACATCGACGACAACACAGCCGTCAGCTCGAAGTGAGATGAGATACCAAGCTCTAAAACAAGCAGTGGATGAGGGATCGCTCCCCGAGAGTGCCTTGAATCAGGTGGACTTGTACGATGACGAAGAAGTCAATGATGAAGAGAGATCAACTGTCAAGTACAACTACTCATTATTCCATATCATATTCTTTTTGGCAACTCAATATGTTGCTACATTATTGACAATCAATGTAAAGCAAGATGATTATGGTGATTTTGTACCTGTTGGTAGGACATATTTTGCAAGCTGGGTTAAAATTGTGAGTGCCTGGGTTTGTTTTATCTTGTACGGTTGGAGCTTGGTTGCCCCAGTTATTTGGCCAGATAGATTTGGTGTGCTGTTGTAGAGACTATATAATGAATTTGATTTTGTTTTTTTGTAGCATCCTGCCTAATGCGGAAGTTGAGTCGTTTAAAATCTTATTGGTTAACAAAAGTCTGTCTTCACCCGAACAAAAAAAAAAATTAAAAAAAAAAAAAGAAAATTTGTTAACGAAAGAAATAACATTGAAAAATTGATTGGCAAGACAAGACCAAATTTTACCTATTCAAACCATGTCATCTATAATATCAAAGGCCACTGGGTTGGTCAGTTCTGTGGTCACTAAATCATCAGAATTTGTTAACTGTACCGTATACTGGTCTAAAGTTGGTGCTGAATTATCCAAAACCGTTTACCAAAAAGAAGGATTGGCCCCACCATCAATCAAACAATTTGAAACTGTTTACCAAAATGCATTCAAATGGTTAAAGACCCCAGCCCAACAACAAAAACTTATCGAACAAGCTAAATCATACAAACCAAATGCACAAGATGCTGTTAAATACGGTGTTTACGGTATTCAATTGGCAGGTTTCTTTGCCTTGGGAGAAATCGTTGGAAGAAGACAAATCTTTGGTTACCCAAAGTTAGGTGACGCTCATCATTAAATAGATGGAATAAATGTATATTATAAAACAATTGAGTACATAATTGGGAGAGAAATTTAACGAACAAAGAACTCTTAACTGCTTCAGCTTTCTTTTCTTCTTTTCGAAGCGGCTATCATCTCTTGCTTTTGCTTTCTTTTTTGCTTTATAACCTTTGGAACCGTACTAATTTTCTTTCTTTTGACTTCATGAGTCTTAATGTCTTTCTTTTCCTTCTTGCTTAGTTTACCCATATTCTCCATCCATTCGCTGAACCCCGCCTCGCATCCAGATTGCTTCATGACATTGATTATCGGCTTGACGGCTTTATCATCTTCTTTTGTAAAGAACGTTACTGCTCTACCGGCTCTTCCACCTCTCCCTGTTCTACCTATTCTGTGCACATATGCTTGCGCACTCTGGGGAACATCGTAATTGATTACCAAGTTTACTCCTTTAAAGTCTACACCTCTGGCAAGCACATCAGTCGTTATGAGGACCCAAATATCACCATTCTTGAATCTCTTGATTATTTCGTCTCTCTGTTTTGGCGTCCTTTCAGCATGTATCACGTCAACATTCAACTTATCGTACACCAATTCGTGAAACAATGCTTTGGCTCTAGTGATTGATTGTAAAAAGATGATGATGGGAGGTTTAAACTCTCCGTTTTGAACCATTTGCCTGATAGCCAACAACTTTCCTTCTTCATTACCGGTAAAGACCAATTTCTGATCAATGGTACTGCTTGCTGCTTCCTTATGACCGATAATTACCCTAACTGGGTCCTTCATGATGGAATGCGCCATCTCCTCAACCCCGGATGGGATAGTTGCGGAAAACATCGACTTTCGTATCTTGATGTTGGTTAAATGGTTCAATATTTCATCAGTCTGTTCAGCAAACCCTTGATCAAATAATTTATCGGCCTCATCAATTATCAACTGTTCTACTTTGGACAAATCAATCTTTTCGTTCTTGACAATGTCGATCAAACGTAAAGGGGTTGAAACAATGATGTCGTACTTGGATGCTTTGACAATATCATTATTCAATTTACTTGCAAGTTGCTTTGATAGTATACCAATGGTAAGCTTCTTTCCCCTTACCAAAGTCTCCAACTCTTGAAAAATTTGTACTGCCAACTCATTTGTAGGTGATATAATCAATCCTCTCACCCCATAGTTTTTCGCAACTTGTTTAGTAACAAGTTTTTGGATCAATGGTATTAAAAAGGCTAACGTCTTACCTGAACCTGTAGGTGCACATGCAATCAAATCTCTGTTAGCTAACGTTATTGGTATAGATTCACATTGGATAGCCGTAGGTTCAATAAATTCATTATCGATAAGATTGGATAAAAGCCTTTTGTCGATTCTAAACCTCCCAATCATGTCTTCAAAAGATCCAATCGGAATAGGGATGTCATCTCCAGTAACTTTGGATTTATGTAGGTTTCTAAACTTTTTAGCATCTTCTTCATCTTTCAACTCCAATGGGGGAACTTCAACTTCCTCCAGAGCTTTTATCTCCACACCAGCAGCATCTTCCTTTTCTGGTACCTCCTTATTATGCTTTCTTGTATGAAAAAAATCAGTCTCCTTCTCAACCTGATTTAATACAGACTCCTCTTTATGTTTCTGAGTCTGATTCTGCTTGGCAGAAGGGAGAGCATAATCAGTGGTTACGTCCTTTGACTTCTTTAGGGAAGCTCCTCTGCTTAGGATTCTGAAGATATCCATCTTTGTTGTTGTATGTTTCGTTAACGGTCAACTGAGATGATCATCGGGGTATCTCATTTTTTTGCACTACCCATCTTCATTATTCTCAAAGCGCTACCATCAACTCTTTTTTACTTTATTCACCAGATTTGTTACCAAACGAAAAAAGAAAAATTTTATCCAAAGGCATGAATTTTCATCCACTTGTACTGTGAGTAAAGTTGACAAGGTCCGTCCACCACAACAAACATTACTCCTCCATTGTCAATATGAGTATACGACAAACTACCCATTACGCCAAACGAAGTATGGCTCTACTTAATCAGCTTCGTTTTTTCCAACGTTCCACTAGCGTTTCATTCACTAGGTCGATTTACTTACACAGAGGACCAAGAGTTGAGGGATTGAAAAAGGACCCTCAAGAGGTGTTTATAAACCACAATGGCATAGAATACGAGCTCAATCAGAATAACATCCAGCATATTAAGTCATACCTTGGAGACAAATTTCAAATACCGGATGAGATAGCATTGCAAATCATAACCCACAAGTCCTTTGGGAATGGGATCAAACCCTACAATGAAAAATTAGCAACGATGGGCTCCAAGCTATTATCGTTGTTTGCTGCTAAACATGCCATTAACAAGCCAACCGAAAAAGATGCAAAACTTGTGATTAACGGCAAGAACTTGTCAATATTAGGCTCGCCTAAGGCAAAAGAACTACATGGAAGGAAATCAACTGGGTATTTTGCCAAGCTCAACGGATTGAATAAGACCATGTTTTGGAAATCAAGGAATCCTACATTGAATTTTGAATCCAGTGGTGAGTTAAAAGTGAGCTCACAAATGCTATATAGTTTGATTGGTGCTGTCAACATCTATCATGGCAAGGCAAAAGCAGAAGAATTCATCAATGACAATTTGATAAAGGGGTTGGAAGAGATTACTGACGAGCTTGTACATAGAGGATAATGAAACAATGAACTAGATGCTAGTTTTGATAAAAAAGTGCGTTGTAGAAAGGAATTTGATTTTTTAGTGTAACTCTCATTCTCCATTTTTTTGTTCTACTTCTCTTCAATCAGAAAGCTTTTATTCGTACAAAAACTAAACTAAAGTTAACTTACGATTTGTATTGAGCCTTGGCAGCTTCATAACCCTTGTTGAACTCGTTATGGGCTTCCTTTTGCAAGTGTTCTGGCAATTGAGCAATCTTGGAGTCCAAAGCGTCGTTACCAGTCTTGAAGGCATGGTTGCCTGAGGATGAGTGGCCAGTTGATGATCCTGCACCATATCCACCAGATGTACCAGCACCAGAACCAGTGTGGGATGAACCATAAGCACCAGAACCGGTGTTGGATGAACCGTAAGCATTAGATCCAGTGTTGGATGAACCGTAACCAGTTTGTGAAGAGGTGTTTCCGCGGGAGTCATAAGCACCAGCAGCTCCACCCTCAGTAGTTGATGGGGCATGTTTGCTAGCGTCTTGGTGGCCAGAATGGTGCTTAGATGATTGGTGACCTGAAGAAAGGTTGCGGTCTTCATTACCATAGCCATGAGACGTGGCATTTTGGTTACCGTAAGCACCTGTAGTAGCTGGCTCACTTCCGTAGTTGGCTGATCCATATTCATTGTTTGGATCTAATTTAGAGCTGTGAGTTCCGTGTTGACCTTGGTTTGAAGATCCATAAGCAGCAGCTCCAGCAGTTCCAGTGGCAGCAGTACCAGCGTGGTGACCAGATGAGCCATGGTGACCAGATGAAGTGTTGTCGTAGCCTGATTGAGAACCATAAGCATTGGAAGTAGTAGATCCTGATTGGTTACCATAGCCTGAGGAAGTGGTACCAGATTGGTTTCCGTAACCAGATGAAGATTTGTCACCATAACCAGAGGTTGATCCTGACTGGTTTCCGTAACCAGATGAAGATTTGTCACCATAACCAGAGGTTGATCCTGACTGGTTTCCGTAGCCAGATGAAGTGTTACCCGAGTGGTTACCATGTCCAGAAGTTGATGAACCTGCACCATACCCTCCAGTAGCTCCGGCACCAGCACCTGCGGCACCAGTACCTGCAGTAGTACCAGAACCAGAACCAGAACCAGAACCAGAACCAGAACCAGAACCAGAACCAGAACCGGTACCAGTGCTAGAGCTCTTGTTTTGTTGGTATTCCTTGTACTTTTCTTGAGCTATGTCAGTTCCCTTTTGACCATCTTTTCCACCAGCAAATTTACCAGCTTGTTCATTGTAGTTGTCAACGTCATCCTTTTTAATTCCTTTCAACTTATCGGTTAAACCCATTGTGTATTATTTTAATTTTGTTTAATTCTAATGTTTAGTTGTATATCTTGCTTTTGCAATGAAGAAAGAGAAAAAGAAAAGAGGAGGGGAAGTATCCCAATTGGCAATTGATGGTGAATTGATGCTCTATTTATATCATTGGCAATTGTCTAAAACGATTTGGAAAACTGTGGTGAAGTTTCACCGCCACGTTTCTATATTTTTTTTCAGAGGGAGGTTTTATAAGTATGCTTGCTACGAATGTTTGCTACAATTTTCTTGCTATTGTTTTATTTATAGATGACTTTAGTAAACCCACACCCCCTTTATTTTATTTTTTTTTACTTACTGTATATCCTGCGCATTGTTCTAATTTTGGGGAATTTAATGTTTTTTTTTTTAACAGTTGTTTGCTATTTGAAATGGATGCGAATTTATTTATTTTTTTTAATTTTGGGCTTTATTACTTTCCCAATTCCAATTCCAATTCCAATTGACCGATCATGGAATAGTGGATGTTCGTAATAGCAATTTTGGACTCCAATTGTAGTTCTCTGGAAACACAAAGAGAAGGTAATTTGAAAGTCTTTTGTTTTGTAAACTTCAAGAATCGCGCGACTTGAACAGGAAGGTCAATTGAGCTCAATTTGGTGGTTGGTTCTCGAGAAAACTGGTTTATACAGGAGAGAACGAATCCAAACTGAGCTAGGGAAGTCTACATAGACCAATTGAGTGAAGTTACATTCATCGCAACTAGAAAAACTGTGGTGCTTGCTGTGGAATTTCAGGTTTCTTCTCCTCCACATTTTTTGTCCCTCTTTTGTTTCGATACACAAACATAGATGACCGAGAGATGAAATTGGTTACGTAATTATGCTGCAACGTTTGGTGTTCTTTGTCGCGAGTTTAATGTCACGAAAGCAATTTCAATTGAATCGATGTCAAAGTCATTACGTCATAGAAAGCTCACCTGAATAATCTTTGACTCAGGTGTATTGTTTGGCACTTTTTGCGGCAGTGTGGTGTCGTCATGAGTGCTTTATTCACAAAGGGTCCTGGATCAGGGATTAATCAGAAAGTTAATTCTAAAGAGAATTATAATTTCGCTCATTTCCCTACAATATTGCCAACCGATGTAAAAGAGTCTCTCACGAAGTGTCGATTGGATTCCTCTCACTTAGAAACTTCCAGCACATGTATTCCCGATTGCCAATCAGAGTTACAACAAAGACCTCTAGAAGAAGTAAACTACCTCTATTATCTCACACTATACAAAGAACAAAGCAGTCTATCTATCCATTTACTCTAACTGACCCATCATGCTTTCTCTATGATCACTGGTACTTTAATGCGAGCACACTCGCCATTGCTTAACTCGAAAGTCAACTTCAAATGGTACGATCGCGTCATGAAACAAGACTGAAAATCAGGAACCAAGTTGAATCTGTCATACGAAGGACCCATAGCAGTACTTATAGGTACACCCTTCAAAGATAGGTCTCCGAGATTGACATTCAAATTAATTGAGGATGTTGCTGCGTTATTTGCCATTGTCCATTTAATGCCATTTTTCTTGTAATTAAATTTCTCATTGTCAACCAATACATCACCAATGACTAAATTATTTGATTTTTCTTCAATTTTGCAAATTGACTTTAAGTCATCGACCAATTGTTTTTCAATTCTGAAATTTTGCAACCCTAGCCTTTGGGTCAAATGATAGAGTTCTGTTGAGTAATTTCTAAATGGCCTGACGACATTATTGCTAAATGTGTCCAAGTCAACATCACGCTTACTATTATTAGGATACTTGTTGTAAACCAAGTCGTGGTTGAATTCGAGTGCTATCGGAGCATTCATTGATCTCATAGTGTGCACCACTAATTCAGCATCGATGGTTTTAATGGTTGGCGGAGCATTCATTTTGTCGTTGGATGGAAATATAGTCGTTAAATCAATTGGAACATCGAATTTCCACGTCTTCTCCAACTCTTTGATTGAATCCTCCCTGAATCTGCATGGGGGTATGTATTTCACACGATACTCTTGTTTTGGAGTTTTGACTTGCAAAACACCCAGGTTCTTATGTCCGGTGATTGATCTCTTCACCAACTGTATGTGTACTTCGTAGTACTCCAATTTCCTCATACTAGACTTGATGTCTCTTATTGAGTCGGCATGTTGATACGACTGACTCATTTTTGCCGCTTCAATCTCTTCCTGAGTGAGATCGGGTGACAAGTCAGGTATTGTCTTTGACTGCAACGCTTTCTCCAATTGGTTTCCAATGTCAATCTTATCTTTTACTCGTTTCACCAAGTTGTCATATAACAACCTATTCTCAACCAACTTCATTAACCTCTCATTTTCCGTTGGAATATTTGTAGTTGGAATCACTCGAATGTAATTCGTTAACTCCTTCAAAATGATATACTCATCACCCTTTGAATTGACCAACTTGGCATTGTCCTTATGCTTTGGAGTTACAATTTTCCCGAAATCAACTTCCCAAGTGGACTTTCGACCAATAAATCTAGCCATAACCCCAAATCCCATAGACGTGTTCATGATCGAAAAATCCTTAATTTTGTTTAAATTTCTTTCAGGGTAATGGGCAACTTCCCATCTTGACAATCCAATAGTTGGAGGTAACTCGACATGCCTTGACAAGTTATGCTCGTTACATTCGGAGTCAAGTAAATTGTTGGGAATCTTGAATGAAAAGAATCTTTTGTACACTCGATTTGGCAAGATTTCTTTCTTTGGACCAAAATATAAATATGTCCCATCAAGTGGATCAACAGTATTACCATACTCACATAAATATGGACTAGCAGTTTCGGTGACCAACCTGTTAATATGGGCTTCGTTCCAACTGCCATAAAAATCAAACATCTCCAAAAAACGACGAATTTTAACTGGCTCTAATTCATTGGGCATACGTTCATTGGCAACCATAAAGTTTCCTTCAAATAACAAGTAAAACATATCAAAAGGAATAGGTCTGTTGGAAGTGTTCTTGATAATGATGTAACCATTCAAGAGATTCCCTTGCTTATATTCATATATAGAAGGATCGATCAACTCTGGTGATTTGCCCACCTCACCTATATCTTTTGTGTAAAACACTTTGAGTTCCACGGCTTTGGAAATCTCTTGCTTTTCAAATGTCATATTTGGCAATCGATGTACATTGTCCAAAATAGTCTCCATCAAGTTGGCATTCTCATCAGCAACAATCAATGGGATATTATCAACAGTTGTGGTCGAGCTGTCACTGTCAACACGTCTGCTTTGTGCTTCTTCAAGAGATGTTGGGGTAGTTGACGCGGCTGAGGAGCCTATCTCGTGTACATTTGTGCTTTCTGAACTCGCCGACCATTCGGAGTTGTTGCATTGGTAGTGAGGTGGTGGTAAGTCATCATCATTGTCTTCAGGAACGTTAATATTCATTCCGATTGTAGACGTGTACATGGAGTATGATGGAAGTATTGTGCTAATAGTTTCATCAAACGATTGTGTTTTGGAATACTTTGGTTTCGGCGCCATGGTTAGAGGAAGGCTGAATAATCGATATGGAAGATGATGAAGGAAAAGAAGAAAAGTTCGTTAATTTATGACCAAAAGAAAGAATATGGCGGGTACAGTGGATTATTTAAATCCCAAAGGGCGGAGGAAAATTCCCACCATGACTAATGTGAAAATTAGACTGAGCCTTATTAAAGGTTTTTGTGTTAACAAAAAAACCACAAAGGACCTCGAACGCCGAGACCCGTACTACTCAGGCCGTTCAAACAAGCGTATACTCTACCAACCTTTGTTTAGGTTTAGTTTCTTGATTACGGTTCTGGTTTCTCTGATATTTATTACAGGGAGAGTTATGCGACTAAGCAGCCGTGGTGGGTCTCTTCTACGCTCCAAAACATTACAAATTCACGGCCTTTGGTTAACTAAAGTGTGTTGGTACTTTACAGTTCCGTCTGCAGTGTCTACTAGACAAGATGTTTTCACCAGTAAATAGTCACCTCCACTGTATTTACAATTCTACAATTACTATGTTAATAACGAAAGCGAGTCAATAAAAAGCCATGCAAAAGAAATTAGAAAACAAAAGTGGAGGATTTCTCAATTAAAAATTTTGCGCTAACGCAATGCGCATTCCACCAGTTTACGGCATTCACTGTATTTCTCAATACATCTGCTGTCCTATTGGTTATCGATTATGACTTAATTATTATTTAATATTCATGGTTCTAAGCCGGCTACGGCTTGATCTGATCTTCAATACATTAATTGATCTTTACTCTTAAATAGAAGGTTCTGGAAAATACGAGGAATGTACACAATGTATGACTCATGCAGAGAGGAAAAAAATTAGAATTCTTGTCGTGAGTTTAATTATAACGTTGAGGGGTTTCCCACTTTGAATTAGTGATCATAATATTTTAACTACGAAATGATAATCCATTATACCCCTTCAGCCGTTTAATTTCATGTGATTTTGACAGAGTTAATCTTTTTCATAAGTGGGAGGGAATGCAAAGGGGTAGGTTTATGCGCAATTTTGAGGGGAAAATGGTTAACGCCGTCTAAACTGCGACTGCGCCGTGTTAGTACAAAGTAAGCTATAACAGAGCTTAACCGTATAATTAATCTAATTTATAGTGTACACTGTATAATCTATTCTATTATTTCATCTCTTGCAATACTTCAACTCAATGTACCGCAACACCGGATAAACAAGCCCGCTGAATCCCATACACAACCACATGGCAATATCGCCACCATACTCGCCTCCGATTCGACGTGCAACGGGTCCAATCCAATAAGTTTGCGCCATTCCAACAGCAGCACCAGTGGCACCAATTAAGAACGATACCGTGGCTGCCCATCCACGGGTCAACTTATAATAATCATTCCATATTTTGAAATTGTAGTGATGATGAGTCGGCTGCTGACTGTCAAATTTGAATTCCTTATTGTAATCATCTACTGATGACGGTGCATCATACGACCCGTCTTCAGCAAATTCCAATTCGTATAAATGTTTAAACCTATCAGTTCTGAAAATTGTATTTTCCTCTAACAACAATATGAAATACATGGAGATCCAGTATCCAATCATGGGTAAGAAATTGCCCAAAATAGTCGAAAATTCATTTCTTCCCACTAAGGCAGCCACTAGATATACAGCAGTGATTCCAATGGCCCAGAGCCAACGTGGTATCTTTGCAAATACCCTACCAGCCAATTGTAGTCCAAAAGCTGCCGAGTAGGTGTTGAGAATGTTGTTTGAAATTAAAGAAAGGAAAATGACAACAAGGAGGAATTTGCCCCCGCCACCCCACGGTTTAAATGCTTCATTCAATAATCCACCCATACCCCATTTCGCATATGCATCACCCCACGGCTTATATCCAAGAGCAACATTACCGATGAGTAGTCCGGCAATCCCGACAAAAGTAGTTGGAATAAAGATTCCTAAAAAGGTAATACCAAATACTTGCACATCGGGGGTATCTTCAGGAAACAAGATATAATAGTCAGAAGCAATACCACCCCATGTAGAAGTGATGGAATAGCACAACGAAAAAAAACTCAACCAGTTCCCCTTGATTGTAGCTGAATCCAGTATCGCGTCATCCAAGGTCAAGTACTGAAACTTTTGCGAGGCAACAATATACAACAACAAAAACGCAAGATTTACCGGTATACTTAAAAGTGCTTCCACTCTCATCAATTGTTTGATTCCACCAATGGCAACTGATAATGTCACACCCGCAATGATAACAATGCCAGCCCAAAGCGGAACCTTGTCATTGCTCAAACTGGCCAAAATTTGTCCACCAACAACACAATTGACAACCGACCAACCAGTGACCCCAATAATGTTGACAAAAGCCACTAACTTAACAAACCACCATCCAAAAAGAAACCTAGCACTAACCATTTGTCGACACCCAGAACGAGGACCCATCATTGAACAATAAGCCGCAATCAAGCAACCCAAACTATGGCCTAATAACCCAGCAATCAATGTATTGCGTAAACCAAGCTCAAAAAGCAACGGACCCAAGTAAAATGACGACATTGATGAAAGGCCACCACAAGCGGAGAACCAAAATCCCATTACACTGATCAAAAGTTTTGTCTTGTTGGTTGAACGTTCATGAGGTAGAATACGATCGATTCCTCTAGTTTCGACTCCTAATGAGTCGAGCTTCTTGGACGCTAGGTTGAGGTAATGGAAAATCGAGTACTGTTTAGATGTAGTTGATGGTGTTGATGATGACGATGTTGTGATTGATGTGGAGGGTGTGGCTGCAGTTATATCATCTGCGGGAGAGATTCTCCCTTGCTTGTCAACATCTATGATCTTGACATCATCGCTTTTGGACATACTGTGTATGTGAATTCAAGGGAGTTGCAGTGGATGTGGGATATTATATAGATCTCAAATGTTAGTGCCACATCTCTTTGATTTGATATTTTTTTTTCTCCACCTGCGGAGTCAGACTCGTAAATTAAGAGTCATAATCCAAACAATGCATATCTTACACATTCTTTAACACTAGCGAAAGATTCGAATTGAAGCCCAAAACTGTTCAAAAGTAGTTTGACATTATTATATAACTAGGTGTTATTTGAAATGAGGATGTTAAAATAGTCTATATGTCTCTAATTCTACTTAATAAGTAATCTTTTCTATTAAACCACAATGTTTCATCATTCTCATCATCATCATCGTTACTCCGTCCTTCAACATTCATCTCATAGACATGCATCACATTTGGCAAAAGTCGATCTATCTGGAGTTTTAATCCAGCATTATGCCACTCATTCATCGACAATAAGTACCACAATGCCGATTTTCTAAATTTGGTTAACCCCATTGACGACCTTGTTGATTCAAGTTTAAATTTATTTCGATGCATTCCTTCTTCAACTGGCTCTGGTTCAGTCGCCAGGTCAGTAATGTATTTTCCCGAAGTGACGAAATAACGGCCATTATTATACCCCAATCTTTCAAATAAAAGACCCTTTATTGCTGAATACGACAGGTTTGGCATTGAACTATCAAACTCGTCGACTGATTTGTGCAAGTATTTCTCAATCAAATCAAACCACCATATTGACTGTTGATAAGTTTGACACATGAGCAAAAGTAACTCAACGACAATTATAAAGCTTGCAAGACTGTAGGTCTTTAAATTGAATCTCGATTTGAATGTGTATGATAAATTATCCATGTACGGCTCAATGATATCGTGTTTGATCCGACGCAATGTATTTCTATCTGGTGGGGTGGTGGAGTTTGTAGTATGTTGTAATAAAAGAGACACTATGCACATTTCTTGCGTTGAAGCACCATAAAGCCATGCTCGTTCACTACTGTAGTCTTTTCGCACAATGTCATACGTTGAATATGCATACTTGAAATCTTTTAGCATTAGTGACCAATCAGCAAGTTTTCTTGTCATCTGCTCGGGGGAAGATTTGTAGTATTGATTTTCACGATGGTTGAATGATGAATGTGACGAAGTTGAAGTTGAAGTTGAAGTTGAGGTCGAAGTCGATGAAAGCAAGTTTGAATCGCTATTGTTGAAGAGTTTTCGAGATGCTGAGAAAAATCTTCCTGTAATTGATTTCTTTGGTTGCAATACTTGATCATCCCAAAGTCGTAATTTATTCTGCATATGTGGAATGAGACATTTGTTGATGAAGGTATTTACACCAAACTTTATTGATGTATCGATGGACAGGGGCATGTCAAAAGTTTTAGTTTCTTCATTTAGGGAAAGACGCTGCAAATCTTCTTCAATTGTACAATTTTCAAGCAAGGACAATGATACAGGTTCATCTGCTACATCAGATCTTATGGCAAGTAAAGTCGATTCAATATTCAACTTCAGTCTGATGTTCTGCTGGAACCCTGATAATTCACTAGCATTGTACTTTGTTGAATCGAATACAACAAACACATGCATCAATAAATCATCAATTTGAAAATATTTTGGGAAATTGTAGTTTCTAAACTCAACCATCAATTTACGTAGATTGTCTATCGTATCATTCTCATAATCGATAACAAAAATCTGGGCCACTGGATGATTGAAGGTCTCAAATGGAGTTGGTCTATTTGAAGTAATGATCTTGTCAAGAAAAGTTAGATACAACTCTGAATCGGGGGTATTCTCTTTAGCGGCATGACGCAAGTACAGTTCTAGCGAAGAGATTCTAAATCTTTGTTCCAATTGCGGAGTTTCCATTGCTATGGCATTTCCCATAGACCCTCCCCCTGACCCACTCATCGATGAGTTCAGTTCTCTACTGGATACACTCACACCATCATGGCTCCTTCTCTGCTGGGCATTGGTCACCGAGAGTATCTCAGGCAATGTAGACTCAAACCTTATTGGGAAAAAATCATAACTCTTTGTAATTAGCAGCGTGTTGGTAATTTTAAACTGTTGATTAGGTATTGCATATTTGATATTGTTGCCAAAGGGTTTGAATATTTGCAAAGTAGATATTGAATCATTGCGATTTAGTACTGATTGAAAGAATAAATCGGCATTATGAGTTGATTGTAGTGAAACCACCGGCGAATATGAGTGATATAGTAGGTGCTGTTTGGAAACTTGTGGATCCAACCCCTTTGGAAAGTCCATTTATTGTATAATATGTTTGTGAAAAGGACAATAATGGGGTACGCTTTGTTTTGGTAGTATCGAGTATTTTTCTGTTACTAAATGGAGAGAGATTTTTGTCAGAAACTAATAATGTCGCAGAATGTGAATGTATGACATGTAAGAGTAAATTTACGACACTTTATGAAAGTTGGTAGGGAAGAAGTAGTTTGCCATGACAGAGAAAAACAACCATCCCAGTATTTGGATTCAAACCTTATATTCACCATGTTCTTGGCCAGAAACTACCTGCTCTTCTTTATCAAAGAAGAGCACGAGGTATAGGAGTCTCCACTCGGTAGTGTCTATTTCAAATAATTTACTATCATAAACATTAAGCATGAGATATGTACTGTTGAAATAGACTCCCCCTTATATACATATACGGCTGGAAACTGCAATCAAGGCTTTTGTTATAACGCCCTAGAGTGATGAATACTACGGATTCACCATTCAATTGACGAAGAATAAAAATGTACACACCCTGACACTAACACGTAAAAAATGAAAAATTAAAAAACGTTAATTTTTTTGCATATTTTACACAAAGCACAAATGTGTCTAATGTTTCGTCTGATTGAGGAAATAATTAGACGATGTAATGAGTCCAAGAACGAATTCTTCCTTCTTCTATTTAATGTGAGAAGCTGCACTGAAGCGTGAAGGATTGTAATGAACTGACCCCATTTTGTCAATCAAAGTAAGAGCTTTGGTCTCTGATAGCAATTCAGAGAAGGCTGACAACCTGTCAAATGTAAGTCATTGCCTCTGACTACTTCTTAACCGAACTATTTCCAACCTTTTGAACAAGTAGAAGCATTGGCTACAACTATACGTAAATCAGCTCACATCTCTCAGACAAACCGTGGAACGTACCATATTGATTGTCGTGGATACATAACACAACGGCATATCCGACAATGAAAAATATGAAACAAATTTGATACATTTCGCATTAATACAAAATGTAAACACAGTACCTAACAACAGACATAGAAAGTTAAGTTATAGTTTCAGACAGACACAAACATACACGTAGAAAAACAATTCATAGAGAAAAAAAAGCAAAAACAAAAACAAAAACAAAGCAGACAAACAGACAGACAGACAAACAGACAGAAATATATTAACAATAAATAAAAATTCTTTTTTTACAAAAGTACACAATAAAGAGAAAGGAGAAAGACACGAGATCTACACTCACCCTCTCTGCACTTCTATAAAACAACAAAAAAAAGAGAATAAAAAATAAAAAATAAAAAATAAAAAAATAAAAAAATAAAAAAAACTTCAGAAAATCTTTACAACCAAACTTTCTTCAAATCTAAAAAAAATACAAATTCAACAACCACCCTTCAACCCACATACGTATACATACATCTTCCCACTTTAGTAGCTTGATCATCACCATATCAACAAGCGTACTGTCCAATCGTTACTATCACCTCAATTTTTTTTTTCTTTCATTTCATTTGATACAACACGTTAAATCAGAAGACCAACTTTTTTGGCTTTTTTAAATCTTTTTTTTTTATTTGACCTTTTCAACAAGCATATTCTGATCTCGGATCGCCAGACGCAACCACCAATTCATTAGTATAAACCACCTTATATGACATGGCTTTCTACAACAATATACTACTACAGATCCTACTACTACTTCTACTAAAGTGTCTGGCAGTATTAGCTGACACCAGTTCACTATTCCAAAATGTCAGCCAGCCACAGCTAGATTATAGTTCCATTGGAGATCGAATAGGGTTTTTCGGATCATTCTCTGCTGTCAGCTTCTACAGTCATATGGGAGCATCCGACCAAGTTGCATTACCCTCGATGGACCGTTCAACAGACACTTCCCATAAGAAACGAGACAATTCATCATCATCATCATCATCATCAACAACAAACAGTCTATACGTACAAGACTCGTCCAACAACTTCAACTCAAAATATGCTGATTTAGATGGACAAATTAGTCAGCTATATCGCTTGTCTGATGATACAGTTGTACTCAATGGTGATTTCACCAAATTGAATGGAAAACTGGTTAAAAGTCCCATAATTTATAATATCACTTCAAACTCAACAACTGATATAATTACCGATAATGACAAGGTCGATGGACATATCAACACAATCTTTATCGACAATGATCTTTTGTATCTTGGAGGTAACTTTACCTACAACAGCACAGTCGGAGCAGCAATTTATAATATAACGTCAAAAAATCTTTCATCTACTTTGTTTCAGGGATTCGGTCACAATGCAACCATAAACGCCATTGCCAAACTCTCAGATGAAGACGATAAAAATAAGGGATCAATTTTGTTTGGTGGTTCATTTAGCACATTGGGTCTTTCAGATCTTCTAATACATAATATGACCACTAATTCAACGCGCCACAACAATGAGACCAATTCAACTATTGTGAGTGCCGAACAACAGATATCACTTAGACACGGTCTGTTTACAGCTGTTAACGCTCAAGATGACAGTGAAAACTCTGTTGTCATATGCCCGTCGGATGATAATGTTTGGGAAGCCAAGCCAAGCTCAGGAGCAGAATGGAAAGTCGAACTTCCTGATGAAATGAAGGGAGTTACACCCACCAAGGCGCGTATCTATATACCAGAAAGTGACAACGGCATCAAGCTATTCAGGATCTATTCATATCCCAATAATGGTATTATGAATCTTACTTATATCGATCCTGAAACTAATGAGTTGAGTACTTGTGATGCCTGGTGTCCATTGGTTGCTTTTGACCAATTGAATAATTATGTTGATAATAATATGGACAATGCCACCGACTTAAATCAAGATGATGTGTTTGTCGATGAAGATGATGGAACATACTTTAGATATTACGACTCCAACACTAAAACCAAGAATCTCGGTTATGGATCAAATTTTCAAGAGTTTGCATTCATTGATTCAGTTAGCTTTGACTCAATCGGATTAACAATTATAGATTGGTACGGTGAAAAGGGTGCATTTGCTGGGTTTGAACTATACCAAAATTCGATACAAGTGTTTGGAAATAATACATTGAATGAACCAAATTGTGGCAGTGATTTTGGGAAAGACGATAACAATTACGCCGAGATTGTCTCTGGTGATTTCCAATCTGTCAGGGACATTTCGTCGGCTGTCACAAACACTGATTATATGGTGAGTTATGATACGTCAGCAAAAATTGCATTGTACCCCAATATATCATACTCGGGAGACTACTCGATCATAATGAATACCCCGGGCTGTGCTACCGATAATTCGTGCACCCAAAGAGCAATTGTGAATGTTACTGTGTATGGTGATGACGATGACATATTGTCTTCAAACTTGATTTACCAAAATAATGAAAATGTCAAATTTGACTATTTATACCAGGGGCATTTGAATAGTTCTGATGGAAGCTCAAACAGAATTGAAGTCCTGTTCCATGAAGCAATTACTTCAGACGTTGCAAATCCATTCATGGTTATTGATAAAGTGGTGGCAAATATTGTTTCGTTGGACCTGTACTATGACCGTAATAATACCAACAACACAAAAAGTTCATTGAAGTCAAATTTTACCCGGATTGAGCTAAACGGATTATTTGAATATTCATTGGCTAATTTCTCAGATTTTGATGAAAATTTGGTACACTACAAGATCAATAACAAGACTTACTTGAGTCCAAACAACACCTACATAGGAAATTCTTCAATCAACTTGTTGAGCAGTAGACTCTCAAATGATTCTGTGATTGATGAAATCAACGTGCACGATGATTCATTGCTTATGCTTGGGCAATTCCAGTCAGATAGCAATAATTTGACCTTGACAAACAACAACTTGATTACGTTAAATGTTTCATCTTACAATACCACCTCAAATGAGTCAAATATTGATTTGCCGACAACACTAAGGAAGAGAGATACTCTGACCTTTAAAGGGGCTACGTTCAATAATTCCATATCAAAGACATTTAGTCTCAACAATGGTTTACTAGTGCTTGGCCAATTCAGCATATCTGACACCACAGTTAAGGATCTTTCCAACAAAAATGAATCGATCTCACTGGCTAATAACTTTGCTGTATTGGCAACAGACAACCAATGGTATGGATTCGGTAATGATTACGAAGATGCCAATTTTGATCAATTTGCTGATTTCACCATTGATGGAGTCGAGTATTATGTGTTTTCTGCACAAGGTTCAATATTCAAGACCTGGGACAATACAAACTTTAAATGGTCAAATCGTCAATTTAACCTTACACAAGCGACGTCATTGACTTCACTGTTGCAAATACTCGGAGGTTCTGGATTTAGTGTGATGGACTTTTACTCCAATGACCAAGCGTACATTCAGAATGCAAACTTTTCCAACTATGGCATCGATGTTGCAACCAATGTTGACAGTTACATTTCAAGCTCATTCTACATAAACACCACCATGAGTATAGTTGGGGGGAAATTCAACTCCAATAATGTCGAAAATGTGGGCATTATTAACAACAAGCAACCATCAAGCTCTCTTCAATCGTTACAAGGCGACATTACGTGGAATGATGATACCATCATTCAATCCTTGTATGTGGATAGCAACAGCGAATATTTGTTCGTTGGTATGAACTCATCAGTTTCAGTTAACGATCAAGATATAACCGGCCTTGTCATTTACGATTTGATAAATGATACTTTTGCTTCATTCCAACCGGCAGCTCTTTCCAATAGTAACGGCGACCCAATCAGTGTTAACTCGATAGTATTGTACGATGACGGTAAGAAATTGCTAGTGGGTGGAGATTTTGATACGGCTGGATCATTGAGCTGTCCATCCCTATGCATATACGATATTGCCAATACGAGGTGGCTTGATCCACAGAACGATAATACCGGCCAGACTGCGACAATTGATGGTGTTGTCACTGATATGAAGTTTTACACTTCGAGTCGAGTACTCATCTCAGGTAGGAATTTGACCCTTGACAATGACAACGTTGTATTCCTCACTTACAATTTCAAGGGTGGATCATTTGATACTATATCATCATTGAACTCGTTGAATAAATCGGTCAATCGGTTTATTTTGAATGACCGTTCAAATAGTGACCTGAGTGGGCGTATGGTTGCAATGGGCGATGACTTTATTTGCGGATTCGATGGATCCAAGTGGGCCAACATTGATAGCGACATTGACTATACTGATTCCAATACGTCTGTTTTCCACGATTTGAAATTGTTGACATTGTCAAAATCCTCCTCGTATAAAGGTGACTTGTTTGATAAGAGTAATATCTTACTTGTTGCTGGAACCTATTCGCTCAAAAATTATGGATTAGTCAATATGGCTTTGTATAATGGTACATCCTGGATCCCATATGTTTACACTACCTCACCAAGCTCATACTCAACCATCGGCGATGTAAAGACCATACTTATAGACGATTACTATCGTCTTCAGTCATCAGACGATTTGAAAAACTTACATAATTATTTATCAAAAGGGAAAGTTGTTGGTATTTCATTGGCATGTGCTTTAGGATCAACCTCATTGTTTGGATTATTGTACTTGATCCCCTACCTCGCTTTGCTAAGGAATCGAAAGGGATATGTACAAAGAATCCATGAACAAGATATGATTGATAGTGTCAATCCTGAAGATCTATTGCATGAGATTGATTTACAAAGAGAAAAGTAGCATTATAGTATTCTTTATGGTTCTATTCTTTTTAGTTTTGTATATTACTTTATAACATATATTCGGCGTTTTATGACTAATGGTTTTTGTAAATTGTAGAAGCATCAAATGTTCTGGTGCAGTACAATAAACTATAGTCTTTACTTTGAGTCGGATTCATTTCCTGCTTTTCCAGATTCTCTATCGTCCCCTTCATCTTCATCGTCAATATCGAAAAGCCGTTCACTATCCGGTGCTTTCGGCTTCTTATCATGGCCATCATGGTCTGTGTTCTCTCCATTTCTCTCTGATGAAGCACCTACATCAGCGCCACCAGAGCCAAGGTCTTCCAAATCGTCATCGTACTCAAAATCATCAGCAAATACATCACGATCGTATTGCTCTTGACTCAACCTTGCACCATGAGCCAACTCTTCATCAACGTTATCGTCAAAATCACCAAACAAGTCATCGTCTTCGTCGGGTATCGATACATAGTTTCTGGCTCCAGGATTACGTCTGAACACAGCATTACCAATTTTCTCCAAAACCATGCGATCAATCTTTTGCACTGTTTTAAAAGTGGCAAAAATAACAGCCGCGGTATAAACACCTCCTTTCACAATTTTATTCACAACAGCATCAACTTGGTTATTTTCAATGGGGTTGAATCCTTCTTCAAAATCTTGCTCGTCTAATCTAATTTGTCCTAGTCTTTCAAATCCACCGTTTCTTCTTACCCCACGATCGTAAACAAACCAAGTAGCACCAATGAAAATAATCAAGGGGATGAAAATGAGGAAAAACAATTTGCCACCTTTGACTTCACGTCCATAAAATTCATTAAATTCTTGTTCTTTGCCAGGGCATGCATGTGGACTATATGTGTCGTATTGCTTACCTCCTTCACAGGTCGAAAGCGGGATTTTCCTGTATCCGGTACTATCAAAATATTGGAATGCTCCCGGCTTACTGCACATGTCCTTTTTGCGGTCATTTGAAGACAACCCTGCCACCAACTTACACGTGTTATCTTTAGAATCACGATAATAGTTGTAGTCACATTCATAATCACGCCTAGTACATGAACAGTTTTTGGTCACTTTATAGCCCTCAGTCAAGGGTGCGCCGCCAATAAAACAGTCATTATGGCCCAATGCACGACGCAAGTATTTCGACTCGTGGCCGAAGAGACACTTGTCTGCCATGTTTGGATGAGATGGTGACCAATATTCATAATCATCGGAATCAGGGTGATCGAGATCCAATTGGCATTGACGTTTGTAGATGTTGGTAAAGTCAATTGAGTAGGATAATGTATCTCTCGTATCTTTTGGATGATGTGCGAAAATGAGAAATTTTCTTGAAGTATCAGTGGGAACAGTTGCTAGGTCTAATACGTTCACTGCCTTATCGGCAAATTTGTACTCGTTCCAATTCTTGCCTTCATCTAATGAATAAAGGAACTTGTCAGTCTCACCAACAGCATCGACTAGTACCAAAATTGTACCTTGATCTCCATATTCCCATTGGTAAACTCCCTTCTTAATTTCTCTCCAAGTGACACCACCGTCAACACTCAAAAAAGTTAATGCCGAGTCAACATCGCCCAAATACTCTCCAACATTACCTACGCCAATTAAAAACCCGACTGCAGAACCAGAAGAATAAGTATCTCTATAATCAGCACGCTCTGTGAAGCCATGTAGATGCAAAGCACATTTTTCAAGTGACGATCCACCACAATCGTACTTTTTACCATCCGAATCTACTGCAGGCGGTACCAAGTAATCCCATTCACTACCGTCATTTCTCGAGATGAGCGTTTGCAATTTCTTGGGTCCTTTACTGTCCCTGAAATTGGAAACGACATTCGCCAATATGGTACCCTCCAATCCATCGATCCGATCGAAATCAACATAGCCAACCTCATTTCTATTAACATGATCCAATGCCAAAACAAAGTAGGTACCGTTGGAATTGGACTTCAAAAGAGATCCATACTCAAACCCACTTTGCGAACTAGTAGTGACATGCATGAAAATAGATCCTGAACTTGAATCCAAAACAGTGTATGCTTGATGGGGTTCGACTTTGAGATCCTTGGGGAAATCTGCGTCGGCAAAGATTTTCCCGTCAACAGTGACTTTAGCTTCGAGTGACCCATCTTTGACCAAAGCAACAACGACATATCTATTCGAGACAGCATACCCCACGACATCATCGTATATCTTTTGCGGACTCTTCAGCCCATCGATTGAATACAAGCTCTTCTTCCCGTCATTCTCAACTTTAGTACAATAAATCAAGTTCTCAGCTGGTTTCTTAAAGACAGGACCCACGTAGTCACAAGCAACAACATCATCCATAATCTTCTTGAATGATTCGCCATAGGTTGAAGTGAGATATGCCGAAGCTTTGCAGTTACTTTCACCTCTATCACAGTCACCACCAAGCCACAAGTACTTCGATGGATCTGTCTTGTGGAATGCAACAGCATGTGACACGACAGGTACGTATTTTTTTGGTGTTTTGAATCTTTGGAAAACTTCACCCCCATCTTCTGAGTAGTAAAGTGTATCCGAATCAGAAACAAGAACAATCTGGCCTGGTATCATCCCAATATAGAAACCAAGAATCTTGTCGTGGATGGGCACCTTTATAAAGCTAACTCCTCCGTTGTTAGATACCCATACACTGTCTTCGTTACTTTTGAAGACAACATTATCAGAAATACTGTTTTCATTGTTACCAAGATAAGCGTACTGTGCCAACTTGCCTTCAAATTCGCTCGATGAAATCTTAATTTCCAGAGTGTCACCACTGGGGTCATCTTTCGGTTTCGTGTAGTCGGAACATTTGAGCTTTTCTTTTGTTGCAAAATCTTCCAACTTTTTCTTTCTCAATTCACATAGATTACCATTTATTTTTGACTTGTCATAAATTTCAAGAACATCTTTCGATTGCTCCTGACACATCTTGATAATCATTCTTGGATCAGGAATACATGTATTGCCACCTTTCTCACTCGGTTTGAATCCCAATGCGCATTCAAAATCTTGCTCAACACATTGACAAGGCTCCTCATAAACATGCACATCTTCAAATAACTTATTAACAAAACATTCTGCGTCTTGCTTTCTTCTTCTGAACTTCTCCTTGTGTCCGTAAACACATAGGCGTTCATTATCTGGAACTTGTCTAGCATATGCGTCCTCAAAGTCAGTGTCTTCACAAGTCTTGCCATTATATGCCTTGGAGAAGTCAACATGGTACAACAACTCCTTGTTTTCTCCTGTATGAGAATTGAGGCTTATTCCATGGATTAAAAATTTACGAGATGAGCCATCAATAGTCGTTATAAAATCCAAAATGTAAATTGCATCTTTAATATCCACTTTTTCCCAGTCTTTACCCTGGTTTAATGAGTAATAAAAAAAATTCACAGGGTCTGTCTTTTTCACTCCGGCATAAGGCATTGCTAGAATTACATTTCCCTGATCACCAAAGGAAAAGACACATGCTGTGTCCAATGCCAAATCCCAGGAGTATCCACCGTCACGAGATACAAATGTCTGCATTTCATTAAAATCATGGCTGAGGTGTTTCCCCTCAGTTCCCACACCCATTAATATTGCTGGTGTTGGACCCGTTATAAATTTTCCTTCGCCGCCAAGTTCACTAAATGCCCACAAATGTACAGAGCATCCATCTTCAAGTTTACAACCATCACTGTTCAGTTTAAGAGGAATCCAATCATCACCATCATTGTAGGAGTATTTAGAAATCAAGTCCTTTGATTTTCCACCACCAAAGATTATATCCAAAAGCGTCTTTTCTGAGTCTTCTGCCCTTTCAACCTGAATATCAGCGAGCCAAGCTCCATCGATATTTTCTACTTTCAAAACAACGTCACTGGCTATGTCTCCAAGTACCTCAGTAAAATGTAACCCCAACGAATCCGACCTAAACAACTTCGAAGCCCGAGAAGAGCCTCTACCATAGGACATGGTCAGAAGAAATAGAGCCGATGGCGACGAGGAATGGAAAGACATTACCCCATACTTTACGTCAACTTGTAAATCAGCTTTAAGGAATTCATTTCCATCTTTTGACACATACATGTCCACTTTTGATTCTTCTTTGAACTTGTCATTCCTCATAACCACGGTCATGAAATTCTCCTCAATCTTGATGTCAATTATAGCTCCATTTCCAGTCTCAGTCAAAAAAAGCTCCTTACTGGTTTTAAAAGAATCATCAAATCGGTAAAGCCGAGACTTGACAATGTGTTTGTAAGAGTTGAGCTCATTTTCAGAACAGTAAATGGTTCCCTCGTTTCCAATGTTAGACTCTTTAGTGGACCTCGAAAACCTGCAAACGTGAGCATTGATCGGTAATTTCTTGGATGCTGTACGGAACTGGTCTTTTGTGTAGTGAAATATGTGTTGGCATTTGTGGTTGTAACTTTCGTCAGGACACTGGTAGTTCGACATAAGTAACATATCCGGGTTGGCTGCGTTAAATTCCAATTTTGGTATTGAAGCCAATCCGCCTCCTTCAAAGTCATAGACATCGGATGTAAACTTGGTCCACGACTTACCTTTATCATTTGTCACGTAATGATGTTTGGACATTGTCAAGATGAATGCTCGACTTTTAACAAACGGATCAAACTGAATATTTACTACTGGATCTTCAATGTTCTTCACTGGATCAAACAGCTTTCCATCATCAAACGAAATTAATGCAGCTCGATCTCTCAAGATCAAAATAGTTGACGAATCATCAAAATACCTTATCAACTTGGAAATGGTATCAGATTCTAGGACTGAAATTTCTGGTGTGAATGCAGATATAATTGCAAACCACGAACATAGTGTTAAAAGAATGGACGTATACTGCATGATTGCTGTTGCTTTTCTCCTTTCGTCTAAATTCTTATACTAATAAAAAGTGTGAATAAGCAGCTAGTTCATCCGTATTGATACAAAAAAAAAATTGGTTCTTTTTCTTCTTCTTCTTCTTCTTCTTCTTCCTCGTCTTCTATGAGATATTCAATTGGAAAAGTTGGTTCTCAAGGGCTTTGTAGTTAATTTTCTTTTTCTAATTTCTCGTTGAAATAATAAAAAGTAAAATTACTTTATTAAGATTGTGTAGCATGCAACACAAAAGTACAATGTATTTAAAAGATCTAAATTAGACATTATTTATGGAAAGTAAAGAAAACAAGAAGATAATTTAACTGACATACATATATATCCCTTTTTGGATAGAGAACGTGACATTAAGTGTCTATTTACCAAGTTTACATTATTACTTCTTTCTTAACCCAAACTTCATCTTAAACGAATTCCTTTTTTTTTTCATATCACTTTTCCCACAGAATATCCCCGTTTCTTGATCTTTATGCAGCAGTTTAAATCCATATCTGTGTACTTGTTCAAGTTGAAAGTGTAGCTCAATAAACTGTTGCTAAACTTTTCCCTGTCCTCTGGTTGTATCTTGAGTATTATTGACTTTGAGGACACCTTTACCTGTGTTTCAAATGGCGATGATTCTCCAATCAATCCATACATTTTGTTCAAACTTATCATTAGTAGTGTGCTCCATGTTATCAAATCAATATCTATATGCTCGTATTGTGCAAATTTGATTTCATCTTGTAGTATCACTGGGTCTGGAGCACTGGAGGTGAGTTAGTAGTGGTTCGTCAGATACTCGGACATTAGTCACACGTACATTTCAAGGTTAAAATAGAACCAATCCCTACAAGACTCATCTTTTACGTGCTGGATTCTCTTCCCATCCTGTTCCTCTAGGCGGCTCATCATATCATGCTGCATTTCCCCTCTATAATGCAGACATACAATATTATTATTTTTCTTTTTTTTTTGATGTTAAACTTTGCTACCAGTTTTGTTCGATGAATGAATTTGAATAAAGATGTCATCACTGGAAGTTTCACCACCCGAGCTCACTTCTCCATTTCCTGCTAATTCCACTGTCTTATCTTTAACTGCATTGTATATAGTTGCTGCTTGTGGGGGTGGACTAATGGGACTGTTGTACCATGTAGGTGACGCATATTGTGCATTCTGAGTCTCAAATGGTAAAGAACCACATGGGACTGAAAACTCATGGTCAAAGTTAACCACTGGAACCATAACCCCTTGGAATGGGTAACCAGAGTTCTGAAAGATTTGAGGCAAAGTGTTGGGAATGGATGATAAAGGTGGTGACCATATGGGAGGGTATACACCTTGATTCATCTGCATGTTGGAACTTGTGGTATCTGATTGTAAGAGAAGAAAAGCTGAAATGGGCACTATTTTGCCTGAGGTGTAGTCCAAAGTCACCATATGCGCGTCTTGTTGTCCCTTGTTTGGTCTCTTCTTTTTCTGAGGTGGGAGTAAATCATACAACTGAATATCGTAGTAGTAACTGTGTCGCAAGTACATCAAATCGTGTATCAGATATGTAAGTTTACCCATATTGGTACAACGGTAAAGCTATGAAAGAACCTGTAAAAGAACTATAGTTATAAATTTGTAACTATTTTCTGTTATGGGGAGGGGAAACTAGTTCTCCAATGTTGGGTGCAAAAACAACTGAAAATAATAAACCCAAAAGTTCCAAAAGGTGGATGATGCTATCAAAAACTAATACATCAAATACTTGTCACCTGTTAGCTCAAAAACTTCCTTTCCACATCTATATTGTATGTACTTTGATTACATTCTATTTCTTTCTATTATAATATTACACTATTCTTACATAACGCGTTCAAATTTATCACATTGATCCATTTTGTCTAATTCTGTCAAAATCTTGCAAAACACATCTTCATAGACATTGTCACCCCATAAAGTGTCCATGTGTTCATAGTTGTCACATAATTCAACATTCAATTTGTCCTTCATTTGTGGATTACTATCAACTATCAAAGATTTAGTTTTTCCAATATCGACTAATATGTCCGAATCTCCGTAGAATAAATACATGGGAACATTCAAATGGTCTGTTATAGGAAATGGGGTCACTCTATTACCTTTCTCTTTTGCTTTAGCTGACACCGAGCTCAATTTGGTTAGTCCACACGAGCATGTCTCGTCAAACATTTGGAACCTACCCGCTTTTATAATTTGAAACCAATGGAGTAAAGACTTAACTGACGAGTTTGAAAACATATGAGGGTATCCTAATTGTTTCTGGTCCTCGCTTATATTCTGTCCTGACCAGCCAAATAGTAATGATAGCGATTTATCAACAACTTTTTCATACAACCTTGCCCCAAATGCCGTTGACCAGAACGAGACACTTGGCATTATTGCCCGGCGACCAAATATACTATACAAGAATGAATTGTCGGCTGCTGTTTGGTTGACAATTAATTTAAATATAGGGTGGTTTAAGTTCAGTGGTATTATTGCAGGTGAGAGGCCGATAAATGCCTTGATCTTGGAGTTGAGTTCTGGATAAAGGCTTAGACTTGCGAGTAGTTGAGAACAGCCCTGCGAAAATCCAATGTATATTATATCAACCGTATCTGTCACTTGGTAGTTTGCCAATGTTGAGGTGGAGTTCAGAAACGAAACAGGTGTGAGCGAACCAGTCTCATCTGAGTTCAATATCCTCTCAGAACTCGTCCCGTTCAACCTAGACATTCCAGACTGCCGCTTGTACTTGTATAGATTCTGAATATATTCAATTGTATCAGGTATATCATAGTATGAAAATTCATCCAAAGAAAAATCCCAGAATTGAGGATCTGACGCAGATAACTTCAAATGCTTTCTCGAGTACTTGTTGCCCCTATTATTCCCTAGATATACATCGTAACCTGCATCCACAAGCAAATACGGTAGTATCTTTTCTTTTGTCGACCCAAGAACCCACAAATCCGAGTTTGTCAATAACCCATGATGCATGTACACAACAGTCTTAGGGCAGTCAGCAGTTGCATCAGTATGATTTGCTTTTTCTAGCTTGTGAACAACAAGCAAATATCCATCTCTAGTGGTCACCACATGCTCCCTTGCTCGATATCCGGAAACCGAAACAATTTCATTAAAATCTTTTGCATCAATTATCTTGTCTTTAAAGCTAACTCTCTCGCCGTTGTGACTCCCCTTGCATCCTTCATGTTTATTGAACCCTAGTAGCGCTGTGGCATAGAGTAGAGCCACCTTTGAAATCAACAAAATGACATTATAGACTGTCGAAAACGTAGATATCTCTTTGTGTACTGGCATTGTGCAAAATATTGTAATGCTGACAACAGCAAAGCGAGTGTAAAAGACTTTTGATTGTTATCTAACGATGACAAAAACTATCCCTTTCGCTTTGAACTAAAGGGAATAAATCTAATCGGTTATCTACGACTATCTAATGTAATGAGTCGACTATGAAATGATTGTTTTGAGGTACGAGGAAAAAACTATAAACGATAAAATTGCAAAATTGTTAACACCCAAAACGCGTGAGATTTCACTTGTGCTACCACTTTTGCTCTATCGATATAGCAAAGTGTTCAATTCGTGTGAGTCGAAATATAAAACTACTGGCATTATCCTGAATATCATGTGGTTGTCGAATAGATTCTTCCTTTGCTTTTACTTACTTCTATCTACAAGCCCTTGCATGGTCCACTGAACGTATTAAAATATACCAAACCACTTCTTCTTTTTTTTAACTTCGTTATCCAATTCCTTGGCATATGCACGATGCATATCCATCTCTCGCAACATCTGCTCCTCTTTCTCCTGCTGTATTCTCTCAGCTTCAAGAAGATGCCTCTCACTAGGTCTGTTGAGAACAAACTCACCCTCTTGTGTTTTTCTCAAGTCGTCCGGAATGTACTGAGCATCCTTAACACTGTGCAATACTGAATATCCCTGTTTTGGAAAATGCAAATCATCATAGTCTTGTTCGTTTAGTCCACCCAATAGCCTCTCTTTCAACCATAACTGACTTCGATAAAAGTCACTAAATACGTTATCCCTCCCTTCATTCCATCTGTAGAAGAACGTAAAGTAAAAAATAACCGACCCTCCTATCAATGTTCCAAACCATCTTGACCCCAAGTGTAGCTTCTTATTGGTGTCAACACGACGTAGAATTTTGTATTGATTTGGATACAAGTCTGATATTGGTCTTGCGGTATAGTTCAATCTCTCCATCGTTTCGTTTACTTTTTGATACTGGGTAGGCTGCTTGGGAATAGATGAGAATCCTTGTGGCTGTTGGCCGGGTATTTGAAATTCTGAAGGGTATCCCTGTGGTGGACGAACATCTGTAGGGTCGTAGGGATTGTAAGGGGCTTTTGGTGGTACCCAGCCCTTTGGGTTTGGCCTTCTTGTTGGCTCCTGGTGGTCCTCGTGTTGATTCGACATCTAAGGCTTTCCTTAGTTGCTAGACGACCTTGAGTTGAGGCTGTTTGAAGGGAGGTTTTTTTTAGCTGCAATGGATTTTTCGATGTTTCTCAGACTAGAACACGAGAAAATATTACCAAAAGTTTCGCTTTGGTTGGTTGGAGAGCATACGTCAACAATCAATTCACATGTCCATTGCAAGCAATTTAAGAGAGTTTTTCTCTTTGGGGGCTCTAGATTCAAGACTCGAACCCTCAAAAAGTGGTCAAGATAAGAAACAGCAGGTTATAAAAAAGGGAGCAAAGCCGTCGAAATGGGGTAGCTTTGAATTCAAATTCTACTATATCATATTCATCATAGCAGTGCCATTGATGTTCAAGGCAGGAATGGATGCTTCAAACGAAACTAACCCAAACTATCCCCGCTATGAGCGCTTGTTGAGTAACGGATGGATACTAGGTCGGAAGGTGGACAACTCAGACCAACAGTATCGATTTTTTCGAGACAACTTGTTCCTTCTTTGCTTACTAGGAGTTATACACGTGTCATTGAGAAAGATTTTAACCCCAATATTGTCAATACGGAAAAGAACTTATTTCGATTTGGTTTTTGGAATCATTTTTTTGGTTGGTGCTCATGGGGTGAATGTTATCAAAATATCCCTTCATTTGACAATCAATTACGTAATCGGGAGGTACATAAAGGACAAGAAAGTAGCAATTTGGACCACTTGGATATACGGCGTATCAACATTATTTTTAAATGATTGGTATGGAATGAATAAGTATGGCATCGCCTTTTTGGATCAGGGCTTTAAAGGTATTATAGCCCGTTGGGATGTTTTTTACAATTTTACCCTACTTCGAATGATATCTTACAATCTTGATTACATTGAAAGGGAGCACAATTTGAGCAAATCCAATGTAAAGGGTGGATCACTAGTCGATCTCAATGACCGTGAAAGATTGACAGCTCCGTTGCCACTAGAAGACTATAATGTCTTTAACTATATCGCATATGTATTGTACACTCCATTATTCATAGCTGGACCTATCTTAACATTCAACGACTACATATACCAATCTAACTACCAACAAGCTTCCTCGGTGAAAGACAAGAAGCGGATATTTATCTACTTCCTTCGATTTGTCTTTTGTTTATTAGTTATGGAATTTATTTTGCATTTCATGTATGTTGTTGCGGTATCTAAAACGAAGGCATGGGATGGTGACACCCCTTTTCAAATTTCCATGTTGGGACTCTTCAACCTTAATATAATCTGGTTGAAGCTTTTGATTCCTTGGAGATTATTCCGACTCTGGAGTTTATTGGACGGTATTGATCCTCCTGAAAACATGATTCGATGCATGGATAACAACTTTTCGGCCCTTGCATTTTGGCGAGCATGGCATAGGTCATTTAACAGGTGGGTTATTAGGTACATATACGTTCCAATGGGAGGGGGTGGAAGTTACCGTCTTTTGAACAGTTTATTGGTATTTAGCTTTGTTGCAATTTGGCATGACATTGAATTGAGATTACTCATGTGGGGTTGGTTGATTGTATTATTTTTGATTCCTGAACTCGCTGCTACTATGTTTTTCAAAAAATACGATCAGGAATGGTGGTACAGGCACTTATGTGGATTGGGTGCTGTGGTGAATATATGGATGATGATGATTGCAAACCTTGTGGGCTTTTGTCTCGGCAAAGATGGAACGTTGCAGTTGATTAGTGAAATTTTCCGATCAGTACTGGGTATATCATTTTTCATAGTCTCATCGTTTACATTATATGTTGGTGCCCAGGTGATGTTTGAACTAAGAGAAAGCGAGAGAAGGTCAGGAATTGATGTGAGGTGCTGATGGTTCGCATAGTTTTATTTATTAGAGCAAATGAATGGTTATAGGTGGAGTAAGTGTGTTAATTTCTGTAGATCTAGTTCTACTGTTTTAATATGAATTCGTAGTTTGACAAAGATACTGAAATGATACTTGGTAGCACTTCACAAATTGTTTAGCACTTCCAAAGAAACACACATCTACTGCAAGACTCAACTAAATGGCACCTCCTGTCCCCGTCTATACGTCAGAGGACATTCAACTACAGTACAAAGATCAATTTCAGAATTTGACCAAGTATAAATGCCATCTCAAATCCCTAACGCAACATGAGTGCACGTTCAAGGCTGGTACAACCGCAACTCTGCCCCAGATCATATGCTTGCCGTTCAAAAGACTATTCCAAAGATGCCTAATACCAACTGTTGAACAAAAGAATGGCAAAAAGATACGTACCCAAAAGTGGATAAACATTGAGGTGACAAAGGAGTCGACGAATCAGGATTTGTTGGATAAGGGATCGAAGTACTATGACTTTGTTCAAGAATTCTTAGCAGCAGAGAAGGAATTTAGAGAGTTGATGGAGAAGGAGGCAGACTATAGCGGTTAATTATGGAGAAGCATGAGCAAGCTTATCGAGCTACATTCAGTTTGACTGGTGAGTATGTGTTGGGGAGAACTCTCTTCCCCATCATTAAAGATATAACACTCCTTTAACCTTTAGATTTAAATATACATTATATACATTAGCTTTTCAACACATGTCATCTCTATATTCAAAGCCAAATGCATGGATATGTGGGACTTGAGGCTCTATGCACTTTCAAGTTTGTCAATCATTGGACTCTTGTCGCATAACTAGTAAGTTGATCCCTCGCTTGGTTGTGGTAATTTCTTGTTATTTGGAGAAGCCATGTTCTTTCTCAACTCTAACAAAACAGTCTCCATCGTGTATGACCTTTTCCAGTTCTTTAAAGTGTCGAATTCAGACACAATGACGTTACCGCTAGAATCGACACAAGGTAAATTGATCTTGCTAATGAATTGGACTTTTGGTGGTTTATCTGGGTAATTCTCATCACATATGATATTCAATGAGTATATTCTATTTTCGTGGTTAGAGTGAGGTGGGCCAATAATAGTTCCATTCCAATATGTCATTGTTATGTCATCTTGATTTGTCAAGCCGTATGAAATCGACTCGGCACCTAGACCTTTCTCACCTTTTTCTAATTCCTCCAACAATTTGAAGTTTCTTGGGCTGTATTGTGTTAGAAATTCAGTTTAATAAGCTATGATTCTGTGTATACTTACATTTTAGACATTTTAAATTTGCTTTTCTATGTGTGATGTAATCTAGGAGTGTAGAATAATACAGATTCAGGTTGTGGCTAACTGAAAATGATTTGTAGACAAAATTCTGTCCTGTGTCTGCCAAGTCGTGAGTGTTTTGTTTGTGTGTCGTAAATAAAACGCGACACACAAACAAAAGAGGAGCATCAAAAAGTTTAACCTGGCATTCAACTACATACCAAAAGAGGTTTTGCTCATCAAATGACTAATCCCACATCATCGCCATTTATTGAGTCGCCATCAATTCAAAATAATGTACTCAAGAGCTACACTACAGACACCGCCAAGCTAGATTCCAAGATCTACATTTCCAAACTAGAGTTTCAAATAAAATCATTTGAAACAGAAAGAGAGCTATGGGCAAAGGAGAGGCAGACGATCGTGTCACAATATGAAAACAACATCAAACAAAAGAACAAGGAGATTGAGGAGTTGAAGTTAAATATGGATTTTGTATACAAAGAGAATGAGCAGTTGGGGTCCAAGATTGAAAATTCAAACGATATCTCTCAAGTTCGATTGAACGAGTTGAATCAACAGAATAAGGAATTGAAATCTCGAAATAGCAAGTTGGAGTCAAATTACCGTAGTTTGGTTGATAAGAATGACAGATTGATTAGAAAACACAAGCAAGTGACTGCTGATTGGAACACACAAATCAAAGTCAATGATGAGTTAAGTAATGAGTTGAAAACACGAGACCAAACTATAGAGACATTACAAACATCCAACCAAGAATTCGTTGATCAGCTTGAGCAATACACCAAGCTTTTTAAAAATGATGAATCGTTGTTTAAAAACAACCAAATTCTCATGAACAAGAATACAAGCTTGCAAAAGACCAACAACCAACTTCAATTGAAAATTGATCAACTTTTGCAGAAACAAACGTCTATAGAATTGTTGAAGCAGAAAAATATGAGTTTGGCCAAAAGCCGTGATCAATTAGAGGAATTAAAGTGTAAGCACCAAAAGTTGGAAGTGGAAAAACTAGAATTGGAGTCCAGGTACAACGAATACTTTCAGAACTTGGAAAGATCTATTGTTGATGATGATAATTACAACCCTGAAGATCTAGATGTGACAAAGTCATTGAAGGTTCAAAATTTCATAGACAAGTTCAAGGAACTTCAAGCACAGAATTTGACATTAAAGGAGAAATACGATGCCAAAACTATTGAATCTAACGAGTTGAAGCAAGAACTAGAAGATGTTTCTAAACATATTGAACAAGATTATTTGCCGTTGATACAAAAAGGGCAAGCTAGAAACGAAGTTGCGTCTAACCGAATATCAGAATTGGAAAGAGAAAAAATGTTGTTTACAGCTGAAATTGAACATTTAAGAAAACTGTTGAAAGATTTGGAAGCGATTTTAAACTCAAGAGAGGAATCAAAGCATGAAAACAAGACCATGCAGCAATACATTACCAACTTGGAGAATTTAGTTGACCAATACAAACGTAAATTAGATGATCTAAGCAAGAAACAGATAGAGGTGAGACCACAAGTAGGTGAAAAGAGACAAAGACCAGATGATAAGAGCTTTCGCCAAACAGCGACGGACTTGGAGAAGGAAAATACCCAATTACTAGCAACAATCAAAAAATTGGAGCTAGTGAACTCCGAATTGAAACAAAAGTTAGACTCATTGCAAGTCATAGTTCAAAAACGTGATTCAATAAAGGTTTTAGAGCTAAAAAATAATTTGCTATCGAAGGACCAATTTGTGAAACGGGAAACACTTGATGCACTACGGAAAGAGAACGAAGCCTTGATAGAGAAGTACATAAACCACCGGTCCAACACTGAGCTTATCCCAAAAGCCTTGTTTGCGAGACAAGAGGATGATAAAACTGCCTTGCAGTCGCAAGTTGATACATTGACCAAAAGAATCAACCGGTTAAGAGATATCTACACGCAAAAATCAAAAGATATTTTAATCACCATATCTAAATATTTTGGTTATTCCATTGAGTTTTTGCCTAGCACCATTCGTCCGGATGAACTTTCATCACGATTGAAATTGTCGTCAAAATTTATTCCGCGGGAAAAGAACTCGTATCTTATCCTTGATTTTGATAACAAGTCTCTTAAAGCATACGGAGATTACGAATTTAAATCACTTTGTGAAGAATTGGCCCATGAGTGGGTTTCAAAAAACCAGTTTCCTTGCATGTTAAGCGCATTGAACTTGAAATTATACGAAGCTGCAAAATCTACATAGTATGCTCTTATAATTTTAATAATTTTCGAGAAACCGACTGTAAAATCTCTTCATGTGATATCAGATAAGTTTTGGGATCTTTCTGAACCTCTTTGAATGTGTTGCCCTTGGTTATATCGTCAAAATTGGCCTTGAAGTCGTTTAAAAATGCAGACTTGTTTTCAGCATTGCCGTGCCGCATCCAATATGTATACAACCACACCCACGCGTCTCCATTGGAGGGGTCTGCACTTAGGCTTCTATCGAACCAAGACTTTGCTTTAGCGAATTTCCCATCCTGCCAAAATAAAATACCTAAATAAAGCAAAATTTCTGGAGAGTTGTTCGTTTTCAGCAAAGCGTTGACAAATTCAGGTTTACGAAGTGACATCTTTGGAATGAGCGAAAGATGCTGGTACCAGACGTAGGTATTAGTTGGAAACTGCTTCAAGTTCTTGTTGGTCAAGTTGATGGCTGTTTTTGTATTCTTTTGACGTTTTTCAAGCTCAACATGTGCCACCGCAATTTCCACCGAATTTGAGATGGTTAGTGCTGCAGTATCGAGTATGGATCTTGCTTTAATAAGAACACCAAGCTTTTCCTCTATCATAGAGTAAGCTATCCACAATTTTGTAGATTGGGGACACTTTTTCACTGATAATGCTGCCGCCTCTCTTGCGGATTTGATGTCTTTCATGTCATCCATTAATATCTGAATGTGTTGTAAATGTAGCTTCCAATGTCCAGGAAAAAGGTCCAACGCTTGACGAGAGGCTTGTACAGTCTTTTCAGGTGACACCCCGGCACATCGCAAAATATGAATGTACTTGTACCAGTATCTAACATTTCTTTTGGGTTCCTCTTTGATCACTTTTTCAACAAACAGTTTGGCTCTATCAATGTGTCCCGAGTTGAATTCAAGTTTGATACTTGCAAATTTGATCAGGTCATCGTTAAACCTACTGTCAGCTAGATGTAAAATTTCACGAGCTTTAGCTACATCGCTAGCAATTCTCGATGCATCTTTAGCATACATCAAGTATAATACAATTGAGTCAGGATTTATCGTAATTGCCTTTGAGTAATATTGTAACAATGTTTCCGTATCCATAAACTGCTTCGCTATGCCTATGATTGTTTGCCAGACGTTGACTTCAGCCAGTCCCAAGTGCACCAAAAAGTCTATTACGCAATGTACAATAACGAAGTGGCCATCTTTAGCTTGAGCTTCTGCTTCATGGACCAACTCGTTTGGACTAATGTCCTGGGACCTCAAAAAGCTAGAAACTATTTCTTTGCCAGTCTTGGTAAATCCTTCCTCTGTTGCATTTATTGCTATATCAAACCACTCCGATTTTGATACATTGGGATTTTCATTGACAGCTCGATCTGTCAACTTGCGTATTTTCGTCTCTAGTATATTGGGGTTCTCCCGTTCCTCAAGTTTACAAGCAGCAATCCACACCTTAACGTCACCAGAAAGCGTCTTTCGTGCTTTGTTCAAATATTTCTTTGCGTCATCGTATGTCGATATATTTACCAATGCAATCCAAAACTCCCAAACTGTTGGGCAAAGGTCAACCGCTTTGATTAACAACTTTTGCACTACATCCTTATCATCTTCAATGTCAATCAAAAGTTTCCAAAGCAGATCGTTTCTTGGAAACTCTTCCAATGCTTGCATTATTTTTCTTTTTTTTGACTTTGTTTCCATTTCCAATTCGATTGCTTTCATCCACAAATTCACAGAGTTTTTGCAGTATTTCAACCCTTCTTTGGTTATAGCTTTGGCATAATCAATGTCGTTCATATTTAGTCTGACATTCTCAATCCACACTTCCTCGGATCCTGGTATTGTCTTGCATGCTTGCAGAATCAAATCCCTCGCCTTGTTGAAGCTCTTTGCTTGCTCCTCCAATCTTGCAGATTGTATCCAAGAGCTGGGTCGGTATGGTTCTGTCTTCCGTAATGATGAAAGTATCAAGCGGCCCTTTTTCAAGTCTGCGAATTTGGCGTCCCTATCAGCACCCGAAGAACTCAATATCGTGTCTTCTAAAGGATCTGATTCGTCCCTCCTCTTATTTGCAACAAGGTTATCCAATTTGCTAGATAATAAGTTCTCCTTTTCTTCTCTAGACCTATCTCCATTGGCCCCGATATCAGCTCTTTTTGCTAGAATCAGGTCGGGGGCAGTATAAAGTCTCTGCAGCTGTTGCTCTAGAATACGCAGACGCTTATTCTTTCTTGTCATGTCTCCTGCTTCTGGCAACAGTAGCCACTCATCTTCTGTCAAGGATGTCAAGTCACGTTTCAAATCAGAAAACTGAGACTTCTGGGATACCTCCTCATCAGTTGGAACTTTTACCATCGTAGTATGCTTTCTCCTGGACTTTAATCGATTCTCGATCTCCTCAAAAATAAGGTCTGCCTCTTCATCCTCTTCATCTCTTTTCCATTGAGACAACAATAGTCCACCCTCGTTAAGCTCTTGATTGTTATTACTCTCCGCATCATCATCTACGTCATCGGTTTGTGAACTTTTGTTTTGGTTAGTTTTAACAGTGCTGAAACCAACGGCCCCTCTTCCGACTCCCGCCACATATCCTGGTGGTGGCTCCTGATCTAAAAATGCCAATTTATTATTCATTATTGGATCGAGGCTACGACAAAGGTGCAATAGTGTGTCGCGTTAATGAAAACAGCATTACCATTTGTTCTTTATGGCAACTTTTCAATTCAGCGTGTTGATGTTTTGTGTAACTTCTGCTTCTCCTTCTCTCATCTCAAAGAAACATTTGACTTTTTTTTTTTTTATTTTCTTCAACTTAACAGAAAGGTTTTCCTAACAACAGACTGACTAAAGCAAGCCATGTCTAAAAGATCAGCAGATGAGGACCTCAATGGTCAAAATGCTTCAAGATCAGTAAAAGCGTCTGAGAACTCGCTTCCTATTACAACCCAAAATGAAGCATCAATCGATGATATGGACGTTGGGGAATTTGAAGACCCATATGGCGATGATTTCGAGAGTGATGAGGAAATCATTGAGTTGGACGAAGAAGCCGATGGCGATGAAAACATGGACGAAGAAGCTGCCAACAGAAAAATTGAGGAACTTGAAAAGAGGGAACAGGAGCAGCAACAGGAACCGGAGTCAGCAATTTATTTGCCTCACAAATCTAAACCATTAGGTCCTGACGAAGTATTGGAAGCAGACCCATCAGTTTATGAAATGTTGCATAATGTTAACTTGCCTTGGCCTTGCTTGACTGTGGATATTTTGCCCGACAACTTGGGCAATGAGAGACGTACTTATCCTGCTACGGTATACTTGGCAACAGCTACCCAAGCCGCTAAAGCCAAGGACAACGAACTAATAGCCATGAAAGCATCAAGCTTAGCAAAAACTTTGGTGAAGGATGACAACGATGAAGACAACGATGACGATGATGAAGATGATGATATGGACTCGGATCCTATTTTGGATACTGACACAACTCCATTGAAACACACCACAAATAGAATTAGAGTGAATCCCCACTCTCAGCAAACTGGAGAATACCTCACTGCAACAATGTCAGAAAATGGAGATGTTTATATTTTTGATTTGGCATCACAATTCAAGGCTTTTGATACACCTGGTTTCGTCGTCCCTAAACAATCTAAGAGGCCAGTTCACACTATTCGTGCTCATGGAAATGTTGAAGGATATGGATTGGATTGGTCTCCTTTGATAAACACTGGAGCTTTGTTGACAGGTGATGTCAGCGGAAGAATACATTTAACAACCAGAACAGCATCGAGTTGGGTTACAGATAAGACGCCTTTTTTCGCTTCCCAATCATCAATCGAAGATATACAATGGTCAACAGGTGAAAACACCGTCTTTTCTACGGCAGGCTGCGATGGCTATGTCAGAATATGGGATACTAGGTCGAAAAAACATAAGCCAGCATTGTCAGTGAAAGCATCAAATTCCGACGTTAATGTCATTTCTTGGTGCTCCAAGATCAATCACTTGCTAGCGTCCGGACACGACGATGGTACCTGGAGCGTTTGGGATTTAAGGAACTTTACACAACCAAACCCATCGCCAGTGGCCAATTATGATTTCCACAAGTCTCCAATAACTTCCATATCTTTCAACCCGCTAGATGAGTCAATCATTGCCGTAAGTTCTGAGGATAATACGGTTACTTTGTGGGATTTGGCGGTAGAGGCAGATGACGAGGAAATTTCACAACAAAGAAAAGAACTTAAAGAGTTACATGATATACCACCACAATTGTTGTTTGTACATTGGCAAAAGGATGTTAAAGATGTCAGGTGGCACCAGCAAATCCCTGGTTGTTTGGTCTCCACGGGAGGAGACGGATTAAACATCTGGAAAACAATTTCAGTTTAGAGTTTGAATCCATCGAGTTTAGTATTCAAAAAAAATTTATATTAGGTCCACTCCATTAGTCAGTATCTGTGTAGCTCTTGCTTTTCTCTGTCTGCTTTATCTATTTGTTTTGTCAACTTGGCTAGTCGATGATCCATTTCTAGCCAAAAGTTATTGACTTCCATTGCTGACTGTACATACTTTTCATATATAATCATACTTTTAATAAATAACATAGTGTAATACCTAAAGAGCTCCCTAATCCGTTGGCTTTGCAGATAATTCATTTGCGATATACTTGCAAGATTCGTCTCGGTGATGCGCGTGTTGATATCATTTATGATCGAATCGGGCTCCATGTTGACTATTTCGACCATATCTGGATGCGCATCTATAATACTGTCACGATATAGACTAATGTCTTCTTCCTTTATCAGAGCGGATATCGCCGTTTCTTCATTCTCCGGTGTTTGGATTTGGTAATGTTCTGTTAATGAGATCAATGTTTTTAATTCTGGGTATTTCTCATTCAACTCAAGAAATTGGGACCTCAATTTACATAGTTGAGACTCAATAGACTCCTCCTTTGCATTAATCAAGGCTAATTGGAGGTTTTTCACTCTTTGAGATATGTTAGCGATACCTTCATCCATTCTCAGTAGGGCTATTGAGGTAGATCAAAGGGCTCCTATTTTTTTGCGCGGTACAAAATTACACCTTACATGATGTTTGCACTGCAAGATAGCTACATGGCAAAGTTTACACTAAAAAAAGGGAAAAGGATTCATTGTATTCTCTAGTCTACTGTAGCTACTCTTCCTCACTACTGCTGCCATCATCTTTCAGCTTTTTGCTCCTACCCATAAAGTCTCGTAAACTTACTGGTTTTTGATGAGTAGAAGTGAGAGCAAAATGTTTCAGCTTCTTGGGACGCGAGTTGTTCTCAATCTGTATGTTTTCAAATTTCACATGCTCGTAATCACTCTCATCCGCATCAGAACCAGATTCAGAACTCTCGTTATGGCGTTTGGGGACTGCATTGGGAAGAGTAATGGCCTCCTTCCTTAAACCGGCGTCCTCTACTTTGGGACCCTCTTCTTCGTGTTCCTCTTCACCTAGTAGCTCCTGTAACTGATCCTCTAGATCCTTAAAATCGTCATCCAAATCTACTGTCTGGTTTGCTTGATCGATTTGTGTGTGTGTTTGTCTCTTTGTCAACGTGGTATTTTCTTTCGATTCTGCTGTGGGTACTTGTTGTTTGGGAGCGTTGCTAGCTCGCTGATTCAGTGAACCACCCTTGGAGTCTGTATGATTGGAGGAGAGAACATTGGCAGGCGGCTTGGTGTCATTTTGAACCAAATCTTCAAAGTCACTTTCACTGATGATTGGCTCTGATTGTTTTGGCTCCGGTGGGGGTCGTTTTGATGCAACTTTACTTCTGGGTGCAGCCTTGCTATCACGCATCACCTTCTTGGCATTACTGGCGTCGACCACACTTGTATCCAGTGCTTTAGCCTTTTGTTTACGCGGAGACGGCAGTTGCCCCTTTTTAGTTTCCTGTTCATATTGCCGTTTTCGTATTTGTTGCTTGTATTCCTCTTCAAGCTTAGTTATCTCCGTCAGTAGCTTTGGTCCACTTCTACTCTTATTGACTCTGATAGTGCTATTTAGCTGGTTCAACTTCAATTTGTTGTCAGAATTGGTGCCACATGTCAAATAGTATTCCATATTCTTGTTCAAAGTATGTTTTTGAGAAGTGCCTTCGAATAGTATTGGTTTGTCCAGTTCTGACGACAAAGCCAGGAGAATGCATTGTTGATCATTTTGGTAAAGCCTTACAGGCTTTGATTGATCCATAGAATCGGGTATAAATCCATACCTTATAGCCACATTTTCACTGTCATGGGATACGTAGTTGGGATCAGTGAGAATTGATAAGTCCAATTCATATTCGCCGTCAGCTAGAGACATCACAACTCATGAATTTAATCTTAGTTCAAACTATGTTTCGTGGCAAATTCTGCTGGTGAAAGGGGTCTCTATTATCGGACTACAAAAGAAAAAGACAAACCTTACGTTCTAAAAATAGTGGTGCGAAAATAAAACGATTCCCGCTTTACAAAATTGGTTTTAAACCCCTCAACACAAATTAAGATCAGGAAATGTAGAAAACATTTTTGGAAAAGGATGCTTTGAACAGGGCCAAGCTCTTTTTACTCTAGTCTAGTATATCTAGTTGTATATTTCATGACTTGTGACTAGATATAGAAGGTGTAAATAACCTTTTACAAAGGTTTCACCATTTATCAATATATTGTTGCAAAAATGTTTAATCGCCAATACAGAAATCGATGAACTAATAAAAGTGGAAAAAACAAACAAAATACCTTTCTTCAACCTTCCTTTTATCATCAGATACCTTCCAATTCAAAGACTGAAACAACTTCACACTCTTTCTTTGCATCTACCAAAGTTGTGCTGACTCGGCTGCAAGGTAAACTGATTTGGAAAAAAAGTAAACAAAAACTCCTCATTTGAAAAAAATACCGAGACGTGGTGCTTTGGCAGCAAATACCATCAGGTTTCTCATGGCACTCATATCGACACCTCATGATCAAGATATCGGGATTTTTCATCCGAAAGTTATTCTACTCTCTTTAGGTATTACAACAACTGCATACTTGTCATACCGATTTTACAGGAGATATCTCAAGCCAGTGCGCTCAATACTAGACCTTACTCCAGAAAGGCTTGAATACAACCACAAATTATACGGTTACGTTACACGAGTTGGGGATGGTGACAACTTCCGATTCTACCATACACCTGGAGGCGTTCTTGCCGGGTGGGGATGGCTTAAAACTGTGCCCAAAAACAACAGAGTCTTAAAGAATGAGACACTAATGATTCGATTGTGCGGTATAGACGCCCCAGAACGAGCACATTTTGGTAAGCCAGAACAGCCATTTAGTGAAGATGCGTTACGGTGGTTGCGATCTTATCTCTTGGGGAGATATGTGGTAGTTACGCCGTATCTGGTGGATCAATACAAGAGGATTGTTGGTAGGTGTCAGGTTTGGAAATGGACGGGGAAGAAGGACGTTTCTGCTGAGATGTTGAAGCATGGCATGGCCATTGTGTACGAGGGAAAAGTCGGAGCAGAGTTTGGAGACAATGAAGACTGGTACAGGCGACTAGAAAAAAGAGCCCGGCTACTAAAACGCGGGTTGTGGTCATTAGGCTCGAAGATGTTGACCCCTGGTGATTATAAAAAGACTTACTACCGAGGCAATTGATCGTCTGGTATATATATATATATATATAAATTTGCATTTATTTGAATATCTACCTTTGCAAATCTTTTTGTCTACTTCAATAAATCGGCAACTGCACTGGATAATGCCTCAACGTTTTCTTTTGTGTCTGCCTCGGCATAAACACGTACAGCATCTTCTGTACCTGAAGCCCTAACAAACGACCTTCCTTGTGGATATTTTGCAACCAAATCATCGATTTTACCTTGCAACCCTTTAGGTTCAATCAATGTTCTCTCGGCATTTGTGGTTTTGAAAATCGTTCTATCTGGAACAACAACCTTTACTAGTTTATTAGGTAAATCAGAGTAAGCCTTATTCCATTGCTCCGGGGTAAGATCAAGATAATGCAAAATAACCAACACGACCAAAAGGTCAGAAATTGCATCACCCACTGTTTGATTGATTAATTGACTAAAATTTTGAAGAACTTTAACCGCAGTCTCTTCTTTTGGAGAACTTGACTTGTAATCGTAAATTTTTCGCTCGGCTTCGTTTTTAAAAACCACAGTGCCATGGCCATTGGCTTCGAAGTAGACTCCAATATCAAATTTCTCTGCCTCGTGATGCAAGTGTTTAACACCAGTTGGCGTACAACGAACAGGCAACTCCAATACATCCTCAACATAATTGGTCGAAGATCCATTCGCATAAGCAGTTTGGACAACACCAATGTCAAGTTTTAATTTACTCGAATCAATATCCTTGAAGATTTGTTGCAAAAATAAAGCAATCAAGGTGGAAATCTTGTCACCATCAAGGAGAACAAAATCATCATTCGAGTTTTTGTAGTAACAGATTAATCTGTCAGCATCACCGTCAAAAGAGGCGTAGAGCCTATTTGAAACTGGTTGCACATTCTTTGGCAATTTTTGATTTGTTTTAACAAAATCAGCACCACAGTCATAGTTTAGCAACGAGGGAGTTTCATAATCCCCATTGACGATTTCAAAGCTGACTTTGTCAGAAAGGTATTTTTTCAATAACGCATCTATCTTAGGTGCACCCACCCCATTTGCGGCGTCAATTGTGATGTCAATCTTTTCGTTTCCGTTTCTGTTTCTGTTTGACAAGTCAAAAATTTGTCTAAATGAGTCAGCCAACTTTTTGTAATATCCCTCTTCATTCCTTTCCCCAAAAGATGACTCATTGAATGTTCTTGTAATGTAATGTAATTCAGGTGTTGTCAAGAGTCCAAGATCGACATATTTCGTATTTGGAACACTTTTAAATCCATCAATGGTGGCTTTGTTTAACGCTGGACTACTCTCTCTCGAATCTCTAGCAATTACAACACTGCTTGTACTGTTCAAATCAATGTCCAACCCCTTAGCCAAGCCCTCAATTGTTTTTATCAAGTCTGGCTCTGACGAATTGGCCAATTGACATGCAAATGTTTCCCATTTGGTTTCCAACATGCTACCCAATGGATCGACCACTTTGACCCCATTGTCCTGAGGCGGGTTGTGAGATGCAGTAATCATGACACCAACAGTCTTGCCGCCAAGGCTTTTCGATCTCAATGACGCAAGAATTCCCACGGTATAATTGACATAGTCCAAGTACTTCGCATGCATACGGAACCCAGCAGTTCCATAGGTGAAAGTAATTCCTGCAGGCTTAGGGTGGTTAGGCACATGTTGTTCCACTAGCTCTTTAAGTGACATTTTGGGGGTAATGTGTTTATTGTCGAATCAATCGGAGATCTTAAACTTTGGATCGAAAACGAAATCAAATGAAAAATTTCTAAATTTGTAAAAACCACACTGCCGAGAAATTATAACAATAAACACTTTGAAGTAAACACACCCAACTGCTGTACCATGTTCAAAAGATTCAAATCAACAACCCCCCCGTCATTCCATAAACAAGGTAGATCCACCGTTAGGATCCAATCACCAGAACAGAAACTCAAAAATGCAAAGCCCAAGGAATCACCGTTTGTTCACGAGTTGGTTCTCACAGGAAGACCCAATTGGGACAAAGCACCTCCACAGTTGAAACAAAGATACAAAGGCATATTCCTTGTCCTCTTGTCGGTTCCAATAATACTCATCACCAGTTTTGAGATGTACCAAAGACTCGAAGGACAATCGACAAAGAAGATCCAACAAGGTGAAAAATTACCCAACGGAGTCAACAGAGACTTTGAAGAGAGTGAAAAGTATAAAGTAGAAAAGGAATCATTCATGTACAAACTATTTGGCAAAGATTTCTTTCTAGACGGGTTTACAAGCAAGACAATGAAGGCTGACAACAATGAAAAAGAAAGAGAATGAAAAGTGATTTTAATTCATTTGCAGCCAAGAAAGCATATTTTCTATTTCCAAATGGGTCGATTTTCATGAAGCGTTTTAAGCAAATTTTCGTCATCAAATCGTGAACCCAATGAAGACAATGGCCGCTCTGGCGACGTGCAATTATAGCTTAGTCTTCGAGAATATGATAAATTTGGAATGTTTGTCTCATTTAATAGCGAATTCGGCCGGCCAATTACAGTAGCATCTGAATTGGCTCGTGATCGACTTTCATAAAAGGGATCAGTTTGGTGTTGCCATGAAGGAGGTGATACATTGATTCCAGTGGGGAGTGTATGGTTGTTGTTATTGTTTTGACTTTTCCCTCGATATGGAGATTGAAATACAGGGTGAGTAACATCAATTTCGGGGATCTTGGTGAAACCCTTCGTTTTAGGAAATTTAGGATACCCCAATTTAATATAATTTGGCACAATGCGTGGTAATCTTGACGCGGGACGTGAACTTGAATTTAAAACATTGTTTGTGTAACTATCAAAATCGAATGAAACTGCTTTTTGTCTCTGTTTTGTCTGTGTTACATCTGCTGGTCCCTTGAGCAAAGGCGTTTTGACTAGCGTTTCCTCTTCGTCTTCTTTATCTTGAATTTTCATACCTTCAAACACTTGAATTAAAGTGCTTTTCAAGCTTTTTGCCTTGGGTTTCTCTTCAGTAAGAAAATCCTTGACTCTATCCTTTTTTGAGATACTCAACGGCATTGTAACTGATTCAACATCGACATTAAAGTCTATTCCCATTCCATTGCTCATAGGACGTTCAAATTCATGAACTGAGTTCTTTGACGTGGTACGAAATTGACGTAGTCCTCTGGTATTTCCCATTGATCCCCTCTTTCGTTGAAGATTGATATCATGGATATCCAGGTCAGCTTTAGCGCGCAAAATCAAATCATTAACTTCCATCCATTTTGGGTGCAACTTTTTGTTAAACTTAAGGGAGATGTCCTTATCAGTGACAATGCTCTCCATGATAGCACCTTCAATCAAATTGATCGAGTTTGAACAAACTTTATACCTCGATCCAATATCCTCGCTAATTGTAGAGTTCCCATCTGTACTGGTGTTATCGGAAAATGCCAACACATCAATCAATTCGTCACACTCTTGTTCAATTTGGCTTATCAAATACAGGAAAACCTCATTCCATTTGCTATCGATATTCTCCAGTTTTAAAATTTTAAACTGAGCTTCCAAACACTTCCATTTATCTAACATCACTTCATAACTAGAAAGTACAAATTCTCTTGACACTTTAAACGAACTCAGCAGACAGAGAGCATTGAATTCCTCAATCTTTGTGGGAACAATATCAAGCGATACACGTAACGGGGGAATTTTGCGTTCGACGAGCATAAACTCTTCATAAAGCTTCTCATCTAAATTACTAAAGGTTGGAAGTCTAATTGATTTTACCGAAACTGACGAGCCAGGAAATTCGTTAATCTTCATTTTAAAAACAATGTCATTCAAGTTAAATTGCGGCAAAACTCTCTTTGGACTCGATAACTTACAATCTTTCATCTTGATCACCAGTTTTGTACACTCTTCAATTTCAGTTGTTAATGACTTGATAACTGACTCAATCAAGTCATGATAATTTGTAGAAACCTCCAAGGTCTTCTTCACCACAATCAGGGATTTCTTGACATCCAACAAGACATCACTCACATCCACAAACTTTCTGATCAACTCTTGGCTTATGTACATTGAAGGATCAGCCGACTCAATCACCAATAGGAGTTGGGATATAATTGAATCCATACTATCCATTTCTCGGAGTAAATTTTGTAATGCAGCTTTACCTTCATAAAACCAATCAAGTATATTCATTGCGTGTCTTGACACTTCTTTGATGTTGTTGAAAACAATAATCAAGTCATTAAGATATAGATCAACATCCTCCAATACTTTGTTAATCTTGAATAAATCGTGTTGCAGAAGTGATACAGAGTTTGATTCGTTTGGCTGTGAGATGTTGGCAAGCTCCTCATAGAAGGAAAAAACAGGTACGGATGATAGTAAGTGTGAAAGCTTGAGCTGAGGACTCCTTGTTACGTGGGAAACCATATTAGCATTGTTGTACCGAGCAGGAGTAAAAACGTTTGAAGGATGGTCAATGTTGCAATTATAAAACGTGATTTATGTAACGGGTTGAAACAAAAAAATGTAACAATTGAATAATAATTTAGGTCCCTTTTCTATGAAAATGCCTCTATATTATCCTAAAAAATAAATATAGATTAATTCTAATTTGCCGTGAATAATTAGTTTGTAATAATGACAAGTAATGCCTAAAAGTTGCAGGAGAATATCAAAATAATTCTAAAACAAAAACAAAACAGTCTATGTCGTAACATTTTAATTATAGACATTCAAAATATGACACTACACAAAGCCATTATCCTCTTCACAAAAATTTATCTTTGAGATGAGGGCATAAAGGCATCAAAACCTTTCCACTGTTTAGACAATACTGTTATAATTATGGGCAAAGCACCAAATAAGAAGTTCACTACTAAACAGGACCCAACTGGAAATACTGTTGCTGCTGACAAGCACCTCAACAGTGTTTTCAAGTTCAACACTAATCTTGGACAACATATTCTTAAAAACCCACTTGTGGCCCAGGGAATCGTCGACAAGGCACAGATCAAGCCCAGTGACATTGTATTAGAAGTCGGTCCCGGTACTGGTAACTTGACTGTACGAATACTAGAGCAAGCACGTAAGGTAATTGCCGTGGAAATGGATCCCAGAATGGGTGCAGAATTAACCAAAAGAGTTCATGGAACTCCGCAAGAAAAGAAGTTGGAGATTCTATTAGGCGATTTCATCAAGACTGATTTACCCTATTTCGATGTATGTATATCCAACACTCCATACCAGATTTCATCTCCATTGGTGTTTAAATTACTTAATCAACCACGCCCACCACGCGTTTCTATTCTTATGTTCCAAAGAGAATTTGCCATGAGATTAGTTGCCAGACCAGGTGACGAACTATATTGTCGATTATCGGCAAATGTACAAATGTGGGCCAATGTAACGCATATAATGAAGGTGGGTAAGAATAATTTCCGCCCACCGCCACAAGTCGAGTCGAGTGTTGTTCGTATCGAAGTCAAAAATCCGAGACCTAATATAGATTTTAATGAATGGGACGGATTATTGAGGGTTGTGTTTGTGAGGAAAAACAGGACTATAGCAGCTGGGTTCAAATCACAGGCCGTGATTGACATTTTGGAAAAGAATTACAAAACATGGTTGGCTACACAGGAGAACGATGCCGACACGATGGTTGTTGATAACAAGGCCGATTTGAAAGGTTTGATAAAGGAGAAAATTGACAGAGTATTGACAGAGACCGGATTCGCTGATAAAAGAGCGGGTAAATTGGATCAAACGGATTTTTTGAAATTGTTATACGCCTTCCACCAAGTTGGATTACATTTTGCATAAAAAAGCCCTTTCAAAGTCTAGTCTATCAAGATATATATATATATAAGCATTTATTAATCACCTCCTCTTTGTTGTCTTTGTATTGTCCTTTTCTATAACTTCACCAACACCACCCATTTCCTCCAAATTGTCTTCAGCAACAGCAACTGCCTGTCTTCTCTCCCAATACCTATCCTCACACAATTCAAATGCAACCTTCTTCAAATACTTTCCACGTGCTTCGCGATGACTTGATATAGACCACTCCAAGAATGCAGCACCTGTTCTGACATAGAATACACGAAGAGATTCAAACGGTTTGGGGTGTGGTAACCATGGCCTTGGGTCTGGGAATTCTTCTTCTTCTTCCCTTTCAGCTTGCTCCACCTCTTCTTCCTCTTCTCCTTCTTCGTCTACATCATTGTCCATCTCTTCATCTTCATATTCAAAATCGTCGTCTTCATCCTCATCATCTGATTCTTCAGCGGCCTTCTCTAACTCAGACAAATCTTCCCAAAACACTTTGACACCATCTAATTTACCCAAATCAATGGCATAGAATGAATCTAAACTGAACTCCTGCTCGCCCCGTTCAAAAATACCACCAAAAATGTAGAAAACGTCATCAACAACACATGTTGTTGCATTGAAACGTGGATGCGGTAATTGGTTCATAACAGGATACTCAACGACGTCCTTCTTCTCTTCCTCTTCTTCCTTCAGTTCTGCATCCTTCAATTTATCCAACTCAGCATCATCATCGTCATCGTCATCGTTCAAGTTTGATTTAGCCAATATGGAGTTCAATATATCTTCCAAATCCTCATCTCTTGATTTTTCCTTTATGGCCTCTTTCTTTTTCCTTTGCGGTCTCAAGGCCAAGTTGTACCACCTATTACTATCAATTTGATAGCTGTACAACTGGTTGAAAAATTCAGAGTCCAACTGCTCTTCGCTCTCATCGTAATCGTACACCCCTCCAAATAAAATACCTCTATTTTTATGATAAACCAATGAACAACCAACACGAGGCAGTGGTAAAACACCCTGTCGCTTCCTTCGTTCAAACCTGATTCCCTTGGGATCACTCTTCATTTTCAAGATCCAACAATCACTCAATACTTTACCCTTTTGTAGACCTTTACCTGCCTTCACCTTGGTATATCCACCGTATAATACAACACCATCTGCACACGGAATAAACGAGTGTCCCGATCTGGCATCCGGTATTGGATGATTAGGAGGGAATTCAACTTGTTGCCATTTGAATTCAGTAACGTCAAATACCCATATATCGTTGAGATATGTAGTCATTGTGCCCAAATCACGGAATCCACCATGAAGAATGATGAAATTTTTCCACACCGCTAATCGATGGCCCGATCTTGCTGAGGGCCCCTTCTTTGCATCAATCTTTTGCCATTCCTTGGTATCTGCGTCCAAGATCCAAGTATCTCCATAGTGATAAAATGTTGATTGTTTAGGTGACGAAAATTCTCCACCAAACATCAAGACAATACCAGACGGATGCGCACACATGGCATGCGAAGATCGAGGCAATGGTGCATTTTTAGAAGTGAATTTTCTCCAAGTATCATTGTCAATCGAATAAGTGAATAAATCATTATGGAAATGTGATGTTTTACCGTCGCTTGACTCACCACCGAATAAAATGATTTCTCGTTTATTGTGTAAAGGAGAAGCAACCATGGTTGGATTTAGTCTCCTGTGTGGGTGGTGCTTGCATACTTCAACTTTAACTTCAGTAAATGCTTCTTGTTCTTTGGCGTAATTAGCTAAAATGGTGTCGATGTCCTCATCTTCCTCCTCTTCATCGCCCTGCCTCTTCGCCAACTTCTTATTTTTAATTTCGGCTTTGGACAAGTTTTTCTTTTGCTTTTCGGCAGCACGAGCCTTTTTGGCTTCCTTGGTTTTCTTATCCTTCTTTGCCATTTATCTAGGAGTTTGGTGAAGAATCTTATTCAGTGGTTGCAAAGATTAAAGAGCAAAAAAATTATTTCAATTTTGAAAAATGGTGAAAGTTTTGAAAACGCGACTCTCAAAACAATCAACAAAGAATCAAGAACACAGATTGAAGATACCACCCCCACACCAGCAATGTCTAGTTCAAACAACGACTATTTCAACAAACAAAGAGATATACTAATTCAAGAAATATCAAATAATTTATCCGAGGTTTTCACCAACTTAGAAACCCTAAATCGGTCTTTGAACGAAAGTATACAAATCGGCAAAGAATTTGATGATGTTGGTAGGTTATGGCGTACATTCTACGACGGAATGAATAAATTGAAAGATGAAACATCCATGAGGGGTAAGTCAAATGAAGAAGAGGAAGCTGAGAGGCGAGCTGGTGCAGGTTCCGAGTAGAGTATACATCTATCGTACAAAGTACTATAATGTAATTGATTCATATATGTTGTGGTTACGTAGATCTAAAACGTAGGTTGACACCCCATTTCGTGTATACCCCAATCTCTTCTTTCGAACAGTTACCGAAAATAATGCTCAACAGGGATAAAGTGATTGTACCTATTTTCGATTCACAGGTAGACCCAGTAAATCCTCTTACAACAACACAACATTGCCATGTGCTATTAGAGCATGCTTCACAACCACTTTATTACAAAAACAATACTACTTTTTAGGAGGCTATAAAGTTTATTTTGCGATGGAAAAAAAAATTTGATTTATACGATAGAACACTGAAGATACTGAAAGCACTGCCAACCTTCAAACTGCTTAGAAACATTTGTGGTGGACGATGGATGGTCCAGATTCGTCGTATTCTTGTTTTGAGATCCACATTTGTTGGAAAGTAGACAAGGAAGCCAAGATGGAACCACCGATCCAGACAGAGTATTTTCTTTCTGGTGGAGCAATGATCTTGACCTTCATTGAAGATGGAGCCAAAGCAGTGATTTCCTTTTGCATACGTTCAGCAATACCTGGGAACATAGTAGTACCACCAGACATGACAATGTTACCGTACAACTCTTTTCTGACATCAAGATCACACTTCATGATAGAGTTGAAAGTAGTTTGGTCAATACCAGCAGCTTCCAAACCCAAGTCAGCTGGACGGAACAAAGCTTCTGGAGCTCTGAATCTTTCGTTACCAATGGTGATAACTTGACCATCTGGCAATTCGTATGACTTTTCAATAGCAGATGATTGTGATGAAGTTTGCATCTCTTGTTCAAAGTCCAAGGCAACGTAACACAACTTCTCCTTGATATCTCTGACAATTTCTCTTTCAGCAGTAGTTGAGAAACCGTAACCACGTTCTGATAAGATCTTCATCAAGTAGTCAGTCAAGTCTCTACCAGCCAAGTCAATTCTCAAAATACCGTGTGGCAAGGAGAAACCAGCATAGATTGGAACAACGTGGGTAACACCATCACCTGAATCCAAAACAATACCAGTGGTTCTACCGGATGAGTACAATGACAAGACAGCTTGGATAGAGACGTAGAAAGCTGGAACATTGAAAGTTTCAAACATAATTTGAGTCATCTTTTCTCTGTTTGACTTTGGGTTCATTGGTGCTTCAGTCAACAAGACTGGGTGTTCCTCTGGAGCAACTCTCAATTCATTGTAGAAAGTGTGGTGCCAGATCTTTTCCATATCATCCCAGTTGGAAACGATACCGTGTTCAATTGGGTATCTCAAAGTCAAAATACCTCTCTTTGATTGTGCTTCGTCACCAACGTATGAATCCTTTTGACCCATACCAACCATGATACCTTGGTGTCTTGGTCTACCAACAATTGATGGGAAAACAGCTCTTGGTGCGTCATCACCAGCAAAACCGGCTTTACACATACCAGAACCGTTATCAATAACTAAAGCAGCAACTTCTTCTATAAAATGGTGTTAGTATGGTCATCCTCGGTGAAATCAAGCTGCATGACCTTATTGGGCGAGGGGAGGGGTTCAAGATAGCCGGTATAGTGTTCCGAAGGTAGTTATATTTCATTTGCTTATTTTGAGTCTCGACGTCGAACAAAAAAAAAAGTGCGCCTAAAAGTGAGCATGCGACTGAGATCAAAGATAACAAGATCCAACAACGGACCAGATCGGTGACGCGCTAATGGCAATCAATTCGTAAAGTAGCGTCGAATATGGTGAGAATACTCACTCAACAACATCCAATTGAGTCTGTATTGGATTAGATACTAGATTGATTAGATGCATTTTGATTTCGGTGAGAAATCGCCAAACTTGGATCAGTTGCTTCAAGTTGGATTGCTTGACTAAGCAAATACATCAATCATCGACACTTCATATATATCTCACTGTGAGTGAGTTGAGATGATTGTATTGAATGCTGTGCCCTCATTGGACTGATTGAAACTCGATAATCTTTTGATTCTCTTGGAGGGAGGGCTATCTTAAAACTCTCGACAGATACACACTGCAAACTTGAACTGAATCAATCAAATATTGATTGTAAAAGATGTTTAGTACATACCACCGTCCATTTTGTATATATGATTGATCTATTAAACTGTAGAAAATGCTTGATATAATACAAGTTGTGTTTCTAAACCAAAGAAAGAAAACAAGAAAAAGGTTTTTTTGAATTTTCAACAAACAGAGAGGTTTTGAAAAATAAAAAAAAAGAAAAAGAAAAAGAAAAAGAAAAAAAATTGGTTCGTTGGCAAAAAGTGAGAGTAAGTAAAGTAAGAGAGAGAGAGAGAGACGACAGGAGTTCTTAGTTGTTTTTATTTTATTTGGAGTTACAAAAAAGGATTATTTTTTATACCACAAGTACACGAAAACAATAGGAGAATAAACGGTGCCTCTTCATAGAGTTTAACCATCGTAAAATAAGGAAACATCGTCAGTCGTCTAATGAGGTAACCGTACTTACAAAACCATTAGACACTGTAAGTAAATAAAAGAGAATTGTTAAATCCGTTTTGAAAAAGCCTGTACCTGCTCAAAAGGTGGCAAATCGAACACCCGAAATTGTATAATCTTTGCCTTTTCTCGTACAGACTAGTTGTTGCTAACAACCCCTCAAAAACCCTTTCCGAAAACATAGATGGTCGTTGTAGCTCTTTCCTTTCGAAAGACTCGTTGATTTATGCCCCAGTTTACCAAGGGCTTTGCCGTATCGTGTTTGTTGGTGGATTCATGTCTAAAGCAACTCATTTTGTGCTAGGTACACGACCCACGAGATCTGGAATCGGCTTTACAAAAGTATATGTGTGATCAATTTTCTCAGGCTATGCTAGACAAGCAAAATTAGTAGACTGAAATTTGCGTAACAGTGCAATAATCAAAAGAATGTAGTAGAGCACAACCTATTTACGGGAACATCTAAATACCCTACAACTATTCGATGGTTTATATGTAATATATGTGTTACTCCTATTTCTAATACGGAAAAGCAAGGGAGACCGCTATTCGAAGTAACTGATGTATGCTGTAGACAGAGAACAAATCACACTGAGGTGAGATATTATGCTAGTAGCTTAGACCCTCTCGGATTACTTCTTATATAAGAAGCAAATCTAAATACCGCAGTTCCTAGGGTGTGTAAGAGAGTTGCAAAATCGGCACTTGCATCGGAGATTAGGGAAAACTTGTGACACGCATTTGGAAACTGCTTTGTAACCCACTCAAACTTCTTACGACACAAAGCTTCAAATGTAGAGTGTGTGCTGACGACAACGAAGGCAAAACGAAGAATCACTTAGAGAAGGTCACGATCAAAGGCGTTGATGATGCGCCTTGAAAGGATCTCGGATGACTCTTGAGAACCTTTTCAATGGATTAAGCAAACGGTTGAATAAAGCTTGCTTCATTTTCCCCCGCTTCGTCCGAGTGGCTTACCACCCTCACTAAATAAACAGAAGCGATGTAGTCATGACTGTGATTAGGTATATTCAAAGGGACCCCGTACTGTAAACTTCTTCCCCATTCATAGAGCCATAGCATTGCAACATTTCTACTGTTCTCTAATACAACTTAATAAGAGTGTCGCAAACAGTTTCGTGACTAAATTTAGAAAAGAATAAAAAAAAAAGAGGCAATGAAACTAAAAAAAAGAAAAGGAAAATCTGTTGATTCCAAAAAAGGCAAAGAGAGAAAGAAAGAAAAGAAAAAAATTACAAAAGGGTGAGATTACCAATCCTCGTCGGTTGTTACAAAGAAAGATACCCGTCATCACCAAAATTTCAAATCCATCTCATCGGTTGTTCCATTACGTATACCAAAAAAAGCTTCTACTTCTTCTTTAGAGTGCATTTACTGATTTATCAACTTTTGATTCCCGCATAACATAAAAACCAACAAAACTCAGTTTTCAGTACAACAACAACACATACAACCACAATCATGTCTTCATCAGTTCCATATGACCCATACATCCCCAACCAACAGACTGGAGATCAATCCAGGACTGCCGCAATACAAGCTGTATGTATTAGCCCTTGTTTTTACAAAAGACACATATTTGAATCGAATCAAATTTTACTAACTTTTCCATTATTTAGCAAATAGATGACACTGTTGGCGTCATGAGAGACAACATCAACAAAGTGGCAGAGAGAGGAGAAAGATTAGACTCAATAGAAAACAAGACTGATAATTTGGCCATCAGTGCCCAAGGTTTTAGAAGAGGTGCTAATCGAGTGAGAAAAGATATGTGGTGGAAAGATTTTAAAATGAGAATGTGTCTTATCTTTGCAGTCATCATTGTCATTATTGTCATTGTTGTTCCTATTGCTGTTCATTTCAGTTAAACCTTTCTCTGTGGGGTTCCAATGTTAGGCTTGTGGCTTTGCTTGTGTGGTTTCTATGTTTTTTTTTTTTTCATTTTGAAGAGTTTATAAGATTTATAATTTTCACGCCTTGATGCTTTTTACTGATACCAGCTCTGGTGTCTTTTCGTAGTAGATGTATTGTAAAAAAATTAAAAGGCCTGAATTGAGTTCAAAAGAGAGGTTTGAAAGGTTTCTTCTCAAAAGAAGTCACTTGTGCCAAAAGGAGTCAAACTTGTCTTCCAATCGAAAACCACAAAATTAAAACCCAGCAAAGTCAACTTAATTTTTTCCCATTTCCAAACAAGTTTTCAATAAAAAACATCTGATTCTTTTACCTTCCTTTCTTTCATCATCATAAACCTACATCATCTACCAGACCATGTTCAAATCATTGTTAAGATCCTCGTCAATTCCACTTCGTGCATTCGCTAGACCAACAAGCACAGTCTCACCCCTCTTACGTACTTTCACAACAACAACCCCACACCACTACAAGGCAGACAAGAACTCACATGCTTATAAATACTTGCATGAAAAACAGCCAGTTGAGACTAAATTCACTGAAGAGCACGAATATGTCAAGTTATATGACGACGACTCGGCATTAATTGGTATTACTCAATATGCGGCACAAGCATTGGGTGATGTTACATTTGTTGAATTGCCCGAATTGGGAACTAGAGTTGAAATCGGTGAGACTATAGGATCGGTAGAGAGTGTTAAATCAGCTAGTGAGATTTATAGTCCTGTTAGTGGTGAAGTTGTTGGTATTAATGACATTTTGGAAAGTGAGCCGGGATTATTGAACCATGATCCAACTGTTGAAGGATGGATTGCTCACATCAAATTGGATGATGCTACCCAGGTTACCAAGAGTGAAACTTTATTGACCACTGAGGATTATGCAAAGTCTTTGGAAGAAGATTAAATTGAATTACAGAAGTTTTTTTTTTTTTTCAAATCCAGCTTTTTATAAATAATATATAAATATATAAAGTATTGAAATTGTTTTCTTATTTATTTTAAATAATTTCTATCCATCTTTGTAGCTTTTACTGGATTCACAAGTCCAAATCAGGTTTAGTTCCCTTCATTCTGCCCAATACGCAATTTGGTACATACTTGGGAATGAAATTGTCTTCGTGTAACATTTCAAAACTTTCAGTTGCATCTCTACCGCCGAAGTTAGTTATAGATGCAGCACCACCGGGATGTTGATCCAAGAATGCAGTCAAATTAACAACAACATTCTTGATGATGCACCAACAATCCTCCTTGGTATTGTGCTTGGCGACTTCTTCTGGGGTAAATTCTTTGTCGGGGATGGAGAATGTACTGGCCCTGTCTTTGGCTTGCTGCTTTGACTTGGCAGGTGGTTCCAGTTTAGGCTGTTGCTTTGGTGGTTCGGCACTCTCAGTTGAAGACTCACCAGAAGACGAGCTGTGGTTGTTCATGTCAATAATTATTCTATTGGTATTTGGATCAATGTGTAGATTAATCATGTTCAACCTTTGAGTAGCATTGTTTCCTGATCCTTCTCCTCCACCACTGCCTTCGTCTTTGGATTTACTCAACTTTTGCAACTCATAGCTGCATGCTTCATCAGCTGCTAATCTTCCATAAACAACGCAAGCTAATAAGGACGATCCTCCTAACCTATTGTGTCCATGAACACCACCGGCGACTTCACCTGCAGCATACAAGCCTTCAAATGGAGTATCCTTATCAGTGAGAACCTGTGACTTGTCATTGATCTTGACTCCACCCATAGTGAAATGTAATACTCTAGTTATAAACGACACATGATACTTTGCTTCGGACTTATACTCAAACGGTGTGGCTGGGAAAAATTTCTTGCCATAGGGATCCTCAATTTCACCTTTGGCCGCTTTATTATAAGTATCCAATTGCTGTTTCAAATGTTCTTCACTGCATCCAATTTCCTCGCACAATTGTTTGCCTGTAACTGTTCTCATCAAATTTCTCTGTGTATAATGTTTGATATGGAACTCCAATTTCTTTTCCGATTCCTCACTTAATACCAATCTTATTGGTCCATTGCCTGCCTTGTTTTGTTTCTCCATTTCGCCCGATACCCAATCTCTAGTACCCAACTCATCAACAAAACGATCACCTTTACCATTCAACATAATACCTCCTTCTCCACGCAATGCCTCGGCACCAAGGAATAAGAATCGAGGTTGAGTCTTGCCATCAATCACATCTTTATCGTTAAAGTCGATTAACCCTGTAGGATGAACTTGAACTTTATCCATATCAATACCAACACCATGATTCTTCATAATAATCTTTTGTCCATCTCCCGTTGCATGGACTCCGTTGGTTGATGGTAAATCAATAATATCAGGACGGTACTTGCGCAATAAACTGTTTTTGGTGAAATCAGCAGCGTATCCACCAGTGGACATAATTACTGGCCCATAAACTTCTGACTTTGACTTATCTTGCAAATTCTTATACTTGACACCAACTACCTTGTCTTCTCCTTCCGTTACCAAATCAATGACTTGGCATTGTTTCAATATTGCCACTCGATCAGGTTCATCTTCACTCAATTTTTCCAAAGTCTCCAACAATCTATAAGTAATAGCCATTCCAGGGAACTTTGAGTCATGCCCACGATGAGTTCTGGGTTGTGAATGGCCTCCTAATCTCAGCACCACTGTTAAATCTAACCCAAACACTTCTTGTAACCAATGCACAGCATCAGCAGAATTGTAGGTTAAAACTTTAATCAAAGCTGGGTTTGCCCTATCTTTTGCTGTTTTCAAAGTATCCTCATAAAACTTATCGACTGAGTCGTCAATTTTCAATTTAGTTTGTGTTCTCGTCAATGCGCCATTAATACCGGAGGTTGCTTTACCACTGTTTCCTGATAAGAATCCTTGCTTGTCCAACAAAACAACATTACCTCCGCGCAAGTAAACTTGATGGGCTGCGGACAACCCGGCCAATCCTCCTCCTACAATGACAATAGGGTTAACTGGTAAATCTGACATTTTGGAATCTAAATAGTATTGGGTATCCAAAAGCGTGTGGAAAAGGTAGAAACTGATGAAAGATGCTTATTTTATAGTGAATGGTGATTGGTGCTGATAATGCGCGCGTTTTATATAGAAAATCACCTTACTAAAAATATTTTATGGGGTTAAAGAAAAAAAAAACAATTAAATGGAAGCAAAATCTCTCCGAGTCAATCATAATGCAGAAATATGTTACACAATGTAACAACGGGGGAACCAAACAAAAGTCAGAAAGTGTTGGGATAGTCAACGTATAATGCCTCTACAGAAGTGCTGGTTGTTTTTGCTGCACTAAAATCAGATGTTTTTGCCTCTAATGTTGCACTCCAGTCTTCTCTACAACTACCGCGGTATCTCCGCACTACAAAAACGAGCTCCCTCTAATTGATGATACCACTTCTTTTACTAGCAATATTAGACAAAAGGTTTACTGTTTGCAACTCATTGAGGGTTTTCCCCCAACAAAGTCAATATTGGTGATGGCAAAAACGTGGAGTGGAAAAATATTCCAATTTTGAAAAATGATAAAAGGTTTAACAAAATATTCTGTGTCTGATTCACGTGACTTCATTTTTTCTTTTTCGGGGTAAACAAAGCCTTTTTTACAAACCCGTGGATAACAATTAGGAACTTTAAATAATAACTGCGCTAAGAAATACCATTTTAAGTAAAACAATTATGTCATGAAAGAAAAATATCAAAAAAATGTCTGAACTTCTTTTTTTTTCCGCACAATATGCTTCTTGTCTTGTCTTCCCCACCACCCCCCACTGTCATATTCATTGGCGTCTTTTAAACCCATTTACACAGAACTGTTTTACTAGACAACTACCATCGGCACAATGGAGATCTCTAGCAAAACTGTAAAAGAGGAGCAGCTACCAGTTTGAGGGTATTTAAAATTTCCTGCTCTATGAAATTCACTTCTATACATGCGATATATACTGCAATGCAAATGAAACATCATTGAACTGAGCTTCATTAGCAACCAAAACATCCTCATTGTCCGCCAACTTTTTATGGTTCAAATGGTTCCATGTTGTAGCATCACCGTACAACATTGCCCTAGCTTTAACAAATTGTCCTTTTTCCTTGTTGCATCGCTTGCAATTATAAGTATCATGGGTATCACATTCGGTATCTGGCTGATACTGGAATAGTTGCTTCAAGTTATCAGCACTAAATAATCTCTCAACGTCCTCTTTTTCGTCAACAACACAACTACTCAACGACATCTTCATTGATTGTCGTTGAAATATCTTCTCCTCGATTGTTCCTGTCGAAATGAATCTATATATAAAGCAGTCTTTCTTTTGCCCATCTCGCCAAACTCTAGCCAATGCTTGTTGGTCCAGCGCTGGATTCCAATCGGGGTCAATAAGTATTAATCGATTAGCACCAATTAAATTGATACCACACCCGCCTGCTTTCGACGACAATAAAAAGATAAATTCTGAACCCTTTGGATCATTGAATTTGTCAACCAATTTCTGTCTTTTGTTGATATTCATTGTACCGTCTAATCTCAAAGCACCATATTTCCTATTGCGACACATTTTTTCAATCAAGTCAAGCGTTTGGGTGTAGTTGGAAATCAAAACAATCTTATCATCAGTCTCATGATGGATCTTGTTCAAAAATCGTTCCAAAATCATAAATTTGCCACTAAACCAAGTTTGAATCTCTCTATTACGTCCAGTTGCGTTTATTGATGGTTCATACTCGTCGGGAATTAAATGTTCACATCCTTCTAAATCATCAGGTAGATCTAGTAAATTGGGATGGTTGCATAGCTTCTTCAACATACCAATAGCCTTCAATGGTTGCGATCCAATTCCCTTCAACAACTTTTTAATCTCAGGCGAGGTGATGAAATGATGATATAAACTCTTTTGCATTGGTGACAACCCCGTGAATAAAACGTATTCGTACTTAACCGGCAAGTATTTGGACAAGATATCATTAGTACGTCTAATGATAAACTTGGACACTAATTGAGATAGTTCCAACAATTTTGCATCTCCCTTTTCTCGTTCTTTATCAGTAGCATCAGCATCTCTACCACGTAAAATGGCGTTTTCAAAATTCTTTCTAAAATCGTTTCGAGTACCAAGATAACCAGGATTGGCAAAATTTAGCAACGAAAAGTATTCTGATAAATCATTCTGAATTGGTGTACCGGATAAAATCACTCTTCGCTCGCATCTTAACGAGTTCAATGCTGTGAAGGTCAATGATTCTCCATTTTTCAACCTATGCCCTTCATCAGCCAACATTAACCCAACTTCAGTACCTGCTAACTTGTCAACATTTCTTCTCAAAGTTTCATACGATATGATCAAAACAGGACGTACGATATTTCTTCCTTGTGCAGTTGACCACTGTTGCAAAGCTGTGCCCAATTCATTCGACTTGGTGCTTTTCCCGTCAACTGCTAACGGTGTCAATGCACCTTCACCCAACCATTTAACAATTTCATTAGCCCAGTTACGAACCAACGATGATGGACAGACAATGATACATTTCTCAATAGTCCTCTTACCCCTTGGTGACTGTCTAAGCAACGTCCACATCAAAGCAAGACACTGCAACGTCTTCCCCAACCCCATCTCATCGGCCATGATACATCCTTTAGCTTTTGGATCCATGAGCCCGGCTGTGCATCGATAAAGAAATTTGACACCGGCAATTTGATGCGGACGTAAAATCTTGGCCAATTTGGGATCAATCACTACAGGAACATCCGGATACTGAGCTAACTTGGTTTCAGGATTAGTCACGATACCCAATATTTCCGCCAAGGAACGGTGCGTCTTTCTTCTCTTTGCCGGCCGTTCATCTGTTTCCAGGTTCATTGACGTGTCAGGCAGGTCCACCTCTTCTATCTTCTTTTCCTCCTCAGCAGTCTTCGGTATGACATCAACGGTTGGGTCATACAATACAATAGCAAATTCACTCATTGGATCATGAAGCGCACGCGGTGGAATGATGGGCCGCACTTTGGTACCCAACGGAGGTGGAGGTCCACGTATCATTTCATCCTTCTTGGTATTACCTTTACTAAAAGGAACGGTAAAAGATCTCTTAAACTTGGTTTCAATGTACATGCGTCTATCGTCACTATTGATTGATCGCGGAAGCAACGCGCCAAATTTCTTGCATCTGACAACTTCACCATCTCCGTCGACGTTCTCATCATCGTCTGCAGCACCATTTCCAAGGTCTTCAATGGCATAGTTGGTGAATTTTCTTGATGAACGCACGGGTCGACGCGATACAATACCGGATACAGTCTCCAGTCGCGTCTTGAAGGGCACTTGGAAAGGTTTTGCCAATCTCGATTCTGAGTCGTGTACTTTGGGTGGCCTTTTATCCTTGGGCACGCCTGCGCCTGATCCCAAAGGAGTAGTAAATTGTTTAAGTGGTTTGCGTACTGCCATCTCTATGTGAATGTTCTATAGTACAGTGTAGATAAATGTTGTAGTTTTAGTTGCGAATTTCAAAACAAAACAAAAACGTAAATGCTCATCATTGAGAAGTGAAGCTACCAATTGATTTCAGGATACTCTCTCACAAGGGCAATTTTTCCTTTCATACCTAACAAAGCAGAACTGCGCACCTTCGATGGATCAGATACTCTCCAAAGCTTCAAACCAAGTGGTATCATTTGCTATACGCTCAGGTATATCAATAGCATCCGGTTATGCCATTAAGACCATCTCTACATTTGTTGACAAGATCCCAGCTCTGCAACAACAACGTCTTTCAAAACAACGACGTAAACTCAAGACAAAAATTGATATCATCAACGTTACTATAGACTTGATTAAGCTTGCATCAAGCAGAGGAAACACTGTTTTGGAATCCACCTTGGAGTTGATCGATGATTTGCATGACCAATTTACATCATTTGACGAAGGGGTTAATGATATAACGGCACAATTATCGAGTGCCAATACTAAAGATAGTGTCAAACGGGTTGAAGATTGCATGCATGATTTGATGGCGGAAATCAATGATGCAATACCAATTTTGAACTTGTCTTTAATCACATCAGGGATAAATCTCAATGGCATGACTAATTTCAACTCCATTTCACCTGGAAGGTTATTACAAGCTTCAAATTACTTGAATCAAGGTGGCGAATTGGTTGGCCCTGTATTTGATCTTGTCATGTATACAATTTTCTACAATCCTAGTAGAATGAAGTACATCGACGAAGGTGGCGACAATGCTGCTGTTGCTGTCGATGAATTGAGTTGCATAACATGGAAGGAAACATTTGCCAGGAGTTCAGTCCAGATTAAAAATAGTGGAAGCAAAAAAGGCGAATTTAAATATACTTTAAACATTGAAGAAAATTTCAATGATGGAAGGTTTCACGACGACGGCGACGATGATAATAAACCAGGAGTGAAAAAGTATGATTTGAAATGGATTCACAGTATGTTTTTCACGGCCTCGGGGAAGTTACTTAGGCTAGAAGGACGTAATTTGCCAGTATTAATTTTGAAAATAATCGATGGAGATAAAGAAGAATGGATTGCATTGGGTGAACTTCATCTGAATGAATTTGACGACGAAGAAGATGATGAAGATGAAGATGAAGATGAAGAAGATGATGATTTGGAGAAACCAAAGCGGAAAGATAAACTCACCCAACAACAAATCAAATCCAGTTCCTTGTCCCTACTAGAGTATATCATAAGATTAGCCCGGTTGCAACAAATTGAAAACAAGAGTATATTGACTATACCCGATGAAGTATTAAAATTGTATTTGCATGATCAACTGGCAAGTGCTGATTTGCCCAAATCAATCACAGAACGAAATAAACAGGATACAAAATCAAAACAAACGCAAGATAAGTTGACGATGGATTCAAACATTACTCGATTGAAAAACCTCGAAATTGAAAAATCAGAGAAATCAGAGAAATCAAAGAAATAATGAAAATAATGGTCTCCTCTTTGTTTAGTAGTTATTGATTGAAATATACATCCATAAGCAATTCATATAGCATAGCTACACGTAATTCACAAAAAAAGAAAAAAAAAAGAAAAAAAAACTGCCAAAATAACCCTTACCAATTTCATTAATCATTTCTTCGTCAAAAGAACCTTACATCACTACTAATCATTTCGGAGTATTTGCCAATGGTATAGCAAATCCCTGAAACAATGGTATTTCTCCACCAATTAGTCCAGTCGTATTAGAATCTTCCAAATGTTGTGCACCCTCTTTCGAATAAGTTAAATCACTGAGTGAATTGTTTTGCGATGCCGGTTCATTGCCTGATGAGTTGGTCAGATCAGATGCTACTGCTCCAGCTTGTCGACCATCGGTAAAACTGCCATTCTCAGTATTGTAGTCGTCGTTGCTTGTCGGGTAAAAATTTGTTGTTTGCAATAACACATCGGGCCCTTGTGGTGGTGGTTGTTCTTGTATTTTTGCATCTGTTTCTCCAAAATTCATAGCCTCATCGCCAAAACCTTCGTTGCCATTCTCGTCAAAAAATGTGTCAGTGTACATTTCACTCTCTATTTTACTCAACTGTGAGCCAAATTTATTAGCACCTAGTCCAGTCTTGCCGAAATGATGATGCATAGTGTTGTTCTCTTCGTACTGTTCAAGCCCTGCAAAATTTTGTTCGTCATTGACCGAAGGTGGATAAGCTGTGGAGGTGGCCGATGAAGGAATGCCACCATTAATAAGTGTGTTATTATAATTGTTGAAGCTATTACCCATGAAATCAAATGACCTTGCCGATGAATTGGATGCTATCGATAAAACACTTTCAGGACGTTTGGGACCTCGCAGTTGTTGGTTAAAATAAGTTTGTTGTGGGTTGTTGTCAAAACTACTACCGAAATTAATATTATGATTCGATTCGGTTGCTGAGGGTAATGAGCTATTCAGGTCGGTATTTTGGGTTGCCAACAGCGGCCGTACTGGTGTAGGTTGATGAGGGACAGGTTTCTTCGTGTTAGTAGGTAATCCCAGCAAGGGTTTATTCTCATTATCAAAACTTGGACCACCTATGAGTGGGAAAAGGGGGAACATGTGGTCTACAACTTCAAAACCAGCAGGGCTAGGATCAGAACCTTCAGGACTAAATACTGAAGCTCTTTCACTGGTATCTTCCTGCTTTACACGACTTGTCGGCGAGTCATTCTCTTCTTGTAGTATACCTTGTTGGTTATACTGTGGTTCGCTAAATTGTTGGCTTATGTCATCTCTGCTATTACCGGCTCCTCCAAAACTCGACCCTTCTTGATCATCTTGTTTGTTAAACAAATCGAATAACCCCTTCTTGGTTTCAAAGGGCATCAATATATCTTCAATGACAAAGTTGTCGCTTAATTCAGGGTTTGAAAGTTGTGTCTCATTTGGACGTATAAATCCATAATCCATTTGATCTTGCAAATGAGTGTCTGCACGAGAAGAGGATGAAGTGCCGATTTCACCAGGTGAGGTTTTTCTTATTGAGGTCTGTCGCGTTGGTAAGGAATTCGACCTTTTGACAATATCACCCTCCAACAATGCCCTCATCTTTGCTGAATCCGTTTCCTTGTTCTTCTTGGATGACGCACCTGCTGACAGTGAGCCAGAACAGGTGCAGTGACTAGTTTTATGACAAGCACAGTCTGTTACATGTATAGTAGATGAATTTATCGAAGTTGAAGACGATGAGCGTGATAATTTATTCTTCTTTCCACAAGTGCAAGTAACGTGAATACTCTTGTGCTTCCTGTTATCTCGGCAGTGATGACATTGAGAAGCTGGACGACCTTTTGGTTTGATCATGGTTAAATGTTGGTCAGTGTGGGTACATGTAGTTACTCTGTGGCCACGTATGCAACGGTCACACGCATACTTAATCCCATTAATTAAAACCATCTCTCCCCGTTAAGTAGTTGTGATTCTATGGATGTAAACTGTGTATTTTAATACGTTTTGTTGATGTAGAAAATTTTTAATGTTTGAGATGCTTTGTTGCCTTGTTAATATATATCTGTGTAATCCAATCTGATGGGAAAATGTAGCGGGTAGATGAAGAAATATTCCAAAAAAAAAGAGGTCGTGTAAAGCTGGCTATAATCATGCAATTTAAATGAATCCTTGCACACATACATCAAGGATGGGCACCACAGTATTCACTTAGAGATAATAATACTACTAATATTGGTATATCTTTAGTCACTCTACATTAGAGCAATACATAGCTAAGCCGAGCAAAACGAAAGCTCCAGAGGATCCTTAAGGAGTAAAGTTTAATCCTATCACCTTCCAATACATTCAGCAAGAGAGAGAAATCAATTAGTTTCTAGACAAAGGGCGTGTACCAACGGCTGAATCGTGTAATTATTCATAACCATTCATGACAAGCCTTCACCTCTTGGCGTCGAGACAAGAAATAGATTGTGGGAAGAGTCGGAATAAAAGAAAACCGGCTACCCCATTTGAATTTGTGTTAAACTTGTACTTTGATATGTGCCCTTTTTCAAGGAAAATGGCCTATATCTGCTATTGTGGGCTTGCGAGATTACCTTCCTCGTGTTAATCTCTATTGTTATGGGCACCTTTCATATGAGACACAAAACAGAGATATGGCATGAAATTGTAAAAGATTTGCGCTCACTTTTGCGACGAAAAGTCAATCTGTTTCTACTTCAAACAATACACAAGAATTCAATAATCTTCTTCGTGTTTATCCTTTAGAAAGTTTTCATTCTCATTGCCTGCTTACCTTAAACAGAACAATCGAAAAGTGGGTGATGGTCTGCTTTTACCATCATAAAACCGGTTTTCCGATTTGATTAAATAAATGTACTTAAAATCTACTTCTTGTCTACTATAACAACCATCTACTCTATCTTCAAGTACCATCCTCTCCTTCTTTCACCAACTCTCATCTATAACTTAGCATCTTTGAAAGGAGGACTGATCAAAGGCTGATAAACATTTCTAAATAATTTGTCTTCCGGAACAAATCTATTGCTAAAGTTTCTCACATCGACATACTTTTCATTCAACTGATCGATTGAAGTGACACCCAACAACCTCATATTCATAATCATCTCATCTTTCAAGATTTGCATGGCCTTGACAACTCCATCGTCACCATAGGTGGACATGGCGTAAAGGAATGGTCTTCCGATACCAACTCCCTTTGCACCCAAACATATAGCTTTCAACACATCACTGGCTCTTCTAACACCTCCATCGACATAAACTTCGAAATTTTTATCCAAACCACGTTCTCTTAAAATTGGCATCAATTCGATAAGTACTTCTATTGGTGCACGAGAAAACTCCAACTGACGACCACCATGATTACTCAAAATGACACCTTGACAGCCATATTCCGCTGCCATTATGGCATCTTCAACACATTGTACACCTTTCAAAATGATTGGCATCTTGGTGACCGATTTAAACCATTCCAAGTCTTTCCAACTCAATGCAGTGTCTATAAATGATGAAATGGCTCTTGCGGCACCTTGTGAACGGTCAGCGTCATCTCCTTCTCCTTGGACATGACTCAAGTCAGCAATATCCTTCGACCGCATATCCTTCTCACGTCTACCCAATTGTGGAGCGTCAACAGTGATAAATAAACCCTTAATGCCTCTTTTCTCGGCATGTTGGATAAGTTTCTTTGAAATCTCTTTGTCTGAATTGACATACAACTGAAACCATTGCGTTTGTTTATCAGTGGCCTGATCAACAATCTCATCAAACGAGCAGGAAGCTAATGTAGGTATCATTTGTATAATGTCTTGTCTGTCACATCCTCTAGTTAAGACTTTTTCCCCATCAGGGTGACCCAACCTACCCAATGCAGTTGCCGTGACATAAAATGGTGCTGACGTATTAGTACCCAACATTGTCGTTGACAAATCAATATTGCTAACATCAACCATAACACGAGGCTTGAAGAATATACGTTGATAACTCAAATGGTTTTCTCTCATTGTAATCTCATCGTCACAACCAGATGAATAATAAGCCCAAGCAGTTTTCTCCATGGTATGCCTTGCAACAAACTCGAAATCGTTCAAATTGTAGATTTGACCCAAATCTGGCTTCTTTTCGACCCTCTTAAGACGTTGTACTTCCTCTTCGGGTATTGGCTCTCCATCTTCGTCGAGCATGACTTCCTCTTCCTCATCCTCATTCGCATCACTAGCAGATGTAGAACCCTGCTGTGGTACTGGAAGTGGGTCCTTGTCATCCTGTTCATCATACTCAACGTCATATTCGTCAACCACATTTCCATTAGATTTAGCGTTGCTCTGTTGTGGTTGCTTTTCTGAACTCTCCTTCTTCTTCTTGACAACCTTCTTTACTGGTTGGTTAACTCTCTTTTCAACCTCACCCTTGTGGTATTTTGGTGCTAAATATTTAGTCAAAGTGTCCAGCGGATGTATAGGATCAAATGCCTTGGTCGCATCTTTGCCTGCATATTTCATGATGATGGCAGATCCGCCAGGATGCTCATCAACAAAATCCGATAAATCATAAGCTTTATCGTGAATGATAACCCAAACATCCTGTTTGGTATTATGTTTAGCTACTTCTGATAATGCAAGAACCATTGTTGTAAAGCGTCTGCTTGTTTGTAAAGATAGACCCTACTAAAGTGATATATAAAAGGCAACACTGAGTATTATATAAACTGAAAATACTACGGAGGTTTGAAAAAGACTATCCGGTGTTTCTATGAGTGTGTGGGGGAGAAAAAAGAAAAGATGTCAATACAGAAAAAATAGACATCCAATTATCGCTGTCTAATTTGTTATCTCTTGCCTAATCGGGTAGAAAGTTCCGCTAGTTGAAGCGTAGTGGCGCATTTGTTGTTTTTTTTGTCTGAACAATCCAAAAAAGTCAGACAGACAAAAAACGATGCGAAAATCTTTTGTGGAGATTGAAAATGGATGTTGCAAATATAGATTCAAATCAAATAGAAGGGAAGAGGGGAGAAGGGAAAAGACCGCTTAATAATACCGTCTCATTTTTGACTCTGGTTTCAACGGTTTTATCTAAAAATATTGATGCAGTTTTAGACGTTCAAAGTGCTTTGGGGTTATATTATCTGCTAGTTCGAGATAGCCAGAGCTATATATATGCACTGTCAATTGAAACTGAATAGGTTACAACTAAACCTTGGGTTCAAGAAATTGCCTTTACCCTTTTTGGTGCTCGCTGACTCAAGAACAGCTTACAATATTCGTAAAACTTATCTCAGAATTTCCACCTGTTTTAGCGCAAATTTTGATGAAATTCTTGAGGCTCATTTCCCACGCCATTGGAGAACATACTCCAAAAAGCCTGTAGTAAACTGAGGGTAATGTTCTTGTTTCTAACTTCCTTTGAAGGCATACACTTTTATACAGTGATGTTAACCCTGAACGATCGTTCCTTCAGATCCTTCGCCAAGATCGTCGCATAAAGTAGACGCACAAAAAAAAAACATGGCCTTATATATACGATTGCAATCCTTTGTCGTTTAAAGAGAATTCAAAATTTGCATCTATAAATACTATAAAGATGTTGTTCCTTCCTAGATTTGAATCAAGAAACTACCCTTTATATTCAGCATGAAGTTTTTGTTCCTATTAGCTATTCCAGTTGCTATCTATTCAATATCGTGTTCGTTGTATTACACTTGGTTGCCAACAAACTTTCGATTCGACAAAGATGTCCTTCACCAACTAGCACAAGAAGCAATTGAGCAGCATCCAAATAATGTTACTGAATTGATGATTGATTTGGGAGCTAAAATTAAGCACCAATACCCCGATATTGTTAATGAATTAAATTTCAATGAGTGGGTATACAACAATGCAGGGGGAGCTATGGGTACCATGTTTATCCTTCATGCATCAATCACAGAATACTTGATCTTCTTTGGTACAGCAATTGGGACCGAGGGACACACTGGTGTTCATTTCTCGGAAGACTACTTTATGATTTTACAAGGTGAAGAGAGAGCAGCACTAGCAGGAAATTTGGAACCAGAAGTGTACAAACCTGGCGATTGTCATCATTTAGTCAGAGGCCAAGTTAAACAGTATGCTATGCCCGGTGAATCGTGGGCTTTGGAGTACGCACAGGGATGGATACCATCAATGTTGTTCTTTGGGTTTTTGGATACATTCACTTCAACTTTGGATTTCTACACTCTCTATTTGACATGTTATTATACCGCTAGAGATATGTTGAAGAATTTGCTTAATGGTAAGATTTAGCTTGGGCGTAGCTAGCGTAGCGGTCATAGTTGTATTGAATATATGAATCGAAACCAAAGAGTTTAGCATATTACACAAAGCTTTGCATTTGTGACAAAAGAAAAGGAAACGCGTCTCATTCGAAATCTTTGCCATCATAGCTTGGTCAAATGTTTATAGGTGTCTACTCCATTCTCCCACGGAAACAGTACTTTGTTGGGAAGGACATTACACCTATGATCCAAATCCCTTTTCGAGTCGAGGTGTCTGCTTTGCAAGATTTAAACAGCTCCTAAATCACATGCAGATTTTCACCACTATGCGCTGTCGTTGTTTTTCAAACCATTATTTGAGGGTGTGCACGACTAGGCCCAAATACCAAAAATACATACGTTTGTGGGTTTATAGATTCTTGGTAACAAGCGTGCTGAGGCGATACAGTATAAGGATTGATCACGTAGAAGACGCGTGTATAGCACGTCTATAAGGTATCCTTCTCTCAAATGCAACAGTTTTGACAGCACACTTTTATAAGGCTAAGAGTGACTGTTGGGGAAAATGTAATACAATCTTGAAACACCAGTGAATCTTTGACTTCTTTATTAGAGAGTTTAGCCATCAAAGATAGAAAGGGAATATAGTATATGTTACTTGTAGCAATAAATTAGGAATTGTACCCTTCTGGTGGATAAGTTGCAATTCTACGATATCTCTCAAGTCTACTGAAGAGACTTCTTTTCAACTGTAGTTCCAATGACGAGTCCTTTTTTTTTGGTTCGCGCCCTTTTGTTTCTTTTTTTGTATGTGCACGCATACAATGCATACAAAATTTTTTTTATTCTTTTTTTCTTTTTGTTTTTCTTTTTTTTTTTTTTATTTTTTCTCTGTTTTGGCATTTTCTGATCTACAAATCAACAACCAATACCAACTATAGAATCCCCTTACCTCAATAGAAACAATACTATTTTTTTTTTAATTATTAAAGATGGTTTCATTGTACGATGTAGGGACTACCTGTTGGTATCCAGATGAAAAATTGGGGTGGATAGGTGCCAAGGTTGTGTCTAATAAATCTGAAGGAAACAAACACGTTATCAAATTGGTTTCTGAACAAGACGAATCACAAGAGTTCACCGTGGAGACAGACAATCTATCCGAGGACAATGAAAAGCTTCCTCCATTGCGAAATCCGCCTATTTTAGAAGCAGCAGAAGATTTAACTAGTTTGTCATATTTAAATGAACCGGCTGTTTTACAAGCGATTAAATTACGTTATTCACTGTTGGATATTTACACCTACTCAGGTATCGTTTTAATTGCTACAAATCCATTCCAAAAAGTGGAACAGTTGTACTCACAAGATATCATCCAGGCGTACGCTGGTAAGCGAAGAGGAGAATTGGACCCTCATCTTTTCGCCATTGCCGAAGATGCTTATAGATGTATGAAACTAGATGGCCAAAATCAAACTATTGTTGTCAGTGGTGAGTCGGGTGCAGGTAAGACTGTATCAGCCAAATATATAATGAGATACTTTGCCTCGGTAGAGGAGGACACAGACCAGGCTTTGGGCAGTGATCATAAAGCAGACATGTCTGATGTTGAAAAGCAAATCTTAGCAACAAATCCTATTATGGAAGCTTTTGGTAATGCAAAAACCACCAGGAATGACAACTCATCCCGTTTTGGTAAATACTTGGAGATCTTGTTTGACAAATCAACGTCCATTATTGGTGCTAGGATAAGAACCTATCTTTTAGAACGATCTAGATTAGTGTTCCAGCCATCAACTGAGAGAAACTACCACATATTTTACCAACTCTTGGCGGGATTGGATCCTGAACACAAGAAGGAGTTGGGATTGTTAACCGCTGACGATTACAAATATACCAATCAAGGAGGTTTATCCAAAATTGAAGGTGTGGACGATGCGGAAGAGTTTCAAACGACAAGAGATGCGCTTGCCTTAATTGGAGTTAACGATACCAAGCAGATGGAAATTTACAAAATTTTGGCTGCGCTTTTGCACATTGGTAATATTGATATTGCAGCAACTAGAAATGATGCTCATTTGTCTAGTGACGAACCTAACTTGGCTAAAGCGTGTGAATTGTTGGGCATCGACGCCGTAAATTTTGCTAAATGGTGTGTCAAGAAACAGATAACCACTAGATCGGAAAAGATTGTTACCAACTTGAATCATAAACAAGCTTTAGTTGCCAAGGATTCTTTTGCCAAGTATATCTACTCAGCTTTGTTTGACTGGTTGGTCAACTATATCAACGCCGATTTGTGTCCAGAAGAAGTTGCCTCCAGAGTCAATTCGTTCATTGGTGTCTTGGATATCTACGGATTTGAGCATTTTGAAAAGAACTCATTTGAGCAGTTTTGTATCAACTATGCTAACGAAAAATTGCAACAAGAATTCAATCAGCATGTGTTCAAATTGGAGCAAGAAGAGTATATCAAGGAACAAATTGAGTGGTCGTTTATTGACTTTGTTGATAACCAGCCATGTATCGATGTTATTGAAAACAGAATGGGTATTCTTTCGTTGTTGGATGAAGAGTCAAGATTACCAGCTGGTAACGATCAATCATGGATTGAGAAAATGTACCAAAACTTGGACAAAGAACCAACTAATAAGTTTTTCAAGAAACCAAGATTTGGCCAAACCAAGTTTATCGTTAGCCACTATGCCTTGGACGTTACCTATGATATTGATGGTTTTATTGAGAAAAACAGAGACACTGTTGGTGAGGGACATTTGGATGTGATGAAAAATACAACCAATGAGTTGCTCCAAGATGTACTTAGCATTGTTGATAAGAATGCCGCTGAATTGGAAGCTAGTAAAGCACCAGCAAAGGGCAAAATCGCGAACAAAAAACCAACCTTGGGTTCCATGTTCAAGAACTCGTTGATTGAATTGATGAAGACGATCAACTCTACGAACGTACATTACATCAGGTGTATTAAACCAAACGAAGAGAAGAAAGCATGGGAGTTTGACTCGTTGATGGTGCTTTCTCAGTTGAGAGCGTGTGGTGTTTTGGAAACTATTAGAATTTCGTGTGCAGGATTCCCTTCTAGGTGGACCTATGTTGAGTTTGCTGATCGATACCACACATTGGTTCATTCTGATGATTGGATTAAAGTCATGAGAGTGGAAACTACCCAGGAGTCAGTGACTGAGCTCTGTAACCAGATTTTGACCACCAATGTTGAAGACAAGGGAAAGTACCAATTGGGTAACACCAAGATATTCTTTAAGGCGGGTATGTTGGCACATTTTGAAAAGTTGAGATCGGACAAGATGTACAAGTCAGCTGTGATGATACAAAAGAATATGAGGAAACGGTTCTTCAGGCAAAAATACCTCGATGTTAGACAGTCTCACATACAGTTGCAAAGTTTGATTCGTGGATACGAAAAGAGAAGAAAGATCAAGGAAGAAAGAGAACAAGCTGCTGCCACTTTGTTACAAACTTCAATTAGAGGCCATTTAGCAAGAAAGCAATACCAAAATACTCTCAACTCCGTTGTCACATTGCAGAAGTCTATTCGTGGTTTGCAGGCCAGACAAAACTACAAGGCTTTGCGTTTGGAAAAGTCAGCCTCAACGATTCAAAAATCTTGGAAGGGATATAGGGAGAGGAAAAATTTTGCAAGTACCAAAAAGTCGGCAATTGTTATACAATCGGCTTTCAGAAGGCAATACGCTTACCGTGAGTTGAAAACACTTAAAGTGGAAGCCAAATCAGTCAACAAGTTACAAGAAGTGTCATACCAATTGGAGAATAAGGTTGTTGATTTAACCCAATCTTTGACGGCAAAGATTCAGGACAACAAGTCGCTCATGGAAGAGATCTCAAACTTGAAAGACTTGTTGAAACAACAGGGCCAAGCTCATGAGACCTTGAAATCGAGAGAGATTGAGTTCAATAACAAATTGGATACAACAAGTGCTGAGCATCAACAAGAAGTTGAAAACTTGAATAGTGAACTAGCGACACTCAGATCTGAGTATGTGTCAGCTGAAGCCAAGATTGCAGAATTGTCGAAAGAGCAATCTGCGTTGAAACAAGAAGTGCAACGTACTCTCGAAGAGTTGAACAATGCCAGAAATGACTTGGTCAAACGTGATACTATTGAGGTTGACTTGAAGGCTCATATTGAACAATTGAAGTCGGAATTAGCGCAACTTAACAATCCCAAAGTTAGAAGTGCCAATAACAAGCGCCATAGTAGTGCTGTGGCGTGGAACTCTCCTAGTTCTATTGATAATCCTAGACCGGTATCAGTCATTGCTGTTTCCAATGACGGTGACGCTAATATTGATGATATTAATGATGAATTATTTAAATTATTGAGAAATTCGCGTCAATTGCATCGTGAAATCGTGGAAGGGTTGCTTAAGGGATCAAAGATTCCTACTTCCAACGTTGCTGCCGATTTGACGAGAAAGGAAGTCTTGTTCCCATCGAGAATAATCATCATCATCTTGTCAGATATGTGGAGATTGGGCTTGACTAAAGAAAGTGAAGAATTCCTCGGTGAAGTTTTGTCAACTATTCAGAGTCTTGTTTCAACATTGAAAGACGAAGATGTCATCTCACATGGTGCATTCTGGTTGTCCAATACCCATGAATTGTATTCTTTTGTTTCGTATGCTGAGCTGACCATTATCTCGAATGACAAATTATCCAACGAAATGAGCGAGGATGAATTCAATGAATACTTGAAATTAGTTGGTGTCGTCAAGGAAGACTTTGAGTCATTGTCGTATAACATTTACAACATGTGGATGAAGAAGATGCAAAAGGATTTGGAAAAGAAGGCTGTTTCGGCCGTCGTCATCTCGCAGTCTTTGCCGGGATTCATGGCGCCAGAAAGCTCTCCATTTTTGAGTAAGGTGTTTTCTAGTGGTTCCAGCAGCTACAAAATGGATGACATTTTGTTGACATTTAACTCGTTATACTGGTCAATGAAGAATTACTACATTGAGAATGAAGTTATTGTTAAGGTCATCACCGAAATGTTGAGATTTATTGATGCATTATGTTTTAATGATTTAATCATGAGACGTAACTTTTTATCATGGAAACGAGGCTTGCAATTGAACTACAATGTCACGCGACTTGAAGAATGGTGTAATTCACACGGTATTGAAGAAGGTTCCACTTGTTTAATTCACGTTTTGCAAGCAGCCAAGTTGTTGCAATTGAGGAAAAACACCAGTGAAGATATTGACATCATTTACGAAATTTGTTTTGCGTTGAATCCGGCCCAGATCCACAAGATTGTCGGTGCTTATAGCTCTGCCGAGTATGAGACGCCAATCGCACCGGCGGTCATGTCGTTGGTGGCAGCAAAGACAAAAGAGAGTTCAAGAGATGAAATATTCTTGACGGTGTCTGCTGATGGACATTTCGAAGATCCATTTAGAGATATTGAATTGAGACCTTTTGCTCGTGTTGAAGCTTATGTGCCTGCTTGGTTGAACTTGCCCGTGATTCGTCGAATTGTTGAATTGGTTGCTAAAAATGCTTCAGTGCAAGACTCCTACCAGAATAAAGAGGAGAATGGAGTATAGAGATTAATTTTTTAAACTTATTTTTGTAATAAATAGTTAGTAATTTATTTACATTTTACTTTTTGACCAGAAATTCTCTCTTCCAAGCACTCGTCAAATCAAGCACCCTCTTATCTTAGGTTTCTTTAGTAACCCCTTGTCTCCCATAATTTACTGTATAGACTCATTGGTTCCTTTCAACTTCATTTGTAATGCATGCACACCCTGCTTACTAATTTCGTCATCTAATAAGTTATACACCAATCGGTGTCTAGCAGGCAAGTTTTTCCCATTAAACACTTCGCTTTGCATCTTGATGAAGAAATGCGATTCGGTTCTATTTGACGCACCTTGCATTCCTGCATGTTTGGCATGTTTGTGGGAATCGTTTTTGATTTCGAGAAATGTAGGGTGGAATGTGGATTGCAATTTTGTCAGAATCGAAGCTTCTATGGGACCTGCTGTAGATGGGGAAGATGATGACATTTGTCTGAGGATATTTCTGAACATGTGTGTTGGGTAGGAATGAAGATACGCTGTGTTGTTGTGACTCTTGCAATCTTAAGAATCTGCTCAGTTTTTTCAAAGATCCGATCTGCGAAATTGTCAAAATTTCTCAAGGCTTTTGCCCTAAGTCTACTAATGTTTAAACTCACGCATCCGTTGAGAGCTTCGGTATCGCCAGCTGCGCTAAGGACCACGATATGGGGCTCTTTTGAACGATACTTTTCCCAATCTTTGCTCAAGAAAAACAGCACTCCAATTGAAACTGTTGATTTGGCATACGATGAATTTGAGGCACCTGGCCTGAACAAGTCACCCCTTGTGTTTCTTCATGGATTATTCGGATCAAAATCAAATAATAGAACCGTGGCTAAGCAACTAACTGAAAGACTTGGTCGGAATGTATATTGTCTCGACTTGCGAAATTTCGGATCCAGTCCCCATCTGAAAAGGTTAGATTACCCCAGTCTTGCCGCTGACGTTGAAAACTGGGTGGCACAGCGTGATTTTGAACAAAAGCCAATTCTTATTGGCCACTCAATGGGTGCTAAAACAGCAATGGCTGTGGCATTGAGAAAACCTGATATACCCAAAATGATTGTTAGTGTTGATAATGCGCCCATAACTTTTGGCAACACCGACTCCAAATTCAACAAATACATAAATCAATTACGTTTGAGTTTGGAAAAGTATCATTATACTAACATAAAGGATGTCGATGCGAAATTGGCCGATGTAGAGCCAAATAAAGTAATTCGTCAATTTGTCTTGATGAATATGAAACGAGGTAAAAAGGATGAGCCAGTGACATCGAAGATCCCATTGGGTATTATTGGAGATGCAATAAGCAAAGGGTTTATAGCCAGTTGGCCATACAGTCCCAATGAATTGAGATGGACGGGGCCTGCCCTTTTCATTAGAGGCACTGAGTCACAGTACATTCCTGACGATGTTTTCCCAGAGATTGCCCAGTTCTTCCCCAATTTTGAGATTAGGGATATCAAGTGTGGCCACTGGGTTATTAGTGAAAAGCCAAACGAGTTTATGGATGTTTTGTGTGAGTATATAGAACGTATAGAGGATGAGTAGAAAAGTCTTAGACATAAAAGTAGATATTATTTTGTCATACTTGTTTATTTATCGCTGACTTTAGTTGATTTGTCATTAACGAAATCACCATATATGTCGAATCGTCTTTGGTAATGAACTGGAATACCTTCTCTTGCCTTGGTCAAGACATCTTTATCCAATTGCGCGTACAAGATTTCCTCACCTTCCCCGGCTTCAGCTATGATCTTACCAAATGGATCGGCAACCAACGAATGTCCATAAGCTTGGTATCCGTTCCCTCCAACGTCCCTTGCTGGTGAACACAAAACAGTGTATAGTTCGTTGTCAACAGCTCTTGAACGAGCCAATAAGTGCCAGTGCAATGGTCCCGTCGTGGTATTGAAAGCTCCGGGGTAAAACATGGCAAAAGAATTATATGGACTACGTGATGCAATTGAAGCCAATTCGGGGAATCTAATATCATAACAGATTCCAAGACCTACATTTCCGTAATCACCCAATTTGAAAACTGTGGCTTTATCGCCACCGGTTAACGTCAAAGATTCCTGAAAAGTGATTCCATTGGGAATATCAATATCAAACAAATGTGCCTTGCGGTGCTTGGCAATGATCTCGCCCTCTGGTGAAAACGTCAACGAGGTGTTGTAGACCTTATCGGATGATAATTCCGGGATCGATCCGCCAATAATAAATATACCATGTTTCTTGGCCAATGATGATAATAATTTGGTCGTTTCTCCTTCGGGAATGTTCTCGGCATACTTGCCAAATTGGTCAACTGCATAGGGTGAATTGAAGCATTCGGGCAACATTACAAGATCTACTTTGGGCGTTTTGGAAGCGGCTTCTTCAATGTACTTGGTAACTTTGGCCAAGTTGGCTGACTTGTCAGCACCTGCCTTCAATTGCAATAAGGCAATTCTTAATGACTTGGATAATGGTGATTTCAATACTGGGGAAGTCATGGAGTGATATGTATTTGAGGGATACGTGTTGAGGAAATTTGGAGAGGAGTGGTGCTAATTTGTTCGATTTTGTAATCGAGAATATATCAAAGGCACCTAAAAAGTGAACATTACGTAATACGCAAACAATTTGCAACAGGGTCAAAATTGATTTCCTCTACAGAGTCAGAGATTTTACGGTTGTCACAGCGCTTTACTTTCACTATGACTACTACTCAATTATGCAGTCTCTATTATTAATCTCTAATCTACACAGGTGTCGGACTCTTCTCATTTCCTCCTTGTCCTTGGTCCTGTTCCTGTTCTTGTTCTTGTTCCGGCTTATTTCCTTCCTCCAGGAACTCTTGCATCTTCTTGTCCCTTCTTCTCAGCTGCAATTGTTTAAACATGTATATTGCTGCAACAACGACTCCGAGCCCTGCAAGACCCATTCCCATCCGGTATGCATTTCTGAATCCCAATACAGTTGTGTCGAAATTCTGTGGTTTGTCCTTAGTCGTGTAGTATTCAACAGTACCGGCGAAACCTAACCCAATTGAAATAGAGTAGTTGACAAACGTTGATACCAATGAACCAGCTATACCTTGTTGGTGTCTAGGAAGTGCTGCACTCATCAATATAACACCAGCGGGAAATGACCCATCCATACCTAGCGGCTGTATTAGCAAACTAACAAATTTTTGTGCCCAAAATGTTTGACCAACCGGTCTAGTTCCCATAAGAATTGAGCCGGTAAGAAACGCAAGCATTGAAACAAACATCACCACTGCTGAGGGTATCTTACTTAATAGTATTGCTACTCCTACAGCGGCAATAACACCAACAGGTGCACATGGAATATTTTGCACTGCTCCGATCACCTCGCTGTCATGATCAACCAACAATGCCCATCTGAATTGATAGTAAAGCCATACCCCAAAACACGACCAGCCAGCACTAATACAAGCCAAAATGAATCCGGTATCACCTCGCAATACTTCAGGAGGCACCAAAGGGTCAGCCACTCTCTTTTCAATGAAAAAGAAAAGACCCATAAGGAGGAATCCAACTATAAGCAACACGTACACGTAAACCGTATCCCAGCCTACTGTTGGGCCCTGATTGAATGCAAAGTTGATCAACACCAAGCCTGAAACCCCCGTTATCGATCCCCAATAGTCAAACTTTCCTGGTGAACGGCTGCCCACTTTTGCAGGAATGACAAAGAAGGCCAAAATTCCCAAAGATATACTGACAATCCCACAGATCCAAAAGGTCCATGGCCACCAAACAACGTCGGTAAACATGCCGCTGAACAAAGCTCCAACTATAAAGCCGGAAGGTGCAACAGCGCCAAATAAGGCAAAGCACATGTTTTTCCTACGGCCATTAGGATAGAAATTTCCAATCAAGGCCTGTGAGTTTGGCATCATGATAGCAGGACCAATGCCTTGTAAACCCCTCATAGTTGAAAGAAACACATTTGACTTGGTGAATCCAGTGAATCCACATAGTAGGGAGAAAACGCCAAACCACAAGTATCCTATAATGTAGAGTTTCTTGTAGCCATACAAGTCTCCTAATCTTCCACTTACCAAGATAAATGTACCCACAGTTAACGATATTGCTGCTGAAAACCACGATATTTGACCTGCATTATCGGACACGTTGAATGCTTTACCAAGGACTACCGAGTTGACCATTGTCTGAGCATTAGCTGCCTGGGTCAATAACTGCGACATACACATAAAGGAAATGAAGATGGCCTCTCGTAGTAACGATATCTGTTCGAAATTGGGTACACTCAGGTAAACATCTCTTTGAGATTCCTCTTTTTCAATATTTGCAAGCTTTGCATCCACCTCATTTGTCGAGCTTATTGTGGCTTCCTCTGACATATTTGATAGAAAGCTGTGGTTATCGATCTCTATTGGGAAAAGTACGTTTCAAATATCTCATCTGTACTAGAAACTTTGGGGATGGAGGTGGGATTAGTCCTGTTTTATAAACCTCAAAAGCCGAAAGTTTGCTTCTTATTGTGTTCCTCAAAATAAAAGCAAAAAAAAAGGAAAAAGAATTGATGGCATTCGGCACGACATCGGAATCAAAGAACCGTCCAGCATAAACAATAAAAGCGTGTTTTTCCGGTAAATGGCTTTTCCGCACTATTAACTTTTAATAACAAATTAGTAAAAATACAAAAAAAGGCATTAGTAACCCAGAAAGACTTAGAAGCAATGGGGGGTATCAGTAAGGAAGGGGGGTACCGGCCCGGCCCGTATAATTGTGTAGTTCGAAGCAATATGTTTTAGATCTTAAGGATCATCCCCTTTGTTATGGTACTTACTCTACCTTAGACCAGTGACTTATGGTGTGGGGTTTAGCAAAATACTTTGTCTAAACTTATTACTAATTTAGTAAACGATAAGAGTAGTGCTAGCGCATAAACTATTTTGTGGTACCTAAAGATCCAGCCGCAGATGACTAAATGCAAGAGAGAGACAGAGACAGAGACAGATCTGCATTCCACTGCTTGGCTTGTCCCTGACGAACAAAATGGGAAAAATAATAAATTTCGCGTCAAACGTTGTGGGAGATATATATTTTTTTGCAACACATTTCTTGTCTGTACCACTTCTAAAGGAAGAGATCTGCTGATACAGTTAGACGGATTGAAACTGTGTGAAAGCTCTATCTGTAGAGTGTTCCACCGATTCTCTTCTGAGGCTATACAATTAGACTACTATCAATGAATTTTATACTCACTTTGTAAACACACTTGCACAAGGTTCATCAAAAGGAAGGATTTGCCGAAAGAGAAACAGTCAACACTTGTTCTGAGCACCAATCCATAAAATGAGAAGAAGCCAAAGCCAAACCGAAGTGCTCTTCGGTCTCTGTGAGAGCTAATAGAGCTACAGAAGAACCTGCAGAGGTTGTAATATGCCTATACTGGTAGCTACAACGTTCTGTACAGTGACTTAAATTACGAATAACACAGTGAACACCGACGCAAGCGAACAATCGTTAAAGATACAACAGTGAGTGAGGGGAGACACGCCTTGTCTTTATCTGACTTTTTATTTCTTTTTTCTTTTATTATTTAATTTCTGCTTTATTTCTATTTAACTTTGAGGAGGGGGGGAGCAAAGTTTATAAGAGGGATCCAATTGCTCTTGTATATACAAAAGAAACCACCACACACATACACACACGCAGAGTCACACATTTACACACAAACTTTTCTTCACTACCACAGTATACTCCCCTGAGTTTCAAATACCTTCTTACTGCTTCCACTTTGGCATTAACACCAGTCATATTCAAGCTTGTTGTATCAAAAGGGTGAACCTTTGATTAATTGATTGAATTTCTTTTCAATTCTAGACGCTGAAGACAACAGTCTACAAGAATCCAATCCTCACATAAGCTGAACTTTCTAATAATACATCTAGAAGCTAAACCACCACAACAAATATTCAAATCTTGTACATCTGGAATTGATCTTGTCAACACACGTGTTGGGTGTATAAATTGATGCATTGTTGACGAATAAGGTGCAATGAGTCTGTCACAAACGTCGGATCAGTGTCCTGTATCTGCCGAAAACCTAATTGATGCTTCAATAGTTGTCAATACACAAGAAACTAGCTTTGGTGAATCAATTACCAGTCTACTTGAAAATCAAGAAAACTTGGTAAACAACAGTTATTCGGTTCATGATACTTTCCATTACATGGCTGCTGAAGATGTCCAGAGTCATTTTTGTTACGAGCAGGACCCATTTTTGCGCATTGAAGCTTTGTACAACCAGTTGACTTACTCTTTGGGTCAGCAACAACCTACATCAACCACAACAACAATATGCAAAGACTATGAACATCAACGACAATTATCAGCGCCACTACGTTCAAACTCGATGAGCACTGTGGCTACCATCATATCTTTTGCTGCTGGGATTGGGTCTACTAACTCGCAAGAGAAGAAACTAGTTCAAATGCCCCCACTGTTGATGAGTGATTGTCAATACTCCCAGCCACCTTTGCATCATATTGAGCTGTACCACTTAGGCGCAGACAAGTCCAATTTCCTAAATCCAATTCTAGTCAATGGCGGCACTTCTTCTTATGTTAATAGTCAAACAAGTGCTAGTAACGTTGTTCATAATGCAGGTGACAATTTTTGTCCTAATTTCTCCTATGCAACCAATTTCGCAACCATTGCCAGCTCGCCCCTTTTTGCGAAAAACTTAGTTCTAAATTCAAACACGGAAACTTTATCTGATAAAAGACAAATTGTACAAAAGGGCGAAATCTATGACGAGGTCTCCAATGCACAATTGGCTGGTGGTAATGTCTTCCCTTATTACCTGAGAAGTAATTCTTCCAAGTTGGATGAACTTCGGGAATCGTTAAACTTGTATCCGTTTTATGTGTTACCTAGTTCTCAGGTAGCTTTTGAACAAGATCACAACGAATCGGTCATTTCAAATAGCTCGGTTAGCTTTGCAGCAATAGGTCCTTTACGAAGAAATTACACTGAAAACACACCAACGCCCCTGAGAGTCCGCGAGTACAGATCGACGATTCCATCTTCTCCAATAGCTGAGGCTGCCTCAGAAGGAAACTGGCTGCTGAGTCGGCAATTTGATGACCATTATCAAGTGGAAAGCTCATCTGCTGACTTAGCAGCTGAGACATATGAAGATACATTGCCTGTACGCTATTCTCATGTTCCACTGTATAATATACACAATATGGTGCTGCCAATAATATTTACGTTTGTTGAGCGCAAAAAGGATTTCATCCACTACGTTGAGCAATTTATTAGCAATTGCAAAGATGTCAAAACTTCGTCACGGCCCTCCACTTATACGAAACGAACAACAAGGTGCCACTCACCTACAAGTTCTGAGATTTACGACATTGGCCCGAAAATTCTCCCTACGCCATTCTCCAAAGAATTTGTCGCTTTGAAAACCACCAAGTTCAAACCATTGACTGAGTTGAAGAGTTTGGCCCATTATCAATTGCCCAAAAATCAGTCGTGCAATTATGTGATTGATAAATTGAAAAAAAAGGGCCATCATTGTCCCAAACGTCCAGCGAGTGGTGGCGGATTAGGCCCATTCAGATTGCAGCCTCCGCTAACTTTAGGCGAGGCCAAGAATGATCGATACTACTCTCGACTCAATATTTACGAATTGTCAAAAATCCTCGAGTTGGATCAATACGATATAAGTTTGACCAAATTTATCGAAGATGTGATTTTAGAAATGTTTGGCAATTATTGCGATTTCAAATTGGGATTACAAACTTGGATTAGAGATACTGATAAGGAAAAGAGAAAATCTTTGATTCAGCAGTTGTATTCGTACAGCTCGATTTTCTATCCTGAGATTGATCAATTTAAATTGGAGGTTATTATTAGAAGAGGCAGCTATAGTATGATGCAAACGAGGTTGAGGAGAGAACGTCGTTTGAAAAATGCCAAAAGATGAGTTATGCATACCATCTTTTCTTGAAGGGCTAAGAGATTAAGGTTTTGGAGTGGGTGGGTGTGCACAAGAGTGCGCCTGTTGGGTTGCTTTTTCTTGCTTTATTGCTATGTTACGAGTTAATGTTGTATTTTAATGTTGATCCTACAAAAGTTTTGCTGATTGATATTATGATTTTTGTTTTAATAGGAATTGCAAAACACTTCTTCCCCTATGTGTAGTACTTTTTTTGTTTTTTACTTGCTATATATATAAATAGTGCTACAAATTCACAACGTGTAGAAAGGATGACTTTTCTCCAACTACAGCCTATGCATCAGCAGGGGAATGCATAATCTGCGTGACAAACTTACCCAGATACCTAGTAATACAAGCAACAGTGAGAACCTCATTCTTGATCGATGTCGTCATCAAGTGGTTCAAAATGACATGGTTAGGTATCGACAAATGATAAGCTTCCTTATTTGAAGCATAGTAAGAACTGTCTGCTCTACGCAAAGGTGGTCGCTTGTGCGCATAACTAGGAGATGAAGCCAGCAGTTGACTAGGATTGTTCAACTGCGATGATGGCGACGGAATCAAGTTTGATGACGAGTTGCCTGAATGTTGCGATATCTTGTTCAAAAGGACATTATTTAAATGTGGGGGCAATTGTGGCGGTTCAGGCAATTCATAGTCGGCTGGTTTTGATTTGAAGTAGTCGTAATTGACAAACATTTCGGGAATCTCGCTTGAATATTGGAGTCTTTTATCGGGTTGGATGAATGAGTTGGACTTAGAAAGTTCATAGGGGATGAATTGTTCTGAATCGGAATGGTTGCGAGAACTTGGGCGCGAATGAGGATAGGGATGGCGTTGTACGTAAGGGTAATTTTCCAGGTGTTGTTGTTGTTCTTGTTTGGCTTGTAACTCGGCGTCCCCCTCATCGACCATATTATCATTAACATCCTCAACAAACTCTAAATGCTCAAACTGTGAGCTTGACTCCTTAGACATCTTATGCAACAAGTCATTAGTCTTTTCCTGAATCCTTTCCACTTCGTACCTTCCTGCCAATCGAGGTGTAGAGTTAAAAGGCAGATCTTGTCTTTGTTTGTTCTGGTCGTATGATATAGCATTTGGGTCTTGATTAGAAATTATATTAGCATCATAATCAGTGCTTGCACCAATGTGATTTGCTTGATGTAATGAATGATTAAACAAGTGGGTGTCGTCAATAACTTCAAACCAGTTGAAGAATATACCTTCTTGATCAGTAGCTGTGGGTAGTTGATCACTCACCCTATATTCGTTATTGATTATGTACAATAATTTATGTACACCCAAAGGAAGGTTGATTGTAGTCACAAATTCTCCCGGGTGGTTCGCCAGCGGAGCCAACTTGATTACATCCCTCCAGTTGGAAAATGACCCAATAATGGCAATCTTGTTAATCTGTTCCTTGTTTGTATTGACCCACTTGATCTCAATTGGAATCAATATATTTTCACGGTGGTTATTGCTCTTGGACTGCTTGGCACGACCTTGCTGCTGTAAATATTGATTGTTGTTTATATACAGCTTGTTGTGGTGGTGCTGGTTTGTTTGGGTGTCAGTTTGGTGCTCGAGGTTTGGTGAGGGTGAATGGGCGTTTCTAGCGACAGAAGCTGCTGATAGCATCCTAGTTGCTGGAGGCGGACGTGTAGCATAGTCTTTTACTTCGTGTACCTGTGGTTGCTGTACTTGATTGGTTATCTTGGTGAAATCCACCTTGGACAAGTCTGGCGTGGGTGTTTGTGATAGTTGATGCTCGTACTCCTGCACTTCGTCTGAATCTTGAGGGAATGGTTCATCCAATTCCATATTATCGCTTGATTGAGAGCTTCCACCTTTGGAGCGATTAGTACCGAAAAAGTTATTGTCAGGCAATATACTTCGAGATAAAGACGTCGATTCTTCGACTAATCCATCATTCACCTCGTTAAACTCATCCTCGATTAAATCATTTGAAAACTGGTTGTACTGGTTCTGCAGCTGCACCGTTGGGACAGTTGACAGCAGCTGCGTTGGGGCTAGGCCTGACTCAGGTTGCTTGACTACTTGATGTAATATTAAGTCACTAAACTCTTCATCTAGGGAGTTGTTATGATTGGTGCTTGCAGAAGATTTCCTTACCTGGTCTTGCTGTGACGCAGTGGATTTTCTAGTGGTTGTTGACCTTGCGTGGTTCGAGGAGGGTCGATTTCCAAGTTGACCGTTTGTAGATGTATTGTTTCCCATTGTAGATACTTTTTTGAAAAGCTTTCTTTTATTTAGAAAAGTGTGTGTGTGGTAATTCAATGCAAGTAAACAAAGACAGTTCAAAGCGTAAAAATGGAATAGAAACTCTCCAATGAGTGAATTATGAGTACCTATGAAATTTTCGGAAAGTATTGTTATAAGTAGACTGTAAATAGAGGTTCCTCTTCTGTGAATGTTGGAAAAGGAAAGTGAAAGACCCTTTCTTTTTGGTTATCTATTTTGTTGAATGTTTTCACCGGGTGGGGAGTGGGGGGAGGTTCTTGTTTTTTTTTTCAACATTGAGAAACTAACTAATGTGTGTGAACAATAGTAATAAATAATAATCTTTTTTTTCATTCTCCCTTTTGTTTTGTATTACGAAGGATACTTTGTGTAGATGGAGTGTTCAAATGCATGCTAAGCAAAGTTTAGTAATACGAATGTCCTGGTTAGAACAAGCTTAGTCAAGCGCTAGTGCAAATAGAACCGTATCGCGTACAAGTAAAATCAAGTAGTTTAGAATCGCACCTGAATAGATGAAACAAAAATTACGTCTCTTGCCACACGACAACACAAGTTAATACGGACAACGGTGGCGCGTGTTTGAGAAAAAGATTAATATTACATATTCTCCCCACCACTTGAGAAGCTGTGTAGCATATCAATACAAGGTGCTTCGAATGGTAACAATGTTTTCTGGTAGTGGCAGATTCACCCTCACGCTTACTTCTACTACAAAGTACATGTTTCCGTACCAACTTCGTTCTTTGTATTGTCTTCCCCTCTACTATTGCTACCCTTATTGTTTCCCACACATGAGTTTGTTTTATGACGATGGGGAAATAAACAATAGGAGCTACATAAAAACAGTAGCACAAAGTGTAATTGCTTGTTGCCACAAAAATCGAAAATCACTGCTCAATTCTCTCGAGAGTTGGTATATAGTACATTCTTTTAATGTCGAACAACCCTGTAAGATCGTTCTGTAAGCTGGGATAACACCTAGTTATCTATAAGGATATAACCTACTTAGAAACAAAAGTGTGGTGATTCTACAACACAACACATTGACTGAACATTGAACTCCGATGGTGAAATGGTTTGCGTTTTAATCTCAAAAATAAAAAAAAAAAAAGAATTTAAAATTTTGTATTGTCATTTTGTTGTACATTACAAAAAAGGGCTACCAAGGAATAATAAGAATACATTATACTCTTATTCAGTTAAAATCCAATACGCTGTTTTTGTATTGAACAATAGACACCTTATATTCACAGTCTTTAGTTGTGGTAGTGCTCCCTCGCACTTCAAGCCACAGTCAAAGAGTGAGGGAACTTTCGTTGGATTGGAAGAAGATCTTCACTTAGTTGGTCTTTAGACCGTTTCAACAACTACTCTTTATTTTTTTGTTTGGCCAACTTCGTAATTTGGTTATTACGGAGATGAAGAGATTTGTGCACTCTCGTCAAACGTTTTGTAAAAATCATTATTTAGTAACCCCATGTTGATTTTGTAGTTTGCTCATAACTGTGTGGTTTCTAAAGTTATATATAGAAGACAAAAATGTGGTTTTTGTAAGATTACGCAAGCCAAGCATTTGGTTGATGAACAATAAGCGAAACAAAACATAACAAAACAACAAATGAGCTTTTCAAAGCATGTGTTTTTAGTAGACTTGTTCTATATATTTGAGGTCTGGTAAAAAATCTACCAATCTTGATACTTCTTATGATTAGCTGTAATAACAACATTTTTGATTCCTGTTGAACGGCGCCTTTTACTTCCCATCAATAGTGTCTTAGTCAGCTCAGTTCAGCTCTCTTTAAGACTACGCTATGACGTCAGAAGAGAAGAATTAGACTCGTTGCTAAAATAATTGAAGGCCCCTATGTAAACTGGTTGAAATAATTTTGCTCCCACTAACAAAATCGGCACTACTAGTCTACTCAACAAGACAAACAAGAAGAGCCTGTCCTTGCTCAGCCAAAAGAGGTGGTGTCATCCCTGTTAAAGTCTACGCTACCGTTTTTTATCTCCGAGGAAAACGGTTGGAGCAATTCGGAAGAAGAGAGAGAAAAAAAAACGAGACCAGAACTTCTGAAACCGATATTTTATTTTCGTATGCTATGTGACACAACCTTATTACACAGTTGAAACAACCCAAAACCATCCTGTTGCAAACCATTACACTTTGTTAAATCTCTCCAGAAGTTGGGAGATACTGCAGCTTTTTTTTCCAACCAGTTATTGTATTTTGACAGTTTCTCAACTAATCCACAACTATTACCAGAACTTATCACCTACTACAGCTATTAATATATCCTCATCAGCATGTCGTGGCTAGGCTTAAAGAAGGCCATCAACCGTGCTGGCACCCAGGTTATGCTTAAAGCTGGCCAAATTGAACAAACAGTAGACAAAGAGTTTGAGTTTGAAGAGAAACGATTTAGGGTGATGGAATCCAACCTGATTGCATTACAAAAGAAACTACGATCATATTTGGACAGTTTGAAAATGTTGACCAAGTCACAACTCAATATTGCACAATTGTTAGATTCATTCTATGGGCAGGAATCACAGGCACCCCATACTTTTGAAAATCCCATGAATGGAGAAGAAATGGAGTTGTTTAAAAATTTATCAGGTGAATACTTTCACATTTTGCAAAAATTGAATACCCAAGTCATTGGTGACTTGGAACATCCATACAATCAAACTGTGCTCAACCCAATAGCTCGATTCAATTCCTATTATGTTGAAATTAATGAGGCAATAAAGAAGAGACACCACAAGTTGCTAGACTACGATGCAATGAGAAACAAGTTGAAGAAATTGATTGATACACCTCAAACGGAATACAGCAATTATGACGTCAAGTTTCGTGAACTTAGTGATGAATTGGTTGAAACGGAGCAGAAATATTTTGACATTAATCAAAAATTGAAGGATGAATTACCCAAATTGGTCAATATGAGAGTGGCATTTTTCGACCCAAGTTTTGAAAGCTTTGTCAAGATTCAATTGCGGTTTTTCAATGAAAATTATCAAAATTTGCAACAATTGCAAACCAAATTGGATGCAAAGACCAAGCAGGATTATGCTGAGGGTAAATTGGACGACAAGATTGATGATGTGTTGTCTAGGATGAAAGCATTGGACATAACTGGGAAGGACAATCATATAGCTTAGTTGTATTAAAATTGTTTAATAGGTATATATGGGCTTTTAAACTGTTTCTCTATACTAGCTCTTCTGTGCTGTGTACTCATTCGTTACACTGAAGCTTCCATTGGAATCTGCTCAAGTCCATGTTTAACCTCTCCTCGTGAGACTTTACAATTGACTATTAGACCATGCCACGGTATCGAAAAAATACAACATTAAAAAATAGTGCAGATGCGTGGACTCGTGACTGCCTTGGATTTTCCGCTGTCAATTTTTGGCTTTCAGTCACTGCCATTTGTTTCAAACGACATTAACCGAAGATTAGATCTCAGGTACACGCGATTTGAAAAAACACAATTTTTCTAACAGACTTTGTGACATGGTTTTATTTGGGCCGAAGTGGGGAAGACTTTACACCGCGCTTTCTTAGTTGCAGAATGACTTAGCGCTAAGTCAACCAGCACTCTTTTAATAGCAAAACAAATAGGTAGCAAATGTAACATCCTTCCAACTGGTCATGCGTATTTATTATTTGGCCATGCATGTGGTAACACAATCTGAGACATTTTAATCATTCGTATCTTTTACGACATTTGTCGCGTACAAAATTACACCACACACGCACACGCACACACACACACACACACCACAGAAAGAAAGAAAAAAAGAAAAGAAAGTGAGCGTTAGTGTGAATAAAACATAAAATTTTATGGCTTGAGTTGTAATCTGTACTGATATGCAAGATTTGATAACAACATCAACTTTTATTTAATAGACAAAGTCCAAACTTCAATAACGACTACACATTTTACCATTCACATTTTTGCATTTCCTTGCATACATTGCATTAACCACACAGCATTAAACTGAACAAAGTTGATTTGATATATCATGTTCAATTTGAAACAGTTTTCTCGAAACTCACATCATAACCATGGCCCAAGTGCAATTCATCCCGTTTTTAAAGAATCTTACTGGCAGTGGTACATAGAAAGCTACCTAAGAAATGATAGAGAAACCACTATTAAGCACACTCCGTATGTGCTCACAAATTTTACTCAGAAGTCACCAGAAGTTGTGACAATACAGGGCTTTTTCGACCACTTGCAGTTGCCACAGCCCTGTAGCTTGGAAATCATAGCCATCCTTAAATCACCTTTGACAGGTGGGGATTTGAACAAGACATTTTATATACTTCGCATGTTCCAGCTAAGTACAGAAGGATGGTTTCTTACAAACTCAAGAATAGACAAATTAGGAAACAAATTGTCTTATGTCGGCTCCGAGAATTGGGATAATGTGTTGTGCTACATGGATGCTTTGTTATTCGCCATGTTTGCTAATTTGGATAGCTTTGAGCCGATACTATTTATACCCAACCAGGATGACCCACTCGTGGCACAACTATCAGCTTTGTTGCGAGTTTATGTTTCACTCTTACGTCTGGGATATTTAATTACAACTGATCTCACTGCGCGTGTATGTGAAGGGTTGATGAAACTAGGCTATAGCGAAGCACTAAGCCACAAGCAGCAGGACGCGGCTACCTTGTTTGAATTTTTAACAGAAGTATTGAACATGCCGTTGTTGACCTTCAAAGTTGATATAAAACACGGTGGCAAGTTTAATAAAAATGATGATCAAAAAATTTCAAAGGAAAGAATACTATTCGTTAGCATACCCGATGAGGATGATGGGGTAGCAAAGAAGGAGATAACAGATGATACGTCTGACTCAGACAAACTCACTCGATCCAACTCAAGCTTGAATCTGAGTGGGTCAGAAATGGATGAATCTATATTGTTGGAGGAGTGTTTGGAACATTATTTCAACAACTCAATTAGTGTCAAGCGTGAATTGGAGAGGCGTGCATCTTTATCCAATGTTCCTACTGGCAATACGTTCAACGATATACCCGAAAATGCACCAACGGCAGAAACCACGCGACACGATCCCAACAAGCACTACGTCGAAGAAGTTGAAAATATTGAAGACGAAATTAAATTAAGAGATCGGTCCGATAGTAGGAAAAGCGATGGGATCAGAGTTCGCGCCAGAACAAGATCGTCTACATTATCCATCTGGTCTATAAACGATAATGACAGGAAGGATCCCAAAAAACCCAATGAAGTTAACCTTCCAGCATGGATGTTTCTACGTTTATTACCATTTTACACTGATGATAATGTTTTGACAGATAGCTTTGAAAGCACCGCTAAATCATCAAAAGATTTTGCCAATAGAAGGCCTGTACTACCCATTTGTTTAAAAAGATACCATATGCATAGCGGTGATTTGTCCGGTACGAAATCACACAAGCGTATAATCATTCCACCTTTTATTGATCTCCCTGATTTTGTTGCCGATGATGTTGATGGTCCAGTTTCCTCTTTCAAGTTGATACTTGAAAGCGCCATATGTCATAGGGGGAAAACAATTGAGCTGGGTCACTTTGTTGCCGTTGTAAGGAAGAATATTGAAGAAACTAGCCAATCTGAGGATGAGGCGTATGACTCGAAATGGCTTTTATACGACGACATGAAAAAGAGTCTGAGAGTAGTGGAAAAGACTTTTAGGGAAATTTTTGCCACTGAGTGGCCATATATGTTATTTTACCGATTGGTTTCGACTAATGAGACCAGTGCTGTTTCCTCTGTGAAGAGTGACATCATTCCCCAAAACGGAATCAAACCAAAATATTGGGACCAGTCAGGTAAAACATTAAACAGTCAACAAGTCTCGGGAGGCAGGTCATTATCCTTATCACCTATCCTTTCTACAAATGGCAGCGAGGCGAGTGATCAAGTTGAGAAACAACAGGCACCTTTGAATGTTCCTAAAGTTAGGATCACTGTGGACTCCATGGTATCGCCAGTCTCCCCCAATGATCCCGGGTACATCGACATTCGTAACAGATACTTTTGGTTCATCCCTGATGAGAACAAAAATTATTACAAAGAAGAGGTAATGGTTTTGGATGGAACTTCATCGGTAAATTTCAGTCCTCAATTTAGACGCAATAGCCAATGGAGTCTAACATCCAATATTAGCAACATCCAGTTGGCTAAATCTTCTCTGGGCCAACTACCTGAAAAGAGTCATAGTGACGCATTATCTGCCTCCACCACGCTGGAAACCAAGCATGATACGTTGGACATACAAAACGATAATAAACAAACAACGAAGTTGGAAAAAGGCAGTACTGGATCCATTTGGAGAAGGAAAAAGAGTCCTAAAATGAAGGCAGAATATGTTGAGCCAGTTGAGGGGTTGCCACAGTTACAGTTAGACGACCCACCAAAGCAGACATTTCCTCAGACATTGCGAAATAAAGATGAACAAACAAAACATGGTACAAACGTTAATTCTAATCAGAATCATAGCCATGGATTGTTGCACCGATCAAAGCGTCGGAGAGATGCATATAAGAAGGAGAAATGTACCATTACATAGATTTTTTTGATAGAAGTAATTCATGTCATTTGTTTTTTCTTTTTTTTGTTTCTTTTGCATTCAATTTAATCGCAGTAGTATATATCACCACTAGTGCCAGCTGTCGCAACCTTACTTGTCTCTAATGGGTGCATGGCAATGCATTTAATAGGCAAAGTGCTCAACTTCAACTTGTTGACCACCTTTTTACTTTGCCAATCCCAGAAAACGGCATATCCTCTAGAATCACCACTCATTAGAATCTTACCATCGGGTGAGAAATTGATTTCGATTCCGTATCCTGCACTCTGATGGCCATTGAATACTTTGTTCTTGTTCCACTTGTATTTTCCGGTGGAATGTATCACTTTTACAGAATTGTCCATGCTTTGTAACGCAATGTAGTTTGCCTTTGGATGTTTTTTGATTGATGGTGTTGAAAATTGAGATGGATCTGATATGACTTTTATGGGGATATTTATTTGCCAACGCCAAACGCGAACTGACTTGTCGTCAGATGTGGAAATAAATACATCTTCATTCACCAATAGATCATTAATTGCACCAATATGGTGATCGTATGTTTGCACTGGGTTGTGGATGGCTGTTAAATTGTAATGCTCTATTTTATGATTCAGTAGACCAACAATGAATTCAGAATCGTTGTTGGGGTTGAATCTAACCACGTTTGGTATAGATGATGTGTATATTGTTTTGATAACTTCACCAGTTTCAGTGTCCCATATCCTGATGACTTTGTCAAACCCACAGCTAAGAAATTTCCCACCAGTGGAGTTGAATGACACGTCCTTAACGGCCAATTTGTGGCCCTTGTAAACACGCAATAATTCGAAAGAGTCGTACACGGACCATAATTTTATTAGTCCGTCATTCCCACAAGATAGAAGGAGATGTCCTGAGTGTGGAAAGAATTGTAGTTTATTGACCCCCTTTGTATGGGCTTTAGTGAATGTGTGGATTACCAGTTTTGGAACAAAACATTCTTGCTCACCCGACACTTGCTTTGAAAGCTCTTTTGGTATATGCATGTATGTTCTGCCTTGGTAATCGTGTTCATTTGATCCCACAAATTCCGTTGTCGGTTTGAACCTGTCTAGTTCCTCCTCCTCCTCCTCCTCCTTCTCTTGTGGATGCACTGGTTCATTTGGCTGATAAACTTGCTCTTTGTTTGAATTTATTGATGCCCAAGGGTCACCTCCATTCATTTTCCGTCGTAGCTTCAATTCTTTCGCTTTAGCTTTGGCTTCTTTGAGCTTAGACTGTTCATTTTGAAAGTTGGCCTCGAAACTCGTGGGGTCATAGCTTATCTTTTGAAATGTAGTTGCCAGAGTTTTCTTTCTCTTGGGTAATTGATCAACCTCGTATATCCTCGACTCATTCGTCTCTGATTCTTCCTCTGAGCTTGACGAGTATCCTTGTACAAGGGACATCACTTAGTGGCGTATAAGCAATGATCATCGCGGACGATAACCAAAAAAAAAAAACTTGGAAAAGAAAATTCAACTTTTCATGTATCATTACCCACCCACACGTACCAAATGAGCAAGAGACAAATTGAATCAGATTCAGATATAGATGTCAGTTCCACTGACGAATCAGATAATGAATTAGACCAACAACAGCAAAATGATGGTGATGTAGATATGGAAGAAACTGTCAATGTTGACTTTGATTTTTTCGATCTAAATCCTGATGTTGATTTCCATGCTATAAAGAACTTCTTGCGTCAGTTATTGGGAGATGACCATAATGAATTTGATACCAGTGAAATTTCAAATTTAGTATTAACTAAAAATTCAGTGGGGACAACGATCAAAACCGAAGGTCAAGAAAGCGATCCATACGCACTTTTGAGTGTCATTAGTATATCCAATAACTTGTCTTTGCCCGGTGTCAAGCAGTTGGTTGACTACGTCTTGAGTCAAACTAAAAATAAGCTTGAGTTTAATGTCACATTGAAGAAATTGTTGCAGCCGCCCAATGACACGACGGCCCCTAAAGTCGGTTTGATTGTAAGTGAAAGATTGATAAATATGCCCATTGAAGTGGTACCTCCAATGTACAAAATGCTACTGGATGAAATGCAAAAGGCTGAGAACGCTAGTGAGCGTTTCAATTTTGATTATTTCTTGATAATATCAAAGGTTTATCAATTGGTTGATGCAGTGGAAAAAGATGACGATGATGAAGGAAAAGGTAAAAAGAGAAAGACGGGTGAACAAAGACCAGTGGAGTTTGATTACTTTCACTTGGAAGATCAAATTTTGGAGGCCAATGCTACTTATAAGGGGGTATTTGACTATAAGAACAAAAGTCAACAAGAAACTGACTCAAGAAGAGTATTTACCGACTATGGAATTGATCCAAAATTAAGCATAATTTTGATAGACAAAGATAATTTGGCTAAATCGGTGAAGGAGATGGAACAACAATTTCCAGCGCCATAGATCAATAAAAGAGATGGTATTTTCGAAAAAAAAATAAGAGTAAAGTGTGTCAAACGTTATGTCTTTTCTCTAATTGCAAGCACTATCAAAGCTAGTACAAACTAAGTGAACTGCATATAAATCAGACACCATCATCTGGACGTTGTTGTTCGCGTTCAACATTGCTTCCCTTATCCTGTAAGTTTTCGTAACCTTTGGTCTTTTCCTTAACCTCTCTCTTAGCGTGGTTTTTGTCGGCATTTTCAGTTACATTATCAACGGTTTCCTTGGTTTTGTTGGCCAATTCTTCGCCCTTTTCAACACCATCAGCAAGTACTTGACCAGTCTTTTTGTTGGCTGTATCAGCAGCTTCCTTTGTTCCACCCACAATTTTTTCACCAGCTTCAACTCCATCCGCCAAGACTTGACCTGTTTTTTTGTTTAAAGTATCAGCGGCAGATTTAGCTTTTTCAGCGAGATCACTAGGGTTAACTGACTGCTGAGCAGTTTCAATTCCATCAGCTAAAACCTTTCCCGTTTTCTTGTTGACAGTTTCAGCAGCCCCCTTGACCTTTTCAGTAGCATTTTGAATCGTAGATTGAGCACCATCTTTGGCATCTTCAATATTTGATTTAGCATTTTGAGCTGCGTCTTGTGCCTCGTCCAATTTGGTGGCAATCTTTCTACCACCATCTAAGTTGGCTTCTTGAGCTTGGTTTTCTAGCTCACCTTCCTTGCGCTTCTTTTCCTCCAATCCCTTCTTGCCAAAGACAGCTTGGGTAGCGGCATCGACTATCCCATAGTTTCTCGAGATGGAAACCTGTGGTCTGTAAGCAATTGCTGGTCTAATTGATCTAATAACAGTTTGACGAAACATTTTAGAATTAATCCCTGTAAAGTAAAGAAGAGTAGGAGAGAGAGAGAAGGGATGATTTTGGGTTGCCAATAGTCCCCTTTTATATATACTCCGTGATTACACAAAATTGGGTTGCTGTGCACGCGGTAGCAATGCAAAATCCCTCGTGGCGCATGATTACTATTCAGATCTGTGTCTTGCGTTTGGAAAAAAGAAAGCCGAGAAGCCACATTTAGTTGTTGTAATTGTATAGAGTTGACAAGCAAATGTGGCAACTATGATAGAGCTAATAGAGCTCTTATAAAGTGCAATGCCCCTAATGAAAACGGAAGCTCTATGACTGTGATTTGGAAAGTGCGTTAGGTTTCCACATAACGCGTTGTGAGAAAAGTGCTGAGTATAGTGGAACAGCTGGGTTTGCTTTAAAAGAAAGGCGGTGTGAAACCAATAATGTTGGAACGTGAAGCAAAACCTCATGTCGGATTGTTGTTCCAATATGAACCATTTTAGCAACCTGTTTGTGAAATAAACTCGAATCAGACATTAACTATGCTTTCAGTTGTAAAACAGAACAGAAGTGATACCATCACCCACTCCCACAACCATCACAATATCTCCATCTTCTTCATCTAACCGTTGAAGCAAACTCGCCCATGTTGTAAATCGCGATCGATTGGTAAAATCCACACGACCTCTTTTTTTTTTATTTCTTCACTTTTTATTTTTTTTTTTGATCTTTTTGAAAAATTTTTCCAAATCGGTCCTATATCAAACAACGACAAACTATACCAGAATATGCCACCAGCTCATAAGAGTCACAATTTCCGTCCGGAAAATGTCTTGAAACGTGCTGAAGATTTAATCGCCGTTGGACAAAAGGAAGCCGCATTGGACACTTTGTATGAGCTCATCACTTCAAGAAGAATCCGTTACTTGCAAGTCGAAGACTTGGAGCCTATTGCCAGCTTACTTATTGAATTGGCTGTCGAGTTAAGGAAGGGAAAGTTAGCCAAGGATGCATTGCATCAGTATAAGAAAAACATCCAGATGTCTGAGCATGGATTGGAATCGGTCCAAACTATTGTTCGTAAATTTATTTCATTAGCTGAGAATAAGTTGGACGAAGCACAGGCCAAGGCTGATGTCAAAATCGACCAGGATGAAACTGCAGAGGATGATTTGGAAACGGCACAAACACCGGAATCTATTTTGTTGAGTGCCGTTTCAAACACCGACACCGCTGATCGTACTGAAAGAGAATTGGTTACTCCATGGTTGAGGTTCTTGTGGGAAGCATTCAGAGCAGTTTTGGATATCTTGAGAAACAACTCCAAATTGGAAGTTACTTATTCTGCTATTGTCAACCAAGCATTCAAGTTCTGCTTAAACTTTAAAAGAAAGGCCGAGTTTAGAAGATTGTGTGAGTTATTGAGAGTTCATATGCAAACAGTCACTACCCAAGTCAAGACTTCATCTAATAATGCTATTGATTTGTCAGACTCTGAGACTGTGCAACGTTATTTGGAGCAAAGATTTTCTCAGTTAAATATTGCTGTTAAGTTGGAGTTGTGGCAAGAGTCATTCAGATCAGTTGATGATGTCCACAGTTTGATTACTGCTTCGAAAAAGGCACCCAAACCAACTATGATGACAAACTATTACGAAAATCTTGCCAGAATCTTTGCCGTTTCAGATAATACCTTGTTTCACGCTGCTGCATGGAACAAGTTTTTCAATTTGTACGCTCAATCACCAAAAGCCACTGATGAGGAATTGAAAAGGTATGCATCTATTTTGGTCTTGTCTACATTGGCCATTTCCCAAACTGCCATACAAGATGCCGACGATCATAAAGCAAAGAATTCAAAATTGTCTTCATTGTTGAATTTGACACAAGTCCCAACAAGAGATGGTTTGATTAGATCCATTGTCCAAAGAGGCATTATCAAGTATGTCGATGGTCCAGTTAGGCAATTGTTTGATTTGTTGGAAAAGGATGACTTTCAACCCTTGTCTGTCAAGAAAAATGTTGTTGAGATTTTTAAATCCATTGAATCTGATGATGAATTTAAAAAGTATATTCCAACCTTGACTGAGGTTATTTTAATCAAGATCTTCCAACAGGTTTCACAAGTTTATGACACTGTTAAATTAAACTTCTTGGTTTCATTGGGTGTGTTTACAGGAGTGCAATATTCTTTATCTGAAGTAGAAGTTGAGGAATTGATTGTCAATGCCGTCAAAGATGACTTGCTTTCATTAACCATTGATGACGAAGCTGGTGTTGTTTCCTTCAGATCGAGCCCATTCGAAGATGTTACAAATTCGTCTACTCGTAAGTTGCAAATCTCGCCAGCCGAAATTGTCCGTTCTCAAATCAGCAAGTTGGCTGCCACTGTTGCTGAGTCAGTCCAAATCATTGACCCTGAATTTGAGACTCGTCGTAAGCAAGCTCAAGAAGCCGCGTTACATCGTGCTATGGCAGGCTTGGTTCGCGAACAGCAAGCTCTTGCCGATAGGACCAAGATTATCGAGGAACGTAAGATAGCTGCTGAGAAACGTAGACGTGAGGAAGAGGAATTGCAAGCTAGATTGAAACAAGAAAGAATTGCTGCTGAGCAAAAAGCTGAACAAGAAAGATTGGTACAAGAACAAGAACGTAAGAAGTTGGATAAATTGCAAAAAGAACGTGAAATGATTCAAGAAAATGAAAAGAGAAAACTCGCTGAGGAGATTAATGCCAAGGGTATCATCAAGGTTGATTTGAACAACTTGAAAGATTTAGATGCATCTAAATTAAAGATGATGCAAGTTGAACAATTAAATAAGGACAGAAAAGAGTTGGAAGAGAAATTGAAAGGTACCTTTAAAAAGTCAGATTACTTGGAAAGAGCTTATAGACAATACGAATTGAAGTTGTTGGATTCTGAAGCTGAAAAGCAAAGATTATTGGAAAGTGAGAATTACGAGATTGCCAAGAATGCCAAAATTGCTAAAGCAAGGAAGGACTTTGATAATTCTATTGCCTTGAAGGAGCGTTTCCAGCGTATGTTGCCTGATTACACTTCATTCAAAGCTGATCTTGATGCCAAGAATGCCGCCAAATTGGAAAAGTTGAAACAAGAAGCTCATGAGAAATTTGAAAAGGCTAAGCAGGAAAGAATTGAAAAGGTCAAGAGGCAACGTATTGAGGAATTAAAGGTTAGAAAGGAGAGGGAACGTAAAGCCCAAGCTGAAGAAGCTGCCAGAAAGGCTCAAGCTGCTGAACATGCCAAATTGAAGGAAGAATTGAGAAAGCAAAGAGAAAAGGATGAAGAATTGCAAAGAAAGAGGGACGAAATTGCCGCAAAAGCAGCTGCAGAAGAAGCTAAACCAGATGTTCCATTGACGTTTGCTCAAAGAATGAAATTGAAGAGAGAGGGTAAGTTAGCGTAGAGAAATAGAGTAATAAAAAGCGAATCATTTTTCTGTGCTTATTTTTTTGTTTTTTCTTCTTATTCCTCTTCTTTTAACCAAATTACTTTCTATAGACAAAGCATATGACACCGACAGTTACGGTAATAGGATCACTCAATTACGACTTGGTCACATTCACCAATAAGGTTCCCCAAGGTGGAGAAACCTATCAGGCCAATTCTTTTGAAACTCATATGGGTGGCAAGGGGTTGAATGAGGCAATTGCTGTGGCCAGACTATCGCCACAGAATAAAGTCACCACCAGAATGGTTGGCAGGATTGGAACCGATCAGTTTGGAGCAAGTTTGAAACAGTGTCTTGTTGATGCTGGCGTTGATGTGTCCAATTTGAAAACGGTTGATGGGTCATCGGGAGTCGCTGTGATTATCGTTGAGGAGAATGGAGAAAATCGAATTTTGATCACGCCTGGATCCAATGGACAATTAAAGTTGTCCGATGAGGAATACTCATCGATATTCAAGGGACAGGACGATTCGTTTGTCGTGTTGCAGAATGAGTATCCCGATACAGCAAAGAGCATTACCTGGTTGAAAACACACAAGCCAAAAATAAACATTGCGTACAATCCATCACCATATAAGCCTGAGTTGGTTAATAATGACATATTATCAAAGATTGATTTGTTGATTGTTAATGAAGGAGAGGCACAGGATGTTGCGAAACATCTCTTGCCAAATTTGAACCTCACGCACTTTGAAACATTGGCAGTTGAGATTCAAAAATTACTACATCAAGGGAATATCAAAACCGTTGTTATTACCATGGGCAGCAAGGGAAGTGTATTCTACAATGGAGAATCAAATCCAACTTTTCTTCCAGCTAGAAATGTGGAAACAGTGGTTGACACAACAGGTGCGGGCGACACATTTTTCGGGGCGCTTGTATCCAACCTTGCATTGGGTCATAACCTACAGGAAGCAGTCACTTTTGCCACTGCAGCCAGCAGCTTGGCTATACAAAAAAAGGGGGCTGCAGAGGGTATACCATTTTATAAAGATGTGGATAGTCTAATATAAAGATGTAGATAGTCTAATATAATAAATTCTAAGCTTTTCTAGAACGTACTTTCTTTTCTTCGCCAGGGACTGGAGTGGCTTCCCTACCAGTAACATAAACGTATTCATTAACTTGGGCAGCAACACCACCATGAACAGATTTGACAATCTTGGATTTCTTTGAAGACTTTCTTCTATAAACGTCAATGTAGAAAGCAATAAACAAAACCAAGTAGGATGACAATATAGCACAGCCCGAGTAAGCAGAATACAAGTTTCCTGCGCAATCACCACAAACTGGCAAGATATTAGTGTGATTTGGCAAAAAGTGGAGCACAAGCTTTTGATAAGTGGCAAAGTAAACAAATCCCAAGTCCAACACAAATTGGATGATTTGGAAACGAGTAACCCATTCCTTCCACCAAACTCTGATGCCTCTAGCGGCAAGGAAATAGTACCAGTACATGACAACATGAACACCCAAGTTTAATGAAATTGGCACCCACGAGATCGAAGTATCACCAATCAACTGGGTGTAGCAAAGTAAGGCAGTAGCACCATGATGATAAGTGTGTAAAAATGTCAATTTCTTCTGCTTAACTACCAAAAACACGGTATCGATAAATTCAACAAATTTAGTCAAGTAGTTCAAGTAGTACAAGCAAACCAACTCCTGAGTCCATGCATTTGGTGAACAAATGGCATAAAACAAACCATGATGGTAAATCATAGGCACCAATTGTTCAACCATCAACGTCAACAAAGTCAACGACAAAGTGGTCAAAAACAAATTGTGGATTTGAAATAATCCATTTAGTACAAATGGCTTAATTTGGAGTTTCTTGAATAAATAGTTTCCGCCAAAAATAACAAGATAGTATCCAGCAATAGTTAACAAAACTGGGTGTAAAGTTGAAAGTGGCAACTCTCCTTGCACAAAGCGAAACTCAGCAGGAACAAAGTTGCCACCGGTAACTGTTGATACAAGGTTGTTGAAAATAGGCCATAACTTGATGCCAAATGGGGTATCCCAACTAATAGGTAAAGACATGGTCAAGTAAGGAAGAAAAAGATAAACAAATGAAGATTAAATGGAAAAGAAAAAAAATTTTAATTTTAGGAAATTCAGAATTTGTTAATTTCCACGCGTTTGTTTCACTGGTGGGGAAATGTAGACGGTAAACAAAAGTATTGATATAGAAGCGTAGCGTAGATTGTGGAGGGAAGTTGCATAGAGCGTAGAACATAAAGTGCTGATCATAGAAACTGGAACCAAGAGCCATGGCGTGGAGCCTTGGAGTCCCTATCACCAGAGCTATGCATTCTCATTGCTCATCAAAGCTTTTATCAAAACTTTTGCGCGTCAAAAGTTTTGCCAAAATCTTTGCATCTGAAAAATTAGCTCTTTCTCCACAATGAGCGAATCCTCATCCAGTGACTCATCTTCCGAGGAAGAGCAGCAGATTTCAAAGCCAGTTTATGTCCTGAAGAAGCAAAGGGATACCTCTAAAGAAGAAGAAGAAGAAGCACTGGCGCCATCATCACACCACCAACATCGTCAAGCTTTGCTTTCTCAGTTAGAACTGAAGCAGGAATCAAAAATAGAAGAGGACACCGATGATATAAATGCTGTTGATGATACCGACGATTTAGATCCACAATTGGAATACGAAAATTGGAAACAACGTGAAAAGATGAGGTTCTTACGTGATCAACAAATCATGAGAGAAGCCGAAATGGAAAAGGAACAGCAATTGCAGAGGAGACAAGAATAAAGAAAGACGCAAAAAAAAAATATTGAACATAAAACAAAGCGAACACATTAGATCTTCACATGTCGTTGGTACCACTTCCAGAATCACTCGTACCGTTCCTTGATCCATATTTGCCCAAGCCAATCAATGAGAAGAGACCCTTTGTCACTTTGACCTATGCCCAGTCATTAGACTCGCGGATTGCCGCTCAATCGGGCGTGCAAACCAAATTATCGCACTTGGAAACAAAGACAATGACACACTACCTACGGTCGAAACATGATGCTATTCTCGTGGGGATTAATACCGTTTTAGCCGACGATCCGAAATTGAATTGCCGGTATGATGGTGGGAGTGGTGGTCAAATTAAAATTAGGCCTATTGTGTTGGACCCGTTGCATAAATGGCAGTATAGCGAGTCGAATTTGCGAAAAATTTGCGATGCTGGTCAAGGATTGGCACCGTATATTCTTGTCGATGAACTGGTGAAGGATGTTGAGCAGCCAGTGCTACTCAGTCAAGGTGGCAAGGTGGTGAAATTGCCCTTGCTCAAAAATCGAGCTAATAACTGGCACATGATTTTTGATAAGTTGTACGAAATGGACATCGAGTCCGTCATGGTTGAAGGTGGAGCCTGTGTGATTAACGACTTGCTTGGTGGATGTGGACCAGTTGATAGTGTCATTGTCACTGTAGCCCCTGTGTTTTTAGGTGAGAATGGAGTACAAGTCTCACCCAAAACTGGCGTCAGTCTTACGGATGTGTCCTGGTGGACAGGGATTCAAGATAGCGTACTTTGCGCTCGATTATAATTACTTTTATTTTTATTTTTACTTTTACTTTTACAAACAGATTCTATAAGATGCATAACGTCCAGAGGTTTCTGATCTTCTAATAATCTTCACCACTTCGCCTCTCTTCAACCCCAAGTATCGAGCCACAGGGTCTTCTCTCTGGATTCTTGGCAACTGCGACTCCTTCAACCTATACCTCTCCAACAATTCCTTTTTCTCATCTCTGCTCAATTTAATATGTTTTGGCACCAATTCATGATGAGTTATATTTACAATCAAGTCATTTTCTTGAAAAGTTTCAATGGTGGCTGGTTGCACCGTGGGGATCAATTTATTGGCACTGGGTGTAATACCATTCTGGTAGATGAATATACCAACACTGAAATTCTTTTCGCTAATGTGTATACAGAAATTCCTCATTGTTTTGATACCAACACTGGCTTCATCACAAAATTCAACCCAAAGTGATCCCATATCGGGGAATTTCTCCAATTGTTCGGCTGTGGGTGTAGCTTGGAAACACATGAGTTTACGTTGTGGCTCTCCCATAGAATTACACACCTTAGTTCGAAATTCTTCCAAAGTCATGTCGAGTTCTTCTTGCGATATGTAATATCCCTTGCATTTTTGTTAGTAATCGAATCAAATTCAAATCTCCGCCCCCTTTAGTACATACTCTATCCTTGACCATCTCCTTCACCGTCTTGTACGTCCTGAACAAGCGGGAAATAGATCTATCGTTGTCGTCCATGTTGTTGTTTAGTGTGTTTATGTGTGTGTGTGCGTGTGTATGTGTTGTTGTATAAGGCCAGTGGTGTGTATCGCTGGTGCTGATGAGATTTGATGAGAGCTGAAAAAAAAAAAATTGTTAAAAAAAAAAGTACGCAATACTAAGAGTCGTGTATTTTAGTCAAACTTCCTTCTAAACAGTAGCTCTATATCACTACTACTTTTCCAAATCTTTGTTTTTATAGTTTGCAACGTCATAGAGTTACTCAACTCTTGCCCTTTGCATTCCAACGCCAACCAATCTGTCGGTTTCAACTTCTTATCCTTCATCTCTTTTGTACTAGCTTCAAACTTGTCGGTTAAAAAGTAGAGTATTTTTGACACTCGCAACATGTTGTGTGACGTTAATTTGATACTACTTTCCAATGCTGGGAGCGACTTGATTTTGCGTTGCGATTTGCCACCAATTTTAACCGATGGTGGTAGACTGAAATAATCAACCTCAAGCAAGCGGAACGTAATCTTTGGCGACTCTTTAATGCTGAATCGGTTGTATAGGATCGGTTGTCCAATCCAGCGTGGTAACGAGCAACGCAACTCATTGATTAGCTCCTGTTGGGGAAATTCAGGTAGGTTGTTTATGTCGCATATCTTGAAATAACTCAAGTCTCGGTAATTACCCAATTCAGGCGAGTATTCAAAAAGGATGACATTAAAATCTGGTGGGAAATGTTTGGGATTGATTACGGGGAAATACTTCAACTCGTCATCGTTATCTGGGTTTAAACAAGGGTTGACATAATTGACTCGAAGGACAGACTCGCCTGGCTTGCTCCTTTCGTGGTATATTTTCTTGTTTGTTTGTAGCAAGCTCATAATAGTGTCATTGTACAGAGGGATTGACTTTGCCAAGCTTTCTTCTGGCGTGTTGAGAAACTCGCTGAGTGGCGGATTGAGAGGCATATCGGCAACACTAGCGCTGGTTGAGTTGATTGGCGATGCTTCATTAAGGCTCCTTTTGGATGGTTTCCTCCAATTCTTGAGCCGACTAGTAATACTATCACTATCGGTTGTCTTCTGCTGCTGCTGCTGCTGCAACTGGCGGATCTCCTCGCGCATTAGTTCATCAAACACCCATTCATACATGGTGTATCCATGGAAAATAGAATTCAACAAGATTAAACCGAGATGGAACCGGTCGTCATCACTGACGCTGATTTTGTGGTTTCCCATTCGTGCAACCGTTTCTGGGTGATCTATGCTGAGGTATGGGTAATCCTTAACCATGTCATCGTAGTATATCTCCACATTCATGACAGATGTGTCTTTAATTGTCACCAACAATTTTCCGGCCTTAATTTCAACCTCGCACCAGTTATTAAGAGTATCCAGACTCTGATATTTCTGTACTAAATCGTCCATTTCTTTGATTCGATATTCCAACTCTTTACCCGTGAGTAATTTGTTGTGGCGACTGGGGAACTTTAACAACTCTTTACATATTAGAATATCCCAAATTCGAATATCACCATTAAGGTATAATGCTATGATTTGTCGCTTATTGTTGAATATTCGTTTTGAAATGACACTATGCGGGACAATCTCGTACCTGGAAATAGGCTTTGAATTAAATGGGATAGGCGTTATGTGCTCAGCCGGGTTGAGTAGTATCTCAATCGGTGTTGAATCAACAAACTCGTCAACTCTCCCATTGCCATCCCCCATGAATGGGTTGGCAAACTTGGGTTCCTGTTGATATGCATTGATAAACTCAATCGAAGCTCCGCCATTTACATTTAAAAACATTGAATTGTACGATTCAGTAGGCTCGGTGTTTTCCACTGAATAGGTACTTTGCATCTCATTGTTTGGCGTTGTATCCATCGACAAGTGGCTCACCAAATCGTAAAATGCCGAGTTCAAATCTTCATTGGGTTGCGATTGCAAATCATCAATCAACGAGTCGTCAACGGGCGAGTAGTCAACACATGTTTTCAAAAATTGGTATTGGGCAAGACTCGATGTGTTGGGGTTGACATACCTGGTTAACGAATCATAATCAGATATGAATATGTTGTCGTCACCATGGCATATAGACACAATTGGCAATTCGTTCCGGGCAATGATTGTAGAAATGCCCAATTTTTCATCAATCGACGTGCATTCATTGCTAGTGAAGGTGTTTTCAAAAAATCGGTCTTGCTTATTGATAAACAAGTTTGACAAGTCAGTCTTGACTACATTTCCACCTCGATCACCAGAATAAAATTCACACATATTCCCCAGCAATGACCAAACGGGGAAATCATGAATGTCAAAGTTCTTGTACACTTTGAATGTCCGCAAATCCCACATTTTGATCAACGTGTCTGAAGATCCACTAAGGAGGAATTGGTCGTTCATCAATAAACATCGGATATTATCCTGGTGCCCAATGAGGCTTCGTATAAACTGCGACGATCGCGAATCATATAAGTTGATTGTATTGCTAGGACCACCCGTGCTAATCACATGGTCATTCTTGGCTAACGAGTAAATCGATGTGGGCAAATTTCCCGTTGCTCGGTTTTCAATGATTTGTATTGGCCTTAGCTGATCCAAGTCCCAGTATACTACATTGCCATCCAAACCACCACTAACGAGATCAGAAGAATAGGCAAGCTTCTTGATGTAGTCGGTGTGGACATTGGGCAATTTGTGCACTGCATTGCTCGCCAAGTCGAGGATCTTGATTGACAAATCGGATGAACATGAGGCTAGGTGTTGATCGTTGTTGATCAATTGTATATCATTTATCCAATCAAAGTGGAGATTGTGGCTGTTTGTGATTTTAAAGTCTCCTCCTTCGGGAATGGTGTGGGGGAGAGTGTTGGATGAAATTGCAGTTTCTAATTTGAGAAGTGACTCGTGGATGTCTGAGGACCCGCTTTCATCTTCGTCGTAGACACCTTTAGTGGTGGTATTAACTATAGAGGCATTTTCATGTTGCCACGTTTTGACCGTACCGTCTCTCCCCGCAGTGTACAACCTCAGCAGAGAATACTGGGTTGCATTTATAGGGAGTATGTGGTTATCGTTTGAATTGGTGGCCCCAATTAAAAAGGATAGACCTTTTTTCTTTGTACATTCAGCAGATGCCATTGTATTCCTAGTCGTTTGAATAAGATTCAACAAAGCGAGTTCCAATGAAGATAATGAAATTTGGTTGAGTAAAAGAAGAAAAAAAAAAGATTTTATCGTGTTAGACTTGAATAACAATCTCCGAATTTGCTGCACGACTTTTATTTTTGCAGCCAGTTATCTAATTCATCAAAAAATGAAGCTACTCAAGGGACATTAGCCAAGAGGAAACTACTCAACAATATAATGTTTCTTCCTATTGAGGGTATGGAGGATCCTCATTGTACTCAAGGATAATTATAATTATCCTTGAATTTTTTATCACTTTTTGTGCGCACTATAGAAAACTCTTTCAGAGCTAATTCTACTTTAACTTTGATACCATCAATATCTCGTTGAACACTATTCTTACTGTTCTAGCTAAGTATTACAAAGAGGTTTAGTTATGCTATCTCAATGTAATTTATCTGAGAAAACTGACATTTACATGAATTGGTAGCTATTGTAGACAAGTTCTCCATGCGTATCACCAAAAGAAAATTGCTCGTAGCACTTCCTCTGTTGTGGTTAAAGGAGTGAAACTTATTACCAATAGAAACTACAAATGTGTAAAAGTGGCAACAGTTATAGAAAGTATATAAAAACTGCGATACATTTCGTAAAAATCAATGAAAACTCATCAACATTATCATCATAAACATAACCTGCATAATCATCATCATCATCATAGTCATCATAAGAAGGACACCTAATAATCCTTTCTAATGTATTTGAAGTTGGATTGGAAATCATTCTTCAACACATTCTTCAATGCTTTGTTTTCCTTCTCCATTTCTTTGAAACTCTTCTTCAACTCAGCATTCTCATTCTGCAAAAACTCCTCAATCATAAGTAATGCCCTATTCTTTCTTTGCAACTCTTCCATTGTCTCGGGCTCAATCTCTTTAGCGTGTTCAGCAATGTTGTCAATGTCAAACTCTTCGGCAATCTCTTCGATGTCCTCTTGTTGCTCAACATTCAAGATTGCTTCCTTGATATCTTCTTGGTCCATGGTTTGAGACATGGACCTTTTGTTGTTGAATTTGTGTTCCATTGTGTATTGTGTCGTCGTTGTTGTTGGTGTTGTTGCTTAATTTCAAAAACTGTGAGCTGTCGTTAGTAACTGCCAAACGCATTATATCCTTGGATTAAGCTGTTGTACTTACTTTACTCCTACAGTTAAAAAGATGCTTTAAACAGTATAAGCTAAATTGGGAGATGAAAAGCAAAATAAAAAGTAAAAAGTAAAAAGGAAAAGGAAAAGGAAAAGGAAAAGGAAAAGACGTGGTAAAGAGAATAAATTTATGGACGATTTGAAATTGTATTTATACTTTTTAGAAATTTGTTGTCGACAATATACTAATTTTAGCAAGTGTCGTATGAGTAGTAATAAATATATATATATATATATATATATTGTATATTGCATATTGTATATATATTTTTTATATAGGGAATTGCGATCGGAGGACAGACAACAACAACAACAACAAAACTGCGGAGTAAAATTAAATTCTTTCTCTCCTTTCTACAATTTTGTGACAACCAGAAAAAATCACCCCACACAAATTCTTTACAACCAGAGCAAATTCAAAAGTTATACGAAAACGTATTTATACATATTCCTACATATTCCAAATTGCAAAGTGTTATTAAGCATCATAGTAATCATCCCATAATGCCATTCTCAATTATTGAGGAGAAGAGGTTGGTTGCAATAAGCCTATTGATTCTATGTGTGTATGTGTAGTGTGAGTTCCTGGCATCACAAAAAAAAACTCTAACTCGACAAAATGTTCCTTGATTTGTTGCTTTTCTTTTTTCTTTTCTCTTTTGTCGTTTGTTGTTTGTCGTTTGTCTTTTTAGCAACAAAGCCAATCGGAGGAGTTTTTTATTGTTCTCTGTTGCAACTGGACTGAAAATACAACTATAAGAAGCCAAAACGGCCCAGTGCATTGTAGGCTAGGCATGGAGTCTAATTCTTGAAATATAAAAAACCTTTTTCTTCTCTGTGTTGTATAGTTTTAGTTTAGTCTCTAAGTCTCTTTAACCTCTTTGGATTTCTTGCTTTCCCTACTTTTCTCATTGCTTTCATTTTAAATAGAAACGTTTTCTTTACTTTTGAAATTCATTTCAAATTGATTACAACATTTATTACACCCCTTCTCCTCCTTCCCCCTCCCCCTTCTCTTTACCTTTCTAACTTCTTTTCTTCTTTCTTTTGGTTGTTGAATTTCACCTAATGGTAAAACTTTTTGAGGCCAGCCAGTACAGTTTATTTCATTAATTAATTTTGACTCTGTAGAGAGTAAGGAAAAAAGACTTCGAAGTTTAGATAAAGGTACAATGAGAAACAAGAGAAAATTACCAATTCCAGTCACAGTGAAAACTTCATTGATTTAACATCTTTGCTTACTGTCCAATCTAATTATAACAACACTTATTTGAGCTTGAAGAAAAGTTAATCAATGAAGATTGTAATCATTCTTTGTTTCTTTTGTGTTTCAGTTTGGTTACACAAATTCATTATGATAAGAAACACTTTGAATTGAAAGTGAAAAATATTATCGAGGTTCAAGTAGACTCTCCACCATAGACTTTAAGTCTTCCTTTTTGGTGCAGGGGTGGATTGAGTTCCCCACTTTCGAAATGTAAGTCATATGCTCCCAACTTTTGTTTTCGTTTCATCGTGTCCAATTTCCATTGCAAATGATGGGAGGTGGGGAGAGAGAAACTGTCTATAACCAATGGAAATAGTATTAGTAATGTCTTTCGTAAAAATGTGCGTACGATAAAATATATATGTATTTATCATTGATTTCTAAATTATATAAACTATATATTTTTATGTCCAAAATCTGTCATATTTATAATTTTCCAGATTGGATATCTCATCATGTTGAGATGAGATGAGCCTGAAAATACTTTAAGCTGTATTTTGCCATTCGGATATTTACTTCTTGGCTTGACCCCTGAATGTGAAAACTCACACAATTACTACATTCCTATACATCAGCATTTACTATCCATCAGCACCAGTTTAGTTTATCTTCTTTTGGAGACCGTAACCAACACTTGATTGTTAATATTATCGTTCCACAAATGTGCTTAGGATAGAAGAAAAAAACAAGAGTTTCGGAGGAAAAAAATGGCAAAGTGGTAGCTAAAAACATTGACAAAGCAATCACTATTGTAAATTGGAAGCTTTCATGGGTCAGACTTGATACAAATGGAACGAATTAAAATTTCAAAATTACTGGACTGGATCTTTCAAACGACCAGGAAGGCCAACAATTCAGTGCAATAGCGCAGTTGTCATAAGACTGGGTGGCCAAGCTGGTTAAGGCGTGTGACTGTTAATCACAAGATCGAGAGTTCAATCCTCTCCCTGGTCGTTTTTTTTTAATTTTTTGCCTTGAAAAATTGTTCTTTTTTAGTTCAAGGGTAAAGTTGTACCACCATTCCGTGTAGCAGAGAGTATCAAAGTATTGAACTAGGTTTTTGTTGTTTGTTTTTACGTCTCATATGACTTCATTCATAATTATGTGCATTGTTTTTTTATTCTTCTATCTTTTTCGCTCAATTTTGTTGCAAATTTGTTTTCCAACAATTTTTGACATGTTCTCAACAAGTCTACGAATTAAAGAGGTTGCTTTAATGAGAATTTCGAATAGTGGGTAACCAAACACACTATCCAGTGGCGGTGGTGGGAATAGACAAAATGGTTATCTGTATACAAATTGGGAAACAAACCAACTTCGGTAATGTCGTTTGATTAAGGAAATTTAATGCCACTCCTTGAGTAGTCACCTACAAACTACAACACGGTCAATCAAACGTAAAAATGTGAGTACTATTTCAAGCTGTATTTGTGGTACTGGACTACTGTGCTAGGTTGATTTTAGTGCTTACTAAAGTATAGAAAACCAATCAGAGGAGTCCTTTCAATACTGGTCCACCATGGAAAGGCTTCTATATAAGTAATTAGACACCAATAATTAATAAGTGAAGCTCGTACTTCTTTAATCACTGGGCTTTGATTTCTCTTTATCATGGCCAGTGTTCTCTTTCATTGTGAGAGGTTAACAGGTACAGCAATCTATCCAAAATCTACTTGCTTTAGAACCTCCCTGCTATCATATGTTAACACCATACTTGCTACAGAGAATGTTTCCTACTTCTAACTACACATAATGAGCATTACATGAGCACCTCACATCATGTGGTCACTTTCATTTAGGGAAAACGTGACTTAAAACTATTGCGTGGCAATACAACAGAAAACTTTCTTGCTAAAAATCACTGATATGACGCAGTGGTCAAAGCTCCCATAGTTTAGTTGGTTAGAACATTTGTCTCATAACTCACAGCAGTAGTGTGACATCAGAAGATCGTGAGTTCGAACCTCACTGGGAGCATTTCTTTTTTTTATTTACTCTTTAATAAATGGAGCTATACTGGCTTTGCAATTTTATTTTTTGGAATCTGTAGCTATTATTACTACACCACTCTGCTCTTTCTCACCACCCCTCGAGCACCCTCAACCTTTTCTTGAGTCATCTTCTGAACCGAATTTATATTGCATAACGCGAGCCAAAACTTTTCTTTGCTTTTGTAAACAAAGAGAAAAAATAAAATCAAAAAAAAAAAGAAAAGGAAAACATGCGCTGAATGTCAACACAAACAAGACCAATGCCATATGACGCTTTACACTTGAAGTCATCAAATCGAAGCATGGTCGAAGATGACAATACGTGCGCGCCACCGCCGTCACTAAGTTCTTACAGTATAGAGATGCTCAATGCAAAGAGGAGAACAAATAATTCACCAGTCACGGGGATCTACCACCAAGACTTCCCCGACAGGTCCACTGAGTTGAGAAAGAAGTTTATTGCTGTGTTTGGACACACGACTACCACCACGGAAAACTCACTTTCAGATGGTCTTATGGAGGATAAATCGGGTTCAACGTCAAAGTCTACCCTCACTGGTACAGAAAATCGTTTGAAGAGAAGAAGGTATGGCAAGGTGCTAGGTGCACCGAAGAGGGCGAGTCAAAACAATACATTGGAAGATGACTATATTGACGAAGAATTGATCAAAAAGAATGTCGAGGAACGAAAGGAAGTGAATAAATCTCCTGCCAAGCGCCAGCCCTTGAGTGATATCTCGAATGTCTTTAGGAAACCAGTGACTCCAAAGAAGGATCTAGCGGAAGCACCAGCACCAGTATCAGTATCAGTACAAGCTCCAACACCAATAGCGCCAGTAGTTCCAGTAGCGGCAATGCCCCCTATTACAGCATCAAAAGCAGCACCACCCCTACCCACCACATCTGATCCAGAAGAACCACACGACTCAAAAAGAATATTCATCGTCAATAACAAGAAATACGAAAAATTGGAACTATTAGGAAGAGGAGGGTCATCCAAGGTCTACCGCATAAAGGCAGCAAATGGCCATCAATTTGCATTGAAGAAAGTAACACTAAATCAAACAGAAGACATCTCGTCTTTCAAAGGGGAAATTGAGCTACTTCGAAAATTGAGAAACTACAAGCGAGTAGTCAAGCTTTACGATAGTGAAGTGACAAGATCATCCATATACCTAATAATGGAAAAAGGTGACATTGATTTGGCATTGCTATTCCAAAACAGGCTCAACATGAACCTACCCTTGGACTTACAGTTTGTAAGATACCACATGTCGGAAATGTTCAAGTGCGTAAAAGATGTACACGATGCTGGCGTTGTGCACAGTGACTTGAAACCAGCCAACTTCCTCATGGTGCGTGGGATTCTAAAAATTATCGACTTTGGGATTGCCAATGCCGTGCCCGACCATACAGCAAACATATATCGAGAGTCTCAAATAGGAACTCCAAACTACATGGCCCCTGAAGCATTGGAAGAGGCAAGTATGATTGAAGCAAAAAATACGACTTGGCGAGTTGGTAGGCCGTCGGATATTTGGTCGTGCGGATGCATCATGTATCAATTCATCTACGGAAGACCACCATATGCCTCGCTAGCGGGTACAAAGAGGATATTGGCAATCATGAACCCTCAGTATAAAATACAGTACCCACAGTTTGGAATTGGTGATGTACCAGTGCCCCAAAGTGCCATCAATTTGATGCAGAATTGTCTCGCGCGTGAACCTGATGAACGGTGGACAGTAGAGCAATGTCTAAATAGTGACTTCTTCCACCCAAAGGCGGTTGATGAAAACTTTATTACAAAGATTGTCCACCAAAGTGTCAACTTGGGATACAACAAGAGAATCTCGGGGGAGGGAATCACAACCGAAGCCTACGACTCAATGGTAAATGACATTATAGAACAGATTAGAACTTATAATTGCTAATAATTATTTTATCTAGGTCCCAACTTTTGTAAAACTCTTGGTCCTTGCTCTTCCCACTCTTGCTTTGAGATCCACATGTGGTCCTTATCGGCCATGATATTTGCCAAGACTGCACCCCCAATGAAAACCATATTCTTTCTTCTTGGCGGATCTTCAATTCTAACTTTAAACTTGTCTAATCTAGTAGCATCGCCATGTAGGACCTTGGTCAACCACAATTGCTTGAGCTCTTTTTCCAACCTTGATGGCAATCCGGGATACATTGAGGATCCACCCGACAAGACAATCGCCTTGAACAAGGAGGACCTTACGTCAACATCAGCCGATTGGATAGTATTGAACAATGTCTCGCCAACTCCTGGTTGCTCGACATCAACCAAGTGTGGTTGAAATAGACATTCTGGTGCTTCAAATCTTTCACTACCGACTTTGATAACTCTTCCATCAGGCAATTCGTAAGATTCAACCAAGGTTGTGGTTTCAGTGGCCAATTTCGAATCAAATTCCAAGTCATAACTGACATAACATAGCTTCTCCTTTATTTGACGCACAGTTTCAAAATCAGCGGTTCTGTTGAATGCATAGCCACGGCGGAAAAGCAAATTTATCAAGTGTTTTGTAACATCCCTTCCAGCAACATCCAATCTCTTTGTAAGGTGGTTTAAAACGACAGACTCGTAAACGGGGACAATATGGGTCACACCGTCACCAGAGTCAACAACCACACCCGAGCTCAACCCTTGTGCGTACAATGCTAACACTGCTTGAATAGCAACATAAACTCCGCCGAATCCGTATTTCTCAAACATGACCTGACACATTGTTTCCCTATTCTTTAAAGGATTCATTGGAGGTTCGGTCAACAATATCTTTTGTCCTTGAGGGTTCAATTTCATCTTGTCGTAAAAGGCATAATCCCACAAGTGTTCCATATCTTCCCAATTCTTTATAATACCATTCTCCATGGGATAGTTTATCTGAAGCAAGGACCTCACTTGGCTTGCTTCTGATCCACACATCACATTTTTGATCTCGATATCGTCCGGCACAAGAAGGTTTCGTTCTTCTGCCCGCAATATCGGTCTTCCGACCATCGAGGGGAAGGTGTAGTCGGGAAAATTGGTGCCTGCTCTACCAATTTTCACAAATCCTGTTCCTTGGTCAAGTACTATACTAATGGTCAGTCATTGTCTATATTATATAGCTGATGCGATACTTACCAATTGGCGAACTCATGCTTAATATATTGAACCCGAACGCTTGTTGAATTTTCCGGCCGTTCAGTTTTTTTCTGAACAAAATGATTGTCAACGATTTTATTTCCATACGCTACCAAACTCCTATACCAATATTCTATATGCAAACGTTAAATACGAAGTATGACTTTTAATTTCAGATTCGGTCTTTGTCACTCCAAGCCATTCGTACCCTTCTTCACCTTCTTTTACTTTAGCACTTTTTCTCGCCGACTTGAATGTGTCGTCAGATTTAGCTAATTTTTGAGGTGGTTGTCCGGCTCTCAAACTTTCAATCCCATGCTGTTTCCTCACTTGTATGTCTTTGATCCTGTTGATGGCGTTGTTGACATCTCTCTTCATCTCTTTGCGCGCTTCCCATCTTTTTGCAGCAACTTCAACCATTTCGATGTTTGTCCACCCGTTTTCCTCCAACGCGGTCACCGTTTTTGCAACTTGTTCAATGCAAGGAGAAAAGCAGCATATCCCTACTTGTTTCTGTTTTGCAATGACTGAATCCAAATGCGGTATAGCATCCCAGGGAGATGGCAAATCTAAAAACACCACATCACCATCAATCGTGTCATCCACATTGAAACCTCCAGTACAAACGTCGCGATGCGTAATGACGGTATTTGTCAACCCATGGTTCAGCAACTCCGTTTTTGCCTCCAAATACCTAGGTTCATGAAATTCAAATGTAAATACCTTCCCGCTCTCCCCCACTGTTCTTGCAAAAGAATGTGTAAATGAAGCTGATCCAGTTCCGGCTTCAATAACTCTTGATCCAGGTCGAACATTTAATCGCTGTATAATGTATGACGAGTCAGGTGTGTAAACAATCTGAGTTCTATGAGGTAATGACAAAGTCCACATCTCCGGGCTTGGGTACAACAAGTGTATGAATCCGTACCCTTTTGCTCCACGCATCTGGGCACCATACTTCATACCAATCATTGCAGAATGGAGAAAATGGCCATAACGAGTATTGAGGATTTCTCCACTCTTGATATATATAGGTTTGATGGTGGATCTGTTGATAAATGCGAGCACCAAGTCTCCTTCCTCTATGTGGTCTCTGTAGTTAAAAAATGACATGCTAATGGTGTCCTTGGTGTATAATTCTGAACCATTTCTATATTTTTTTTTTTCAACTCTCATCGCCGATTTAAACTTTTGGCATGAAAATACTTTATTTATCAGTAGGCTGACTGGATTGCCACAACACGTTAGATGGAATTAATCGTAGTCCCCCATCGTGACCCCCTACTTTTCGAGTGCTATCCAACACCAGTGGTGGTGGGAATTCATGAAGTCCTTCAAAATTGCATCTACAATTACACTGGCGTAAAAGCACACTTCTTAGATACACTTGCGTTTTCGTTTTATAGTCCTTGCTGTTACTGGCCCTTCTACACACCTCCTACGTCTCTCTAACCCCGTCAAGTGTTTGCCTGGCTCACCAATCTCAGTCGTGCGGACAAATCCAATATCGCTCATATTCAAAAAATTAAGAAAAAAAAATATAAAAATACTCACCAGAGGCTGTAAGACAACTCCACTTGCTTCCTCCCCACCATGTCAGAGGAATCACAACCACCGCAGCAGGTACAACTGCAACCTAGCGATCCACTTGGAACCAATGTTGAGGATTTATACTTGGAAAGTTACGCTTTCACTACAGCAGCTGCTATTGTTGGGTCTGTCGACCGCAAGATATTTGTGTTGCTAAGAGACGGAAGGAACTTTTTTGGTATTTTAAGAACATTTGACCAATTTGCAAACTTGGTTCTCCAAGACACCTTCGAGAGGATTTATGTTGAAGGGGAGCCTAAAAAATTTGGTGAAATTTACAGAGGGGTGTTCATAGTGAGGGGAGAAAATGTGGTTATGATGGGAGAACTCGACATAGACAGGGAGGACGACCATTTGGAAACTCTAGAACAAATACCCTTTGAGCAAGCTGAACAAGAGCAAAGACTGAGCCACGAAAAGCTAATAAAAGAGGAAAAATCAAAGCAAAAGACATTTTTCGAAAAAGGGTTGATATATGATTTCCAACAGACTATTTTATACTAAATATTTTACAACTTGCTAACTGCTTCTACTCTCGAATCAACACTCTTGAAAAACTCATCAACTTCGGGGAACTTGGCAGCTTCTCTTCTTGACAATTGAGCCAAATGTGCTTCATCTGGACCATCAGCGATTCTCAACGTTCTATTCCAAGCATACATCTGTGCCAATTCCGTGTCTTGAGAAAATCCTTCAGCTCCAAACACTTGGATACCCCAATCAAGAATATCGCAAATGGTTTTTGGCGTCTCAATCTTAGCCATGGCAATTTCTCTTTGCGCATGCTTGGCATTGGAGATATCAATCTTGTGAGCCGCATTCAAAACCAACAACAAACACTTTTGAATTTCAATTTTGTACTTCGCGTACTGCATCAAGAACCCTTCTCTTCTGTTCATTGGGCGGCCAAAAATGGTTCTGTGATTTGCTCTGTGAGCGATACGCAACATTGCGAATTCACCAGCACCAATAGCTCTCATACAGTGATGGATCCTACCTGGGCCCAAACGGGATTGAATTAACTCAAATCCTCTACCTTCGCCTGCCAAAATTGTTTCTGGCATCAATTCAGCGGGAACTTCATAGTCTTTAAAGACAACCTCACAGTGACCGTGAGGTGCGTCATCGTAACCAAAAATACTCAAAGGCCTGACAACCTTGGCCTTACCCGAATTTATGGCATCCTTGACATTAATAACCAACACGGAGTGGTTTCTAAAGATATTACTGTCATCATTGTTTGTTTTGCACATAACCAACCAAACAGCAGTTCTTGGATCACCCGCACCAGATGCAAACCACTTGGTTCCGTTCAAAACATAGTTACCACGTGAATTCTTAATTGCAGTGGTTGCAATGTTTAAAGCGTTGGATGATGAAATTCCCTTTTCGGTCATCAAAAATGCTGATCTAATCTTACCGTCCAACAAAGGTTCCAAATATTTTTCTTTTTGCTCTTTTGTACCATACTTTGCAAACAATTCCATGTTACCAGTATCCGGTGCACTGGTGTTGGTTGCTTCCGGTCCAGTGTGGCATCGTCCTAAATACCTAGCCATCAATCCGTATTCCAAGTTGGTATATTGTGGACCCTCTTTGTAATGTTTTGACAAAAACATATTCCACAAACCCAATTCTCTAGCCTTTTTCTTCAATGGCTCAATAATAGCTGGGAATTTTTCCCATCTTGTAACTGGATCGTCGGGGATTTGTGCTTCGAAAGTTCTATCAGCAGGGATACAATACTGTTCGACAAAGTCTTTTGTCTTTTGAATAGCTTCGAGACCTCTTGGAGAGACTTTATCTAAAAAGATAGCTGGGATATCGTCTTTAACTGACATTGTAATTAGGAAGGTTAGTAGTGTTGTTGAATTCAATATAGATGACGCTGGAGAAGGAATTGCACGGAAATAATACATATATATATACACTTGCATATATTTTTTTTTTCATAACCCCACATTCCTCACCTCACCTTACCTCACCTCACCACGGAAGTGATTTTTACTGGGCTATCATATTTTTTCTTTTTTCTATTTTTTCTCTTTTTTATCCGCAGCCGGAGATTTTTTTGTGGCGGGTATTCGGGTTTAGATTACTGGAGTATGCATATACATGGTGATCACGGAGGGGTAAAAAAGACGAGAAAAAGGGAGATCAAAATGTTCCTTTTTATGAGGTTTTATTAAGAAAATATTGTTGGGGGAGATGGATGCAAAGCTTAAGTCGTCAAGAATCTGTCGTAGAGCGTTTTGAAAAATGCAGTTTTGTCGTAAAGAGGGAAGGGGGGAGGGGGAAAGACATATCGTAAAGCATGTTGTCATAAAACCTTCATCTCTCCATCGTTCACCGTTGACTAGCTTAATTTCCCTTTCCCAAAGAGGTAAGACTTACCTCAATCAAACTCAACAGGTAGCGCAAGACTAAAAGGAAAAGATGCGGACATAACTGTTCGAAAAAAAAACTGTTGCCTTCGTAATACATTGTTCTTACCAATAATCACGCCACTATGGAAATAGAATCAGATATCCCCCATATCCCCAACCATAAACTATCGGAGAAGGAGTTTTTACTCAGTACGCCAATTTCAACAGAGGAGAGACAGAAGATTTTTGGCGAATTGGTAGAAGCCATCAAAAGTGACAAACTTGCTCCGTACTACGAGTATTTACACGATCAAGTCAAGGACTTCCCCTTTGATAAATCACTTTACAAGGAACTAGCACTGGAAAATGAAAAAGAAATCAACGAATTGAAGCTGAAGATTAAAGAGGCTGAGGGAGAGGAGGAAACAGAGTTGGATGTTGTCACCACGACAACAAAGTTGGCTGAGTACTACACGCAGATTATTGACAGAGCCAATGCTACTGAAACATTAAACAAAGTGTTGGAATTAACTTCAGATACCGGTAAAAAGATTGACATTTTGTTGACATTGACGAGACTCGACTTTTTCTTCAATGACTTGCCTCAAGTTCGCAAAGACCTTGATCAGATTTCGGTACTTATTGAGAAAGGGGGTGACTGGGAACGCCGTAATAGATTCAAGGCTTACAACGGGATCTATTTGCTTGCCACAAGAAACTTTGCTGAAGCTTCGAAGCTACTTACAGACTCATTAGCAACTTTTACATCGACCGAATTGTGCACGTATGAACAGATCGCCCATTATGCAATTGTGGCTGGAGTGATTTCTTTAGACAGAGTTGATTTGAAGGAAAAGATTATTGATTCGCCGGAAATCTTGTCGATTTACTCGTCAGCACCACAGTTGGAGCCTTTGTTAAACTTGACCAACTCATTATACACATGTCAATACAACTGTTTATTTGACTACCTTTTACAATCATATGACCAGTTGCTTTTACCCAACAAGTACTTGCACGCCCATGCAAACTATTTTCTTCGAGAAATGAGATGCAAAGCTTATGGCCAATTATTGGAGAGTTACAAGTCTTTATCATTGAAGTCTATGGCAGCTAATTTCAACATCAGCGAGGACTTCTTGGACCAAGATTTGTGCAGGTTTATCCCAAACAAGAAACTCAACTGCGTTATAGACAAGGTTAATGGAATCATTGAAACAAATAGACCGGATAACAAAAACAACCAATACCATTTGTTGATCAAGCAAGGTGACGGATTGTTGACCAAGTTGCAAAAGTATGGTGCTGCAGTAAAGTTGAGTGGAGCTGAAAGAGTTGTATGAAGTAGAGTAGGGTGTATAGAAAGTTCTCAATAAAATTAGTTAAAAAAAACAACAGAGAAAAAAAAAAAGAAGTCCACACATCTTCCTTTCAACATCAACCAATGTCATCTAAACCAATCAACTCTAGTATTCTCTACGTTGGACTGATTCCATTTGAATGGGACGAGGAGGTCGTAAAGTCAGTTGTTTGCGGATCAGGAAATGTCGTAGATGTGAGATTGGGATTCGACTTTGAAGGTAAAAATAAAGGATTCTGCTTTGTCGAGTACCAAAGCACGCGGGACGCCCAAAGAGCCGCACCGTTGTTGAGCTCTATATTGATACATCAGCCTCTTGGACTCCCCAAGAGACTTAAAATTGAAGGATCAAAGGAGGCGTTTAAAGGTAGTAGTGCTTCTCCTGAACCAAGGAGAGTTCTTGCGCTAAATAGAAGCAAGTTGCCTAAAAATGTCCAGTTACCACCAGAGATGATGCAAAATGACCGCCAATTCACAGGAAGGACCAACTCGCCCCTACCACCAACCCCAACGCAAAAAAACACCCCCATGATGGCACCGACTGCACAAAGTTTCAACCCAAATGTGCCCCTGCATGGGCCTGCTGGGAGTGTGCCCATGAAGTTCACGCAGGCGACAAAGTCATATCCGTACATTCCTAATCTTCCATTTGCCACTCCTGATAATATAAGCACCACATTGGGCAAGATCCATCCCACACAGTTGATTGAAAGTCTTGCCAATATGAAAAATGCGTTACAAGCTGACCCATCTAGAGTACAAGATTTCTACCAAATGAATCCAGAGTTTGCCGTGTGTGCTGCTCAAGCGTTGTTGTTGATGGGGTTTGTCGATAACGAAGTGCTTACATCGAAATCAGTGTCGTCCACGCCACAACCAAGTTCACAGCCATTGTACCAACAACAGTCACAGTTTCAACAGGCAAACAACGGACTTTCGCCGTACATGTCACAGCCGCAGATGGCAACAAGCTCTGTGTGGTCAAGATTACCAGTACAGACACAGAATGCATTGCGAAATATGGACGCTGCGCTGATAGAGAAGGCTTTCGAGTTTATCAATATGACGGAAGAGTCTTTTCGGGTATTGTCATACCACGAGAAGATTAAAATCAACCAGATTAGACAGCAGCTTGGTGCTAATACGTATCCTGTGTAGATTAATAGATTTATATTTCATTTTTCATTTTTTATTTTTTATTTTCTCTCTCTATTTCTGACAATACTTTCATACCAAAAGTAAAAGCGCTTATAACCCCTTTTATACTACAGAATGGATCTGCCGGTTGTTATTGATTTCGAAGTGTCAAATGGAGACACTAATGGTGTTCCATTCTGGTTGCGTGATGTATTTGATCGTGCACTAGACGCTGTTGGTCTTGGCAATAGGCTGGCGTCGGACGAGGCTATTGCCAATCTCGTCAAAGTAGATCACACACAGTTGGTGGATAAGGAATGTGCAATATGCTACGACAAGTTCCTGACGGAGAAATTAGAGATTAAGGAGTCTCTGCAACTGGACGATGGCGGCAAATACAAGGAGTTGATGAAACTAGATCTAGAGTTGAAAAAGAAACTTCGAGAGGAGTATGGCGTGCGGATGGAGGCCCTTGAAAGAAAGTCAACGTTTAATGATCCACACTTGTTTTTCCCTACTGATGTTGGTGGCAGTTCTTATAGTAGATTTCCCCAACGCAACTTGTCAACGTTTAAACAAGTGTCAATCGATGACCAATTCCCTGGTTCCAACGGCGACAACAAGGAGAGAAAAGAAAAGAAGATAGAAGAATACAAGAAAGAGGGTCACATTGCCGTCAAGATGCCCGAGTGTGGTCACATTTTTGGATTATCATGTATCGTTGAATGGTTAAAGGCCCATGTCTCATGTCCCTTGTGCCGAAAAGAGGTTGAGGCTAGGAAAAATGACCCAAACGTGTCCAAGAGAGAGAATATTGAGGATAATGTTGTTGCAAACTACAATAATGAGTCTGAGATTGTTGAACATCTAATGACCCACTCAACCGACGTATTCCGTCCATTTAGGCGACCATTTAATCCACGAGTAACTCCAGTAACTGATTCCTACATGGATCAAAACTGGGCCACACCACCTTACCAACCGCGTCCATCTAGATCTAGAGACCCAAGTATCGTATTACCGAAAAAGTTTCCCTTTCCTGATCCTTTAGGAGGAGCCAGCCTTCCTCGCATGAGAAGAAATTTTCGAGAATCAAGGCGAGTTAGGAGAGCACGATCAATGAACAGTAATGATGAGGAACAAGAAGCTCGGAGGAGAAGAAGTGGGTCGAATGAGTCGGGGAGAAGCGCAAGAAGGGTCAACTTTTCCCCTCATACTACAAACATTGACGATCTACACGATTCAAGCGATAGCGAAGTATAGTGGAAAATTGCATAGGCTATGAATTTCCTGAGTTTACTAAAGCTAATAATAAATTATAAAATATATCTATGTATATTCTCTCTACATAGCATCGTCAGGTCTGTTTTGTTCAATTGGAGCTTTTCTACCCTTGTCTTGCAAGCTTGCATATCCTTTGATGTTTTCTCTGACCTCTTCTCTGCCTTCTTCTTCTTCCAACTCTATGCGCTTTTCATATGCCAATTCAGAAGCATTTTCAATAGTCTCTCTAGCTCTTGAAGCTAAATCATCACTCTTACTAGACCCAGTAGTAGATTTGACTGTTTCTTGAGCATTCTCAATTCCATCAGCCAAAATCTTTCCCGTTTTCTTGTTGACAGTTTCAGCAGCTCCCTTGACCTTTTCAGTAGCATTTTGAATCGTAGATTGAGCACCATCTTTGGCATCTTCAAGGCTCGATTTAGCATTTTGAGCTGCGTCTTGTGCCTCGTCCAATTTGGTGGCAATCTTTCTACCACCATCTAAGTTGGCTTCTTGAACTTTGTTTTCCAATTCACCTTCCTTTTGCTTCTTTTCCTCCAACCCCTTCTTACCAAAGACAGCTTGGGTAGCGGCATCGACTATTCCATAGTTTCTCGAAATGGAAACCTGTGGTCTGTAAGCAATTGCTGGTCTAATTGATCTAATAACAGTTTGACGAAACATTTTAGAATTAATAAATTTATCCTTATTGATGATGGGAAAAGTGATCACGTCAAAAGACAATTGTCCAGGATTTTGATTGCTATTTATATATTGACTCCACATTAGATTACACAAAATTAAGTTGCTGCTCGGTATAGCAATAATTCGAATTTGTGCCTAATTGTAACCACACTTTGAAATTGATTGAGATCAATGGACACTATTATAATGACATAGTTGGTTTCAGATCTTCTCGAAAGGCTTTCGACAACTATTTGGTCCGCATATGGTGAACCTTCGAGACTTGAAGGTGTTGTGGTAATGTAAAATGTCAACGTCATGCATGAGATGCAAACTTGCACAAAAATAAACGAATATCACCGGCTAAGTAGGAGATTCCGCACCCGACCAACAGATGTACGAAAAGAGCTCCGCAACAGAAAATACATTGGTCCTTCAATAATATCTTGTGATGAGTCAATGATTCGCCAGGCCTAAAAGGTGGTGGTTTAGTAAGAAGTTGTTCACTACAAGTGGTTCCCAAATTGGTTTAAAACTTCGGTGATATCATTAGATTTATGATGATGAGGTTCATATTCTCGATATCAGGTGTTATTTCTAACTTGACCTGAACACCTTGTTGCAAAAACCATGGCTCCACGAGAATCGGAGTTATCAGTGATTTACGGCCAAATTCAGCTAATTCGAGATCTTCTCCAAATGTTGTATTCTAGATACATTGGTACCAAGGATGACCGGATATTCCAAAAATTGGAGCCATTAATAGTTTTGTTTTTGGTTTTTATTATTGACCATCAACAACAGAATTACGATCCCAAAAATTGATGATTGAGTGAATACATGCTGACTGTTTCAATCTGATTTGTTACCAGTTGGTATTTCTCAACGAGTTGTATTGTGACAAACGATAAATCGGATCCACTTTCTAGTAATGCTGGAAACAACAGCAATCCTTCCAACATAAGTTTCACTCACTCAACATTGCGTCCATTGAATTCAGAAATTGGAAAGCTTTGGTGGGTTTAGCGTCACCCACAGACGTATTGTCAACTAACCTGTTTTTGTTCATTAGTTGATTGGGTGTTTCCATTTTTCGATACTTTCTGTGCAAAGCACTGGTTATTGGTATGATTAGAGTTTGCATGAACCAGACAGCGGTCTTATTGTTTCTTCTTGCTATCTCCTTCACCAAATTGGTTACCATTGTTGTTTCCGAATCGCACGCTTTTACCATTTCCAAAGATTGGGTTACCTCTCAATCACCCAAGGGCAATTAATTTATTCCTTTTATGCCCTCCACAGTTTTTGCTAATAGTGCGATTTGGAAATAGGGTACACTCACGCCACATTGAAGTAAGTTGACTATATGAATCACCTTATCTACCTTCCCGGCCTCGGTGAGGTATCCAACTAGTCCAAAGAAACGTGCTTTGAAAACATCAAACTCCTGACGTCCTTGCTTTGTGGCACCCAATATTTCCAAAATGTGGTCAACATGATTGGGATTTTTAAATTTGGCCCTTATTTCATGATAAAAAGGGGTGCAACATCAACCTCATTTTCTTGAATTAACAAACTGATCCATCGGAGGCATTGCCAAAATAAAGTCCACTGGGCAATCTTCACAGGGTCAATTGGTCCAAATTGTGGTGGCGGCTTGTTGTCGTTGAAACTTTTTCTGGGAACTTTGGTCATAGTGTTGGTTTCGATTGATCATAGTAGTTAAAACAAGAAACTGTCGCCTCACTGCAATGTATCACGAAGGGATAAAAGTATAACAGAAGAAAGTAGCACGAACACTTATTATATTTACATCAGTTGTAAAATCGCGTACGATAAAAAAGTCCTCAAACAACAAACATATGGTTGTTATATGGAACCAGGCTTCTATAGAGTATCAATGACGCATCTGAAAGCATGTCACATCCTCATGCAAAAGCTAAATAAGGTAAATTGATTTTCGTGCATATCTTTCATTCTCTGATTTTCTCTCCCACGGCTTCGTGCGTGACTATATGCAATTAGTTGCAAAAAGAAAGAAAACAGACTAAAAAGACAAGGGGGAATACAGTTAAAAAAGTTGTGATATAAAAAGGAGCTCTAAAGGACTGAACTCCTCCTGTTTCTACCTTCTAACCAACAAGGCAAGATGATTTCAAAACCTTTAAACAGACAAGTCCTTTTTGCATCTACCCAAATACGCCGTTATGCAAGCAAACAACAAGCATCTCCTTCATTAAAACAATGGGCAACCGAGCACTCCCCGCAGTTTGTCACCGACTTGAAAAACCAAACAATGCAAGCAGCTTCAACGTTGAATAAAAAAACAGGCGAGTTTCTCTACGAGGGAATCGACGTGGCACAGCTTGTTAAACATCGCAGTGATGCTATTCACAAGGTACACGAAGCTGAGCGTGGATACAAGAGCTTGAAGGACAAGGGGGAGAAGGTCGAGAGTGAGCAGTGCCGTCCTGACGATGGATTGTAAGGGATGTTGTATGTCCTGGTGTTTTTACGGGCACATCAAAGTATATAGTGTATATGGGTTTTAATGAAATTGCATATAAACGCAACACAGTAGAGTATACATTGCCTTCTCTAACAAATGTAACAATTAACAATTGCAAAACTATATAACTTAAATATTCTTAAACTCCTCCAATAATTGATCCAGTTTGACGTTTTGTGGTACTGCTGGCGCCGATTCCACCTGTTTCAATGGCGGCTGCAGTTTTCGCTCAATCACCGACAAAAAGTTGCTAGGTACGTATCCCACTTTCCCTGTCCTCGTTCTCACCTTCCACCATTTGGATTCGTTTCCTAATGGATCCTGTTTTGATAATATTGCCACCAATTCATTTGGTTTCAACTCGGCTTCCATTTGTGGGTTTTCTGGATTGAATTCGTACAAGGCCTTGGCAAATTGTAAGTTTGATGGGTCAAAGGGAGCGTTTGGTCCCCCTAGTTGTTGCTGTTGTTGCTGCTGTTGAATTTCCATTTTGCGCCTATTTTGTTCGTTAAGCATTTGAATAGCTTTGCTTAGTAAATAGGGAAGACCGATGGATGCGGCGAGGAAAATGAGGAGTGGCTTGAATGACAATCTTGGTGGTTTATTAGCATTTGCTCCATTTCTCTTGATTTGATCTTCCAACTTCTTTTGCTTAGCTTCGAATTTGTTGAATTCATTCAAATTAATGCCATTGTTATACACTTGCCCCGTTAGTTTAGCAAACAACTTTTTAGCAAGATTAATCAAGGCAAATATCCCAAGTAGTGAGCCAAGGGCGTTTTTTAAGTTACCAAACTGTTCAGCAAGGTTGACCATGGTGAAAAATGATGAATGGGTTGCCATGTATGTCGCCTCCAACATTTGGGCAAACCCACCAACAGCACCTATTATACTCTCAATCAAATTGAATGTTGCCTGTGTTCCTTCCCCAAAGCCTCCTTGCATCATACCGGGTTGGCTATACATGCCACCTCCGTAGCCACCGCCATACATTCCCGAACCGTACATCCCCGAGCCATACATTCCCGAACCATACCCAGACCCATACATGCTAGAGCCATAGCCTCCTCCGTACATGCTTGATCCAAAGCCTGAACCATATCCTGATCCATACATGCCCGACCCGTAGCCAGAGCCGTATCCAGACCCATAGCCCGAGCCATACATTGACGACCCATATCCTGATGAGCCGTAGTTGTTGCCATAGGTAGAAGAAGTGCCATATGCGTTGTTAGTGGTATTGTTACCATAAGGTGACGTTTGGGCCATGTTGTTGAATTCGTTGGTGAGCGACGTTGGACGATCAGGCAACGATGGGTTTGTTGATGTCCCTGTCCCTGTCGTCGTCGCCGTTGCTGTGGAGCCTGCAGCAGCAGGTATGTTTGCGGGTTGTTGAGTTGATGCTGCGCTTGTGCCCTGTGATACTTCCCAGGGTTTTGTTCTTGGTGCTGATGCAGACATGTTGTGTTAGTTGGTGTCTATTGTAGATTAGAGGATGGCTTGAAGTTGTTTTCCAAATTTTAAAGTGGAGTAAATTTTTCCTTGAGTCTTTCGATTTTTTTCTGTGCGCTTTTGCTTTGACTTTGATTTGTAATTGCTGAACATTGAAAGGGACAAGCAGGTGGGAAGCCACGAAGTTGGAAATGTATACAGATAAAGGTAGGTCAACCGCATACTTCTTCTTTTCATCTCTGGCGCACTCACGATGTAAAAGTGCTGGAAATGTGGGTTGATCGACCCCACGTTGAAAGTAGCGGGGAACCGCCACAAACGGGAAAATGCAACTGCAGAGCTCTCTCCGCGCGAGTTAATCTATCACTTCGAAACCTCTAACACTTACAAGTTATCCCTCTGCCACGAGTCCTAAACTCTTTTGTTTTTGACCTGCAGATGATGGATCTGATGGTCCTCCTTGTCTTTGCTCCTCGGTTGAAACTAAATGATTACACAAAACCTCAACAGTTTGAACCCTTATAAAAATACAAACGATGTATCTTTTATGAAGTCTACTCTATACGCCTTATACATCTACAATAACGGCCCATAGCAAATATGCAAAAAGTGTAGTATATCCACCGACACACCACATGAATGTACTGATTTGGACACTCTTTGTATACCTGTCTAGTCATGGCAACGGCTCATTCGAACTGCTCAACCTGTTCAAGTGCAAGTACACATCGGTTCCGTAGCCCTCCATTGAAATCAACTTTAAATCACCGCCAAAGTATTGCGCATACAAGCGACTAATGGGCAAACCGTAACCAAACCCAGCCATTGGGGCTTTGAAGCTAGTTTGACTGTATTCTGGTTCTAATACGGGTGTTTCATCAACAGTTGTATACAAATATGTCCAAATCAACGGCAAGGACGAACGAGGGATACCACCACCTTCGTCAGATATTTTTATGGCGATATCTTCAGTACCTTCAGAAATGATGACTTTAATCGGTGGGTACTCCAAATCGTTGATGTCGACCTCATCCAACTTTGTTCCTGGATGCTCTTCAACATACTTTTGTTTCAACTTGGGTGTGTGGAACTCAATAGTAGCACGCAAGGAGTTTTTCAACGTTTCAAATAACATGTGGATCAAGTGGCCAGGGACATACATGAAATTAATATCTTGTTGGGGTGCAACCAACTGTATCTCTGGGGCCTCAAAAAGCCCGTAAAACTCTTCACAAATGTATTTAGCAGTTTCGATTGCATCTTCAGCAATCTCACTCACATTACAATCAGTGCAGATAACACCAACATAGTTTGACCTGCCCGGTTTCTTTGTTGAGCCTTCTGAGCCGTTGATTAACGTCAGTAGACGTTGCTTCGTTGGTGAATTCTGGGCCATGTTCAATGCTAAATGCTGGCCAATCAACATACGAATGCCAATTCTTGACATGTAGAATCGATCAAGAAAAGTTTGAATTTGCGAATTGACAAACACGGTTTTGTTTTTCGCCTTCCATTCCTGAACCCCTTGGGCCATGGTGGCCACAGTGGCATCATGTCTCTTTTTGATCTTTTCCAAAGCATCAAACACCGCCTTATTATATGCATAAACTTCTTTCGGCCATACAATGTTTGTAGGGCAGGGCAGGAAATAGGTCATGCCATACGTGGGAGATTCGCTTCGTATAGTTGTGTTTTCCTGGTCCTTTGACGGTACCCTCGTTTGGGAAATTGTAGGTAGCTTGCCTTGGTTCAGCTGATGGTGGTGATGGTGATGTCGGACTACTATGCCGTCATCGCTGAATACATTATTTATAGCTGGGTTATCATCTTGCACTTCGGATATTTTGTGTACCTCTTCTGTAATGTTTGGTTGGTCGTCGAGTTTGTCAACTTTGAATCCATTGTTGTTGCCGTTATTGCTATACAACAACTTTTTCAAATTCTCATCAATTGTGGGCTTCGGCAAGTCTGTCAACTCTTCGAAAGATTGAGCATACCAATTTTTGACCTTAATAGTTGACGGACTCTCGTTCAATCCCAATGGTGCATACTCCAAATCCTTGACCTTTTTAGCTAACCGTATCGGCAACTCCTCAACGATGAATTTGGAAGCGAGGAATATTGATCCTGGTGAAGGGGTAGGACCAAACTGGACCATCTGTCGTAATGATATAGGTGTTTGATTGTAGATGGCATAGTGGAATATTTTATCCTTTAAAGCCTTTGTTAACTCCCAACCTGTACCCATTTTGAAGTAATGTGTTATGAGATAAACAGGTGATTTCTCTAGTTTATCGATTAATGTTGCTTAATCCGCGATGAGTGGTTGTTCTTTATCGTGTGCCAAAATTCTCTTAGGTTTCCCCTTTTAAAATAAAAGTTGAACAACGAATTTTCGACAGTGGAGGAAAAAGTTACACAATATTTGTAAAAAAGAGGTAGTGTACTTTGGTTATGGAGTCATATGCTATATAATTGTCTGGGGAAAAGGTCCCCCAAGATTTCGGAACTTTTACACGACCAAAGTCAAAGACCACCTAAGTTTTAATGTACAAAGACTTTCTAAAATCCTATAGCAACTGATAGGAGACGGAACGAGTTGAAAACTGTATTCTTTGCAGCACGATTGATGGCGTAGTCCTCTCAATTTGTATCATTGGGATGAAATTTCAGTGAGAGGTTGAAATATGTTTTCAAAGGAGATCTTTGAATTGAGATTCGATTGGACTTTATTGCAACAATCCTTCTTAGATGTTTCGTGCCTTTCAGCTCACAAGTAGGGAGTTGTAAAATAGCAGAGGAATGCATAAATTGAGAGAGACTGCAAGGACTAGAAGATCGTACCACTTGTAAAACAATAGCTGTCATAAGCTTACTAGGCAAGATTGATAGATATATCACCGGGCCCTTTTGCGAAATCTAAACCAGAAGCTTAAAGGGAAGCAATTGAACCATTTCCGGGTCATCCATGGCAGACTATTCGCAGTGTTAGTGCGCTGAATAGCATTAAAGAGTCACATAAAACAAAAAAAGACAATAAATAGTGAGACAAAATTCTATTGGACAGAGACAAGAGATCAGACCACAAAACAAAGGAGCCACCAAAATGCATGTGCTTCATAGCTTTGTTAGGGATCCATACTTAGAACAACAGACTACATTGCAAATCATCCGTTTCGGAGTTGACCACAAGAAAGAAGTGGTTATGGAGTGAACTGTAAATGTGTCAGGACCAATGGAAGTACACTTTTTGTATAAGTAGAAACTTTCTTCTAAACGCATGTGAGAGAAAAAATTATCAAACCAAATACTTAGGAAGAACGGAAGATTTGATTTGATTTAGGTACAGTGGTAGCGCCAGACAAGGAAAAGAAGAAGCTGGACAAACGGGTAAAAAAAAGGTGGCATGACTTAAAAGGTATTCTCTGCAAAGGCTATGTAGCAAGGCTGTGAAGACTATTTTTTTACAGCCACTTTGTTTGAATACTCCAAAGTGCAATTACTGTTATGTAAGAAAGAGAGGCAGTTCTAAATTCTATCTCAGTGTTGATTTGGTATTAGAAGACCTCGGGGATTATCGTGCGAATGTATTTTGCTGTTGATACGGATAACCGGGGGAAAAATATATTTTTTTAAGCTCGGTTTAATTACGATAATAGAATATCACACAAAAATGTACTCCTGTTAGTCATTGAAAATGAGTCAACTCTATATAAATACTGCATATAAATGACGATTGCGTAATTCACAGAAAGACAAAAACCTGGAGAAACGGAAACAGACTGAAGAAAATTAATCTTATTTTCAAATATAAATACTGAATCATATTTCCAAAAGTTTTGGATATTCAGTTCTCCTTCTCATCATCCTTTAATATATTAAGTTCATACCCTTTTTCGATTTACTACTAATACTACTACACACACTACAATTACAATGCCAGCATTTTTAAGAATTTCAAGTATCCCAACTGCTGCCAGGCACTGGATGCCAGTTGCAAAACCACAATTGACGCAACTTACATTAAAACAGTTTTACTCATCTAGAGTAAGATTTGTAAACTATAACAACATAAATGAAATATCTTTGGTTTCAAATGATGATATAATAAATGCTACCTCAACCAGCGCCAACAACAAAGAAGATGGTGAGGTTTTCGAACCCACAGTATATTCTTCAGAAGACATACACACAGCTGGTCCTGTAAACAGAGCTTAAGAATCAAGTTTCTGTTTTTGTGCTGATGATTTTAATGATTTAACGACTCGTTCATAGCCTTTTTTGAATAAATATTCTAAATGTTGTATTTACCACATGTAGTGTAAGTGATATAATTGTGTCGAGTTGCGTTTAAGTCCAAGGTTAATATAATGACATGCTCTGTTTACAATGCACACAGATTTGGCTTTAAGCTTTGATAAGCTCTCTTCACAGCTGAGATCGCTGGGCAACTACGTAAAAGAAGATTTGAAGATAGCAAACGTTTTGTTATCTGATACATTTTTTGGTGACGATTTGGTAAGAAAGCGGAGAACAGTTTAGTTGCAATCGTCCACCCCCCTCTCGATTACGGCACACGTTCAATTATAGAGAGGAGAAAATCTAAGAAGCATTTTCAACCTGCAGCAGTGTTTATCAGTTGTGGTACTGTCAAACTTTAAGAAGTAAAAGCTCCGGGAAGAGGAGAAGAAAGGGTAGCGCCTCCAAATTGTCGTCAAATTCAACAGGCCCCGCGCACACACAACGCCACAGCTCTAGCGCATCATCATATCCTACAATGAAGGTAGCTGTCGGCCAATTATGCTCGTCCTCAAACATCACCAAGAACTTAGGCATAGTGTACAAGATCCTTAACCTTGCTGTACAGAACAATGTTCGCATTCTTTTCCTACCAGAAGCCACCGACTACTTGTCTCAAAATGCGAAGCACTCGCTCCAATTGTCACAGCAAGTGAAGTCGACGTTTCTCACTCCACTACTTGACCACATAAGAACCCTAAACAAAGCCACATATTTGTCAATTGGTATTCATTTGCCTAATTCAACCACCTCGAAAGTCGAAAATGTCCACTTGTTGATTGACCCAACGGGAAAAATCGTATCGCAGTACCAGAAATTACACTTGTTTGATGTCGACGTGCCCAACGGACCCATACTTAAAGAGTCGAACTCAGTTGAACAAGGCACTGAAGTAACACCGCCAACACCAATTGACCAAGTAGCCAGTGTCGGTCTTTCCATTTGCTACGATATCCGATTCCCCGAGCTTAGTTTGAAACTTCGCCAACTTGGTGCTAATATTCTTACCTTCCCCAGTGCCTTCACTACTAAAACAGGAGATGCCCACTGGGAAGTGTTGAGCAAAGCCCGTGCTTTGGACTCACAAAGCTTTGTCGTCAACGCAGCTCAATGCGGACACCACGACGTTGGCACGAGCGACAAGGGCAATGTCGTGGAACGGATTAGTTATGGCGACTCCATCATTGTTGATCCTTGGGGCACGGTATTGACCAGAGCAAAGAAATTCGATGACAAAGACTTGGCTGTTGACAGTGACGGCGATTACTATGAAGTGATTTATGCTGATCTCAACTTTGACCACTTACAAAAGGTGAGAACCAACATGCCATTGCTAGATCAAAGAAGAGCAGATGTGTTTGGAGAGTTGTAGCAATAGAAAGCTCCTGTACATTTTTTCTCTCTATATACCTCTAATGGTTCACCATGCCTAAAAAATTCTGAATATCATTCACGTCAATCTTGTCCTTCAAATACTCAATCCCCTGATCAATGGTGTCACTTCCAATATTCTCCCTCAAGTAATCGAGCCCCTCATCGAGGATTGGGTTGCCGGTTTTTAACCCACCCTTTGCGGCTCCTTCAGCAGCTCGCCAGTATTCTTGATAGCTTTGCTCCTGATCTTTAGCAAATGCTCCCATTGCTCCCTTGCCAATTCTATAAAACATCGAAGCAAAGCTTTGAATGTGGGGAATGTCAGAGTTGTAAAATGTGTCCCAGCCTCGAACAGATATGCCATACGCCACAACAATGAACGTCACGACTAGTATCAGCTTTAAAAGACTAATTGTAAACCTGATCCATGCTTTGGCTGACTTGACAAGTATTGAGTAAGCTATGTATGCAGCAATTATTGTAAAGACAATGTTTGTATACTCTGGGTATCTCTCATGAGCAGCAACAGCCAAGCCTATAGCAGTTGCAAGGACTCGCTGAAGGATGGATATGGCAAATGCAAAAATATCGGCTACCTCCATAACTCTGTAACTCTTTTGGTGGATATCTGTTGTGCTGTTTAAGAGTGAATTTCAAAAAAATGCAAAAGAATTTGATTGTTTACGTGGAGAAAACTGACACATCCATGCACACATAGTCAACACCGAGTCCCAGCTGAGATCTACTTTTTATCCATCAGTGAAATTTTTTTTTTTTCAACCTCTTTTTCACTTCTTCTTTTTCCTTCTTTAGAAAGTTGTACTCCGAAAAATTTGGCAATACGTACAGTTATTGGTATGGCTGGTGGATTCGGAGCTGTTTCGTCTTTGATTTGGCACTTATGTTCAGTGATAAGAGCTCAATTCTTGCCATAAGGTCGTCATTCTCGCCTATTAAGTTAGGGAGATAAAATTTTGATCTTGAGATTGAGTCAGAGCTGTTTTGAATCTAGTTAGTCCATGCTGTTGGCTTATTGTTGATTACATTTCGGTTAGATCAAAAGTGGTTAAAAAGAATATTCAAAGGGTTGGAAACTTTTGAGTATCCCGTTATATCACTACATTTTGAAGTGGGCTTTGTAGAGAGTTCAGTGCGACTGTGTAATCGAATGAGTGTGACAGTTCTGCGCTAAATAAATTAAACTATGCTACTCTTTTTCTCTATCTCTTTCTGTTGCTTTTAACTTTTTTTGAAGGGAGCTCGCAGATACGCCAATTGATTGTATTACTCTTTTGATGTGTCAGGTTTTCAGAAAAAAATAAAAATAGAAAAATAAAACAACACTTCTGGGCGCATTTATCAAAGGAACAAAAAAAGAAAAAAATTCGATTGTGAAATAGCAAAGGTCGAGTTTAAACACATTCTTTATTGTGTGGCGCTTTGTACATAACTTCATTGAACAATCAAGGACCGGCTACACACTACTGTACCCTCCCCCCCCCTTTACCGCTAAAGAACAGAACTGTAACAAATCACAGAAATGTTTAGAAAGAAACCGGCTCAGGTTACATTGGAAGAGCTAGAACAAACATACAATGATTGTTGCAGCGAAACGATAAAGAATCTAACATTGGAAGAGGAAAATAATGTTGACGAGGCATTGAAAGGATGGAAAAGTCTACATACAACTTTGCTTTACAAGTTGGATCTATTCGACAAGTATAGTGCCAAGTTGGAGCCGCAGGAAAAGACAATATTAGACAGCCTAAAGAGTATACGTGACGAAAATGTCAAGCATTTGATAAGGGTGCAGCTCAGGCTAGATGAAAAGAACAGAAGGTTGAAACGCGAGGCAAGTGGAGCACCACCACCGCCACCTTCAAGACACACTAGGGATAAAACAGTTCCTTCATTGAGGATTAACCTGTCCTCGAGTTCTTTTGGAAGTTCGTCGTCACCTTCGCTGAGGCCAATGATGAAGTCGTTGCGTCCACATCCCAATGGAGGATCAAGTAAGGCTCCAAGCACCAGATTAGCCAACGAATCTGTCCAGCAAGCTTCTCAAGCAGCATCAAAGTCTTGGCAAAAGCCACCCAAGTATAAATTTGAAATGTCATCTGCACCAAAAGTTGAAATTTCAAGCTACTTTGCCGATTTTGACCAAGATACATACACCACGAAAGGTGGTGACAACTGGGAAAAAGTTGACTCATCCAGATCGTCATCAGGATTATCAGAAAAGTCTGACGAACCCAATTTAATAGATATGGATGATGGTACTGACTCAAAGAATATATACCGGTCCATGGATGATTTAACAATAAAAATGGTTTCCGATAGTCCTCCAAAAGGTTCGCAAACAAAGATTCAAAAAGGTGCATCCCCAGTCGAACATATTTCAAAAAGCACTACCGATGTTCGTCCCAAGGCCAAAGGACCCTACGTTTACAACAAACCTAAACCACTCAATTTACACAAGTTGATGCAGCAGCTGAAGAAACCGACTCCAGTGCCCACACCTGCCAGCAAGCCGAAATCGACAATTACCTACAATTACGTTAAACCCAAAACCACCCAGGTCAAAACCAGACCAGCAGCAACTAATGGATCAGCTAATGGCGCAACCAAGAAAGCTACACCCAAGAAACCAGAGCCTGAAGAGGAGAAGGAATCGATAAATAGTCCAACTATGGATGATTTATTAAGTGGTTACGACGGAGATAAATTTGAACCGTCAGATCCAGTATATGCATTGACGACGGAGAAGGAACAGGATGCTTTGATTGCTTCGGTTCGTGGTATTGACCCACTTGCAGCTAAAAACATTTTGAATGATGTTGTTGTACGTGGTGACGAGGTTTACTGGGACGATATAGTTGGATTGGAAGGCGCCAAAAGCTCATTAAAGGAAGCTGTGGTATATCCGTTTTTGCGTCCCGATTTGTTTAAAGGATTGAGAGAACCAACAAGGGGGATGTTGCTTTTTGGTCCCCCGGGAACCGGGAAAACAATGTTGGCGAGAGCTGTTGCCACGGAATCGCAGTCTACATTTTTCAGCATCAGCTCTTCTTCATTAACGTCAAAATATTTGGGTGAGTCAGAGAAACTAGTCAAGGCGTTATTCTTATTGGCACGCAAGTTAGCACCCTCGATTGTGTTTATGGATGAGATCGATTCGATCTTGTCTTCAAGGTCAGAAGGTGAAAATGAGAGTACAAGACGTATCAAGAATGAATTTCTTGTGCAATGGTCAGAACTTTCTAGTGCTGCTGCTGGCCGTGAGTCAAATGAAGACGTGTCACGCGTCCTTATTCTCGGAGCCACCAACTTGCCATGGTCTATTGATGAAGCAGCCAGGAGAAGATTTGTGCGTCGACAATATATCCCGTTGCCTGAACCTGAGGCGAGAAAGTTTCAAATTATGAAGTTATTGCAATATCAAAAGCATACCTTATCAGATGAGGATTACGACAAGTTGATTGAATTGACTGATGGATTTAGTGGTAGTGATATAACAGCACTAGCCAAGGACTCTGCCATGGGCCCCTTGAGATCTTTAGGAGATAAGTTATTGCTGACTCCTACTGATCAAATTAGACCTATTAGTTTGGAGGATTTCGAAAACAGTTTAAAGTATATTCGACCTAGTGTATCGAAGGAAGGGCTTCAAGAGTACGAGGATTGGGCAACAAAGTTTGGATCAAGTGGGGCATAATATCTATCGAACATGAAGGTGAGATCGAAATTTGTTTTCAAAGACTCAAAAGACGTCCTTACACAGGGATGTACAAGGGGATTATCATGCATTGTATGTAGTTGGTCCATTACTGTGTTGATATTTATTGGTATAGCTGCATGTAGATTAACTTATAATATAATGGATACGCATATGACGGGATATATACTGATTCATTGTTGGCTGGCGCTATAGCAATGACTGGGTTATGCGTTAGTTGCTCATTGAACACTGCATCAAAGATGTGATATCAATGCTCATGTTCGATAGGATATTACATACATCAGCAACTGTTTTGATGCTGAGTTAATGGACCTAGAATGGAAGAGTGGAAAATTTTCTCATCGTCTAGCACTTGCGTGCACATTACAGGCTAGACCATCCCATCCTGAAGTAAAAATCACAACGACAAGGGAAGGAGTTTCCAAGAGTTAAAGACAGCTGCAAAATTTCATTTTTTGGGGATCAAAAGTGCATCAAAGTTCTAGATTTGCCTTGAACCATCTTGGAACTGAAGGGCTTAGACAGTGCGTTGCCTGAATTTCTTTTCATTTGTGGAAAAACTCGTCAGGCCAAACCGGGCGACAATACTATAATGTAATTCGGCTTAAAAGTGTATGACAATATAATAGGATGATTAAACTGTGATTCTACTTATTCTTTTCATTGTTTCAATTTAAAGTATGGTAAACAATAAGGCACATAATTAATAAACATTCCATTTTGGTTTGTTTTCATTATTTTTTTTCGCAAACTACTAACAAGAGGGTTCGTAACCAATTGTATAGTATAGTATTGTTTATCAATGGGTGTCAACATTTTGTTCCTTTTTTTCTTTTTATTTCTTTTGTTGTTTTGCCTCTTGTTCTAGAACATACTTTGCGTTCCATGTTTGTCAAAGTTTTGACCCATTGCGTCGCTTTATTTCGTTAGCTTTCAAGCTACAGATGGCGGTGGCTGGCATAGATAGATGATAATAAGCTTTTCGGCTTGGAGGTTCCTGAGATCAATCTTGACTTTCAAAGAAGAGCGTACTCAACGCTCATTGCTTATATGACGTTTCAAACCATGTTACATGTTGCTTTCTCTCCAGAACAATGTAACATGTACGGAATTTGTTTTCTAAAGGGTTATCTAAATTCCATGCCTAAGAAAACTAAAAGCTAAGTACGGTTATGATAAATGATTATCATCAACATTCTCCCCTGATTCAAGAAAAAATATTACACCAGGTGGCAACAACAAGGGGTCATAAAATTGTGAAACTGCAATGCATATTTTGAGCAATCAAAAGTGATTAGAGGAAGTGAAACGTGCATATGGCTGGCGATTGTTGGACCGTCTCTTCAATCATCCATCATCAAAACCCATTTTTGTTGATTTGAGTTGATCTTTTTGGATTGGTTATAGTGCAGGCGATGAGTAGAGGAGTTTTTGTCTGAATAGAAGGCTTGCTGAGGCAAGAGGTAACATCGTGTAGAGGCTGTAGATTTTAGTTACGGCAACCACAGGAACCCCTCTTGTCAATCTAGAAGCAAAAGAATTTCAAAGGCGTGACTTTAATTCCGTTTTGTGTCAACCAACGGATTTAGGATAAATTTAAAATTGACAAAGGCTCTAGAAAAAAACATCGTCGCAAGATTTACTTGTTAGAATGTACCTAGATTAAGTAAGTAAATAAATTAAAACCATTGCTTTTAGTAACTAATATACTTTAATATACTGTGCATACGTGATAGAAACAATATTAGTTTATGACTCTGAAGTATATTATTGTGTGTTTCAATCTCTTTTGAGTTATACTATTCACTAGTTGATTTTTTTTTGTTTGTTTCGTTTGTTTCGTTTGTTCGTTCGTTCGTTCGTTCGTTCGTTCGTTTAGTTTGTGTAATTTGATTCTTAGTTTGTGTGTGCATATGAAGAAAACCGACAGAAGAAAAAATAAAAATAAAAATAAAAAATAAAAAAATAAAAAAATAAAAAAATAAAAAAATAAAATTAAAAAATAAAATTAAAAATTTAAATCATAGAAATTATTTTTATTTTTATATTTTTATATTTTTATTATATTTATTACTTTGTTACCCTAAATATTTTTAAATTCATAAAAAGGCGAGATTTTAGATACATTTGTATATATAAGTAACTAATTGCAAGATAATTTACAAAAACTTCAAAACAAAGGGATGGGTTTTTGGGTTTCTTGTATTCATTATCAAAAATTGTTTTATTTACATAACTAGACCCTCAACAAGCACTGGTAACTGTTACTAAATACGAGTTAACGTCGTTCATTATTCGCTGTCACTACATTTCAACTGCAGCTGAAGTTTCAAGATCCTATAATAGTGTTTCTACAATTATTCACTCCTTTTTTGCAATCCATACCAAATTACGGTGAATGGAAATTAGTTTTCCAATTCAAGAATAGCAAAACCATTATCTACATTCGTTGACAATTTGAAAATCACCCTTTTCACCGACATTCTTTTGTGTTCATAATACCACTACTCGTGTTCTTTAGTTAAGAAAATAACCTCAATATCGTCCACAGGGTCCACACTATTTGAGGCAAAAAAACAATCAACAAAGTTCATTCCAACTTTCCAAAAAAAACAACAAAAAACAAACCATCCATATCCGTAAGCAAGTGTGTTGCAGAAAATCAAATTTTAATCGATAAAGACTATGATAACCTTGATGGGGAGTAAAGATATTTTCAAACCTTCGACATTTCCTAAAAAGAAGCGGAAACACGAACAGAATGAAGTAGTCGCCACTCCACGAAGTGTGAAGTACAAACCGTCAATTGAATCATTTAATTTATTGACAAGACCAAGAAATGAAGGAAGAGGAAAAGGTGATTATCATAGTGAGACCGATACATCATTTGAAGCATCTCCAAATGCCAAAGAGTCTGACAGCAAACTAAATGATTCATTTATATCCCAAAGTTCTCGAACGAGAGACATGAAACTGGCTGAAGAAGAAGCAGAGCTGCCATCAGCTGTACCTCCCAGCTTGAGTACGCCATTTATGTCGAGATCAAATCAGCTGCCAACACTACCACATATAAATATAGGTCAAAACCTAACTCTCCCCTCAAGACACGTTAATGAATCATTACAAATCCACTCAGTACAACCCTACCGAGAAGTTATGGGGCCACAAGCTTTGCTGCAACATTTGCCTGAACCACGCTTTGCGCCTTTGCAGCCACTACATGATCAGAATACCGCCCCTCTTCCGAACTATCCACACCGGCAACAAGAGTCACAATATTACCACCCAACTACGCAACAACAACAACGGCAGCAACAGGGTCACCATCCATTCCAATTAGTACACCAGCCACAAACTGGATCATACACCCCGTCCCTTATGCAACAACAACAACAGGCGCCTGCCATGTACCCTTATAATGATGACTATTTTCCGTCTTATCAACAGCCGCCGCAAATAATACAGCAACAATCGCAATTTGTTCCCATGCATGTGGCCAACTATTACCAACAGCCAATCCCATCTCAGTCTCTGGCGCCTCATCCACATCCAATATACTATAACGTAGTACCGTACTCAGTAGCTGCCGATCCATACTTTGGTCTACATGGTGGTATACCGCGCAAATCGCGACAATCATCTACATGGTCAGCTGAAGAAGATAAGTTATTACGCGAACTAAAAGAAGTGCAAAAGCTAGGATGGAGAGAAATATCAACTTTTTTCCATGAACGTACACCCAATGCTTGTCAATTCAGATGGCGCAGAATTATTAGTAATCTTGACAGTAGTTCAAAAGGAGGAACCAATGCTGAAGCGTCTGATAAGGAAAAGGATCTGAATGTTTCTTCATCTGCTGAAGTGGCCTCGCAAATACATCAAGGTCGTAAAGAGAATCTTATACAAGGAAGAACTACGTTTGATAAGGCCACGTCAAGTAAAAAGGAACAAAGCCATATAAACAAAATAGACTTTTTACTAAATTAAGATACCCACATAACAATGTAGCAGAAACCATTTTCATTTGAATAATCTATATCCAAGAAAGAGAAACACAAACGGGCAAAGTGAATAGGACTTGCTCGCTCTTTTCATAATAATACCAATTAAATTCCAGAATCTTCTTTGAAATATTAAAACTCTCCTTATAAAGATTAATGACCATCGTCTAGTACTTTTGATGTCCATCATCGAAAGCAGAGATGCTGCTGCTACTACAGATTATGCTCTAATCATGGTTCGATTTTTTCTTTTTTAGTCCACCAGCTCGTCTTTTTATCTTTAGTTAAGAGAAAACCACTTAGACTGTCGAAGGGCTCAAAACCCTTTTTTTTTGAAATTCTTTTTTAGTTGGCTACAATTTATTATTATTTTTGCAAAGTAAGGTACATCAGAAACTGTAAAAAGTAAACATTGCACAAACCTGCTTTTTTACTATTTTTCTATTTTTCTATTTTTTTTATTTGTTTTTGACAACTCAATAAACGAAAGAACAAACGAACAAAAGAATAAAAAACAATAAAAATAAAAATAAAAATAAGAGTTAATTTTTTTTAATTTTCTTATTTTATTGTTTTTTATTCTTTTCTTGGTCATCCATGCACGCAAAAACAACTACTTCTGCTACTTCACAAGACAGAGGCGGCAATTTGATTTTATTCAACTCCGAAGCGAAATACCCCTCTCTTTGTTATGTACCAATTAGTTAGCTAGTTTCTCGGTGGATAAAGAAGACTTGCTTATACTTGGCGTGTCACCCACTTATATTGCTGTCTCCTTCCTTGATAGGTGCCTTGTTTTTTTTTTTTTCTCATTTTTATTCTTGGAAAGTTGATTAGGGTTAGGGTCGGGTGCAGATGTGTCTCGGTAAAGCACCAAAGAAATAGCAAAAATAATAGGCGGAGCTATTCCTTCAAAAGACAGGCAGTAAAACAAGTACATAAAGAAGGCAATGAAATGAATTTGTTAATCAGAAACCTGTTGTTTGTAACTCTGACAGAAGCATATGCTGAAAGTTTCATTTCCTTTTGTTCCAGACCCTTTTTGTATTGTGTATGCATAAAGTAAAAATCTAGGCACTCATGCATCTTTTTCATTACGAGAGGCATAACTTTGGCTGCGGGTTACTCGCCAAAATGTGAAGCAACGTTTGCCAATTAAATCATAATATGCGTATAAGAATGAAAACGTGCTTGGTTTGGTTTCGAACCAAAAGGGCATCGGTTGTCTATTAGTCTGTAAAGTCTAAGATCTATTATTAGTGTGTAATAGTTATCTGTGTTAGGAATATTAGTATTTCCAATTACAATGGTCTCATTTTTTTAGAGTGTTGTTTTTAGCATTGTACTTGTACTCCGCCGTCTAAAACTTAAAAACAATCGCAGACAATTAACTAAGAGACTTTTTGAGTCTGTTTAGCTGGTTTAAGAAAGAAATACAGTGTCACTTTTGTGGTGTGTATATAGCAAAGAAGGCTGATCAAAAATGAAATTCTCAAAGATACGGTCGAAAGGCAATGGGCTTACTAAATAGCTCTTTTGTTGCTCCAGAGTACGACTAATACATTCAGGTAGTCAATTGGGTGGGTACTGAGATAAAAGTGCACTTTGCAGTTTAATACAATGCAATGCTGACTTGTCTCAATCTCCTGATTTCAATATCATTGCTTCTGGTGCTCGTCAAAAAAAAAGAAGAAAATTTGTCTGTCAATCCGCTCTTCACTCCTGGATAAGCTAGGTTTAGCCTAGCATAGCATAGCTGGGGGTGGTAGAGTTAGAATGTGCATAAACACACAAAGGGTGTCTTATTTGACAAACTGTCATTAGTGTTTGAAATTTTGTTTTGTATTTTTTCTCTGGTGTTTCAAAAGAGAATGCTCAAAAATCAACTTGCAAAAAAGAAAAAAAAATATAAAGATTAAATTAAAAATGGTAAAACACAAAAGCCCTGTTCAGGCAAAAATCGTTTTATACTTTTTCTTTCTACTATTTAGCCTAACTTAACAAATGTATAATGTACTGAATCACCTCGTCGTTTAGGCAAAAACACTCTTAACTGTTGTTTTATTATATGTTTTTTATTAACTTATATTGTTTTCTTTTTTTTTTTTTGCTTACACAATTAAAGTTTGCCCCAGCTTAGAAGAAGTTATTGTTTTAATTTCTTCTTTATACTTAGGAAAATTGTAATTCCACTGAAGATCAAAAGTGAGAACTGGGAATGTAGCTGGTTGGCTCAATTGAGTGGCAAAATGAAATATGTGAAACGCAAGAGGGAATGTAGCTGGCTCACTTGGATTACCTATGAAATAGTGTGCATCTCCTAAATCGAAAAAAATTGCATCTGTTCGTAAACGGTTGGCTATGTGAGTATTTTCTTTCTCTATAACCAGTTACCTATTTAAAATGGTCCAATAATTTGCTTACTGCAGCAGCTAAAGCCAAAAAAAAGAAAAGGGGCCAACTTTAATGAGAGGAAATAAATGAATAGTGCCATGATGGGGTTGGCAGATCCTAGTAGACCCTGAACTAAAAGCTTTGTGGTTTAGACTTTGCATGTAAAGTAAACAATCACTGCATGATGCACGAAAGGATATGAATTGTGGACCGATATTTTTATTCAAAAACATGTGGACAAGTTAAGCATTTCCTACATTATAGCTTAACGCACTACGTCAATAGGTATGTAGAGCCTTTGAATTCAGAAAATCCATTGTTCTCTACCCTGACCCACCCCACACGACGTTATATATCAACGTTGGTTGTCAAGTACTGTTTTGTTTGTTAGGGTTAGAAACCAAAAGATGTTAGGGTTAGAAACCGGACAAAAAAAAGCAAAGACGTAGTGTGGCACTTTTGTGCAATCCTTTTATCATTTTCTTTTGCAATTATAACTAATACCCAATTAAAGCACACGTTGTTCTAAAAACTTTGGATTCAGACAGTTTCTACGCAAGAATTGAAAATTGTTAAAGTTAAGTTCCTCCTCCACAGCTCAGAGGTCCGTTCTTTCTGTTTTTGCTATTAAGTGCTGCAAAGAATACAATGGCTACAATTGCATTAACCTTTTAAAAGGCTCCATTGCATTCAGCTTAGACAAGACCGCCTTTTCAGCAATGTACGAATAACTCTCTCTCTCACTGAGTCTTAGAATAAGGTACATGAGATGGACGAAGAGTGAGGTTTAACAGAGAGAAGTACAACTCGACAAGGACTAAAGCGTGAGCTACAAGGAATCCTTATAAACATGCATTTTACCAACTAAGGTATATAGGAGCCTATTCTTGGTTTCTTCATATTTGAGCTTGTCAACTACATTTCCAGAAGCAGGATGAATGATTCCAATGTCAGGATTCATCATTTTGGCTATTAATAGGGGTTTTCATTTCAACTGTATATGTTTACCAAGCTCAAATATGTATCAGGATTCATATTTCAAATGACCCATTAATTATCTCCAATACCTCTAATCACCTCTCTTCCATTTTCTAAAATCCTTGGTCACTCTTTTTGGCATACAATAAACAGGATCAATCTCATCAAGCCCAAATTTACCATAATCAATCAAACTCAAACCAGTGATCCCAAAACACGTGTGATATATATCAGTTTGATTATCAGGACGATCACTGATCCCCCCTTCAATAGGATCCTGACAACTCAATATAAACGCCTCCAATTTCTCCAAATCGACCCAGTGTGCCTTCCCTAGGATCGACAATGTCGACAAGACCCACCAACTATAACACACATCAGGAAGCTTCTCGGGTCGTCCATTGAACCCACCCGAGGGTAAAACTTGACGTTCACTTAACCAACTACATATTTTTTCGTCCAATCCATCATCAACGAGTACATCGAGTTTGTTCATTATGGCAAGGGCACCAACACATACAAATGCTTGCGCCGCGTGTGACTCTGACCCAGGAACTAAGCCAAATCCACCGTCGAAATTCAAACATTGCATGATAAAATTGATGGCAGGTTCGGCAACGTCCATTGTCAATTCATCCAACAATGACAATGCCGAAATTGCTGTATAGGCAAATCTAGTATCTACTTCGCCAAATCTGTCCCCCTGGAAACTACCATTGGACAACTGCAACCCCTTGACAAATTGGACAAGTCGCAGTTTCTGATCCTGTGTCAACATGGATAAGTTGGCATCATATATTTTCAAGATTTGAAGTGCTGACAATGTTGAAAGTATATGGGCATCATGTTTTGGAAATGAGCCAAATGCACCAAACCTATCATCCCAACAACTCAATACATATTTGATCACGTCTTGTTGTGGGAGCGTTGTATCATTGAGGCTTTTCATGGTGATCAATGCTGTTACCCCCCAGTATAATCCATTCATGCGTAGGTGCTCACTTAGCCAGTATTCGTAAGAGCGGTTAGACTCCTGATCTATTATAAATTTGATGTGCTTTTCCTTGCATAATGCATGATATGGGGTTGACGATGCCATGGTGGCTGTAGAGAATCAATTGGGTTGCATTGTTTGGTGGCTCGCACTTTACAAAACGCGATATGTACTGTTTTCTTAATTTTACCTATACGCTACCAAAAGGTTTTCAATGTGTTTTACAGTCGACTTAAAAGTATAAATCCTTAAACTCAAACTTTTTCGATGCTGGCCAATACTCCAAATAATTCAATTTTCTACTCCCTTCATTCATAGCCAGAGTCAAATTGACCACCCTGCACCCTTGGTAAACCACCTCAAAATTATCAAAGCTACTATCATTCAACACAATGGCATTGGGCAAAGGTTCAATTCTCAAGCAATGCTGGAATTGGGTATTGACAACTTTCAAATCCTTCTTGAATGGCTGCAAAGTTCCTTGATCAAGTAAAGTCTTGATCAATTTCCTCGCTTGTCTAGTCCTGTTTGGAATGCGTTCATCTTTACTCTGAACCAATCTGTCAATTCTCTCCTTATCGTTCAACTCATCGATATCATCTTCATTGTTTGCCTCAACATCCAATGGGAACATCAAGTCATTTCTTTTGAACTTACTCATTAGTTTATCTTTCATAATAACCAATTCTTGCGATAGGTAGCTCAATCTCGTTGGGTTCCATGCCAAAATCAAGTTTCCTCGAGGCAATAGCTTTTCCAACCTATTGACAAACAACCTAGGAATTGAAGCTTGAGGAAATGTGTTTATGCACGACGAGCCGAGGGAATATGTAGACTGCCAAGGATCGTTATCTCCCGGAATAAGAACTATCTTGCAACGTTGCACAATGTTGGGATACTCGCTTAATATCTTTGTAAATTGGTCAAAGTTGCCCTTGTATAACTCAGAATTGGACAAATTAGCATCTGACGTAGAACCTGACGAAGTCAAGGGGCGTGATGTGAAGGATCCAGTAAATACCAACGCCAAAGGGATATAAGCTTGCGTTTCCTCTGAGTCCAAAGCTTCAACAATCGCATTTTCCAATCGATGGAAAAACTTTTGCATGGCTTGTAAAGTTTTATTAGAATCAAGGTACAAATCACACCCCATCATGATAATTCTGTGGTTTTGTAATGACTTTTCCAATTGCACTAATTTCTTTCGAAATGTCTTGGGAATCTTTATGGCTCTATCGCCACTAGGCACCATGTGTTTGTGTATACCCAAAAAATCGACATGTCCATACACATCCAAACTCCTGTCTCTTCTCTCAGCTGGCGGTTGTGCTATGTTACTAACATAAAAGCAACCGCCGATGTAGTCCTGTTTTTGATTCAAATTACCACCGGAAGCCGAGTAGATACCTTCTACCAATACAAACATTCCGATACAGTAAAAAGATCCCTGATTTTTCATAGCTTGATTCAAGTTCAATTCAATGTAACCAGTAGCATCCTCCAAAATATACTCATCAGTCGAGTTCTTTGACAATAGCCCAAATAAAAGAAACTTTTGCCCATCACGGCCAAGCATATTTTTGATTAATGTGATTTCATTGTTTTTGCTGATTCCGTCAATAGTGAGCGAATTCAAATTTGAGATACTTGTCATTGACGCCTTTTGAAAGTTTTCATTTCTCGACAACCGATCCATAATTAGGAAATAGTGATTGTTTCGCGACTCAGTTAGTGCTTTGGTATTGAGGCTCAACTTGGACAAAAGAGGTAACCTCTCCTTCGTTAAGTATACGTCAAAATGTTTTCGACTCTTGTCAAATATACTGCGTGGTTGATTTAGCGGAGAAACAAATTGGAAATAGTCTTCCCACTGCAACTGTACATCCTCCTCAACGACCTCATCTACTATGGTATTTGTTCTCCCCGCCTTTTGCATTTGCACAACGTCATTCTTCCTTTGTATCTCCTTCAACACTGCTTTCAATCCATTACCATCAATGAATATCCCCCTATCTTCTAACTTCCAGAACTTAGCTATCTCCTCTAAAAATTGTTGCGACTGCGGACTCTTCCAATCGAAACCAAACTTTAGACTGATAGTGTCTGTCAATATTGACAACGCTTCTGTATTCACATTCAACCCATGTTTTTTAGTCAAAGTCCTAAACACAATAGGTCTGAGATTTGAAGGCTGTAGCTTTATTGGCAACGCAGTAGTGGTGTTTGCTGTGGTTAGCTCTACCATTGGTGTTTGGAACAAGACTACAGGAATAATTGAAGATAGAAATAAAAAAAGACGCGTCTTTAAAACAATAATACCCGCTACCATTTAAATAATACTATTACATTTTACTTGCACAAAAACACTCTAGAAAATTTCCAGCTTCACTCTCAAATAGATGTCGTTAATATTAGCATCACTGTCTTTAAACTCCAGCAATACGATGCAGTCATTTATGAGCTCCTTTACTGAACACAATCGGTAGCTTAATTCATTTAATTTCTTCAACGTTAAATACTCGGATAAAATTCGCGATGGATTCGATTCATTGTCAAGTTCTAATTGTTGGATAGTGTCTTCCGATTTGTTCGATGCATCAGTCAAGAATTTATGTGCTACTTCGTAGTACCTTTCACAATCACCAAGTCCACTAAACTGAAATGATTTTGTCATTTTTTCTAACGCTCTCAAGTTTTCTTCGATATTAGTATCGGTTTTCAAAAACTGTTGAGGCTTTGGCGACGGAGATTCGACTTGTTTTCGTAATTTTTCAATCTTTTGTTCGATACGTGACGACTTTATGAAGTAATCGTTCACCTCTTCTGCCGGAAGCTTAGCGGCGCGGAATCGATCTCTTAATGACATTTCCACTTGTATCTCGCGATTCTTCCGCACTTGCAAGTCAAGTTCTTGTCCCGCTTGTTTAAGCTCAAACCCTGTATCGAAAAGCCTCTCGTCCAACTCTCTAATCCTTTTATGAAGTGTCGAATTTTCATCTTTAAGCTGGCGCACTTCTTCCTCATGAATCAGTTTCAATTGTGTCAACTCCTTTTCATTAGACTTCCGTAGTCTTAACACCTCTGCTTCATGTGCAGCTTTAAGTTGAGTGATTTCTTCAGTATGTTTGCGCTCACTATTGACTCGCAATTGATCAGCTTCGACAGTTTTATTGAACAAGTCATTTTCAATCTCGTCCAATTTTGCCGTAAAAGTATCATGAACTCTGCTCAACTCGGATTTTAGCTTTTTATTTTCCAACTGGATATCCTCCAATAGCAGTAAAACCTTCTTGTGTTCTCTTTCCAAAGATCGGAAGTTTTCCAATGCCAATAATCGCTCCTTCTCTCTTGCCCGCGTCACCACCTCATCTACCTCATCAAAGTCGTCACGCCCAATATCGTCACTAAAGCTTACTCTTTTCCCCCGATGATTGTCAAGGTAGTCGGAGTTCAGCGAATCCTTGGCCCCATCATAGTCATTGTGCTCGTTCGAGGTGAAATAGTGGACGATTCTCGATAGGAATCCATTACTGTGGGGCGTTTCAGTAGCTGGCTTTGTGACTTTGTATTTGTCTCTGGTGTAAGGTGAAGAATCGGCAAACCTTCTACTAATTTCATTTCTTGATCTTCTTTGCGCGGCGTTTAGTGGTTTAAGTGGGGAGCCAAGTATTCTCGAAGATCTTTCCGTTGCTTCATTCGACGCCAAACCATATTTGGCCTCTAAATTCTTCCTCAATCCATCTAATTCGTAATTTCTTCCATGGGGTTTGGTTTTAGTTCTTTTATCATCTAGATCATTCCTCCCCAATCGCGTTGCAAAAGACGAATCCAACTTGACCCCATCCGAGAAGGAAACACCCCTATCTTTAACTGCATCTGAATAAAGGTCGTACTTAGATACCACTGAAGGTTGATACCGAGTTCTTTCAGAGGCCAATTTATCCCTTAAACCCGCTGTTGAGGAAGAAACATCAGTGTATCGATCTGAAGTGTATCCTTCTCGATCAAGTGAAGATAAACGCGGGTATAAAGCACTTCTTGATGGTGGACTTATACGACCATCGTTGGCCCTCCGTGAAGCCCTGTACTTGTCTAATAAATCCGACATGCTAAGTAGTTCATCTAACGTCTTTCTTTTCCTAAAATGCTCTATTCATTTCTTTTTTCTCTTTTGTTTATTTTGGTTTTGTTCCATTCGCGTGTTGAAAAAGAATCAGTGTCAAAACTCAATACTACATTGAATCTACGACAAACTTCTCTATAATTTTATCACTGTCTATTCTTCCTATAAAATCAATCTTAAATAAATCATACTTCCGCCTAATTTTTTAATGTCATTGAACTGGCAGATGACTCCAAATCTTCCTTCTTCTTAGCTGGTGGCCTTTCGTCAAGGCTACACAATCCGTTATCCTTGACAAAGATCGTCGTCACCACACATATAGCCATAAGCGGAATCAACAAGTAGAAATAATTTCTCAAGGCTTTGGTGTAAATGTCTCTGATTTCCTTGGTTTCGGCAACTGACAAGCTGCTCACATCAACCTTGTTATATATATGTCCCTTGACGTAATCTATGGTCAGTTGGGTCAAGGATGTATTCGAATTAAGGTTGTTCAAAGAGCCAAGGACGGAGTTGCTGACAATGGTCGATCCAACGGCAATACCAACACATCCACCTAAAGATCTCAAAACGTTTCTAGTCGAAATAGCAACTGCCCTTTCAGCTTTCTTACAATTAGCTTGAACTGCCACCATCGAAGGTTGGAACGAAAAACCAACACCCGTTCCCATGATCAACAAGATCAATACATTGATTCCATCAGGTAAGCTAGCATTCCAAAGAAGCAAAAGACCACAGGCCAAACACCAAAGTATATATCCGGCTACCACCACATAAAAGTAATGTCCAGTGAAGGTGATTAGTTGACCAGCAACTACCGAAAATCCGGCCTGACACAACACCAAGGGCAACAAAAATATGGATGTGTGGAGTTCATCTTTGCCCTTGACAATTTGAAAGTAGTATGGCAAATAGTAGGTAAAACTATAGTATGCAGCACCAAAACAAAAAGTTGCCAAATAAATCAAGCACAAAGACAAGTTCTTAAACAATCTCAATGGAACCATTGGAAGCTTAGCTACTTTGCCTTCAATGCCCAAAAACAAAATCATAAAGACGCCACCGATGGTGAACATAACAATCACAAGGGTGCTGTTCCAAGAGTAAGTGACACCACCGCCATTTAAAGGAACCAAGATCAAGGTCAATCCAGCAGTTGCACTAAGAATACCAAAGTAGTCAATGTTCTTGAACTTTTCCTTTCTTGAAATGACATCGTCGAACTTCTTGTTATTCTTCAATGAAAAGAATAAAACGATGTTGACGCAAAAGGCAGCTGGTGCAAGAAAGTAGTAGTAGCTCCTCCAACTTGATTGCTTGATGAACCCCGACATGATAAATGGACCAATTGCGTTACCTAATCCCACACTTGATCCCAAAATTCCTTGGTATTTGCCTCTGTCTTTGAGTGAGACAATGTCACTCAAGATAACCATACATAAACTCGAAACACCACCGTTTCCAATACCGGCCAATGCTCTAAAGACAAAGAACTCAATACCATTGCGAGCAACAGAACAAGCAATATCTCCAATACACAATATCATGAGACATGTAATGATGACATTCTTTCTGCCAAAAATGTCCGATAATCTACCAAACAATACTTGACAAACTGTGTTTGCCAATAAGGAAGCGGAACCGGCCCAGTTAATCAGTTGTTGGGCATTCAAGTCCTTACCTATTTCCGAAAGACCTACAGTAATACCAGTCTGATCAGCAAAACTGACAAAGTTGGCCAAAGATAAAGTTAGTAGGATGGTAATGATTTGTGACGTTGGTAGTTGGTTGAAATGTGCATCTCCTAACTTATCAGCAAGTTCCTTGGCCTCGACTGGTTGATTTCCGACAACTGTATGTATACTTTCAGTTGGTGTTGTGGGGACAGTTTTCTCAGAATATTTTGGTCCATTACCCTCTTCAAACTTGATATGCTTGTCTTGAGAGTATTTTGTTTCTGCAGACGAGGTACTATTATTTCTCTCTTGGCTCATACTTGTTGATTCAAAAAGTTGGTGGTTTTCAGTCTTAAACTCCAGGTAAATTACACCTCCCCATGGGCAAATTTACCCATACTTATATTGCAAAAATCAAAGGATAAGCTTCCACAGAGGACAGAGTAGGTGAGGGAAAATATCGGGACGCTGCATGGGTGAGAACAATAAAATCTTTCAACTCCTTCTTAGAAGGGGATGTTACTGTCAGAAACAATAGAACATCCTTTCAACAGCTATGTAATCACATATAATTATAGAAACTCAGCTAAAAACCTTATTGTATTACACCACAGCAATTGAAGAAAGATGATAGAAAACAGGTTTCGTTGATTTAGTGAATTTGCCTTTACCTCTTCCTTTCTTCTTTGTCTTCTTTGTTTCTTTTTCTTTTGCAATCATAGCCACACTACGAACACAAAGACAGTGGTTCATTAAGTATGCATTAATCTTTTTCATCGCAAGAAATTTTCAGATGATTGGAAATGTTTTCTCCCCTGATGAGACAATGGAGAGCGGAAATTCGAGATGGGCGCAGGCTGTGGGCATAACAAAACCTATAGTATTACCGATCTTAAAGAAAATGCAAGTAACGTGAACACTGGAGCTACTAGTGATAAGAAATAGTTAATAAGGACTTCCTGCCAGCAGAAGAAAGTTATAGACTTTGCAGAAAGTTTTCACTAAAAAAGGATATTTTGTGTATCTCCTATTTTGGATCCGAATTTGCAATTCCATAAAACTTTTTGATGAGGAACCAATTGTTGTAAGAGTATGCACGTTTTCTTGTGTAGTTCACATTTGTGTTAGGCTACTATAGAACAACTACCACAACACCACAGCCATAGCAACACAGTGCTGTAGAAATATGTCATTACACAAAGTTGTTGTCATTGGTTGATTAGGAAAACTACTATAACTCCTTCTTTACGGAAAAAGAAAATAATACTGAAATAGCGCAATTGTGTCGAACAATTAAATTGCGGAATTTCTGATACTCTTTGCAATATCTCAGGGGGTGAGATCAGATCAACTAAGCCAAAGTCCAAATATTCAGGGCTTTTATTGGGTAGATCTGAGATATTCCCTTTCAGAGATGGGTTGTACTTATGAAGATATTGCAATGTTGGCTACTTTCCTAGAACCCTTAAAGGGTTTCGAAATGAAAAGGAGGGCTTGACGCAGAATCGGCAAATGCAATATATAGCTTGGCATTGATAAGAATGCAAATACCCATGTGGCCACGCCTAAAGACTTAGCCCAGAATTTTAATTCTGGGCTAAAACTCAAGAAAACAAAGCGAATTTCATGTGATGAGAATAATGGTTCTGTCTAGTCTGATGTACCTTCCTTTGTTCTAAATTTGACATGTCTGCGGAAAACCTTGTTGGTGATGTTTTAACTCCAAAGAGTAAAAGATTCAGCAGCTTCGCCGCTAAAAGAGAAACGCCTAGAGTGGTCTTTGCTTTGGAAGAACTTCAAATGCCGATATTTGACCTTGCATAACAGTGTTCTAAGCTTATTTGTCGAAAATAAAAGATTTATCTCAAGGGGGATAGAGTGGACAACTATTAGATGGCATGGGTTCTTGGTATTTCTCCATTGTTCCACTTTCTATTGTTTGCCTTTACCTCCTTTCAGAGGAAAAGATGTTTCGGAAAATTTAGGATAGCGCTTATACTGACAGATACTGCATATACGGTGTCCACTATAAGGAAGAGAAGTACACAAAAAAGCAATACTGTGGCATCACAAATTCATTCGAATTCGCCTTTTCTGTGTTCCTGGGCATAGGCATCCTAAAGAAAAGGGAAAAGATAAGCTAACGTAGAGAATAACTACAGCTACATACAATTCAAGTTAATGTCTGTAGTGAAGTATTACCTTACCATATACAACCTCTTTCTTGATCAAATATGCCTATAGTGAATAGAGCGAAAAGAAATAAAAGAAAAATGTTTTAATTGCGCCAAAACCGTTATGCACATTGAGTTAAACATCAAAAGTCTAAAGTGCGTCTAGAAGCGCTTTCCCGTTTCTATCAGTTAAAACGGGAAATTTGACTATTCTATTGTTTTTTTAACAGGGTGAGAGGAGGCTATTGTTCAACACTATCCTCTTCTAATCTAAAACCAGACAAGAACCATCAAATCAGGGCAATTTGAACATGTGCACATGAGCGCAATTACACAAACCGGAAAAACCTTTATACTTTTTTTTTCGACATTGGGGATTAAATTGATGACTTTTTTTGTTTTCTTGGCCAATCAGAAAGTAGAATTGATGCATATGAAACAATATTTATCCTCTGGTTATGAAATCACAACGGTTTTTAAAGTATAGAGTTAGGTATGGAAAAGTTAGTTGCTTTTCTCGTAATTACAAAACGGTTGAAAGTTTGAGGATTCGACATCAACACTCGTTTTACCATTTACAGTAGCATATGCAACTAGATTTGAAAGGGATGCTTCTGGTTCCATTGAAATGAGATAGGCAGACATTGTTGAGCCACATTTCGCCTAAGCACGTGGTGGATAGGATGGATACTGTCTATTACTTTGACAGGCTATCTTTTGTGTTCTAAATTACTGACATAAACTGACAAGCATATTAACTTTGATGTGAGGTGACTAAAATTGTGGATACTACTATTGTAGATTACGACGTGGCTTTTTTCGGGATATACCAAAAACGGAAAGCCACACTCGGATTAACCTAGACTTTTTTTGTTGATCTCCTCCGTTAGACTGTAGAAGGAGGATTTTAGAAGCCTGAAGCCTTGTCGGTGTTTGCCCCTACTAAAGTAAGCCAAATCAGAATAATTTTTAAGCGCTTATCCTTCAGTGCGTTACACAGGTTATTTCGTTCTAATTTCATTTCTCAATTTTAATCTCCCCTATCTCCTTCTTATCTTCACCTAACAACTGTTTTATCGAATGTAATTTAAATAGCAGTGATTCGTTGACTTTCAAAAACAATAAGGATAAACTAAAATTCAGAGGAACTACTTTTCTGAAAAAAATAAATAGAAGCACAGAAGGAGTTTCAAACCAAGTCCTGTTCTATATCCCCCTTGGGGTTGCGGGGCACATTATATATATGAAAGGGGATAACTATAGTGGGGCTATTTCTTCTGTTCTTATTTCTTTCAAAGTAATATGTAGGAACTGATTCACAGCCACCTCCTAGTGTCAAACAACACATACAGCAAAAACAAAAAAAAGGGGAGACCATAATGGCACCTTGATACTCGTGTAAAAATTGATAAATATTCTAATGTGGATGTTATCTCTCCTATTCCTTAAAATACTTCTCCCTTTGAGTTGATAGTACAAATGGAACGGGTAACTTAAGTATATTTACTTAATTACAACATATCCTATATATATAATTGTGTGACCGCATATTTTGCGCTTTTGTTTAATTTATTAGATAAGTTGAGGCTGTGCATAATCAATTTAGACTTTGCAGCTAAGCTTATCTTTTATTCCTAAATCATGTAATCTGTTCCAAAATTGGGTTTTCACTTATCATCTGAATCAGGTGCACATTGATTTCGAACAAGACTACGGATCACAGCTAAAGCATGGCTAAATTGTTAAATGCAATTAAAACAAACATATACACTCCAGCAACATACCTCATATGAAATAGAATTGAACTATAATTTCTTAGCAGCAATGACCTCTATCTCCATCTCAACACCCGATATCGATCTCCCCACATAATTCTACTTTTCTACTACTTGTTGACAAGTAGATTTTGTAAGTTCCTGTTTGGATGATCCATTGTTGTGATTCGGAATCCCATATACTCAAATCCCGATGCATAATATTGAAAAATATCTTGCATGATTTACCAGGCTCCAAAAACACCTTTTCAAATCCACGTAAAATCTTTGGTGGCGATGAAACAATGGTACTTGGGAACTCAATATACAATTGTGATGCATATCCACCTTTCATTGTACCCACATTCTTCACTTCAGCGCTCACTTCGTAAAGGATCTCCCAAAGTGCTGGATTGCCACCTAAACCACCAGCGTTGAGTGGCGGTGAAGTTTGTTGATCTGGATCGTAACCTTTTGGATACTCGAACGTATTGTCATCATCGACAGACCTTATATTCTCATTATACAAGTATGGGTAAATGTAGCCCGGCGACGGCTCAAAATCATCATGGGGGAAAAGTGCATCTTCGGCATCGCAAACGTCATCTTCCACCATTTTTTGTACTGGTAGGTACTCTTGAGGGTATGGCAAAAATTCAGACGGGGGACTAATTTCGGTAATTTTCAAATTGGTGACCTTAAAGGTTGTATAGGACAATCCAAAGCCAAACTCATAGCGTGGCTTGATGTTGTGTTTGTCAAAGAATCGATAGTCAGGGTATATATCGCGATCAAAGTTGTCCTGTGGCTCCCAGTTTTCTCCCAACTCGTCAATCACTGAAACATAATGCTGCTTCTTTTTTGCAATAGTAAACGGCAACTTCCCACTAGGATTGGTATCACCGAATAAAACATCAGCTACTGCCTGTCCAACGAATTGGCCAGCTGGCGCCACAAACAATACAGCCACAACATTTTCATGCTCAATCCATTTTTCCATATTAATGGGCCCTGTCGATGTAACAACAACAACGGTCTTGTGACACCTATCAGCAATCTTATTAATCAACTCGTCACCATTATGCCATAGCGAGAGGTTTTTTCGATCACCATAGTTGTCATCGAGATGAATATACCCTTCTCCCGAGAAAGCATTGACAAATACGATCGACATGTCGGCATAATCAGCCAAGTCATTGGCATTTTCCAAATCCCAATTATTAGAAGTGTAATCAACAACAATGCCTCTTTCCCGTGCCTTTTTTGAAATCGCTTCGTATGGAGTAATTACAAAAGGATTATTGACAGCCGCTGAGCCCCAGCCACTGGTAAGCACACCATCAACACATCTTTGGTCTTTACAATTACATCCATTAGGGTCAGGACCAGCACCTTTTCCCGCAATCAATATCCTTCTAACACCATCGCTTCTGTCAATAGGTAAATGGCGATATATATTCTTCAACAACACAATGGATTCCTTGGCAACAGTCAAGGCCGTGTTGTCACTGAAATCCGTCCTTGCATTTGCATGCCAATTCTTTTGACATATGGGCCCAAAATGTTGATATGGATACAACTGACCATATGTATGGTGAGTCCACGAGCTGAAGTTGGGGACATCTTCATCAGTCGGTAATTTAACCTGATCAATTGCAAAAAATGGCATCAAGATTCGAATAACCATATCATTTAATCTCTCTTGACTAATCGTACCATTATACACCGCCCTAGTCAATAGCGGTCCCCAAAACGACTTGCCTGTTAACCAATCATCAAACACTTCTCCTGGCATTGTCATATCCAAACCAGCTAAAGCAGAATTAACTCCACTATGTTGTGCACCCCAGTCACTAACAACAAACCCTTGGAACGCCAATTCAGATTTTAACAAGAAATTCAACAAGTAGCTATTTTCACACGCATATGTGTTGTTCACCTTATTATATGCACACATAACACTTCCAACACCTGCCTTGATGACGTTTGCAAATGGCCATAAGTAAATCTCATGCATAGCACGATCCCCAATATTTGAACTTATGGAGCACTGTAACTTATCCCATCCGTTTTCGTCCCATTCGCCAACTTGACGAAAGTGCTCTTGTTCATTACCTATTAAATGGCGAGCGGTTGCCACTACCCCTTCGTCTTGCATGCCTTCAACAGTAGCTGCACCCAAAACGCCTTGTAAATATGGATCTGCTCCGAAGCTTTCCCAATTTCGTCCTCCTTGCGCCTTCAATCCTATAGGGCCAATAACAGGACCCAAAGCTATATGCACACCCTTCTTTCGGTGTTCGCGGCCAATTGCTTTACCCCGAAGGTAGGTTAAGCCTTTGTTAAATGTACAGGCAGTGGCCAATCCTGAAGGGAAATGGGTCACAAAATCAGTAAATCTAACCCCGTTAGGACCATCTTGTAAGCACAAATTTGGAATACCTAGTCTTGGCACTGAACCAGTATTGCCCACACATGGACCAGAACCCCAGCCTGTACCCGTTGTGAGATTCACTTTTTCAGGAATGGACATTTTCTCTACAACTTTCTTTGCTTTTTCGAATGCACTTTGCCAGCAATTGTCTACCCTTCCGCATAGTGCTAATGAATGTTAGTAGAATGATTATCTCGCGCAGTATTTGCTAACATACGGCTAGGGTAAAACACTTGGGAGCAATAGTCTTGGGAATCTTCGACCACAAATAATGGTTGCTCAGCATGTCTCGACCTCTTGTTTAAAAAATGGGTGCTAGAAACGTTGGAAAACTCAGATTTGAGCGTGAATGAAATTTCCTCTGAACATAGCACTAGTGTGCTAAGTAGAATGAGTCTTACTAGATTGATTAACTCCATTGATATGTATTGAAGGATGGATATCTGGTAACTATAAATGTGGTTGCCAAAATTTATTCTGGTGAAAGTTAGAAAAAAAAAAAGTAAAATAAAATCAAAAAGCAAATGCCGAATAAAAATATGCAACGATCGTAGGTTAAAAGTTAATGGGAAAGGTACATGAGGATCAATCGTACGTGTGCATTACACTTAGGTACTCATTCTAGCGGTGACCTGCACAGGTGTGACAATACTGGGTGCAGGGTTATGATTTTCAATATCCACCAATGTATTCGATCTATTCATTGAAGGCGTTGAAGGTACGGAAGAGCTTGAGGAGTTCAAGTGGGTCATTTTCATCAGGTTTGGAGAATCAAGTTTGTTTGTTAAATTTGAGTTTGTATGCAAAGGGGAGCTTGGCTGGGAAAGTAGGGATATGGAGGTCGACAAAATAGTGTGGGACAAATCGTATCTCTTTACTTTTGCTGGACCAACGGCCTGTTGCTGGGGACTTCGCTGTTTATTGGAAGTATCCAAATGAAGATTTCGAATTTTGTTGACAATCTCATCCTGTTTTGACACTACACTAGATGGTGTTAAAGTGCCAGTTGTTGCAATCGTGTCAGTCCCAGTTGTCTCGGTTGTAGCAATAGTCTTGGAAGAAATAATTGATTCCTGTAATTGAGCAGAGTTTTGGCGGGTGTGTTGATGCTCAAAGCTGTGATGGTCCATAAAATGTGCTAAATTTTTAGTTGCACCTTCCTGATCCAACATCATTGCCTTTTCAAAGTAACCTGGCCTTGAATCATCAATCTTGACCGTGTTTTTATACTTGACACCGCTGAATAAGTTGAATAGATCAACTCGATAGTTTTTAGGCAAAGGGTTATGCGATAGATACATGTTATCAAGCCTATTATTCTCAACCAACTGAACCAAAGGTTTTAAAACTTTCACCTCCGAAAGTTTATTTCTTCGCAAATCGATTTTCTCCAATGATATTAAATTCTCCAATCCGTCCAAATTAGCCAACTTATTATTGTTCAAGTTTAATGTAAGTAAATTTTCAAGATTAGGTGGTAGACTCTTTAGACTGGTTATGAAGTTATCAGCAAAGTTTAAATACTTGACATTGACTAGTTGATCCAACCCTTCGGGCAATTTCTCTAATAAATTATTCGACAAATTCAACTTGACCAAATTCACCAAAGGCTTGAATGTGTCTCTGGGTATGTGGGCAATGGAAGTTTCCAGAATAGTTAATTGTTTCAACACTGACCATTTGTGATCATGCAAGTTCTCTGAATGCCCGTGTCCGGCACCACCAATAGAGCCTGCTCCATTGGATGCATTGGTATACCCGCGATCTCTCTTGTACTTGAATGTAGTATTCGGCTCATCAATAGACAGCTTCAACTCAAACGGTGGATCAAGTTGAATTGATTTTTGCTTTGTCGCGTTGAAACTCGACCTCCCGTTTGCATCTTCAATAACTAAATGAAACAACAATTCCGCCATATCAGTTATCTTACTTTTCCTTATGATTAAGATTCTCAATTGGTCGCTCAAAAAGTTCCACCCAAAAATCTCATTTGGTTCATATTCACTCATTTCCAAAACTTGTAAGTTTTTAAACATCTTGATTGGAACCGAAGTGTCACATGGGTACTCCTCATATGAGCTAATGCTATTGATCTTGGTCTTGGGTGTAAGAATCAAACATGGGATTTTGGTAAAAGACGAGTACAAATATTTGATATCTTTTTTAATCACTTTTGGATCATTACTTAATGAAAACGATCTCCAATAAACTGAGGCACTCGATACTATTGATTTCATGGAATTCATGGATGTTATTGACCGCGCATCACTATCAAAATGTCGTGATGACCTAGCATTGTTGGCCATAAATGAAACGAACGTGGGTTCGTGATTTGGATTATCTAGCTTGACATTCAAAGGACCAACATCGACGCCCAAGGTGGATTGGTCTATGCGTTCTGTTAAATAATACAAGTGGTGAATAGTGAATGTTAATCGTATGGGCTTGATTTTATTCACCGTTGTCTTGTTCTTGCTAAAGCATAGTAATCCATTAGCCAAGGCTTCTTCATTTTTCTTGATATAACTTGCTAGCCGCTGGATGTAAACGTCTCCTTCAATGGAATTTGCATAGCCAAAACCACCCATAATTTTGTGAAAACAGAAGTTGTGGGTAGTAGTATACTCGAGGGTAATGGTGGTGGTTGATAACTACTCAAGCGTGCTATACGACTTTTGTTGTGATTGTGGCTCTCAACGGTGATGAGGAATTGTTTTTTTTTCTTTTAATTAATTTTAATTAAAATTAGATTTACCTTTTGTTTATGTTTATATTTTTTCTCTATGCATAATCGAAAAAGTTTATCGAATTGCCCAAATAGGCAATTGGCTCAAGAGTCGTTGTTACATAAAATACCAACGCCATCGTCCCCTTCGCCCCTCGCGCTGCCATATAAGAGTGAAAGACTGGTTATCAAGCCAGCCGGTTTTACAGTGTAAAGTAAAGAGCTCTTAATAAATAACATATCATTGTGGCTGCCATACACAGCCGTACATCTCTCTTCGCTTCTCAAAAACTGACCTGATAATACACGTTGCTAATCAAAAGAATCAGTTGAAACTTTTAACTGAGCTACCCTGATCATCATTATGTGACAACTGACTGCTTCTATCGTAGTTTCCAGTTCTGATACTATTTGCGTATATGCTATTCGCTGCTGTGGGTTGTACACTCAACCTCTCCATGATCGATGCCGGTGGAATAGCATTGGTACTGCAATTGGTGTCAATACTTCTCCTCCGCCTTCTTCTTGATGAGCTAGCGAGTGTAACAATCGACTCATTGTCACCTTCTTGGGCTGCATTGGATAGAATCTGGCTTGCACTAGCTGAGTTTGATGTATTGAGAGTGACTGGGGTTGCGGTTGCACTGGGGCCAGTTTCAACACCGTCTTCATCAACAGTGGTCGTATTGAGGTTGTTTTGGTTATTTTGTTGGTGATGAGCTGTCGTGATATAATTGTTGGCTGATGTATGAACACTAGGAGCTAGCGAGGTCTCCGCTGTTGAAGCAATGAGAGACAGGTGGTCATTATTCATATCTGTGCTCAAAATGGATGGGTTTTTAGTTGACTGCCTTGACACTATTGATTTCAACGGGATAGTACTTATATTGTCTTCACTGTTGTTTGTGTGTTGATCACTATCGTTGTAGTTCCCATCGCGGTCTTGGTCATCATAGCTGCCTTGAAATGAGCTGCGGTGTATGTGATCATTCTCATCAAAGCGAAGAGTGGTATTAAAGTCCTCACCTTCGTCACCACTATGCGTCAAATCTCTGTCTGCATCATTCCTTATCAAAGGCTCCGAATTGCGTCTGGCTCTACCGCTAGAAGAATGTCTCCTTGTTGGATCGCGTGCGTTTTCCGTATTACCTCCTGATGGACGCTTGTGTCTTTGGGGGTGTTGCTGCGATAGTAAATTTGAACCGTGTTGATCGTGTGAGTTAGGTGCCGTTCTATTCTGCCCTTGCATTAATCGCCTGACCCAACCAAACCTATTTCTAGATGTATTTGAATGGCGTCGATCGTTCTGAAACGAGTTATCTTTAAATGAAGTTAGTAAAGCGACACCAGTAATAATGATTGATCAAAAACATACCTTCTTGTGTGGCCATGGTGTATTGGAAATCTTTTGAACGCGGATGACTTCGAGGTTAATATAAAAAGACGAAGTTTCTCTAGGACATCAAGGGCTATCCTATATCCTGTCTTTGCAAAACTTTTGAAAACTACTTGAAGTTGAATGACGCTTTAATTTATTTGTTTAGCGATTTTAAATCCTCACTCAAAAATTTCCAATTTCTTCACAAAAAATAAAAACATAAAATTTTAAAACGTTCCAAAGGCGTGTACATTTGTTATAAATAGAAGGATTGATTCATTTTAAGGGGTAAACCGCGCATGGAAAACGGATAAACTGTCGAGACGTGGCGTGCTCTACAAAAGAGCCAACTCAAAATTTCATGAGAATGGTTAGTCCCCTGTACCAGGAACATAGTGGCAACTATTGGTTGCCTAGAGATGGCATGATAGCGTAACCAAAATAATGTAAGTTAATCCTCAGCATTAGGCTCTCACGGGGACGGACCAAAGTCTACGGCCCGGCTCATTGCATTCATATTTTACTACTCAATTTATAACTGTTATGTATATTTCTCGTTACATACACTAATACCTTAAAGGGCCAACACTAAACCTCCAACGAGCCCTACAAACAACCCTCCTTGCAATTTGATCCCCATATTGCTGCTGCTTGAATCACTTCCACTTTCGCTTGAATCATCAGTAGTGACACTAGGCACGTTGCTGTTGGCAATCCTCGAATTGTACCAAGGTAACTGGGTAACAACGTTTTCCAATTCTGACATCAACTCCGAATCCTCTACAATCGTGGTGTAGGAATCATCAGTATACGTGGAAAACCTTCTGAGCGAGAGCAAGTCAAGTGGAAAGGCAACTGACAGCTGGGTTTTGAAATATTCAACGTACTCACTAGGGAAGGAGCGGATATCAGAAGCTACTCTTGTTATTAAAGCCTCTTGTTGGTCGGTATTGAAAGATACTGATTGTGCTACTATGGATGTCACGAATAAACAATTTAAGGTGTAGAAAAGCTTGATAATTTGCATCGCGTGACGATTATGGTTTGAAATAGTTGGAGCAGGTTTGAAAGGCACTTTCACTTGTGCTACTATATATACTGAAAGGAGCTGGTTTTAGGATCGGGGTATTCCGTTGAATGATTGCCACTTCAGATTGCACCACAGCCAGGCTGTACCCATTTTTTTTTTTCTTGATTTCGAGGCGCATATAATTTTCTGCCTATTTAAAGTGCCCAGTGAGAAGAGATCTTGGCAAAGCCCCATATTTGATGTTCAGTCTTCAGCAACATTCAAGGGGGTCTAATGTAGCGAATTTATTGGATTGCCCCTTTTATCGTGAGCTTTCTGATTGGACAGTTTCACATCAAGTCCCAACGTTGTTTCTCGTTTCCCTTATTTAAGTTGCAAATCTGATACATCTTAGACACAACAAGATCTACAACAGCATTAATCAAATCAATCGTTGTCATTTCTAAATATTAAATCTACTCTAAAGAAAGAAAGAATTATACATCATGCATCATAACCTTGGGTCGGAGGAAGCCGCCAATTCGCTTTCTAGAGCGTTAAAGGCTTAAAAATATCACCTTTCCCATTTTGTAACATACACATCCTTCGAATAGTCATACGCCAAGCTTGACCGCAATGCAAGACAGAGTAACATTACTTTGCTTTGCAATACAGGAGTAAAGTTTGTGTATCACTATACAAAATAAAATTTCCAGCGTGTTACATACCCAATTTCCAACTCTTTATTTGCTTTGGGAAGTTGCTGGCGATTCAACTCTCATTTTAGTCTGGGGGTTAACAATCTCCAAAGGCTTTTTGATTCTTGGTGTTACCACTCGTGGCGAATTGGTACCGGCCCCGCCTGTGCTGCTTTGTTGAGAGGTATTATAGTGTGGAAGTTCCTGGCTTGGTGAGAATGAAGTGGATGTATATGGATTGAACTTTTTCAAACCAGGACTGCTAGAACCATGTTCGGCAATTTCAGGGCAAAACTCCAAGTCATCTTCGATATCAAAAGACTTTGACAAGTAATATCTCAATCTAGGATTGTGGAATGAGTATGTAGATGATGCATTGGAGACACTAGTACCAAATAGCGAGGAAGAAGCGTTGCTTGATAACGAGCTTGATAAGCTATTGCTAGCCGAGCCAGGTGGTGTAAGGTATGACAAATTGTTCAATGGTGAAGTATTGTTGGCAGAACTACTACTCGATGCTGAGGCAGCGCTGCTACCGCCTAACCCAATAGTGTTTGGCTGTGTATTTCCCATATTGGGGGAGTGCTGGTAGTACTTGTTATACGTATATTGACTTGTCATAGCTTTTATTCCTTGAAATGGGGTCTTGTCTTGACTTCTAGCTCTATATGTGCATTAACTTTAACGGGTATATGTGACGTCTCAACCTGTATTCTTGAAAGGTTAGATCTTTGTGTGTTCTATTCTGAGTGTTCGATATACGGATGTTGCAAATTAAAAATTCTAAGCACAAGATGAGTATTGTTGTAGGATGATGGATGGAGAAAGGTTATAGCTTTTATCAAATTAGTTTTGAGCAAAATGATGTTCAACAAAATCGCAAGTTTTGTGAATTTCTTTTTTTCTTTTTTGTTTTGCCCTGTGCTTTGTGCTGTTGAGACGAAAAAAGGAAGGAAATGGTTTATCGGTACACGACCACGTTTTCACCGGCATAAACACAAAAAGAATTATTGATCCCAACTTACCCCACCTGAACAAATGTTTGAAGACAGGTGGAGCCTCACTGTTGAGATGGCCCATCCAAGACTGTTCCTGGTATCTTCCAGCAATCAAAGTAAAACTGTAAATGTGAGTTGTCAGGCCATATGGAACCAGTTCCGTGATGACTGCATATAAAAGAACCAGCATCCGATTTTTGGTCACTTATTTGACACGTGTGCACGACTATTACTAAAATGTTTTTCCGTTTCTTTTTTCTTTTCTCCTTTTGATTTTAAGTTTTGCAACTTTACATCTAAATGGAATCGAAACTGGGCACTTCCTTGTTGAGCCCGATAACGAACATTTGAAGATTTTTGTATATGGTATACACCACTAGCTTATACCCTTTATCTTTAGAATTCAAAGTGCATTAGTTTCAATCGACGTTTTGACGATTGGTCCTCAAGTTTAGTGAATGCCTGCGCTACCTTCTACCTTTTTGTTACAATTGTCAACCACATCGGTTTTTATTGTGGTATTGCTCTTGAACACTTCTCTGGACCGATACTTGGTTGTTTTTAAAGCACTTAGTTGTATTGTATTGTGTAACTGTTGAAACCCTAGAGTATACCATTGCACAAGTTTTTGCACTGATTTCAAGAAAAAACTCAGCTAGACTTTGATCCACACTTTAGACTATTTAGCTACTGTGGATTCTATTTCTCTTAAAGGCTGTTGAAAAACAGCGAGTTGTTGATATATCAGTTTTGTTAAGAATGTGTTCTCTTGTAATGCACAAGCTCAGGCCACGTCAATACTGTAAAAGGTTTACACCAACTGAGCACAGTAAAATCTTCTCACGTGTCATCAAAAATCAAGACACTCTTTCTCCAAACTAACAACTCGTAGCCCTTTTCCTCTTCTGTTCTTAAGAGAAGTAAGCGATAGGCCAATACTTTTATTGGGTTTGGAATGTTGAACGCTACCACGCAAATCAATTGTCAAATCCCAATTAGGAAATTCTCGATGAAGCATATAATGTGGAGTTGACCAGAGTCAGCAACGTCTGGTAAAATTCGCCGCAATGGGGTGCACGTACAATGTATCAGAGAAAAAGAGATACTATCAGCATGCCAAACACTGAGATCACACAAACATCAGTAAATGGGCTTTTTCTCAACAACAGAACTCAGGTCAACATTCAAGAAGCCATTATCTGAAATACACAGTGCTTACAAATATGTCAGGTTGGAAAATCGGTTAAAAACACTACTCATATCCGACCCCAAGTGCAACGCAACGGCTGCTGCCGTATGCGTTGGTGCAGGCTCACATAGTGACCCGGACGAGCTACCTGGGTTGGCCCATTTCTGCGAGCATATGCTTTTTATGGGAACGGAAGAATTCCCCAACCCCAATGACTTTTGGTCAAAAATGACCTCAATGGGAGGAAATGCAAATGCGTATACCATGGGTGATTACACATGCATATACTTTGAAGTTTTAATGACCGATACATTAGTCGGCGAGGAGTGGGGCCTAAATTACTTGATGAAGAATTTCAGCTCCTTCTTTAGGAGTCCGCTCTTTTTGATGAATTCTATGAATATGGAGGTTAAAAGCGTGGACGACGAGCATCAGGGAAATATTGTCAATGATGAGAAGATCTTGTATCACGGGTTGAGGCTACTTAGTAGTGAGACTCACCCTTTCCACAGATTCGCAACCGGTAATAAAAATATACTAAACTCGAAACGTACTCGGAAAGAAATGATCAAGCACTACGAGCACAATTTTGTATCAGAAAACATGGTCTTGGTTCTAAAGGGACCTCTATCTTTGAACCAATTGCAGAAATTGGCAGTGTCAAATTTCGCCAACATTCCTCCATCTAATGATTCGACAGAAAAATCGTCTAGTGGAAGGATGCAAAAAAAGCCAAAATCGAGAGGTTCATTTGATATTTCCGTTTCCAGTGTATCCTCATGTGATGTGGGATCAGAGATATTTCCACCGGCCACTACTGGGAGGCTACTATACATCAAGAGCGAGACTGCTTCCAAGGTGAGGCTTTTTTTACCAATACATGACCTTGAGAATTCATTTTATGAAGGTGTGTGGTGCTCGTTATTCGGAGATGAGTCTCTAGGATCAATGTGTTATTACTTAAAGAGAGTCAAGAATTACGTTTCTTCTGTGTATGTTTTCACCCAGTGTTTATCAAAGGGAAACAAAATATTAGTCATAGACCTTGAAAGTTCCAAGCCTTTTAACTTGGACCTGGTGATTCATGCTATTTGGACCTTTGTCGACCAAATATTGAATCCAAGATTGACGGATTTGGCTGCGGTATTGCACGAGTATTCGCGAGTTTTTAAATACCAGGCGTATTTCTCACAGGAAGAGAGCTCTTCAGTAATGGAAGAGGCTGCGAACTATGCGCTTTCCTTACATGAGAATAAAATTCGCGATTTAGAGCATTTGGTCACCGGTGATTCCTTTATATTTCATGGAAAGGTGGATCATTTTGTAGTGGAAATAAAAGAGGTTTTTGATATCAGGAATTTGAATGTTATAGTACTATCGAAAGAGACCGATTGGGGCTGGATGTTGCCGAATAACCTTTCTAAGGACCCTTATTATCGATTCCAGTATGCAATCATCAATTTGAACTACCCATATCCTAGAGAGTCAATTCCTAACTTTTTTATCCTCCAGCAGAATCGATTTATCGAAATGTCTCACAGCGAGTTAGATGATCAACTAGATGCTTCACAACATACGGCCGCATATTTGCTAGAAGAAAGCAACTTACCTAATTTGATTGACTTTTCAATGTATCATGAGATTTGGCACTCGCCAACTTTAACACTCAATGTTATGACTTCATTCCAAATTTGCTTTGCAAGTGTTTCCAACACACCTTTGAGTTTGGTAGGTATTGAGGCAATTGCTGAATATGTGGGCGAAAAACTAAGGAGTGCGTTTTACCAAGCTGAGTTGGCTCTATTCTCCTGGGGTATCTTCGCAAATTTAGTGACAACTCCGTCCTTGTCCTTTGAAATACGAGGTCCCATTACTGGATTCTTGTTCTTTTTAAAAGAGTTTGTTGTAAGAGTGAAAAACTTAATTTTGACATTCAATCTAGACTACAAGGCATTTGTTGCGATGAAGTTGCAAATGCGTCACAATTATGATGAATTGCAGGATGGAGAAACAAACACAAAAGTCTTAGCTGCGTCAGTGATGGCTTTGGAGCAAGGAATTGCCAGTATAGAGGATAGATTTGAGGCGGTGGAACTCTTGGAAACAGATTACTTAGCACATCTATGTGACTTGATCATTCACGATTGCAAGCATACTAATATTCTCGTGGTGGGTGGTGACAAAGCATTTGCTATGGAAGTTTGCAAGCTAATAAACATCATGACATCACATGAAAGAATATACTTGGCTAAAAACCTATTTAATTATGTACCCAGTGTGACTTTGAGATCTGGAAGAAATTACAACCTCGTACTAGAAAATTCCAACTACGATGACCCAAATGATGTTGTTTACTATTACATCCAAGTAAGCTCCAGGCAAGATGAGAAGAAGCGAACAATTGCTCAGTTTTTGGCATACCATATGAACCAGTTTGTTAGATACCAACTACGAAACAGAAGGCAAATTGGCTACCTAGTATTTAGTGGAGTGAGAATCAACAAGCTGACAACCGGTGTTTATATTCTTGTCAATAGTGCCTCCTATGATTATTCAAGAATCCTACTGGAAATTGAAGAGGTTTTGTTCGAATGGGAGATTCAAGTGCTCGCCAAGACCCCGGACCAATTCAGTGAGTTATTCGAACTGTTTGCCAAGAGTCTCGGCCTGAAAGAGCCTGATGCTATACCTTCAAATATCTCTGCGGCTACAAAGCCGACCAAGCAGAGCTATAACTATGCATCAAAAGAACTGCATTTGGCGTACTTTGAAAGTATTTTAACCAAGAACTACGACTTTGCTCAGTCCGGTGGCTACAAACCCGTCAGTAAGGATAACACCCATCTCGAATTAGCCGAAATTGTAGAGTTTTTTAAAAGACTGATTTCAATAAAGTCTGCACATCGAGCAACACTATCTATTCTTGTGTCATCCAAAGAAGGGAAAAGGAAAAGGGTTTTCGAGGAGAACAAGGAGATGTTAAAGTCAATGTTGGTTAATGGAGATTACCATTTAACTTCATTACAATTAGCTAGCTTACTCCACGAGTCACACAACGACGTGTCAATAGTTATACAAAAGTTGAGGAATTTAGGCTACAAAATTTCGCCAAAGCATGGCCGTTCACTCTATAAGATCTTGTGGATGATAAAGAGTTTCAAAGTATACAGTTCTAAGCAGCAAGAGCGATTACAACGTATATGCATTGCAAAATACGGCAAAATATATCAGGATAGTCTTGGGATCGTTCCTCACTTGAAAGTGAGAAAGGTACAGGAAATTCACGCTGAGGCTTATATCATGGACCAGAAGGAACACTTAAGAGAGTTGCAGGGAATCTACGACCGGGAAAATGAGGACACAGATGACTTGAACTATTTGATATAGAGGGTTATCGCGGATAATTAATAAACATCGTCGTTCTTATTACTGACCAGGCCTCTTTGTAGAATTATAAGGTTAAACCTAGTGCTTATCTACTAGTCGGTATTAAGCATGAGAACGCTCGCACCTTTTCACCCCACTCTTCATAAGCGGAGAGAAGGAGTTTGTGTAACCATATTTTGTGCCGTGTAATGAAGTGAAAAATCATAACTTCCATCCAAACATCTCTAAGATCCTTAGAGCACGATGACGATAAACGAAGCACCAATATCCGTATCACTTGCAGGTCTTCAGAATGGTATTGATGATGAAACATTAACAAAAGCATTTGGTCCTAATTCCCTAGGCATCATCATTGTTCGAGATTTACCGTCAGAGTTTCAGAGCCTTAGGAAAAGAGTGCTCACAAGCGCGTCAATCCTAGCCAACTTAACCCAGGAAGAGCTAAAAAGCCTTGAATGTGAAGAGGCAATGTGGTTAGTTGGATGGTCATGTGGCAAAGAGAAATTAGCAAAATCTGCGTTACCTGATTTTCACAAGGGTTCATTCTACATGAATTGTGCTTTCCACAAAGATTCGACATTGGAGGGCCCTGATTCAAAATTGGTCCTGAAGTATCCAGACTACAAGTCATACACAGCTTCTAATATCTGGCCAACTAATGACGACCTTAAAGATTTCGAACGTGATTGCAAAGCATTGTGCTCATTAATCATCAATGTAGCTGGGACTGTGGCGAAAAACTGTGACAAATTCATCAAATCCATTCATGAGGGTTACGAAGACAACTACTTGCAAAAGATTGTACGAAATTCGATGTGTACTAAGGCACGGCTATTACATTACTTCCCCACAACGGGAGCCGAAAACACGGCATCGCTCGATGATTGGTGTGGCGAACATCTTGACCACTCCTGTCTCACCGGGCTCACATCAGCTTTGTTCATGGATGAGTCGCAAGGATTGACTCATGCATTAGATTCTTCGCCCGATCTGCACGCTGGCTTGTACATTAGGAACAGAAATGGCGAAATTGTCAAAGTGAGCATTCCAGCTGATTGTTTGGCTTTCCAGTCGGGGTCAACCTTGCAGGAAATTTCAAATGGTAAATTCAAAGCAGTTCCGCACTTTGTTAGAGGGACCACGAAGCCGAATATAGCTCGAAACACATTAGCGATATTTTGCCAGCCCGACTTGGATGAGATGGTGAATGATAGGGAGGATTTTGCCACCTACTCGGATAGAATATTAAAGGGTAACCACTAAGTAAGTAGTAGTATATTTATTGATTCCAGCATTTACTGTAGGAGAACAATCGAGTAGCTTGTCTTAGAAAACGGACAGACAGGTAGCGCTGCACAATACTTTGACTTGCCAAAAGATCAACACTTTTCTCCTTGTCAAATGCAATACAGTGAAATACCCATTGTCAACGACAAGGCTATCCCTGAAGAGGATGAAATTGTACGTCAGCAGCTAAAAGAGATGGGTCAACCTGTTTTTATCAATGGTGAAGATGATAGCGACCGACGAGAAAGATTGTCCAATTTGTTGAAGCGAAATGCCATTGACGAAGATAATTCACAAAGCGAGGGTGAGGAGGAAGAAGAAGAAGAAGAAGAAGAAGAAGAGGAGGAGGAGGATTTTTATACTCCAGGGCCATCAGAATTATACGATGCGAGGTTAGACATCCTCAAACATTCTTTGGTAAAAGCAGCAAGCCGACTTCAACAACAAAGAGAAGTCTTACAGAATAACCCTGAATTCATTACATTCTTGAAGAAAAGGCGATCGATAAACTCCAAATTAGCGGGAATTGAACTATACGGATCACAGGTAATACACGGAAATACAAGAGCTATATCCAGCGTAAGGTTTTCCTCAAGGGGAGACTTGATTGCATGTGGATCATGGGATGGGTCGGTTCATGTGTTAAATAGCAATGACTTGAATCCTGCTGTGAAGTTGCTTCAGGGGCAGCATTTGGAAAAGGTTGGTGCTTTAGATTGGCTGACAAAGAAAGGAGGCGATGTTTTAATTTCTGGAGGAAATGAAGGCACCATCAACTTGTGGAATATAACTACATCAGATGAGGCTGTCAAACCCAAAATTTCTATAAAAGAATCACACTCAAACAGGGTATCGAAAACTTTGTTTCATCCAATTAATGACTTTGCAATATCAACGTCATTTGACCAAACGTGGAAGCTTTGGGACATAAATAAAGAGACTGAGTTGTATCAACAAGAGGGCCACTCGAGGGAGATATATAGCGGTGCATTACATCCGGATGGGTCGCTCTTTTTATCAGGAGGATTGGACGGGGTGATATACGTTTGGGATTTAAGATCAGGAAGGGCTTTAATGCCGCTTCAAAAGCACATGCAAGGTATATACGGTCTTGATTGGTCTCCTAACGGATATCACTTTGTTAGTGGTTCAGGTGATTGTTCAATTAAAGTTTGGGATATGCGAAAATTGGACCGATCGGGCGATGAGATATTTTCTATACCAGCCCATACAAAGCTAGTCAGTGATGTCAGGTTCCACTGTAGTAATACTGGCGCGAATGAGGATAGTGTTGGTTTCAGCGGAACCTTCTTGATAAGTAGCTCGTATAACGGTGAAGTCAATATCTGGTCAGCTGACAATTGGATACGAGTTAATACATTGAAGGGCCATAATGACAAAGTGATGAGCTGTGATGTTATCAGTGATAATAACGAGATTAGAATTGTGAGTAGTGGTTGGGACCGAACCGTCAAGTTGTGGCTGTAACCTAAGGAACAAAGGAAAACTGGCTAGCCTAATATTAAATAGCTCAATCTTTAGACTGTGTATTCAATTGATGGGACCCTCTGATTAGAATCGAGCGCGATATTGCCTAAAGTAAACAAGAAAAAGAAAAAGAAGATTCATAAAAATAAAAGTAATTATGCGATTTTAACAATACCAAACCCTCCAACTCCAATAACTATGAATTTGTTACGGATATTGGATAGCACACCAGAGCCTCCTATCATTGAGTTGGAGCTCAACGAGACCAACCAAAGCGGAGATTATTATTTGGGTACTCCGATGTACGAATATCAGAAAGAATTAACTGATCAAATTATATCACTTCATTACCCAGATATACTAAAGTTTTGTGAAACAAACGACCAAAAGGACATTATACTCAAGTCAGTTGAAACATGTATTGAAAACTGTATGCTTGTATGCACTCATCCGTATTTATTGATCAGCCATTATATGCCCAAGAATTTAGCTATCAAAGATATGCCTGCTAAATTAGCAGAGACGAGTGGAAAATTCAACGTGTTGAAAGATTTATTGAATGTAATTATTCTGAACAAAAAGTCAAATTTCAAATCAGTCGGTCTCGTGATGAGTAACAATTTGAAACTTTTTGATTTGATTGAGGCTTTGCTTATGGCTTGTTCTGGCAACAAAACAGTCAAGCGATATGTGGGAAACAACATCCAACGAGAGTCGAAAAAGGCGGTCAAAAATGGAAATAATAGCAACGGTGCTACCCCCAATGGACATGGCAATAAGGCGAAAACCCCGACCCAGATACACCTAATACCGACCGATGGTGACATCCAAAGGGACAAAGATGTCTTTGATGCTTCCAAATTTGATATTTTGATAACTGTTGATGGGAATGTCGATACGGAAACCGAATTTTATCAGTCTTTAAAAACAATGAACCGCTCTTCTGATGAGAAACACGCAGTTACAATTCGTTTGTCTCCTTTTAAGACAATCGAGCACATAAAGCTCTTTTACATGAATGCTGTGGATGAGCCTGATTACTTGTACAAACTTATTTCATCTGTGGTGTGCTTGAGAGACTTTATTGGGAACATACCTCCAGATATTTTTCCAATTTACCACCAAAAGCTTTCATACTTGGGACCAAACTTCCTTGACCAAGTATTTGGTGACCGAGTAGAGGCGTACCCTCCGTGGCCATTACCTGCACTCCCTCTTATTCAAAAGTATACCCCGATTGATGTGGAGAGATCGCTATTGACTGAGGCTCACTTTCACTACACCCCTTATGGGTTGCAGCCTTTCACCGAAGAAAAAGCGACACCATCATACTACGAAACAAAACGTCTAACACTGGACTATATCACTAATCCATTGAAGAATTCTTATAATGAGTTAATTGGGATCACGGGTGCGTCAGAGAGACAAGACACTAGTATCTTAACTCACAAATCATTACTTCAGTTGAATGCTGCTTGCAGGGATCTAAGAAGAGCAGAAGATGAACTCGATTCATACAATGAATATGAATCTGATGAGATTCAGAATCGAATCGGTAGACGAGAGAAGGAAAAGAGACTTGCAGTCTCGAAAATCTTTGATGATTTAGACCATTCGCAACAGCGGATAGACAGTGGCAACAAGTGGTACAGTAAGAAGCAAGAGCAAATAGAGCAGCTAAAAATAGCTAGTAAAGAGAAGGAAGACCAAATTTCGAACTTTCACGATAAGGTTGCTTCGCCGGAGAAGAAGTCATACGTGGGAAACCAATTGAAGATATGGGAACTCGAGAGGCAGATAAAGCAGTTTATTGCAAAGGTCCAATCGAAGGATGACGAAAAGAACTTTACCAATAAGGAGTATGAAAACTCAGTAAATGCTGCGAAGGAGGCAAAGCAAGAACAAACTTTACTAAAAGACAAGATAGAGGATACGAAAAGAAAGTATCATGAATATGAGCAAGACCAAGAGACGAAAAGAAAAGAATTTAAAGCCAGGCAACAAACCCTTGCAGATGAAATTAAGAGTTTGGAATCTGCAAACGAAGAACTAGAGGCAAAGCTTGGTAATGGGTTCAGATTTTTAAAAGACACGGCACACCTTAAAAAGCGCAAAATCAGAACCAGTACCCCAAGTAAGTAGATAGATCTAATTAAAATTACATACTATAGACAGGCATAGCTGCCTTTGTAGCATCCAATATAACAACATTGTTCATCGGAGTGTAATTCTTGCTCAAAAAACGAATAACTTCTTGAGCTAAGGCGCCTCCTAGAATAGCAGCAGTGGGTGAGAATTCCGTATATGCTTGCTGACTCAAAGTTTGGATGTAATCCTCGGAAAATGTCGAAATAGGTAGGTTCAACGTTTTATAAACTTCCTCCGTCTTTTCTCTTAATAGTTGTGGATCGACAACATCTTCAGGATTATCAAGACGAGGTATCTCAAACAATGCAAATATAATTGGCAATACAGTACACTTTCGCAATTCTCTTTTGCTTGCATATTTTGGTATCTCTTTCGAATGGAATATAGTTTCAAGTGGGGAATACACATCTTTAATGGTAACGATGTCAACCTTCTTTATTGGGTCAGGCTTGACCACAGTCATTGTCTTGTTTCTCGATAAATCCACATTGACCTTTCTAGGTACCGAACTCTGGTTGAATTCATTGTAAGATGTATGTTCAATAAGGTCGATTAAGATGTATCCAAATAGTCCGTGCATCCCACCGACATAGAGTGGAATATTCAAACCTCTTGTGATTTCATTAAGCAGGATGATTTGCGATTTATTTAATTCAGTGGCTACAACCAAATCAAAATCCTTGAAATAGTCTGGTTTGGCAAATGCATCTTCCAATGAAGAAGTGTTTATACTCAAATCAACTTTGGAATTCAACTCCTTTACTTTATCAACAACTAATGGCAATTTCAATTTTCCCACTACGGAGTCATCGTTTGGCAAAAAGAATTGTGCTGCGAAATCCTCTTCCTTAATCACAGAGTTATCCAAGATCTCTATTGAGTTTAATCCACCCAAAACCAAGTTCTTTACGCATTCTGTTCCAACTGCACCAAGGTTTATGATCAAGATCTTTGTTGACCGTAATCTTAGCTGGGTTGCCATTCCCCATAATCGAATCTGCCTATCGTACAACGCAATCTCATCTGTAAAAGAAGTTAGTAAAAACGTTACACAGTTTACTGTTACGATCAGTACATACCTGCTGTGAGCTCTGTTTCTGTTGTCATGATGCCACAGGGAGGTAGAAGTGAAAGCTATGTGTCTCTACGCTAAGTGAAAAAATAAAACTGGATTAGGAACGCGTTTTCTTTGAATGTCCCAGAGAAATCATACACAGATACTTTTACTTAGATAAGCTTAAGTATCGTCTAATGTTTTTACTTTTAGCAATTGACGATGGAAATCAATCGACAAGGTAAGGCTTTGAGCGTTCTCAAGTCCTTGCTCACAGAGTTGCTCGTAGCACAAAAGATACATCGGCATGTACCTATCGACAAACAGTATCACCTCATCATCACTCATTCCTTGACTTTTAAGAGCAATCAATGCATGTTCCTGCTCTAGTCTCCATTTGTAAACATTTTCAATAGTATCCGTTTGTAGTATGATAAAGTGAGAAAATATTTCCCAGATGGGAACGTAACTCGAAAGCTGGTTATTGATATCGCGGATTTGGTAAAGCTTATGTCGTTGTAAAATTGAGTCAACTGGACTTGTTAAGTACCTTAGAGTAACCAAGTCTTCGTCCAACGGCATGAATCCATTAAACCAACCTTCGCAGATAATAACATCCACTGGCTCTTGGAGTACATTTTCGTCTGTCTCTAGACGATCTCCCAAACCTCCAAACGCAGACTTATCATATGAAGGAATCTTTACTGGTACCCACTGGCTTTTATAGTTGCCACAAATTTGGTGAAGTACATCCTTTAGTAATTTCAAGTCATGGGTTCCAGGTAAACCTCTTCCTTGGAGTAGTTTATTTTCATCTTTTACCGCTACTTGGGTCACTTTTTCTTGCTCTGAACGTGTTAGATAGAAATCATCAATCAGGAATTGTGTGAATCGTAAATTGGGGTTATTGTGTTCTAGGGTCTTGGTCAAGCATGATGCTAAATAGGTTTTACCTGATCCCTGCGGTCCACTAACACCCACAGTCAACGGTTTGAGAGCATTTTTAAAATCATAAAGGTCAATAGCTTTTGATATAAAATTGACAGACGCTTCAAGGCTCGTTATCATTGATGAATGTGAATGCAGATGTGTGAACCCCACCAAATAGTTTGTAATTTTAGTCCTCTTTAAATTATGTGCTACCAATTTCGCTGGAAACTGTCTGTTTCGTCGCCAGCACAACATTGTGAAGGTATACTTGCCAGAGGAGGCTCGTTTCATATCTCATTTTACACAGGGTAAGTATCTACTGCTTTAAAGGCTACTTTTGGTTTCAAGAGGAAATTTATTTCTAACTTGATCAAAATTGTGTCCACTATAAAGCTTTCAACTCCTTCAATTTTTCAATTAATTGGTCAACGTTTTCGACCTTGACACCGGCTTGTCTTGCAGGTGGCTCTTCAACTTTCAATACCTTTAACCTATTTTCAATTGAATCAAGGCCCAAGTCCTTCAATTTCAACTTTTCCAATGGTTTCTTTTTGGCCTTCATTATATTTGGTAAACTAGCATACCTTGGCTCATTTAACCTCAAGTCAACTGAAACCACCATTGGCAATTTAGCTTTTAATACATCAGCACCGCCATCGATCTCCCTCGTTACGTAGACTTCGTCTCCTTTGACTTCAACCTTTGAAGCATTTGTGGCTTGCGGCCAGTTCAATAATCCGGCAAGCATTTGTCCCGTCTGATTTGAATCATCGTCAATGGCTTGCTTTCCCAAGACTATCAAGTTTGATTTCTTATCTTCAACCACTTTTTTCAACAACTTAGCAACTTGCAATGGTTCAACTGGCTCTTCACCCACGTCAATCAATGTGGAAGTATCTGCACCCTTGGCCAATGCAGTTCTCAAAATATCTTGTGCTTTTGAAGGTCCAATTGATACAGCATGTATGCTTTCAACTGATTCAGGAGTTTTTTCCCTGAGACGAAGGGATTCTTCTAATGCAATGTCACAAAATGGGTTTATACTGAACTTGACTCCCTTGGTTTCAACTCCAGTATTCGTTTTGTTGATTCTAGGTTTAATTGCATAGTCAATAACCCTTTTAACCGGGACAAGGATTTTCAATTTGTTGGACATTGTTGATACTTGTATGGTTGTTGTTGGAAGACTTTCTCAAATTTTCATCAGTTTTTGAGATTCTTTGAGCGCACTCTCCGATGTAGGACTTTGACGGGCGGTAGCGCATCACTACATACTTCACATGTTACATTAAGAATAGCTATTGATTACTCTACATTTACAGCAGGTTTAGCCCTTGCTTTCATTCTTTCAATCCTTTTCTTCAACTGCTGTGTCACCTCAGCTGCTCGTTTCCAATCATCACCGGCATCAACATCTAATTTATCTTTATTGCGTGATATTGAATGGAATGAATTTCTATTGTAGTTCAATGAACTGTGACCATCGGCGGCCACCGCAGGATGGATCAGTTGATCCAGTTCAGTAATTGATAACCGATGTACACCTCTTCTTATATCCGTTTCCCGAAAGTTAGTGTTGTCACTGTGAGACTTTACCGTATCACGCGCAAGATATGATTGATTGGATTGTTGTAATTTGTTAATTTCCCTCTCCGTCTCAAGATCCTTAACTTTGTGATTTACTTTATCTAATTCAATCTTCAAGTTGTTAACCTGTGTATCCTTATGACTAATTGTTATCGAACTAGATCGCATTTCGTGCTCGAGCCGTGAATTTAATGAACTAATCTCCTCTTTCAAAGCGGTATTCTCGGTGCCAAGTTGTTGAATCAAATTTCGATCTTGTTGCTGCTGTGTCTTGTACTTGTTTACTTCTTCTCGTAATTGTTCCAATTCCTGTTCCATTTTTGGGTCTACCACATACTCAATTTGGAGAGGCGGTGGCGGTGGTGTCATTGTAGTGCTCTGTGTAACGGCAACCAGTGGGTGCGACAAGTTTACACGATTACTTGTAAGTGAAGCCGAACCCGCTGCCTTTGAAGGACGGAGTGACGTAGATGTCGGTTTTGACAATGACCTCGAGGTTAGACCTTTACCAAGATTGCTTGCTTTTCCATCATCAATCCTCTTCGCCGGTGAGCTTGCTTCTCTTTTGGATGGTATAGTCGATGAGCTTGCAGTTGATCCTCTCACCTGGAGTGAAGTTGCACGAGATGAGAAAGGTTGTTTCTTTGCCGGCAAATCGCGCGATGAAGGCGCTGATCTCACTTTGGAAGATGTGCATTTCACCTCAACTGTTTCATAAAATTTCAAAATCTTGGCTTTCCTATTGTCGTCGGTATTTTCAAGAAATTTACTCAACTCCCTTTCACCAGTTATCTTCATAAGCGTTCCTATCAATTCAGTGGCTGCTTGTCTAATTGGCTCTTGAGAGTCGCTGAGCAATTTGACACCAGTGTCCATAATTAAATCAATATCAGCTATTTTTGGAGGCTTGGTGGTATTGCTGAGGCAGCGTTGAAGGAAATTAGCACAAGCAATCTTGTTCTGAGGCACTTTGAGTTTCATTCCGGCAACCGCTTCCTCAATAATCGGTCCACTTAAGCCTGATAAAGTAAACATCGTATCCAAAAGTGTATCTAAAGCATTAGCAACGGATGGCTTCTTCTCCTTTGTTCTTTCAATGACTGGGCCCAAGATCATTGGCTGGTATCTTAGCCAGCTCTTTCCCAATCCTTTGGCAACATAGTTGGCACACGTGGCTGCTAATTGGACAACTTGGATATTAGCATCTCGCATGTTTTTGGCAAATACTCTCACAAGAGGGGAGTAATCATCATTGTCAACCATCTTTGGTGCTTTCTCCAAAATGGATTGAACTTCTTCCAAAACTTCAACTCTATCCTTCCACTTGGTTGAGGTGACTCTACTTTCAAAGCCATTTGGCAACTTGTTCAATACTTCAACTGGGTCAACAAATTCCATTGGGTCGTAGTCATTATCAGGCAATACCGCATCACTCATTTCAACATCATCCTTCTCATTCACTTCCGATTTCGATGCAGCACTGGCCTCTTCTTGCCTGGAAATCTCATCCTTTTGAGATTTTGTGAGTCTTCTCTGTTGTGGGGTTTCTCCCTTAACTGCTTCGAATGCCAGTGTCAAGTCTTTTTGTTGTACGGGTTTCAAGTCAGGGAATAAAATAGATGGCAACGCATCCCCCATCCACTTGTATAATTCAACAGTCAATTTGGTAGCTTCGGCTCTAACATTCCTATCAGCATGAGCAAATAATTTTCCCAATGATGGAATGACCAATTTAGGTGAAACGATCTTACATCCAAAATTTTCGTAAACTGCAAACAATGCTGTCACACAGCCTGCGACCAACTTAGGTAGTCTGTTGCCAAGATGCGGAAGAACTTCTTCAATTATTGGGTCAGGTGTTTGCAGATATTCAATCATGAGCAAGATGCTTTCAGTTGCGTTGTCTTTTGTACCCTTTCTCGACGATGACAATCCCTTTTCACAGATTGCTTGTACAATTCCCGCTGTTTTGACTAGACGATTCACAACAGACGCGTTGCCACCATATGTCAAATAGTTGGTAAAAGCCTTGTAACCAGCTTCTTGTGCCACAACATTTGAATCAGTCAAAATGTTCTTGTACAAATCGGGGGAGTAACCGGTAAACACTGGGTCCTGATCACTACGCGACGATTCATATTGTTTAGAAAGTTCTTCATATGCACTTAGACGAGCCTTCCATACTTTATGCTCTAACCTATCTTCTAGGGGAAGGGTTGTGTAGTCCACTTCTTCTGTCATTTTTGACTGGTTGCGTTGATTTGATATGGCGTGTGGGAAATTAAAATTTTGGAATGTTTGTTTATGTTTTCTAAAGCGCACGCATTGATTTTGTGTAACGCCAATGGCATTGAGATGAACAGAGTAGACTAAGAACTAGTTGTATCAGACAACTCAAGAGAAGCAACGTTGAGAAAGTTGAGAAGAATTAGGAGTGCATCAGAACTGGCCCACATTGATTAAATATGTTACACATGTATATATGAAGCATGCCTCTTTCACACACTGACCTCGATTCTTTCAGCTAGACGACAAGGCGTAACTCTAATCACACCTCATCCCCCCTCACATTGACAGCATAAACAAGATTACTACTTCTGCACTCAAACTTGTAACTTAAGCTGATTTCTTTTCGCTAGAATAAATCTCTTCAAGTGGTTTTAGTTTGAATCCCCACTCTTCTTCACCGGGTCTATTAACATAGTACTTTTGTAAGTTCACTTGATGATATGGGTGATAAGCCAAGTTAAACCAAGGCAATATAAACAAAAATGAGCTGCTGTATTGTGAGTTCCTGTTTGCAACATCTTTGGATCTATCGTCCAAGGCACTTTCGCTTTCATGGTATGGAGATTTTCCTTGACTCAACAATTTCTTTACTTCATATCTGTCCTTTGCTACTTCTCGAGAGTTCTCTGACCATCCAAGAAAACGTTGACTAGTCTTCACATAGGCCAACAAGAATCCACCAACGAATCCAATAGCCGTTGCAGCACGATATGTAGTACCAGCAATAGGAGATGGTTTCATGCCCTTACCCAATGATGGTTCTAATCTTTCCCACAAATTTATTCCAAGAGGTATAGCAGCGGTGGATATACCCCAATTTAAGTAATCAGAGGGACGGAAATAACGGATGACCTTGGTGAAGTATGGGTCTCCATCGATGAGCTCATAGTCACTGGAGATTGGAGCAGCTCTAATTGGCGTATTAGATGGCGTGTATGACATTGTATCTGGTTATGCCGTGATAGTAAAGATTTTTCCATCCAACTGTCTCTCTCTCTTTTGCTTATGCAATTCTTTTTTCGTCACTTTTTGATTGGTAACATCTACATGGTAGCACTACATATGGTAGCTTTGGTTTTCAAAACTGGTAGCTTCGTTCCTGTCATGTCAAATCTAATCTTAAAGATCCGGAAAAGGCAAAAACGATCAAGAGTGATAACGCAAACTAATCATGCCTATACAACTAACCGACGATGAACCAGAGCCCACCAATAGAAAGCATCCACTCACTAGACTAGCGAACAGTGTACGATGTTTCAACATCCCACTACTAAACTTCCTAATCATATTAATCTTGGGTACATTTCTTTATAAATTGACAACAAAATATACCAATTTGTACATGAAGTCATCGTTAATCACCATAATTGTGACAAATTTGGTCCTTTATGGTATATCGGAAAGTTTAGCTCAACTGATTTTAAGTTACCGGCTGGACCAACCGATGATTTCATTTAAGTTCAATGATCCAGCACAGCCGGATGCAAGGCACGATAGTGAAGCATATACAGCGTTGGAACAAGGTGATGTGGGCACTGATGAAGATGACGTTAGTATCGATGACCAAGGTTTAGATAGATTTATAGAGTACCTACGAAGAGACCAAGACGGAGAAGAGGAGCACAATAGACTCAACAATGACTTATTTACGTATGTTCCATTAACATATTTCCAATTTAATCGATTAGCAGGATTCATGTGTTGGGGTTTCATTATGAGTTTCGTTCAATGTTGGTGGTACAAATTCCTTCAAGTTTATTCTAAAGATCCCAAGTTTATTGAAGTGTTGAGAAAAGTCATGACTGACCAATTTTGCTTTTCACCAATTTCGTTATTTTGTTTCTTTACATATGGTACAATGGTTTTAGAGAATGGAACATGGGAAGACACTAAAAAGAAGCTAGGGGCAATTTATTTGAAAACTTTAATGATCAATTACTCAGTTTGGTTTCCTATTCAGTTTATTAATTTTTTGATTGTACCTCGTGATTTTCAAGTTCCTTTTAGTTCGTCAATCAGTGTGTTATGGAATTGCTTCTTATCAATGCGAAACTCAACCAATTGATTGTTCTGAGTAGTTTAAATGTATATGCCCAAATTCGAATATCCATTGAATTTTCTCACTTTTGAACTAACATTCTTTATGTACTCTTCCTTATCAATGGTGATGATATCACTCAAGACGAATGCTGTATCGACAATGGCGTCATTATCGGATTTTTCAAAGCCAAGATGTCCTTCTGAATTCAACACCAACGTGACGACATTAGTCACGCCAATAAAGTTTAATTGCGATAATGTTGCTGCGGCGATACCAGTTATGGAGTGTGGAGGTCTCAACACTGGAACTTGTGACAAAATTGATGCTGATGACGACGCTGTGTCTACTAAAGGCAATTGATTTATCGATTGGTTGTTGTTTAAGGTAGATGGAGCTAATAGTATCCATTCCTTCAGCGGTTTCAATCGCCTAATCAATTGTCTTGCAAGGACATTATAAGCGATGGTGTTTGTAAAATGCGGCACTACTATGGATAAAACGCCACTGGACAAGTATATTGCAAGTTCCTCTGTTTTAAACTTGTTCTTGAGAGCTTCATTCTCAAGAGCAGCATACAATTGCTCATCTTCGTCGTATTCCTCTTGTACCTCTTTTGTCAAATCTTTAATCAAATCTGGATAATCAATTAGTATTTGTCCTATATTTTCCTGTTTTGGTAATTGATCCTGTATCAAACTGATAGTATGGGGGACAATTAAGACATAGTCGTAAATGAGACTGGCATCGTTTAAGGATATTTTGATTTCAGGGATGGGGTTTGGTTTTGCATTGGTGTCTTCATCATCTAATGTATGACGAGGAGTTCTAGTTTCAGTAATTGGTTTAATCTAAGATGGGTTAGTATTCCTTTGATAGTTGGTCAGGCAGGCTGAATGTACATACCAACATCTTGTGGTGTTATCTGGTTTTGCCATCAAGACTGGAAAGTCGTATGGAATGTACAATTTATTTCTAATGCGCGACAAACCTCACAGAAAAAAGCGTTTAGAAGAAATATCCATATAGCGCTTACGGATCCACTTTCTTTCTGGATATCACATTTATCCAAAGATTTTTATTCGAATGAACGGAATATTCAATCTTTAAATAGTATACACAGTATTGAACTAGTACTCATTTATGCTAAGCTGAAGTTTTAAAAAGCATCAAAGTAGTGCAATTATTTTCTATCCTTGTGCCACCTGTAGTAAGCCTCTCCAAGGGAACTTCTCCTTAGTCAAAGCACACAATCAATACCTTTTTCCAAAATGGGGCCTTATTATACCTCTCCTTATCTTCCAAATTCTGCAACTCCAAAACTTCGGGGTCGTAAATCACCCGATCCTTATCAACGTCAATCTCATCAACAGCAATCCATAATCTCCAGTTCCTAGTATACAATTTGTGACAAATATAACAAAATATCATAACAGGAGCACCCAAATAATTCTTGAAAAAATTATTTGCATCCGCTTCTCCCTTGGGAAACAAGGATGTCCAAAACTGAGCAATCAAGATTAAACTATTGATAATTATGGAGCACCAAGAGCCTAAAATCCCGGTAGGGGAAACATAGGCCAACGACTCGACAGGAATGCCATTGTGTTTCAAGGCGGCTCTGAATCGAAGATGAGAAACGCAAATGAATAACCAACACGCAACAAATGAAATTCCTGAAATCGATAAAAGCCAGGTAAAAACGGTCTCTTGGTCATGATAAGCGGCAATAAATGAGAAAAAAGACGAAAGCACAGTAAGGAACCATGCTCTCAAAGGACGACCTTGTTTATCAACATAATCCAACCATTTAGGTGCCAATTTCTGATGGGCCAACGATTGAATCAACCGTTGTGAACTATACATGGCAGCCACACCCACAGAAGTTACTGAAAGCAAAATCACTACATTGATTATATGGGGCAACACTTTAACCCCATGCATTTCGGCAGCAATGACATATGGTGACGAATGGGTGGCAGCA